AGCTCAACAAGAAGGACAAGGCCGCCAAAGACAAAGAGACCCCTGCTGCCGGCGGCGATCCGACCGCCACCACAGCAGAGCCGTCTGGTAAGGAGAGCGGCCAGCAGAAGGACAAGGATAAAGAGAAGGACAAGGCCGTCGAGGAGCCCAAGGACCCGCTCGAGACCAAGTTCCAATCCAAGGGCTTCAACCAGATCTACGACCAGATCTGGCGGGACCTGGCCCGCAAGGACGTTGGCAAGGTCTACCGGATGGCCTCCGACTCGTACCAGACCAAGTCGTCGAACCTGAAGAAGACGGCCATCCTGGCCTCCAAGGAGGCCAGGCGCTGGCAGCTCCGCACCAACAAGGGCACCAAGGACCTGCAGGCCCGGGCCAAGCGCGTCATGCGCGACATGATGAGCTTCTGGAAGCGCAACGAGCGCGAGGAGCGCGACCTCCGCAAGGCTGCCGAGAAGCAGGAGCTCGAGAACGCCCGCCGGGAAGAGGCCGACCGTGAGGCTGCCAGGCAGAAGCGCAAGCTCAACTTCCTCATCTCCCAGACCGAGCTGTACTCCCACTTCATTGGCAAGAAGATCAAGACGAACGAGGTTGAGCGTAGCACGGACAACCCCGAGCTCGCAGCTGAGGAAGAGAAGGCGTTGGCCCACGCGGACCCTGGCGCCATGGACGTCGACGACGAGGATGGTGCGCCCTCGGCCAAGGTCACCCGCTTCGAGAACCTGACCTTCGAGGAAGAAGACGAGGAGAAGCTGCAGGCCATCGCCAGGGCGAACGCGCAGCACGCCCTCGCCGAGGCGCAGCAGAAGGCCCGGGACTTCAACAGGGACGCCGAGCTCGACGAGGAGGGCGAGATGAACTTCCAGAACCCTACCGGCATGGGCGAGGTCGAGATCGAGCAGCCCAAGCTCCTGAATGCGCAGCTCAAGGAGTACCAGCTCAAGGGCCTCAACTGGCTTGTCAACCTCTACGAGCAGGGCATCAACGGCATCCTGGCTGACGAGATGGGTCTCGGCAAGACAGTCCAGTCCATCTCCGTCATGACCTATCTGGCCGAGAAGCACGACATCTGGGGGCCCTTCCTCGTCGTCGCGCCGGCCTCTACCCTTCACAACTGGGAGCAGGAGATCCGCAAGTTCGTCCCAGAGTTCAAGGTCCTGCCCTACTGGGGAACCGCAGGCGACCGCAAGACGCTCCGCAAGTTCTGGGACCGCAAGCACAAGACGTACAAGAAGGAGGCCAGCTTCCATGTCATGGTGACCTCATACCAGCTGGTTGTCTCCGACGTCAGCTACTTCCAGAAGATGGGCTGGCAGTACATGATCCTCGACGAGGCGCAGGCCATCAAGAGCTCCCAGAGCTCGCGCTGGAAATGCCTCCTGGGCTTCCACTGCAGAAATCGCCTGCTCCTGACAGGCACGCCGATCCAGAACAACATGCAGGAGCTCTGGGCCCTCCTGCACTTCATCATGCCGTCGCTCTTCGACTCGCACGACGAGTTCAGCGAGTGGTTCTCCAAGGACATCGAGTCCCACGCCCAGAGCAACACCAAGCTCAACGAGGACCAGCTGAAGCGCCTGCACATGATCCTGAAGCCCTTCATGCTCCGTCGCGTCAAGAAGCACGTCCAAAAGGAGCTCGGCGACAAGATCGAGCTGGACGTCTACTGCGACCTGACCTACCGGCAGCGCGCCTACTACAGCAACCTCCGCAACCAGATCAGCATCATGGACCTCATCGAGAAGGCCACCACCGGAGACGACAGCGACTCGGGCACCCTGATGAATCTTGTCATGCAGTTCCGCAAGGTCTGCAATCATCCTGACCTCTTCCAGCGCGCTGATACCACGTCGCCTCTGTCCGTCGGCTACTTTGCCGAGACGGCATCCTTTGTGCGCGAGGGAAATAACATCCCCGTCGCGTACTCCACACGGAGCCTGATTGACTACGAGCTGCCCAACCTCATCTGGCGCGACAGCGGTCGGCTGTACAAAGCCGGGCCCGACAGTCAGAAGGCGGGATTCCGCAGCCGCTACCTGAACCACCTGATGAACATCTGGGCACCTGACAACATGCGTGAGAGCACGAGCGGCTCGGATGCCTTCTCCTGGCTCAGGTTTGCCGACGTGAGCCCAGCCGAGGCATCCAGGGCCGGCCGCCAGGATGTCTTCAGCCGCGCTGTTGAGCTGTCTGGGCGTGAGAACCGCCTAGGGCACATGAGGGTGGCCTATGACGAACCCGAGGACCAGAACTACACTCCACCGCACGCCATGTTCCAGATCACCCGTCGTGCCGACCGCAAGCCACTGGCGGACGTCACTGGCGAGGGGATTCTGAACAGCCTCATGAACGTCTCCAAGACGGCCTACGATGAGGCGGGCTTTCGCCGTCTGGAACAGGCTGGCCGCCCTGGCGCAACAGCGCCTCCCGTCGAAGTCGTCTGTAACAGCCGTGCGGCCAACTTGGAGCGGGAGGACACCTACTTCAATGTGCGGATGCGGAGGGCACTGTTCGAACCAACTGTGGAGGAGCAGAAGGCCTTCATCACGCAAAAGATCTCTCCAGAGCGGATACCCAAGTCTGGGCTGTTCCCCGCTCCGGACAACGAGAAGCACCGCTTTACCAACATCGTCGTCCCTTCTATGCGGCGCTTCGTGACGGACTCGGGCAAGCTGGCCAAGCTGGACGAGCTGCTCTTCAAGCTCAAGGAGCAAGGCCATCGCGTGCTGCTGTACTTCCAGATGACGCGCATGATCGACCTGATGGAGGAGTACCTGACGTACCGCAACTACAAGTTCTGTCGGCTGGACGGCTCCACCAAGCTCGAGGATCGGCGTGACACAGTCCACGACTTCCAGACCCGGCCGGATATCTTCATCTTCCTGCTGTCGACCCGTGCCGGTGGTCTCGGTATCAACCTCACGTCTGCCGACACGGTCATCTTCTACGACTCGGATTGGAACCCGACAATCGATTCCCAGGCCATGGATCGTGCTCATCGTCTTGGCCAGACTAGGCAGGTCACTGTCTACCGCCTAATCACCCGAGGCACCATAGAAGAACGCATCCGGAAGCGTGCGCTGCAGAAGGAGGAGGTGCAGCGCGTAGTCATCCAGGGTGGCGGTACCGGTGCCGGTGTCGACTTCTCTGGCCGCCGTGCTCCCGAGAACCGCAACAAGGACATTGCCATGTGGCTTGCCGATGATGACGATGCGGTGGAGAAGATGATTGAGCGCCGCGAGCAAGAACTCCTGGCCAGTGGTGAATATGACAAGAAGAAGAAGGGCGGCAGACGCAAGAAGGTTGTGAATGAATCTGTCTCCCTCGACGACATGTACCATGAGGGTGAGTTGGCTGATCTTTTTAAATCCCCCCCCCCCCCCCCCCACAAAGTTGTCTTTGGCCAAACATCTTGCTAACCACATTTCATGCGAACAGGCGAAGGTCACTTTGATGATGGCAATAAGCAGCAGCAGTCTGGAACAGCAACTCCTGTCGAGACAGCAGAAGCAAAGGGCAACAAGAAGAAGGGAAAGGGCTCCAAGAAAGCCAAGACGGCCAAGCAAAGGCTTGCTATCGCGGATGGAGAAATTGATATCTAATCCTGATCAGGGCGGGCGGGCGGGAAGAAGAGACATGGTCGTCCTGCTTGCGTATCCCCGGAAACTCGGGATCAAGCTCGTATGGCCGCCAGTGGGGCAGAGAGATAATACTCAGCCCTACTCTTTTGGCTCATTCCTCTTCGAACAAGACGGAACACGGTGGTTTTCATCCTGCTGCTTTTCATTTTCTTTGGAGTTGGCCACAAGAAGGTCTCAAAAGAAAGAAGAAAAAAACCTGCATTGATGAGGCAGATATGTATGTTATGGGATTTTATGATTGTTGCAGGTTCGTCATTGGCGTGGAATTAGATTCGTGAGCACCGCTCCCCGGAACAGGAACGGCTACCTGTCTGCCGTATTACAAAGGGCTCAACCACATGTACTATAGATAATATACACCGTAAAGAGGTAATAAGCCCAATTACTTAGCTATCTGTTGCTCGGCTTTGTGCGAGATTGCATCTGTGGATATCCTCTTCCGCCCACCAACGCAGTCCTTGGTAAGTGAAACAAACAGTCCAACCCCTTCCAAGCCTTAATTATTATCCAAGTGAATTGTAAAAGACGCAAGAGCTTTCAGACATGTATTGGTGAGGCTATAATTTTGATGAAATCCCCGGCCCGGGTCTAGATAGATGGCTAGAGAAGTGTCCTTGTTTTAAGAGACTTGACTGCCAGAGACTGGTTGAAGACAAGACCGTTATATCTGCAATGCCCCTTGGGCTGGTCGAGTAAAACAGCTCAAAGCCTCAAAGACCACCCCTCTCCACCACTACCCCCAAACCTGTACAGCTGCCGATGCTCACGAGACGAATGTGATCAGGCATTGTGTCTCGATACGTTCGTATGTGAAGGAGCTGTTGTGGATGCAATGCACTGCACCCCGACGTCTGTGCAGTGTTGGGCGCCCATGAACACGGCGTGTCGTCCTCGCCACGACGATATCTTCATTCGGCGGTGCCACTTGCTCCTGGGCAGTTTTCTTCCTTGGCATCATCCCAATTTTCCGTTATTCTTTCGGCCGGCTTTGCCTCGCGCGTCGATCATGACCTTGCTTGGCATGCCTCTGGAGAGGCACATGAGAGCAGCAAGGGCCGATTGTGCTGTATCCAAGGGGGTTCCCTGGAGGGGAGAAGGGGCGTGGAAGTCGAATATCTTTCACCCGTTTGGTCTGGCCCATAACAACTTCGCCCTTATTTTGAAAGACATCAAAACTGCTTGCTTCCAAATCTCCTGTATCGCGCTCTCTCTCTCTCAAGCAATGTCCATCTTTCCGAGTGCCTCCATGGCAGCGTCCCGCTCCGCCTTGAGCTGTTTCTTGTTCTTGCCCGAGTTCTCCGCATCTGTTCAAAAGCAAGACCCCGTCAGAGAAAGAAAAGAAAAAAGATACACACACCATCAAAAGCCAAAGAAAAAAAAAGGGGGGGGGGGACAAAAGAAAGGGAGCAACATACCCTGCATCTCCACCTCCCTAGCAGCCTCTGCCTCGGCCTTCCTCCGCATCGCGTGAGCCAGCTGCTTCTCGACCTTGCGCTGCTTCTTCTTGCTGAGGGCCGCGTTGGGCCCGCTGGTGGGGAGAAGGCCCGCGCGGGCGCCGCGCCTGGCGTCCGCCTTTGCGACGCGCGACGGCAGCTTGGACGATGCGAGGTGCTGGGCCGCCTGCTTCCTGGCCTTGGCCGCGTGCGCGATCTGGCGGTTGCGCGAGACCGTGTTGGGGTTCTTGACGGAGGGCATTGTGTGAAAGAGCTTGTGTGTGTGTGTGTGAGAGAGAGAGAGAGGAACAAGAGGGGGAGAGAGGAGCTGGCTGGGTTTGGCGTTGAGTAATGTGCTTTTTTGACTTGAGTTGGGGAAAGGAGAGGAGGTGAAGAAGTATGAACAAGAAGGAACGTTGTTGCTGCTGCAAGCCTTAGTTTGAGGATTTGGAAATTTTAGCGGGGCGATAACAAATTAGTTCACTAGCCACGCTTATCAGTTGAACAACCGACCCTCTTGTCCCAAAGAAAAAAAGGAAAGAAAAAAAATGGGCGAGTGAAGAAGGAATGTGAAAACTTCCGAATCATATTGGTTTGCGAATCTGTTCTCGGATGCTGTCTGGACGAACGTAGAGGTAAAAACTGAAAAGAAGACACCCATCAACACCAAAGAGACACACCCAAAACACAGAACTTCTCTTTTCAGCCAAAGTTGCACGATGAATTCCTACAAGATCAACATGAACTTGATTTGGTCTGTCAAGAGAACCCAAAACCAATGCTGTTCACCATCCTCTATTCAAGCATAATGGAGAGAGAAGAAACATATACCAAAAAATGAAAAGAGTTCATGACCATTGATTAACCTTGCAGATTACAATCCCAAAAACGCCCAACCATGCTGCTTGCTATTCGGCCCAGAATGCCCGTCCCCCTCCTTGCTACGCTTCCTCCTCTCCTTAGCGTCAAGCTGAGGACTGACTGGCTGGTAGTCCTTGGTCCTTGGTCGTGGTCTAACATGTACGAGGGCCTTCGTACTCGTCAAGTAGTTCTGTTGTATATATCCGATGTGCCTCGTACATTAGACCTCACGCACCCGTATAAAGCTCGCCAACATCAGCAGTCTCCGTTCCTCTCCATCGATGCCTTCGTCGAGCCTTCAAGCAATTCGATCATTGTTTCTGCCCACCGTGCTAGGGCTGGACAGGGCCTCTCCCTCGCCCTCGCTCCTGTCTCCGTCGCCCTCTTTCAGGAGCTTCCGCCTCTGGGCCTGCTCCTCGTCCTCGTCATCGCTCATCAGCCCGTCCAGCTCAAACTCCTCCACGTCGCGCAGCCTCCGCTCGTCCATTGACGCCGCCGCTGCGCCCCGCCGGCCGTTGGCCCCCGGTGCATGTCCATTGATGCCCTTGGCTCCAGCTGGTGCGTTCACGCCGCGGTCGTAAACATGGACGAGAACGTTGGTGAAGAGGAAGGTGAGGAAGGCAAGGCTGTAAAGGATCAAGACATAGGCCACATGGTCAATGCCGGAACCGTCAACCAACGACATCTGCTCCTCGGTTGCGCCCATGAAAAGGAAACCCGAAGCGTACAGCAACTAAAGAAAAGGAAGTTAGGCGCTGCCAAATATAGTCCCAGGTTCACAAAAGCACAAGACAGGAGGGTAGTGTGTCTGTATGTGTGTGTGAGTGAGAGAGACTTACAAAGGGAGGGATGTACTGAAAGCTGTGGGTGCCGTAGCCATCATCCGAGATGCCGATCTTATCTTGCAGGACAAAGGAAACCTCGATGATGCGGGTAATGCCGGCGGCCATGAGGGTGTACCCAAAGGCCTTGTGGGTCATGGCGCTGATCATGAGCTCCTGGGGGTGGGCGGACATGGCCCAGCCCGTGATGGCGATGACAAAGCCTGGGATGAAGTTGCGCCTAGGAGAGCCGTCGCGGCCGCGGCTCAGCCAGACACCAGCCAGGCCAGCGCACCACCATACGATGCCCATGGTGGTGTGCTGCCAGTCGTTCTTGACCCATGCAGTGCCCCACCTGTGCTCGGTGAAGGTGTTGACGCAGCCCCAGGCGGCGATGACGACGGAATCGAAAAACTCCTGGGAGCGGCCAGTGCGGCGGAGCCACAGCTGGCCGACGAGCAGGGTCAGGGTCATCAGGACGCCATAGGCGATGAAGGCGCTGCCCATGATGAAGTGCGCCAGGCACTGGCCGAGATGGTCGCCGCGACAGAAGCCCTGGGCGGTGATGCCACCGAAGAGCAGCTGGGCCCAGACGATGACGGGGAAGGCCTTGCCGCTGATGGAGTGGACGACGCGCACGACGGGGCGGATGCGGGCGTGAACACCCTTTTCGAGATGCAGCCTCAGGTACACGCCGAGAATGATCTGTGCAAACATTTGGAAGTAGACCCAGTCACCAAAGTGCGCGTGTACATTGTCCGGCCGGAACTCACGGCCGCCATGCATGTGGCCGAGGGCGTAACCGAGGAGGGCAAGCACGGAGGAGAGCGATTGTATAGGGACGTGCCATCGACTTTTCGTTATCTAGATCGCAATATGAGAGAATCTCGTTAGCCTGAACCAGCCCAGCGCAGCTCACGTATGTCCAGACACGGCGCTCCGGCGCTCCTGACCAAGAGCCGTCCTTTGTGTTTCTCTCCGATGTTGTTGTTCTTCTTCCTCCCCCTCCTCCTACCATATGTTGCTCCTCCTCCTTCTCTCACTTTCCTGTCGTTGTTGTTGAGGGGGGGGTTTTTTGGGGGGGGATAACTCACGCCGAGGACCATTCCGAGAGGGAAAAGGACGCCAAAGGCGAGCATGTTGAGGAAGATGTGTGCCCATAGTGTCGAGTCCTAGAAAGAGAGAGAAACAGATCCTTCATGTCAGCCTTGTTGTTGTTGTTGTTGTTGTTGTTGTGTGTGTGTGTGTGTGTATCATTCTTTGGGAGGTGTGAAGGAGGGTAGGCAGATTGACGATAAGTAATAGCAGGTAGTAAGCAACATACGATTGGGTCTGGAGAGGTGGCAGCATCATCTGGGATGTTCTCGACGGCGTGATCGTGTGCGTCGGCCATGGGGAGCAGAAGAGCGGCGACGGAGAGAAAGGCGGTGGTCTTGGTCAGGGAGAAAGGCGGTACTGGAGCTGAAGCCAGAAGTCGTCGTCGTGAAGGCGGAGGAGATGTTAGTTGGAGGTCAAGACCAGACCCCCTTGAAGGGATCGAGTGGTAGACCGCCATCATGAATGGGGATTTGGCCGGTAGGGACAGCAAATGGACGACCGAGGGCGGGGAGTCGGCTGTTTCGAGTCTGTTCCGGAGAGATGGTACTCTGGTAGAGAGTCTGGGACTGGAGTCGAGACAATGCAACCGGGAACGACGGGGGTGGCGCTTGTCTGTGTGTGTGTGTGCGTGGGTGTGGGTGCGGGTGTGTACGCAATCGCCCACCGCAGCGCGATTCAAGAAGGTTGGAAAGGGAGAAGGGGATAAACAATTGATTTGACCAAGGGCTTGTCTATCCTCAACTCTCCTTGTCTGTGCTCCACAGGTGAGGGACTGACATGCAGAATGGAGAGTGCAGGATGCAGGATGCAAATCAATATACTATAGTAGGCAGTCGTCGTAATGCTACTGAAGTTGGCTGTGAGTGGCCACCTGGCTGACTATGGTACATGGTAAAGAAAAAAAAGAAAGCCCAGTGGGGGGGGGGGGGCGTTTTAGCAGGGGTGGCACTGTCTTCTCCCCCTTCCCTCCTCCTGTCCAGCGTCTGTTCTACTACCGAAAATACAGTGATGCCGCGCAGGGCCACTAAAGACGCTGGGCCCAGGCCCCCAAAGAGACGGATAAGCTCTTGAATCTTCCCTTCCCACTGAAAGGCTAGAACACTGCGCGCGCTACGTCTACCCTGGCTTGCCTGATACGCTGGGCGCACCTGCTGAACGACAGCGCCACGGCACGGCACGTTCGGCTGGTTGCAGCCTACAACAACCCACTGCCCTTCTCCTCAGTAGCGATTCGGGTCGGATGTCGGTCCCCCTGCCCGATTACGCCGAGATGAGTGCTTACGTAGTCACAGCATCCACCCACCGTACGATGATTACGAAAAAGGGTCAACAACTCCGCTAGATTGCAATAAGAATATAAAAGTGCGAGAAGGTACCTTGAGCAACAAGAAGATAGTCATTATGATCAATACAAATTTACAAAATATTGAGAAAGAGGGGCCGGAGGGGGGGGGAGTGGGGGAGGGGCAGAGGCACACAAGTAGGACGCCATCAAGGTGATATGCAGACCAACAGCCGCAGCAGCATCAAGCTTGTCAGGATAACACTAGATCATCTCTTCCCCGGAGTGAGGTTCCCGATGTAGAACGGGGTAGGGCTAGAATTACCAACAAGACATGAAGTTGAAGTAGCTTGTGAGCTGACAATGTCTTCAGGACCAATCAATAAGCCTCTTCGACAACAAAGGTTCTTTCACTTGTTGGATGTATGTTTCCACATGGAAATGCCTCTGCTGGTGCTGGCAGCCCACATGTGTGTATGTTATGTCCTGCATACATCTCGTCTAAATCATAAATGCCCACCTGTAAAAATTGCCCATGACACTTGCTATTAGGGACACGTCATCACACCCACTGTATCGTGACCCTCACCAATAATCATCTGTGCTGGGAACGGACAGGAGGTTCGATGCTATGTGGGAGAGGTTGGTGTTGTACAAGACAATAGTCTATCCACATTGGCTTCTTGGCTTCTGACAAGCCCTGGCCAAGTAACCTGTCAAGAGTAGCGAAGATGTTGCCAAGGACCACGTGAGACTGCCCTCGACCACAGCCTCAGTAGCCTGTCTTTGTCTATCGTTGTGAGTGGCGATAGCAAGCCTATCTGGATAGAATTCTATCCAGAAACCCAAACAGTCTTGCCATACTAAACCACGATGGACAGAGTCTCTTCCTCGGTCCTATAATGTCGCCATATGTACAATCACACGTATGCCAACTCACCTTGTCTGCTTGAAGTGCGAGCCCGGCACTTCATGACGACCTTGTAGTCACATCTTGGCGCCAGTCCCCCTTCCCTTCCCCCGTCTTTCTGTTCCGCTGTTTCTTCATCTGACCTTCGGATCTCCATATATCGTATCGCTCCGTTCGCTTGAATCGATAGTGATAAGGGCCGGTGCACAGGCACCACAAATCGATATTGGTGGATAGCGAACGCTCGCTTGTGGACCGTGTCGACCTCGTCGGTTCTGCGGGTCGCGAGCGAGGAAGGAAGGGAGAAGAGAGGGCGCAAAGAGAAGGGGAGACGTACAAGAGAACATACAAGGCAACCAGACTGTTGACAGTGACAGGTCGTCTGGCAGCATCAGCCGCCTGGGCTGCAAGAGACGAAGATCCAGACCCTGTCCCAGAAGGAGGGTGAGACATGACCAAACCGCTCTCCTTTTTTTCTTCTTCTTTTTTTCTCTCTCTCTGTTCTTTTTTTTTGGGGGGGGGGGGAGGGGTCAAAACTCCTGACGATCCAAATTCGCGGGTCGTTTTGAAAACGCAGAAAACGTTGGGGGCTGATAGTCACGCCATATGTACTGTACGTACAGAGTAAGTACTGTATGTGTGTCACAATTGTACTGGAACAATTGATTGATCTGCAGGTGTGTGCGATGGTGCTCGCCACCACTTGGCGCTGGCTGAGTCGCTGACAGCAGCGAGGCTGGTGATTCGAAGAAGAGATCAAAGGGAGAAAGCAAAACGAAAGCGAGAGGGCAGAAAACCATACTGACAACAGGACGTGATTATGTGTCGCAGGTGGTTTGTGAGTGGTGGTGCGAGCAGCGGGCTCGGGCGGCGCGTGACTGGGGCTGATGAGTGATGCCAAGCCGGACGGTGTGCGGCGCAGGGGCGGCACCTGCTGCACCGGAGGCGTCGGGTGCTAACCTCAGCCTCTGTGACCCTCTGACTCTCTGTCTATGACTCTCTCCCTTCGTCTGCTCTTAGTCACGAGCAACATGACAATACAGCCTGATCACGGGTGGCACACCCCAAGGCAGAATAGAGGATATAAATATATATATAAACGAAACCCCTGGTCTTGCCCGATTTTGACGAAACGATATTTGTCATCAAAAGCGAAGAAAAGAGGCAAGAAGACAAGAACAAAAAAACAAAAACCTCCAAGATGATTAACCCGGCCAAGACGTTATGGTGGGAGACTTTTGAGCTGTGGGACGCCGTGCTGTACCATGTGGGCGACATCTACTACAAGGCCTCGAGGCCTGCGGTCATGAAGAAAAGGAACAGGAAGAAGCGCACAAGCCCATCCAGGCCTCGGCGGTCCAAGCTGCAACGCGGAAGAGCAGGCGAGATGCAATACAGAGGCGCTTGAAGAATTTCTCGATGGAGAGTCTCTTTGACACTCAAAACACTCGACATTCGAGGTCCCAGCAAAGGGCGGACACGAGAGAGAGGCGAGGATGCAGACGGCAAACAAAGAACCCAGTACTACGGTACTGTACACCTCCCGCCGCCAAAATTAAACAAAACAAACAAAAAATACGACATGCTCCACCAGGCCAGGCCAGGGCGACAACATCGTACGCACTATGCACTACATAGTTTGCAGACCCCAAGAGCCGTCAGAGCCGGGAAGTATCGTTGGATGGAGGAGGCTCGATGATCATTGGTCCTGGTCCTCCCTCCGGTGCCGACAACCCCGGGCGACTTTTTGGGGGCAGTGCAGTGCAACGCGGTTCCTTTGCAGGCCGCTCAAGGAATGCCGGCGACCCGATACGAAGACCTAATCCACACATCTAAAAAAGATGGTCGGCCGCCATCCAGCGGTCCATCTAGCCAATTCAGCGAGCGATCAGGATGAAACACGATAATGCTAAAGAGGTGGAACATGGATTGCGGAACTGCTGCTGATCGGCAGTAGGATGTGCCACTCGCTGTCATCAGGATCTTCGTGGATGTACGCATCAGGAAAAGAGGCGACGATGATGATGTTGGTTTTTGGTCTTTTTCTTTCATTGTGTGGTCTATCTGTTATTTGGAGTGGTCGATCTTGATTGTGATGTGTGATCTGTGCTGAGATTTATATTTTGGCAAATAAGAAGGGATGAGGGGATGGAGGGAGGATGGGTGGACTTTTCGGAGATCTACGATGATGACAATGCATGGATTGGTGGTCCCAACCAAGCCGAGGTGTTTGGTCAATTTAAAATAGAACAGTATAATTCTATGGTACTATGGTCCCAAGTGGCTGTGTGTGTTGGTCTGCTTTCTCTCTGTGTGTCTCCGTCTTCTCTCCCTTCCTTCTTTTTTTCCCTTCTTCTTCTTCTCCTTTAGCAGGTGCTGGTCATGATTAATGGCCATTGGTTATGTGGCGTCAGGCGGCTACGAGGCGCTGGGCGCTGAATTTCTGACCCCCCATCCCCTTTTGGCCAATGCCTGTGTGAACAACATGTGCATGATACTGGGGATAATGTATGATCGTGTACTTGTATCGCGTAGTGCTTATGGAGGGATAGATAGTACACAGTGCGACCATGGTTCGGCCGTGACCAGAACACACATGCCTCGTATTGGCTCTGGCTCCCTGCAGCAGGATGTGCTGAGCAGTTCGTTCATCATGCTTCTGCTTACAGTGAGAGGGAAGCTAAGATTTGGTCAGCACCATATCTTGACCACGCCAGAGATATCGCTTGCTTTGCTGGTCGAAGCAACTATTGAGTGTACCATGTTGCCAGTGCTCGCTATCTACTTCTCTCTCTGTGTCCAGTCTTTGTCTCACAGTATCAAGTCTACAGTATAGCAGCAGCCGGATCAGAACCCTCAGTTCCCCATACCCCGAAAGCAAGCATGTCCCTATATGCTGCCAAGACCCGTACCTGCAGATCTGGCTGCAGAGAGTCCTTGCTTATTATCTGCGCTGCCCTACTGCGATGCGATAAATGCTACTCCATATGAACATGACGGTCGTCCTCCAATCATACTACTACGATGCATCATTGTGTTACCCACTATGTAAAAAACAATGCTGTACTCTACATATAACCAGGACTAGAGGTTATGTGGCTGGGCCATCTGTCGCAGATCAGCAGAAGCACCTCATCGCCCTCGCCGTCGTCTCCGCCCTGCCGCGCGCGCGCTCTCTTCCATTCTCCCTCTCTCTTTCTCTTTTCGCCTTATCGTATCGCTTTTTTGTAGTTACCGTGCTACGTAGTGGCAATAATTGGCTTTTACGCTAAGCTTTGGCATAGCCACACCGGCGGCGCGTCAGCACGGACTTCACGGCAAGGCGGTTGCGCGGCAGCACGGGTGCCCGGCACCCAAGCATACTTGTACACCTCGAGGGAAAGAGCAAAGAGAGGGTGTGTGTGTGCATATGTGCCGTGTCCGGCAAGTGGTCTCCAACGGGCCTTGCGTAAGCGGGTTCTTCATCATTTTCTCACGACGGCACATCTCCAAAATTCCAATGTCAACATCGCGCTGTCCATACCAATCAATATCTTTGACACTCTCATCTCGGGGGCACCTGGTTTCCCTGTCATTTGAAATCCCCCGAATGGGCCACACAGCGCACACACAGAGAGGGAGAGAAGGAGTGGTGGAGCCAATATCCAAGGAAAAGGGGCAGTGGGTCCTCGCCTAGATGGTCCACTGCGGGCCCACCATCCAGCCTACCGTTTCCTTCCCTCGTTACAATCACGCCTGTGTTAGTAAGGGGTGTGTGTACAAGCCCAAATGACTTGCCTATGTCGGTGAGGGCGGTTGGTAGGTGCAGGGTCCTTGTCGATACGGCCGCTTCACCCTGTACATGGTAGCACTGCGGTATGTGCTGCGTACTCCAAGTCCTACTACGTACCATACCAATACGCGTCAGTGTGGGGTCCGCGAAAGGGATGTGCTCCCTATACACACACACCCTTTCCTTTGTTCCTTCCCTCCCACTCTCATACATGCGGCCCGCTCAACGTTCTCCGTCGACCATCCATCTCCTGGTAACCTCAATCTCCTGTCCTCGCCTCCCCTCCTAGAACGGGGCAGCCCTGATACACCCTGGCCTGGCCGTCCTCTCGCCTGTCAGTGGGGGAGCGTCAATCCTCTCTTTCTTTTTTGCCAGGTCCCTGCTTTGGGCCCAGTACCGTGCTTTCCTACCCAAAGTCCAGACCAACTCTTGACCTTCTTTTTCCCGCCTTCTCCCACACCCCCCCTTCTTCTCTTTTCTTGATTCTTCTTTCCTTTCCTCACACCACTACCATCGTCAATTCGACAAGTTGAATCAGGCCCAACTTCTTTGCCTCTCAGCTGTCCTTTGACGCATTCTTCATTTTCTTTATTTTCATTTTATTCATCACACTCGTTGAACATAGCAAATTCCAATCTCGTGCCTTCTGCATCTCGTCTTATCGCTATCAGAAATCATAGACCAGGTTTTTGCTCAAGGTACGTTATGAATTCTGCATGCAATGCGCATGAACGATTCCCCCCCAAAAAAACTCCATCAAGAGGAGAGAGTCTCTTCCCTCCATGTCCTGCTTTGGATGGTTGGCAACGTCATCCAGTCCCCATCTCGAGGTCCAGTTACACACCAGCACATGCACCATGCACATCCCACACCCACATCCATCCATACAAACAAAACACAGCACATGGGACAAACAAAACAGGCTTGCATCATGGACGCATCACTGCACTGCACACAGTTCAGACGACCCAGTTTACCAGCTCCAAGTCTCCCCATCCTGGCTCCATCCCAGCCACACTCTGGTACAAGGGAACCTGCACATCCCTCCCCTCCACGCGTCGTCACCTCACTCAGCCTGTGCCAAAATGGGACCACAACCTGTCGGCTCAGGCTGTGGTCATCCTAGGGGAAAGAATAGGATGAAAGAAAAGAAACAAGCTGGAGTGGACAAGGAAGAGGGGGGTGGGACCTTAACTTTCACCTTTTGCCTTTCATTCTTCGATTCTCGACAAACGCTTCACTCAATTGTCACAACCCCAACAGTCGTTTTGGACAATCCAGGCTAACAACTTCTCCATCTTTCTTCCCAGATCAATTCATCTTTTTTTTTTTTAATACGAGGCCAACTCACCACCACTCATTGTATCTACGCAAACCAAACCAAAACAACATCATCAATTCATCATGTTTTCGGCTAAGCAGCTTGCCCTGGCCGCCCTCCTGGGCCAGGTCTACGCCGATGTTGAGCCCATCGTCATGAAGGGCCAGCACTTCTTCTACGAGAACGGCACCCAGTTCTTCGTCAAGGGTATCGCCTACCAGCGGGACACCAGCTCGTCCGAGGCCGCCAGGAAGCGCGACGACACCACCACAGACTACATCGACCCCCTCTCCGACTCCGTCCGTTGCAAGCGTGACGTTCCTATCCTGGCTGCTGCTGGCACCAACGTGATTCGCACCTACGCCCTCGATCCCACGGCCGACCACGACACATGCATGGAGCTGCTGGCCGACGCTGGCATCTATGTCATCTCCGATCTGTCGGACCCTGACCAGGCCATTGACCGCTCCGACCCGGTCTGGGACACTGCCCTGTACACGCGTTACACCGCCGTCATTGATGCCATGAAGGGCTACAAGAACGTGATCGGTTTCTTCGGTGGTAACGAGGTCACCAACAACGCCTCCAACACCGATGCCTCCGCTTTCGTCAAGGCCGCCGTCCGTGACATGAAGTCCTACATCAACAGCACCGCCGAGCGCTGGATGGGTGTCGGCTATGCTGCCAACGACGACTCTACCATCCGTGACAACATGGCCCACTACTTCAACTGCGGTGACCAGACGGACGCCATTGACTTCTGGGGCTACAACATCTACGAGTGGTGCGGCGAGAGCAGCTACACCGAGTCCGGCTACAGCGAGGTCGTCGACTTCTTCTCCAACTACTCCGTCCCCGTCTTCTTCTCCGAGTACGGCTGCAACAGCGATGGTGCCGACGAGCGTATCTTCGAGGAGACCACTACTCTGTACGGCGACGAGATGAGCCCCGTCATCGCCGGTGGTATCGTCTACATGTACTTTGAGGAGACCAACGACTATGGTGAGTTTGGATCTTTTGAACCTTTCTGAGATGATCTATACCCGATACTAATTGACTCTTGTGTGTAACAGGCCTGGTGAGCGAGATCGACTCCACCAGCGTGTCCATCATGAAGGACTACACCTCGCTCAGCTCTCGTGTCAATGCCGCCTCTCCTACCTCGACCTCCATGGCCGCCTACACTCCCACCAACTCGGCCGCCGCCTGCCCCGCTGTCGACTCTGCCTGGCAAGCCGCCAACATCCTGCCCCCGACTCCTGATGCCACCCTCTGCGAGTGCATGTACGAGTCGCTGAGCTGTGTGCCTTCCTCCGGCATCAACGGCTCCGCCTACAGCTCCATCTACGGCTACATCTGCGGCGAGGACGAAAGCTACTGCGCCGGCGTCCTGACCAACGCCACCAGCGGTGTCTACGGCGCCTACTCCATGTGCAACTCCACCCAGATGCTCGGCTACATCCTGGACCAATACTACCAGGGCCAGAACTCTGATTCCTCCGCCTGCAGCTTTAACGGCGACGCCGTCACCCAGGCCGCCTCGACCGCCTCCAGCTGCAAGTCCCAGCTCGCCAGCGCCAGCTCTGCCAACGCCTACGCCGCCACCGCTACCGCGGGCACCACCGCCACCGGCACAGGCAGCTCCAGCACCTCCAGCTCCAGCTCCTTGGCCATGCCCTCGGTCCACAAGACCTTCTTCGGCATTGGTGACCTCGCCATCGGCCTGTACATGGTCATGGCCATGGGTGCCGGTGCCGCCATGGTTGCTCTGTAAGGAAATCATAAAAGAAAGCAAAAGCAAACGATTTCCCTGTGGTGTCTGGAACGGTGATTGTCGAGGAAAGATGAGAGACAAGATGAGGGACGTCGGAGTGATTGATGTCCTTTTCCACGGGCAAAGAGGGCTGCATTGTCATGATATCCGACACCGTCCCGCGAGCAGTCCAGGATGGGGGACCAACGGAAGTACCCTCCCCTGGCCGCGAGGGGGGTGGTCGTCAAGCAAGTGTTTTTTTCTTTGTGACGTAGGATATAGACGGAAGCTTCATGCGGAATTGATATTCTTCCCCCTTTTCTTTTATACAATTTTTTGTTTCAACGTCTGGGATTTGAGTTCTATGGTTGGCTGCAGTCGGGCTAGGTGGCCTCTCCTTTTCAAGGATTGCTCCATCTACCTGTTACTGTCTTTCGAGCCGATGGGCACACTCGTGTGTACCGGTGTCCTCCAAGAACACCTTAATGAACCTGCTAATGCGCCTGGCGTTCTGCATCTGTTCTTTACCCGTCTGCATTGGCTTGGCTTGCGGATTCTGTATTGTTCATAGCCCACAGGCACGCAGTACTCTTCAAGGGGGAAATATCCGTAATTACTTTGTAGTAAATAAAGCAAATCAAAAAAGATAATAAACCCTACTGTGCGCATGTCATGTTGTCAAGGAAACAACAAGTGGGTACGGGATCGTGTAGCTTCGCGAGAGTTCTGGATTGTACGCCCTCGCCTATAGCGTCGGGTATTGTTCTGCTGTCACTTTCATCATATTGTTGCTGTCGCTCTAGCAAGTATCATGTCCATTCTTATGAGGGAAATGTTTTGATGACAGAGCCTACGTGCAGAGTTTCCCACTAGGTGCAGGGCACCATTCAAGATGTCACAGGCGGCTGAGGGGGGTTGGCTCAAGTAAAGTAGCTGGGATTCCAATTTCTTCCTGAATCGAGCCCATCGGTATTGGGAACAAACCAAAAGAAAAACAAAACAGGGCATCATTCTTACTCTGATTCCACTTTTCCGGTGCCCCCAAAAAGAACAATGCGCGATCTAGTGTCCAGGTCACGACGAACCACCATTCTCGCTCTTGACCTCTGCCGCACTCGGAGACACCGCCTCCTCCACCAACCCTTCAGGACCATCTCCGTTAGTCTCTGGCTCCCTCTTGACGATCTTGGCCCATTTCTCGCGTAACATCAAATCGTCTGCGGGCTTGGGAGAGGCGTCTCGGCCTGCGACGAGGGCGTAGACGAAGCTGGCGGCCGTGTAGGCGCCGACCAGCCAGACCCAGGCCAGGAGGGCGAGGCCGAAGGTGAGGCTGAGGGTGGAGGCGAGGACGAGGGCTGCGAGGCCGATCCAGAAGAGGGAGAAGAGGAGGGCGGAGATGAAGGCGACGGAGAGCGTGCCCAGAACGAAGGAGGTGAAGAACAGGGACGGTAGGAGGGCGAAGAAAGCCTGGGCGACTATGAAGGACTGAGAAAGGTTCGAGAGGGCATGGTTAGTTTTGCTATCCGGGCAAGGTAGAGAGGAATGGCAGAGGGTACTGGTGTGGGGTGACAGAGAGGGAGAGACTCACAAAGAGGAGGGGCCGTCGGCTGGCAAAGGATTGGAGAGAGTGGTATATTCTCCGGCGATCATCTGGAGGGACGACGCGGTCTGCTTGGCGACGTGCCGACTCGATGGCGCCCGTGACGAGTTCGACAACTGCCATCCCAGCTGTCTGTATCTTGTGTCTCTGTAGTTTCTAGAAGCCTTTACACAGACAATAGTATGTCGGAGGAAGAGAAACAGATTGCAGCACGGCTTGTCAGGGGAGGGGAGGGGGAGGACTTGTCTTTAAGTGGGACAGAAAAGTGAGAGCAAACAAGAGAAGAAAGGCATAAGATGTTTGAGTGGTTGTGCTTGCTCGAAACGTGTCTGCAGACGACAGGGGAGCTTACGCGCCTAGCCTGTGGTAAATACGTACTACAAAGTACCATAGTACACCCAGTGCATAGTACCTCGCCGTACTTGCCCCCTTCTAGTTTCCTCTCTTCTCCCTCCAGACTCGATCCAGAGCCAATGAACAAGAGTCTCAGTAAATCGGTTGTGAGATCAATATAATTTTCTTCATTTCTGCCTTTTTTTCTTCTTCCTCGGATTTCCATGTATACAACGATTCAAACCTCACTGTCATTCTGAAAACCCTTCAGGGATTGTATTGTGTCTTCAAGTACTGTCGGTTCTGGAAACTTGCCATTGCAATGACGACATCCCCACTTCCCAAAAGCAGGAAGCAAGTGCGAACCTGGCCCTGCTACGGAGCATTCAAGGCCTCAGCCTGCAGACCTTTAAGCGAGGGCTTTGGCAGCCCGCGAGATCATAATAATAAGAACAAGCATATTTATGACACCTCAAAGGACACATATTGCTACGTATCGGTCCCTAACTGCTCGGTCAAGCATTTGATACCATCACTGCGCCCCTATACTATACCCTCTCCTCTTTTCTCTTAACGTACACGAGCAACAGGTATCTACATCAAGATCCCTTTTTTATCTCCCCTTCTTAAAGCTCTCCCTCTGTTTCTTGACTCCTAGCCCATCAGATCTGTCCTTCATCATGCCGGATTCGCTCGACATTCAGCTGCAGAACCAGACCAACTCAGACCAGGTCTGGGCATACATCACAGGGATCGCCATCAGCAATGGCCAGCGAGTACTGCTCAAGTCCAACGGAAGGGACTTATACTACCCTCAGCAGGTGTCCCAGATCGGCTCCCCCCTCGCTGAGGACTGTGCCATCCCTCTGGGGCCCCCGGGCAATACCGTCTCAGTGCACATTCCCCAGATCGCCGGTGGCAGGATCTGGTTCTCCTGCGACGGCAAGTTGCAGTTTCTCCTGAATCCTGGGCCCGCCCTCGTCGAGCCGAGCGTGCTGAATCCGAGCGACCCCAATGCGGATGTCAACTTCTGCTTTGCCGAGTTTACCCTAAACAGCGACCAGCTGTACGCCAACATCAGCTACGTGGACTTTGTATCACGGCTGCCGACCGCCATGACCCTCGAGACGGCCGGAGGAGCGGTCCAGCACGTGTCGGGCATGGCGCACGACGGCATCGACCGCATCTGTGACGGATTGAGGGCTCAGGCCGCCAGGGACGGGCTGCCGTGGGACAAGTTGATTGTCCAGCGCCCGGGCCAGCCGGTGCTGCGGGTGCTCAACCCGACCCACGGGGACGCGGTCGGGGCTGGCTTTGCGGGCTACTTTGAGCCGTACATCGACGAGGTGTGGGACTGGTACTCGGCCGCGCGGGGCAGCCACCAGATGCGCATCAACACGCAGGCTGCGGCCGGGACCGTGACTGGCACCATTAACGAGAAAGGGGACCTCGTCTTTGGCGAGGAGGCGTTCCAAAAACCAACCACGGCAGACGTCCTAGGCTGCAACAGCGGGCCCTTCACGACAGGGCCCTCGGCATACAGAAACAGTGTCATCCCCAGGCTAGCGGCAGCATTTCAGAGGTCTGCGTTGGTGGGCACAGACGAACACCCGTCGGACCCTTCGACATTTTACCAGCGAGATCCCACGAACCACTACTGCCGTATCGTACACGAGGCCAACCTGGACGGCAAAGGTAGTAGCCTCACCTTGCCTTCTCCTCTCTCTCTATCCTTCTCCCCAACTGTCTGTGTCTGTGTCTGTCTCTTTTTCTGACAATAATCACTCTAGGGTATGGATTCGCCTATGATGATGTCGCAGCAGATGGGGGTCCCGATCAGTCAGGCAAGGTGAACGCGGGGGATCCCAAGACGTTCATCGTGGCGGTGGGTGGGAACAATGCCTACGCAGGCGACCACATGCCAAGCCAACATATTCCTACTGCATTTACTTCTTCTTCTTCCGCCGCCGCCGCTGCTGCTGGCCGTTCCCACCATGGCCAGCCACCACCTGCTGCTTCAGGCGCGTCAGACCCGCCACGCCGTCATGGCCCATCAATGTCGCGTTTCCGGAAAATCTCAGCAAAGGCACAGAAATGGTTCCATTAATCTCTGAGGAGGGAGGAAGAGGGGTGATTTCTTTGAACCTACATGCGCAACACTACGACGTCAAGAAATTGATTCACGGGTGTTCCATCAGGGGTGATCAGAGACAACGGAGTTTCCACCTTGGTCTTGACGGCGGAGTCTGTGGTAATAAATAGTCCATACTGCGTAAGTATCCACACCTAAGGTCAGAATGACTTCGTTTGCATGATGCCCCCTGAAGAGCTTTTTCTTTTTCCCCGCCAGGACGTCCCAAGAGTTTCGTCTCATGTTGTTAGGCCGGATGAAGGACTCCCAAACATTGTTTTACCATAATACTTAGAAGTACACCGTAATATTAAGAGCGGTACGAGGGTACAAGCAAGCAGTCCTTATCGGTGATAAGCAGCCCTGGTGGGGTGGTAGGGGGGTAGCTTCCCGTAAAGTATGTACTATTGTAGATGCCCCTCCATAAATGTTACGAATATCCTCCTCGCCCAGCTGTATTACGTCCATTTTTCCTGTCTGTCTTCTTCGAGAGCAACCAAACCTTATCACACTCTTTCTCTACAGAATGGAGTACGACACCAAGACGCGTACGTTATCATCTTCCTTTGCATCCTTCGTCTTCTCCCCGAGTCTCCCGGTTTCAGTTCATTGTGATGGCCCAGAATTAACTCTCGTATCGATGCGACAGCGGCCTACTCAACAGCCGACAAGACCTCCTTCGGGTGGACGACCGCCCGTGAAAGATGGCCTATCATCATAGTCTGTTCTCCCCTGCCCCATCTTACCATCCCCGTCTAAGCGACTCTGTCTGCTGCTCCTTGATCCGATCTGATCTGGCTGACCTGGTGTGCTCCCAATCACACAAAAAAAGACACAAGCCATCGACGACGCCTACCGCTCCACATCCCAGTGTACTGATCCTGAGAGGGCCGAGGAGGGAAAGAAGATCGTCGAGGAGCTGGCCCGTCTCAAGTACGAGGTCCAACACGACAGACCCCTTACGTATGTCCTTCCACTCGCGCCGCCCCGAATAATAACGTCGTCGTCCGACCTCGGACAGAGGAGCTGCCGCCACTGACAGCCTGCTCTTCTTCTTCCCTTCTGCCAGTCCCATCCGAGACGACGGCTTACCTGATGTCGCCATATACAACAAGGAGCTGGAGCAGCGGGGCAACCCGTCTTGGCTCAATGTGAGCTGGTTGTACTCTGAATGCTACCTGTTTCGGTATGCCTCCTCCTCCTCCTCCACTCCATTCCTGGCCTGTCCCCGCGACAGACAAGACGCGGCTGCTGAACGTGTGAGAATATACACATATATGTATACATAGACGCCTGAGCACATCGTTCAGTCTGTCCAAACACTGGAAGAACTACGATGTTTTTGCCCGCCAAAAGATCGACACCTTCCGGTCCTCACGCCCCGCCGTCTTGGAGCTGGCCGCGCGGTACAGAACGCTGTTGACCCAGCTTGACGAAGGGGCTGGTAAGCCCCAGGACGAGGAGGCCGAAAGGATCCTGTTCATGGAGATGTGCGAGATCTGCCTCTGGGGCAACGCCACCGACCTGTCCCTGCTGACCAGCCTGACGTATGAGGACATCCAGAAGCTGCAGGGCTCCGAGGCCAGGAAGGCCGCCGAAAAGAACATTCTCGTCAATGACCTGCCCGCCGCATACGACGTGCTGAAGAGGGCCAAGGCGGAGGGCAAGGCCGAGCGCAGGGTCGACATCGTCCTCGACAACGCGGGCTTCGAGCTGTTCGTCGACCTCATCCTCGCCGGGTACCTGCTGTCCTCGGGCCTCGCCACCCTTGTCGTGCTCCATCCCAAGTCCATCCCCTGGTTCGTCTCCGATGTCCTGCCCAGCGATTTCTCGGAGCTCCTCAACGCCTTGGCGAACCCGAAACATTTCTACGAGACCCCGTCCGAGGCCGAGAGGCTACAGGACAAGACCCCCGAACCGCTGTCGGACGGAGAACTTGAAGACTTGGCATTTCTCTTCCAGAACTGGAGCCAAATCTACGCCGAGGGCCAGATCATCCTGCGGCCCAACCGGTTCTGGACCCACCCAGGCAGCTTCTGGAGGCTGCCACAGGCAGATCAAGAGCTCTACCAAGATCTGCAGACGAGCGACCTGGTCATCTTCAAGGGTGATCTGAACTACAGGAAATTGACAGGCGATGTATGGTGCCGTCCTTTTTCTTCTTTTTCCCCTCTTCTCTTCACTGTTACTTGCTTTGTACCATTTCTCCACCATTTAGACCCTCCCCCCCCCTCCGGGGTCCCCCATTCCCCAGCCCTCTGTTCTTACGAACAGATTACGTTGAGAAAATGAAACCAGCTGACCATCCCCTCTAGGCGCAATGGGACGCCTCGACGCCCTTTGTCGAGGCCATTGGACCGCTGGGCTCGGGATCCGGGCTGAACGTCCTGGCGCTCCGGACCTGCAAAGCAGATGTAGTGGTGGGTCTGAAGCCTGGCCAGGATGAAGAGCTGCGGGCGATGGAAGGAGGAGGAGGCGACTCGGGGGCGAGGAAATGGGCGTGGAATGGCAAGTGGGCGGTTGTCTCCTTCTCGTCAGGCAAGTAGCCCTTGTCTTTTCCCCGTGGGCTTTGACTCTTCTTTTGCCTTTATTCTCTGGTCCAGGTGTTATGACACTCAACGCATGTTCGGGCGTGTTGCTTTTTTAGTAGAGATGGCGGGGAAAACGAGGTCATATTAGAAATGAACTCCACCAGGGACAGGATAGAACTGCCATATACAAACAACTGTGAAGAATCATCGTCCCGCTGGGATGTATCTTGGAGCTAGTTGAGTTATGCTTCACAAGCACTTACTTTACCCAACAGCCAATTACCTTGAAGAGATCGGGCTCAGGTAGTTATACGTACTTCATGTCAAACTTCCTTGACATATTCCTCCTTGCACCACACGCATGAATGGGAGAAGATAATAAGCAAGCACCTCCAGTGCTCCTCGCACGGATCCCAAACGAGGTCTTTTCCTCTGGATGAACCTTAGTATCATCGATTCCTCATTCGCAAAGGCGATAAATTACAAGAAAGGCTCAGCAGTTCTCGATACCATAATACAATTGCAATTAGTAACTATGTGCTAATTCACTATGCACTATTTACTTCAAGTAGTTACCGGACCCTCTCTCCCTCTCACTCCCCTCTCTCTGTCTCTCTCAGACTCCTCGGCTGGACTATGCTATTTGGGAATATGTTGCTGTCAACCCTTTGACGCTCATAGGGGGATCTTCACTACCTGTTTTAGTGTGCCGATTCTCGTTCCGAGGGGTGCCTTTGGGAACTACGTTTGGCCTCTGGGTCTTGTGCTTAGTTGCTTGGCTAATAATTATGTTGCTCCCCCTGGCTTCTTATCAACCATCTCCCAGCGGCGGGCAGCCAATGGAAATACGACGGGCAAAAAAGGGACCCTCTCCCTATCAAGTTTGGTGCTAAAACTGGTGGCACTGGGGCCGAACTAACCCCCCAAGAAGAGGGGTTTTTCTGAAAAAGGGCATGTAGACCCTGTATGGCCTCTACATAGCAGATCTGGGGTAAGGGGGAGAGAGAAGGCAGGTACGTACTGTAATTAACTAACAATCAGCAGAGCGCACCTGCATTGCGTCTGTTGCAACTTGTTAGGTAACATGGACCTTCGCGATCGTCCTCAAAATGACACATCGAAATCAACGTGAACCCGCCTTGGGCCCTTCATGAGAAACAGTAAAAGCAGCCGACTACCGAGATGATTGTAGTGATAGCTGTTTGAAGGGACCAGATCGTTTGTTATTATTATTATTATCATCATCATCAATCATAGCGGAGATGGTCTTGCTCCCTTCTTGAACGATCGAACGAACAACAGGGAGTTGATTCTTTTATGGATCTGAGTCGTTTGGAATACGCCTTGCTTGCTTGAATCATCGCACTGCCAGCTATCACCAAGAATCAACACACAGACACACACACACATTTTCTCTCTCAACATGGAATCTAACGAGGACAAGAAGAGGAGGAACTCTGGAGATTTGACCTCGGTCGTTGACGACGCCGAGCTGGGGACGGTCTCCAACAAGCATGAGGCCCCGATCAACGCCTCTGGACACGTCCAAGAGATGCCGCGACAGTTCAACCTGATCTCCCTCGCAGGCGTCGGCGTGACAGTCGGCAACGTATGGCCAGCTATCGGCGGCACGATCCTCGTGGCCATCTCCAACGGTGGTCCACCAGGCGTCCTCTACGAGTTCCTCGTCGTGTCCTGCTTCTACTTCCTCGTCGCCGCCAGCCTGGCAGAGCTCGTCAGCGCCATCCCGAGCTCGGCGGGCGTGTACCATTGGGCATCTGTGACGCCTGGCCCTCGATGGGGTCGCATGGTGGGATTCTTTGCTGGCTGGTGGAACTACCTGGGCTGGTGCATGGGAGCAGCAAGCATGGCTGCCATTTTGTGAGTAGTAGTAGTGGTAGTGTGGTATCTGTCCATCGGTCCTTGTTGCTTTTTTGGCTGGCTAACTGACCCGTCCTCATCTCGCTCTTTGTGCAGAGGAAACACAATCGTGCAAATGTACGCCCTGAACCATGACGGCTTCATAGCTCAGCCCTGGCATGTCTTTGTGGTCTATGTCATCTGCGTCTGGATCGGCTGCGCTGCTGTCTGTCTGGCCAACTCGGCAATGCCTCGTCTGAACAAAGCTGGTATTTTCTTGCACGTCTTGACCGTTTCCCGTCCCCCGTCCCCCGTCCCCGTTCTTGGCCAGAGACCCTGACCACTCCGCTGCGTTACATGATGAGCTAATCAAAATCTCTTTCTCATATACAGTGTTCTGGCTGGCTTCTTCATCACCGTTGTTGCTGTCGCCGCCATGCCTGGCCACAACGGCCGACCGCCTCACGCCACCAGTGATTTCGTCTGGAAGGAGTGGGCGCAGGCCCTGGGCTACTCGGATGGTTTCGTCTTCGTGGCTGGCATGCTCAACGGCGCCTACAGTATCGGCTCTGTCGATGTCATTACCCATCTCGCCGAGGAGATCCCGAACCCGCAGCGCAACGTCCCCATCGGCATGGCCCTTCAGCTGGGCATCGGCTTTAGCACCGGTTTCTGCTACCTCGTCGCCATCATGTACGCCATCAACGACCTGTCCGCCGTGTCCGCCGCCACCTACCCCATCGCCGAGATCTACAGACAGGCTACAGGCACCGCCGGCGCTACCGCCATGCTCGCCCTCATCATGGTCAACATCGCCCTCTGCGTCATCGGCCTCTTTATCACCACGGGTCGGACCCTCTGGGCCCTCGCTCGTGACGGCGCCGTGCCCTTCCCAAATCTCCTGGGCAAGGTCAACCGCCGCCTCGACATGCCCATGATCTCGACCATCACCACCGCTGTGCTGGTCACCGTGCTGGGCTGCATCTATGTCGGCAGCACGACCGCCTTCAATGCTTTCATCGCGTCCACTATCCTCTTCTTCAGCAGCTCCTACATCGCCTGCATCCTGCCCCATCTCCTCCGTGGCCGCAAGGGCATCACCTACGGGCCCTTCAGGATGCATGGCTGGGTCGGCTACGTCGTCAATGGTCTGTCGTGTGCCTACCTCATGATCTGGTTCGTCATCTACTCGTTCCCTTACTACCTCCCCACCGACGCTGCGAGCATGAACTACTCGTGTCTGATCTGGGGAGGCCTGACTGTCCTTGTGGGGCTGTGGTGGCTGCTGGGCGCGAGGAAGGGATACGAGGGCCCAAAGACAACAGGAGGAGTGGTCGTGGCAGAACTGTAGAAGCCATTCTTTGCTCAGATCAGAGATTGGGGAGGCGGAGGCTGAGGCTATGCTTGTACATTAATTGATAATAGATTCTTGAATATGAGAAACACTCAAAGACATTCATGTCATGGACATGACACTGCGTCACTCAACTTGAAAAGGCTGGTAGTACAATTTCTACGCAACTTCTCTGTGGCCTTTCACGAAAGACTGTTAGTTACTGACTCAGAGTGAGTGACTGAGATTAACATTCATCTCAAAATATCCTCATCTAAATCCCCCGAGACAAGAGCTCCAATATTGATGATTAAGACTGCCATTTGACAGTCACAGGATGTCATGAAGAGCAATATCAGATCCAAGGAGAGCATATTTGTCATTGTTAGTCCAACAAAAAATCAGAGTCCAGCGTAAGTACTTAGTTAACAGATTCCTGTGAGAAGTTTCTTCTGCGCCAGCACAGAGCCTAAAAATGCACTGCCCTATACGTTTTCCACTGCTGTAGCCTCTCTCAAATAGTTTTATCAAACCTAAGAAATAGCCCTGAATGTCAAACGGAATGGTTAATCTTCATTCATTGCTAACAAGTTGCGACTTCTAACCTCCTCTTTTCAACAGCAGGAACCTCAGCAGCTACTTGGGTACGGAAGAAGTTGCCTATTCGCATACCGATGATGCGGCTTGTTCAAAACAAAATGACGACCAGCTCGCCTCTGCCTACTATTACATCGCCATCAACTGCGTCACCGCAGTCGATCATGACAAGCAGTCTTCGCTTCGTGGGATGTTGGGCTGCCGATGCGGCCAACCTGACCTTCCGGGAGGTCAATGCATCTGAGAGCCCAGAGGCCTGCGCTGATGCGTGTGATGACTTCGCTTTCTCTGGCACAGAAGACAACACCAAGTGTGAGTTTCAAGAAATCCCTTCCTTCTCTGCTCTCGACCTTGACAGCGAGAAAGCTGACAAGGTATCATCTTCTGTTTCATCAGGCTTTTGTGGTGTCAACATGCCACCCCCCTCCGCCAAGATGAGCACTACGAGTTGCAACATGACTTCTGTAGGTGATGGCTTGCAGGTCTGTGATGGAGCCAATTGCCTCTCCTTATACACTCTGAACGACGGTGCGGATAACGTCGTGACTGTTACAAGCACCCACTCTGTTACTGTCACGAGCAGCCGGAGCACAGACGCCTCGGGGGAACCAGCCGGCACAGACAGCTCCTTGACGGTTTCGAGTGACCTTTCGGCTACGAGCGTCAGCATCTCCTCGACGACGTCCTCGCAGAAATCGCTCAGTACCTCCAACCTTTTACCGCCCAGCAGTATCTCAAGGACAAGCAGCGACCCCGGACTACAAACCTTTTCAAGTACCGGCTTCCTCACACTACCGAGCACATTCACGTCCACTAGTAGTTTCTTCCCCTCTTCCACATCGGGCAAAACCGTGGTCACTCCCTCGTCGACGAGCAAACCAGCCCAACAGACGAGCACGGAAGTCTCCTCAGCGCTCTCGACCACAGCGTACTATAGCAGCCGGTCGAGCTCACAGACGATCCCAGAGATTACAGCCATAACGCCAGTGAGCCGCACTCCCAGCAAACCTCCTTCAAGTAGTAGTAGTACTAGTATTCTGCTGCCACCAAAGAGGCCCACACCATCCACAAGTGCACCCTCGACCTCAGCGGGCTCCTCCATGTCGACAGGATCTAACCATAGCTGGCCCGCCGTCAGGACCGCGGCTGTATCAGTAGGGGTTGTCGCTGCGATGATTCTTTTCGTCGGGGTGGGTTGTTTCATCTTTCGAGCCAGAAAATGGCGAGGCAAAAGGCAGCAGCAAAGACACGGTCACTCCCAGGCGTGGCGTCGCAGGCAGGAGGGGCTTCGACCCAGCTTGCTCCCTTGGGGCCCGAATGGAACTATTAGGCTAGTCAGGGGCAATGAGAATGTAATATGATCACAAGGGGCGGTGACGTGATAAGGTGACTGAAAACAACTCTGTCAAAGATGAACAATGTTATGCAATAAGGACCGAGATTCTGGAAAGTGTATATGATGACAGTCAGACCAGAATTTGTAGAAGGTAAACTTGCTGTAGAAATGAAAATAACAGACATAGAAACTATAAAATACTAAACTGGAATCAAGAGCGAAATTATAAACAATAATGTGTAGCTGTAGATGGCTGTTAAGTATTGGAATCCCAGCACATGGCTGAGGATGGGATCGTCAATCACTAGGCGGGACACCTTTTGATGAGACAAGTCTTATGAAGTTGAATACAGATGCTAGGTTCTATATTTTCTATACATGGGTATCATCAATGCTCCTCTCTTGAGGAACTGTAAATGCAAATGTCGCTAGATGCTTTTTGATGCGCAAGTTGGAGCTATTCCCTTTCTCCAATACGATCTGGCTGGAGTTGGGCCCACAGGCCAGCTCTCACCTCAAGACGCCCTCCCTTTATCGTCTCTTGCTTTTGCCTTTGTTCCCTTTTCCGTCTGTAGGTGGATGGGCGCCATCATTGATTCCCTTCTCTGCATCTGACCTCCACGCAGACTCGATCTCCCGCAGGGCGGCAAGGACAGGAGGCCCCGACTTCTCAAACAAGGAGTCCCTCTGGTACCGGCTCAAGGGCTTGAGAACGTAGTCAGCAACAGTGGCAGGATCTCTCCCCTCAGGCCGGCCGATGCCAACAGAGATCTTTGCCCACCTGGTGGCGCAGAGGTTGGCGGGGTCCGAGGAGGCCATGAGCGACATGATGCTCTTGAGGCCGTTGTGGCCACGGTGACTCCTGTTCCACTTGCGGACCTTGACGACGCACGTGTCTTCCTCGAGGTCATCGTGCACCACGACCAGGCCCAGGGGCGCCCCGGGGTGGCGTTCCCTGTGCTGCTGCAGGGCCTCCCGCCACGTCCTTGCCAGCCAGGGGCCCGACACGTTCATGAGGGTGGGACACTGGAGCAGGGTGTATCGGGAGCCCCTCGAGGCCTGTGTGGCCTTCTTTCCCAGACGCTCAGAAGAGAAACGAGGCTGGTCGGCGGCGTCGCGCTGAAGAAGGTTCTGAAGTGACTGTAGCGCGATGTGGCCGGCAGAGTGAAGGCTGTCGGCGTAGGGTGGAGGATTTCCCAGGCTGACGACAAGGAAATGAGGATCAAAAGTGTTCTCGGTCATAGGAGGAGGAGAAGAAGAAGAAGCCGAATCCATAGTCTGGTTGGCAGAGGACTGAAACTTTGCTATTTGCAAAAAGGCTGTTGTCCTTGATGTCTTGATGTGAAGTGAGATGGGAGAAGACATGAGGAGGCTCAGGCGGTGCCCAGACCGGCTTAAGTATCTGACTGTAGCTGGTGGCATGATGGACCATATATAACTACCCTCCAAGGTCGGGTTGTGGTCGTGGTGGTGCTGATAAATGAGTTGAAGCCTGGCGAGGTCTCGACCTAGTTTTCCTCTCGCGCGCCGAACGCTGCCCAAGACTACTACTTCCCAGTAGTGGTCCTAGTATCTGCGTAGTAATAGTAGTAGTAGTAGTAAGCGCAGATTGGATTGGCTCTAAAGAATGAATCATACCGTATGTTGGATGAGCATGAGCCTCTAAGCCTCCATTTTGTAGCAGTTGTCTTGGTCATCCGGCGAGTCACTTGGGTTAGGTTCAATTGAGAGAGTCAGAGTCATCCAATCCCTAACCCTGAGCCTGAGAGAAATATTGTTTCTCTTCTTTTCCTTCCTTTAATTGGTGTTTGAGGGCGGGACCAGGCTGGAAAGTTTAGGCTATGACGTAATCCTGCACTGCCACAAAATATGTACTGAACTACGGTATGGTAGGAGCAAGTTGTGGCAGTGCGGGGCTCCCGCTTGTTCCTGTTCCTGAGTAGTCACAGTGCACTACAGGCGAGTTAGTGGATGCCTGACCACCTAGTGCCACGCAACCGATCAACCGACATGCAACGACATGGGTAATTCAAGGCCCGTGCTGGTTTACTTACTGACTTGACTGCCTGGCTGCTTGACTGCCAACAACCTTCGCACGCCCCCCCCTCGACAATAGACATCATCAGTAGCATCAGCAACATCGTCACCAACGACCGACGCCGCCGCGTACCACCACCACCATTCTAACCAAGCAGCTTCAAGGCGAGGCAATTGACAAGATAACGCCCAATCTACCTACTATCTCCTCCACTTGTTCACAACACATCACCCCACCTGCTTAGAGCACCTATCGAGACCAAGGCGACGGACTCTCCGCTCTTTCTCTGATCCATTGTCGTCGCCGTAACCTCCTCCTTCACGCCCCCCTCTCCTGCTTCCGACTCGACCCCCGAAAGCACCAGGGAGCAACAGTCGCCCAGCATGTCGTGGGCAGGTAGGATTGACCAACACCACAATAAAACTCGCTCTGTTTCCTTCGGGGGCCAGCAGCGGATTACGTAGCCGACGCGCTGCTGACACGATGATGCTTCAGGGTTCAAGAAGAATGTCAACCGCGCAACGACGCAGGTTATGATGAAGACGGGTACGTCCAGTATCTTGGTGGAGCGTGGTGAACTTCAACGAATAGTAATAGTATTGACTGACCTATTTTCACGACGAATACAGGTCACGTCGAGAAGACCAATGACCGTGACTACGAAGTCGAAGAACGGTACGATCACCCTCTCTTCCCCGTCTCGTCTTCCACCAAAACACTGCGCGGCCTCTAACAATCTCTTACAGCCGCTTTCGTACCATGGAGACGGCGTCGTTAAGACTTCAGAAGGAGGCCAAAGGCTACTTGGACTCTCTCAGAGGTTCGTTGCTTCTCGCCCACCCCCTTTTTCCTGCTTACGATCCCAAGGCGCGCCGCTAACACTACTTCCGTCTGTATTCAGCAATGACCGCCTCACAAATGCGCATCGCCGAGACCATCGATGCGTTCTACGGGGACGCAGGAGCTAAGGATGGTGTCAGCAGAAGTTACAAGCAGGCTGTCGAGGACTTGGATGCAGAGACTATAAAAGCCCTTGATGGGCCCTACCGGTAAGAAAAAGTGGCTCACAGCGTCGCCACATAGCAGCGGAGAGAAGGCGGAGGTGGTGAAAGGGGGGAAATATTGTGGCGTAGTCCAGACCGCTAACTGTTACTCCCTGGACAGGACTACTGTGCTGGAGCCCATCTCCAGATTCTGTGCCTACTTTCCCGACGTCAATGAATGTTTGTCTCGCCGTCCTGATGCGCCTTCTCTCGCACACATACAACACACATCCCCCCTCTGATGGAACGCAAGCTGACAGCACTTCCTCTGACTCCCTGCAGGCATCAAGAAGCGCAGTCACAAGCTCCTTGATTACGACGCCCTCCGTGCCAAGGTCAAGCGCCTGGTGGACAAGCCCGACAAGGATGTCACCAAGCTTCCGCGCGCCGAAAAGGAGCAGGACATGGCCAAGGCCGCTTATGAGCAGCTGAACGAGCAGCTGTGCACTGAGCTGCCCCAACTCATCGACCTGCGTGTCCCCTACCTGGATCCTTCCTTCGAGGCCCTCGTCAAGATCCAGTTGCGCTTCTGCGCCGAGGCCTACAGCCGTATGGCCCAGGTTCAACAGTATCTCGATGCTGAGACCAGAGACCAATACGCCCAAGGCCATCTTGACGCCCGTGTCGAACAGGTCTTACAGGAAATCCGCGAGCTGAGCATCAGTGGCACTGTTTGATTCCTTTTTTCGACCACGGTATTGGCGTCTTATTGGCAAGGGTAGAGAGAGAGAGAGAGAGAGAGAGAGCGAGAGAGAAAAGGGTGGTCTCTTGTGTTTGTTTGAAAATCATCATGGCTGGCGCTAGGACTGAATTCACCTGATCTGCTCACCTCGAGCGCTTACAGACGAGTGTTAATTGTATGAACAATGCTCTCACCAATTATTTGGCCTCCTCTTGGCGATCACTGCGGAGCAATGACCCTCTGACATGCTTTTAGCCCTACCAAGCTCAACATACTGAGAATCCACTCTGGTCTCGGTGCCGAGGAGCGTGACAAACCAGGTCGGCTTCACAAACATGTCGGCGCGATTTTTCGCCGCCGCCCGTCTACAAATGCAGACTTTAGGTCCATCGTGGGTATTTCGTAATCTATTAATTCATTCATTAAAAAAAAAGCTTGGCGCGCGCATAGATCTTCTAGATCTACAGAGAATCCACCCTCTGTGTGACGACTGTGGTCGTCTGGATCCCGAGCTCACCCCCGCTCAGCTGTCGGTGGCCCGAGAGGGTCGAGCTGTGCTTGTCACGGCCTCCAGACACGTGAACTTGGTACGCAGGCATCTCGATGTCGCCCCTCATGGCCCCAGCACCGCTGCCTACATCCACCTTCAGGCCAGCCATGTCCGCATATGCATCCTCTTCGTACGCCGCACTGCGCGCTATACCCCTGGTCGAAGACGTCTCCGCATTCCCAGACCCGAGCCTCTGTGTACTCTTGCCCGTGAAGCCGTAGCCGCGAGAGGGCATGCCACTGCGGCGGCCACCACCGGCGCTGGTTGTCGATTTGAAGAGACGTGGAAGGACCAGCGCGATGAGTGGTTTCAGCGTTGGTAGACAGGCTGCCAGTACGCCTATACAGAGCTCGAGCAGGGACCAGATAGCCGCGTCCGTGTTATCCCAGGTCGGGTCCGTGGAGCTTCCGGCGGCCTTGAGGGTTGTGATGCGATAGATGGAGATGATACAGGTGCTGTTCGATATATTAGTTTTCTTCTTGTGCAGAGGGAAAAAAATATACAGTACATGTCAAGTACTTGAGAGACAGGAGGAAAAAAGAGACCAAAAAAGGCCGAAGGACCTACAAGAAGCCGAGACAAAAGACGCCCGTCAACATAATCTTCTGCTTCTGCGGCAGGCGAAGGCTCCTGATCACGGGCAGGGGCATCGTGAAGACGAGCAGATCCGTGAGGAGATTGATGGCGGCCATAAAGTACCAGAGGGTGAGCTCGTTAACACACCTGCCCGGGACGCTCGTGTCCCAGAAGGCCTCGACGGGAACGCAGGAGAGAGGGAGGAGGATGGCCAGGGTCGTTGCCCACATCCCCTCGAAGATCAGACCGATCAGTGTCAGCTTCTGCATGAGGACGTAGGTGAAGATGCGGCGGAATTGAAGCAGGATGGATATCTTGACGATGCAGATTGCAACGTTGTACAGGATGATCGAGGCGTAAAAAGACTTCCTGTTTATTACAGCGCTTGGTGTCAGTACTCATTTTTCTTGTGCTCTCCAGTCCACATTCCCTTGCTATGTGCCTCTACTAGGCAATTCAGTATGTGAGATAAGGGAAAGGATAAAAAAGAAAAGAAAAATTGAGTGCGAAATAGAAGACGGCGACGGCGAAGCTTCACTAACATATAAGGTATAAGGTTCTCAGCAGGCATGACCCAGAAGTGATGTCCCATCCCGAAGGCGCTTTCTAAACATAGCGAATGACTGAAGTCAGCGTCTTTTGTCTCAGAGGTCGTCTCTGGAGCTTAGAGGTCTTGCTCATCTGCCCAGGGGCAAAAAGAGAAAAGGCAGCAAACACAACACTCACCAGCAAGAATGGCGGCGGCAGAGCCAAGAGTGAGGACCTGCGCAAAGACCATGACGGCATCGTCGGCGCCAAACGTGTGAAGAATGCGAGCGCGAGTAAAGACGCGCAGAATGACCGCTAATGTCGAGAGGACGCAGGCGATGACGACGAGAGAGACAATGTAGCTGGTTTGGGAGGCGCCATCTTCGGCATGGTTCACCTCCGCAGTCGCGGCCATCTTCACGGCAAAGTAATGGGAGGAGGGCGTGCTGGCTGGTTTTTTTTCTTCTTCTTTTCTTGGCGAGGGTTTCGAAAGGGATCTACACTGCTCTATTGCCTCGAGATGGTTCTGGGCACTGTCACGAATACAAGCTAATACTCGTGGTGACTGTGTTGGCGTGCGTGTGCAAGAGCAATAGACCAAGGCTGCTGGATCAGGGAGAGAAAGCCTGCGACGTGTGTTGCGGCAAAGGCAACGAAGGAGAGGAAGAAAGAGAGAAAAAGAAACATAGACCAGAGTCTTGGGATTGAATTAAGAAATGTAGTAGTATTAATTAGTCTTTGTTGGCTGTGTAAATGTCACGGCCCAAGCCAGACCTTGTTACATCCATGAAACGGGGACGATGAAGGACTCCGGAAAATATCACTTCTATGTAGAGTCATCTTGGGAAGGGAAATGGATGGAGCCTCAAGTGCAATATCATATTATTAACTACAGTAATAGTACATTCTCAAGACTAATAACAAACAACGCAGCCTGCATGCCCAACCAACAGCATATCGTCCTCCAGAGAACGGGCCTCCCCTTGGGTTGGAGAAAAGGGCAAGAGATGAACTGATCAGCCAAACAGGGATAGTGTCTCAGCTGAAGTTTGTCTGCCCCAGAATTATATTGCACTAAAACCATAACATGATGGAACCCAGCCATCGTGGTCCGAATTTCATGCGGGGTCCTTTTCTTTGCATAGTACGTAGTAGAATGATGATGTTCCACGGCGAGGTGTCCACATTACGTTCTTCTGCTTCCAAAGAGTCCATGATCGTCCCTTTGAGATTGGGAAGATTGTTACATTCGCGATGATCTTTTTCACGTGATAACCAGAGGCACCAGACTGCAGGTCGAGCCAGGTGGGAGAAGGTGCAAGTGCACCACAGGTACCACAAATAGGAGAAAGCAGGCATCTTCTTGAACGTTGTAATAGGCCAGAGACCGATGGACATGTTGCATGTGTGCTGATATCTGGTAACGAGGGACGCGTGGAAGCCTGTGTTCAGACCAAGCATACGCACGAAGTGCCTTGGGGACGACATGAACATTTCGGATCCCATTCCGCTCTTGTCCACTTTTCAGTGATCTTGATAGGGGATCCCATCATTATTGACAGGGGCTTCCCAACGAAAGAGAAGGGAAAAAAGCCTAAGGAAAATAGCGGAACCTGCAAGGGGGGAAGGTTCCGAGATCACCGCCACAGGGCAACATCGGTCAATAGCTTCGGCCTTAGCACGTAGCGGCGACGATCCTGCCGTAACTCTATGCTGTCAAAAAGGGGGTTCAATAAGAGGCAAACAGAGCGACGAAGAGAGAGACAGCTCTTGAGTTGCGGGCCGTGGAGACGAAGCCGAGACTCTAGAGCTCCCACCTGGCCACACCACGTGTGCTGCTTATAAGATGGGCATCGTCCACGGGGCAGCCGAGGGCTCCGGCTCTTGTGATGGTCAGCTCAGGTCTATCAACGAGTCCCCGGCTTCTTTTCGTCTCTGGGGGCGTTGCGGACTCTCCTTGTGATGACGCTAATTGTTCAGTCTCTCATGGAACTATTGCTACGAATCAAAGTAAATACGTAGTGCTCATTACTATGGTTCGCAAGAAGAAAACTCGCCGAAACCCCTTGTCGAGAACCTGGAATGTGCATAAGTCTGCGCAAGCTCCCTGTTGTATCAAACCGATTAGTGTAATACAGCTCAGGAGTGCGAAAAGCTTGTAGAACGAATTTTAGATCCATACGCAAGGTGAACTTGACCTGCCGTCTTGAGGCAGGTCAAATGGTTCCCAAAGTGCGGCGTGTTGCAATCCGCGAATCACAAGTATGACTTCTGCAGTAACAATCAACACGAATCCTTGAACGCCTCTGCACCTTCTCCGTACTAAGTATGTAATAAATACGGTTGCCAAGCAAAAGCTCGGCCGGCGGGGGTCGGGGAGCCGGAAAACCTGTGCCTGGTAAAGTGTGTTTTATAAGGTTTTTCGTGTATCGTGGTTGGATCGGTCCACCCACCGCACCATACCACTGGTAACGCGTGGCGTTCGTAGGATCTCGGCCGAGAAACATTAATGGAGAAGAAGAAGGAAGAAGGAAAGGAGGAAACCAGAGAAAGGGGGCAAGGGGGAGAAGAAGAAGGGAGAAAGGGGTCGAGGGTCGAGGGCTTCTTGCAGGCTAAGTATGTGGGCTCAGCCCATACAAGTTCTAGAAACGCAGTATGTATTTTTGAAAAGAAGAAAAAGAAGACCAGAATGCTACGGCAATGCAAGGGTAATACTAGTTGACGTATTTTTAAGGGGGAGGGGAGGGGAAGAGAGGACTAGGAACATGAGTCGTCGACTGTGACATCGGGCTACAGTCTACTGCACAGGCAAGGAAGAGCGAGATCCTATGACTGCAGTAGAGTACTGTGTACTTTGGGTTTGAGACCGCTCATCCCATCTTTTGCCCCTTCATGCTCAGGGCGAGGAGGAAGTGTATACGTGCTCTGCTTACGCAGCAATGCTACGAAAACGGCTGGATCCTAGCCATTACTGTATAGTACACCGATTGATAAATGTTCGGCTCTCGCCATTTCAGACTTCCAATCTTCAGATCAGGGTCCGTGTGGCATGCATGCTTGCAACAACAAATGCGCAACCCATGAGATTACAGGGAAAAGCAAGGGTCTTGATTCCAAAAGGGACCGGTGAAGCACCGGCATCGTCGCAGTGATGGCACCATAGTAGTACCAAAGTAAGTTTGCGAGAAATTACCGAGAGTGCCAAAGTTCATCGGCAATCCGATTGGACCGAGGGCTCATGCGACACCAAACCTCGCCGACGTGGTAATAGCTAATTGTCCTTGCAGCAGTTGTAGTCAGTTCAAATATATGGCGATGTAATGACTTCCAAATATTGACCTATTTTGCGAGCCTCATGCATAGAGCTGCGCATGCTGAAGGCAGAATTGACGAGAGAGGATTACTTACAATGAATGGCACAACAAGACTGGAACAAAGGTGAACATGGGTTTGAAGGGCATTTTTTAACAGAGAATGAAAATAAGTTCGGCACTAAAAGTTATACTCTCGATGGTTTGAAGACCAAAGCTTATTCTTTTATATTCTCCCTCTGCGCTCCCCCCCCTCGTACACTTCTCTCCTTGAAGAACAGGCTCTCCTTCATAATTCTCCCTTTCTTGTGTATATACCGAAGGAGATCAAAACATAAGTTAACCCTGAAAGAAAAGAATAAGGGGAAAAAAGAAGACACGAAAAAGAGAGGATTGACATAGTGTCCGTCTTTTTAAGTTCAGCCCGTTCCCTTCAAACATGAGTCCGACGCCTCATAACAGGGTTGGAGTGAACTTTAACGTCTGACACTTCTCCTGCGCAATATGTCATCCATTGTGATCATCTTATTGACGGGATAATCGAGGGTGGCATTTAGATGGAGACCCTGGCCGTCCACATAATAGCATTCCTTATTATTCTCATGAACCGCGGGTCTCTGTATGCATCATCAAAGTGTCCCAGAGCAGTGTAGAAGGACCGCGAATCTTGCCGATCCTGACACCAGGCCACAGGGTGATCTTCTCCCATTGTGCCACCCTTATAGGTTGCCTCCTTGACAGTCAACAAGACATGCGCCCCAGCGGCTCTCGGGTTGGCTTTGAAGTTGTACCATTCGTCAAACCATTCAAATTGGGTGGCGACATTGTCCTTTGCTGTGAGATTCCCTGGAGTCGACACTGCCACAGCCCTCTTCACTGTCGATTCGGGCACAGCGGTCCCTGAGAGAATGGGGTGACTGGGCGCCTCAACGACCACCGTTCCCTTCTGTGGGTCAGGGTGGTCTGTGAAGACAGCCCCGATCAGGCTGCCATAGAACGTGGAGGAGGGAAGGCCAGTCGACGCGCAATGAATACCAACGACCCCACCTCCGCCTTGGACAAACCCTTCCAGAGCACTCAGCTGCGCTTCGTTGTCGAGGAACTCTCCTGACGACTGGAGAAACACGATGACGCGGTAAGTCAAAGGGGGGGGTTTTGGGCCGGGGTAGTTTTGGGCCACCCTGGCCACCCTCACCGCCTCTTCAACCCCCTTTAGTTTGATAGCTATTACTCAACCAATTTTGATCCAAACAACTTCATCTTTCCAGCAAACCTTTATCTGACTGTTATGAAGCCCTATTCCGAGTTTGAGCTAGCCCAGGCCGTTGAGGCTGTCAGAAAAGGCAAGTCTCAGCAGCAAGCCTCGAGGGAATGGGGTATTCCAAGGAGTACTCTTCAGGCTCGTCTAGAAGAAGGGGAATCGCATAAAACAGCCCACGAAAACCAGCAAAGGCTCTCTATTGATCAGGAAAGAAGACTGGCCGAATGGATCCTGATTCAAGAAAGCCTAGGCGTTCCACCAAGCCATTCAGAACTCAAATACTTTGCTCAGCAGATCCTCGAGGTCCAGGGAGACCCTCAGGCCCTCGGGGTGCAATGGACTCAGGCTTTTTTGAAGAGAAATCCAGAGATAAAGGTCAGGAAGATTCGCTGCATTGCTTCTGAACGAACGAATGGGGCTACAACAGAGGTAATACAGCTTTGGTTTCGTCTTTTCAATCTTCCTCATATCCAAGCTATTAAGCCAGCTAATAGATGGAATATGGATGAAGCTAGCCTGATGGAGGGCCAAGGAACAAATGGATTAGTCCTCGGAGGCTCCTCTTCGCGTTCAATTCAAAGGAAAGACCCTGGATCAAAAGCCTGGACTTCTTTCCTCGAGTATATCTCAGCTACAGGTGCCTACCTCTTCCCTCTGGTGATTTTCAAGGGCCAAACGGTATAACAACAGTGGTTTCCTCTTGATTTGGAGCCTTTTGATGGTTGGAAGTTCACAGCTATGCAAAACGGATGGACAAACGATAAAATGGCAGTTGAATGGCTGAAAGAGATCTTCATTCCTCATAGCCAGCCAGCAGATCTCTCAGAAGCCAGGCTGTTAGTCCTGGATGGCTATGGCAGCCATAAAACGGACGAGTTTATGTGGCTTTGCTTCCAAAACAATATCCTGCTTATTTACTTGCCTCCTCATACCTCTCACGTTCTTCAACCCCTCGATCTAGGGGTCTTTTCATCTCTCAAACGGGCATACAGAAAGAAAGTCAGCAATATGGGCCAATGGGGCGATTCAACTATTGCAGGCAAGCGTTTATTCCTCAGCAACTATCGTCTGGCTCGACTGGAAGGCCTTTCAAGCCAGAATATTAGATCTGGATGGAAAGCAACTGGTCTGTGGCCTCTCAGACCCTCAAAAGCCCTCTTGAGCCCTCTTCTCCTCGAGAACAGTCAACCAAGCCGTCAGACCCAGTCCAATTCAGGCTCAGCACAATCAACAGCACCTCGTCTTTCCCCAAAAGCCTTCTCAAGCCAGCCAGTCCTCTTTTCAACTCCTCGAAAGGCTAAACAGCTGTACTATCAGCTGCTAGAGAATCGACAACAACTTCGAACGGAACCAGGCCGCCGTATGCTATTCAAGAAGATAAAAAAGGCTTATGGGGAGAGAGATCTCGAGTTTGCCAAGGCATTGGAGGAAAATAAAGCGTTGAAAAGGCAGATTGAGGCTCTGAGGCCTAGTAAAAGAAGAAAGGTTGATATGGATCCGAATTCGAAGTTTGCAGGGATTGAGGATATACAGAGAGCTCAAAACGCGGCCAATCGCCACGAGGATAGTCTGAATGAAGAGAGCGATGTCGAATTACCTACTGATGAGGAGGATTGCATCGTGGTGGGTGAATAGAATAGATAAACAGTATATATATATATGGGTGTGTGTATTTGACGAGGGTGGCCAGGGTGGCCCAAAACTACCCCGGCCCAAAACCCCCCCCTTTGACTTATAATGCCAATGTCGACGGGTTAAAGACGATGGCGTCTTCGGTAGCATGTATGTGGAAGGGGATGAGCGAGCTCTCTGAGGCCTTGGCGAGTTCCTCCAATGCTAGAACTCCTGCCGAGATGGAGGAATGACGATAGCCCTGGGTCTTGCTGAAGACAAGCACAGTAAAGGTCGATCCTGATGAATGGAGAGGACCATTGGGGGTTTCTTCTGGTGGCCGCATTTGGCCATGATCTTGCTGTGCCATTTCTCGTCGATTGTGATTTAAAAGCTGAGGGGATCTTTTGTCTCCCCCCTTTTCCCTTTCTTTTTCTTTTCGGTCCCCTTGGAGATTTCCTCGAGGTAATTACGACGCTGTCTGATTCACTTTGAAAACGAAGGGTATCGAAATTGCTGCACAGGTGGTGATTTGATTGCCTTTGGGGTTTGTTTGCAGTTCTTGCTCTTCTTTACTAATAGTCTTTTCATTCGAATCACCGATGACTGTCGGGAATGCCACCACTGAAACAGTACTTGACAAATGAGAAGACATCGTCACATGGCCTGCACAACGTCATCAACAGGGCGGCTAGCGCAGGCCAAGAGGTGGGTATCTCGGCCCTGTCAATGTCATCTGCCGGGACGATTGTCGTCGATCCCTTATTTGACTTTCGATCCTGAGTTTAGAGACAGGTAAACACTATTTGAGTACTTGTACTTTAAAGGACCTAGTAAGGAGTGGAACCATGTATCTCCTGTAACTGTTCAAGATGATGTCGAATAATATGTATAATTAAATACCGGTGGCCCGATTTCCCACAGTTAATCACCCATGCATGTCCAAATATGGGCAACTTAACACCACTACTACTCTTAAAGAGATGCAGGACAAAGAACGCCAACAGTGTGCGTGAGAGACAAAAAACAGACGACGACGACAGACATATATACACCCCTTCACCACCTCATGAAGATGCAGCAGCACGTTTGCCTGAGAAGTTGATGGTTGGAAGCAGTGGCGTCTTGGCTGTCCCGGTCATGGAGTCCCCATCAACCTGTGCCTTGTAGCTGACTCTGACCCTGACGGGCTTCTTGAGCGAGGCACGGAAGAAGACGGACGAGCCATCTATTGTACCTTCTGTGATCTCGTTTCTTCCCTCCCCACCGTCCAGCGCCCCTGACAACTTGTTCCCATCTGACTGGAGCGTCAGCGTCACGGACTGTTTGCCGATGGGAGTCTGCACCGACAGGTTCCAGACGCCATCCACCTTGACGGTGGGCGGCGCCGCTGTTTCCAGGCTGGCTGGCTCGTACTTCTCCTCTCCATCGCTCTCCTCCTTCTTGGGCAGCTGGTCCTTTGTCGGCTTGAGCGCCTCGCCCAGGCCCTTGGTGGCCAACCAGTCCGTCATGGTCGTGACGTAGCAGACGGGGTCGGCCTCGTGCATCGAGTGAGGCATCTTGGGAAACGACTGGTAGGTGAACGAGTTGCCTGCGCCCTCGACCAGCTTCTGCACATGCTGGATCTGCGTGTCTGAGCTCGCGCCCACCAGGTTCCCAGTGTTGACGTCGACGTGGCGGAAGTGATGGGTGAACAGGACCGGCACTTTGACGTGCTTGAGCATGTTCTCGTGGTCGCAGGTCAGAGCCACGCGGCCGTTCCAAAAGGCATCGCCCCATTCAGGATCATACTCCTTCAGCTCTGGCGCAGGGCCCATGAAGGGTGCCGTCTTGGTGTCCGACATGATGCTCGTCAGCGCCTTTGCGATCCACGAAGGCAGCTCGTGGGCCATGGCCTGCACCATGCCGTCCTCGTTGCCGATCGACCACTGCGGGCCGAGCCACTTGCTCCAGATCCTGAACAGCGGCCCTGCGATGGTCTGCCTCACCGACTGGCCGACTGCTGGCGTGAGCTCCGAAGCAAACAGGGGCGGGTCCTCGTACACGGCAGCGATGACTTGGCCTGGTTTGGCAAACGCAGACAGCCACGCGCTCAGGACACCGCCTGACGAGAGGCCGCTGACGATGACGGGCCGCTTGATCACCAGGTCGATGAAGCGGACCAGATCGTTGCCAAAGTTGTCCAGGCTGTAGCGGCCAGGCGTCCAGGTCGACCGGCCCTGTCCGCGGAGGTCGACGGCGTAGACCTGGTACGACTCAGAGAGGAGCCGCATGGCATTCTCGTAGCCCCACCACGACTCTGTCTGCCCTGGGATCAGGAGCAAGGCTGGTTTATCATCAGGTCCAGCCACGGCGTAGTTCATACGAACCTCTCCCAGGTCGATAATATGCTCCTCGAAGCCGTGAGGCTTGAAGAGGCTCTCGTGGTCGGACGCCTCGAGATATCTGCCGCGCGGGTCATCGTGTGAGAACTGTTCGAGCTGTTGAAGGCGTGCGCCTAGGCCCACGGGTGCAGGACTGTGTTCACCCATGATTTGCTGTGTTGTTGTGTGTGTTTTTTGATTGAAAGTGAAGCTGTCTGTATTTTGTTAATTCATGAGAGCCCCTCGATCGTTGCCAGGGAACGACGTCAATGATGCCGAGCAATAATTGAACTGCTAGGAACCCGAGAAGCAAGGGATGTCTTCTACAAAAAAATGTGATATGGTCTTGTAAATCTGCCTGATAGGAAAACGAAGCACAGAGAGGATCAATAAAGGTGATGGCACCTCGAGCTTGGTGTCATCAAGTGTTGTTTAAGTAGACTTCGTGGAGTTTGTGTGTGAACATGTGAGTATAGTCAGACTCGCAGCAGGCAACCTGTGCTACATGTCTCGTCATCCCCTTTCCTATTGCGCATTCCACACTCTTTTGCGTGACTGACATGCTGGCGTACTCATGCCGGCCTTAGTTGGTCCGTCACAGGGAAGCTATACCGCAAAAAGACCCCGCGCCCAAGGCCTCCTTTGGGCTGTCATACAAAGCCTGAGCCCCATCGTTCCTCGGACTGCAATTCCATCCCGGCATTGTGGCCTGGGATACCGGCTGAGGCGTCGGTCAAGGTCGAAAAGTCCCCGGGCTCCGTGTGTGCTTGCTCAGGTTTCGGCAGAATCGTGATTAGGTAAGGAGACAAGCTGATGTGGTTCCAGTAACATACAGTATAATGAATCTATTACACGAGCCCAGTTTGATGTTTCTGGAACGAAAACAAGAACGTTGCTGGAAGCCCATGCGACAAGGAAATCATGGCTCTTTTTAAATGCATTGTTTCGCAGCATGATTATGATCGATTCATTGTTCCCACTTGGCAGGTAGTAACAACAGCCCATCTATGATCTGTTTGTACATGCGCTGCATGTGCTGGAAGCGGAAGGTGGCTTGTATCCCTCAACCAGTCACTGCGAAGAGGGTGGGAGGCTCGTCTACCAGGGGTCGAGACGAGCAAGGCAGGCGGTCAGCAATATGTTGCACATCAACAACGGACAGTGGCAATACCGATAACCCGTCCACCAGACGCGAGTCGAGTGGAAGCGTCTGGCTTGGCTGCTCGGAGGGCGGATCGTGCTATGCCCGACATGCTGCAGAAGCAAGGCCCAATGGCAACCCTTAATTATTACTGCCGCTATGATGCCAAACTCGTGAAAGTATCTTGCTTGCTTGTAGGTATTGATCAACGATCCCTGTGACTGTTTCATGTAATTATAGTATATTTCGGCAGCTTCAAGTGACACGTCTCAGTATCTTCGTCTCTTCTTCCAATCATGCAATTGCTAATTCTGAAAAATATCGTCAATAATTAGCAGCGATCATCACCAGTTACTTGTAGGTACAATTCACCATGGGCAAGCAAAGAAAGGAACTTCGATGGGGCATATCCCTTTATCTCCAAGCCTATTGGAATCAAATCTCTTAAATCCGCACACAGCCATGATCACACCAGATAAACGTGCCAGTCCATCGCATCACGAGACATACTATTTGCTATAAGCCAAGGTATGGCGCAAGAAATCTCTCCTTTGGGTCTATAAGAGAGGCCTTTCGGAGCTTTAGCATTCTCCGAACTCCCATTGCTGTCTCTTTTTCTGGAGGATGAGGGAGCATTACGACAATCAAGCAATCCTCGGCTGTGTTCACCATTCCGTCACATGCAATTCTATAGATAGTGATATATGTAATGAATGCGCAGTGGATGCAACAACACTCCAGAATCGAGATGGACTGTTTCGTTCAAGATACCTCAAACCAAATCATTCTGGAGGTTCCCTTCTTGCAGAGAGACAAGCTTTTGACCGTGGTCTCGGTCTGCATATCATTGCTTGATAAATATTTACCTGATTCAATCATAAAGAGCTACCGAGATTATAGGTTTGGTTGTTCCTCCGTTAGCTACTTACTATCCTGCTTGACGAATAATAGTATCATCATAACGTTGGTACGGCAAGAAACGGCAGAGACAATTGTATGGCATGGAAAGAAAGTAGTAACATCTTCTGTCTGCATTTATTCATGAAAAATGGATGTATTCAGGATTACCAAATCTCTCTTCCAAGCCTTTTCGCACACTTGACTCTTAGTATTGCTAACTGTACCATCTTAGCTATAGACCCGCTGCTGCTCTTGTCTCTGCACTTCATCGCGGAAAACATTCTTCTTGTGCTCTTGCTGGTTTCCCCAGCTTCCTCGATCCGTCAACGGGATCCCATCAACCTTGCGATCGGCCGAATCACCGTGAACCTCATTTGACAGGTTGTCTGGATACCGGCCAGTATGACCGACCGGCTTGCCAAACACCCAGCCATTCCTCCTCCAGCGCCAAAATGCGATTCCACAAAGACACAGGAGGACAAAGCCAATCGTTACAGGTACCGCGATGGCTATGGTTCTGTCACGCCCTGTCAAGCCGTCCTCTTGCCCACCCTGCGAGCCTGTTGAAGTGGAATTGACAAGAACGTAAATCTCACCCGTGGTGTCCGAGGAAAAGTATAGCCTGCCTTGACGGTCCACCGCGAGCCCGACCGGCCTCATACATGATGAGGGACAATCTGCATCATCTGAGTTCCGGATGATATCAGAGAGGGCGGTCGTGCTGTCCGAGCTCTCGGTGGGCTGGCCGGTGACGGGGTCAAAAGTGACTTGGCCGACAAGATAGCCTACTGGATTCGTCTCGTCTGTGGAGCCGTGGAAGGAGATGTATGCACCGGCTCCGTCTGCCGAGAATAGGATATCCAGTGGGGTTTGATGGGGCTCTAGAACAAGGGTGAAGGGGATAACCATCAGCACTGTCGAGTTCCATACTTATTTCGGGGTGAAGTGAAGATATGCAGTACGTACTAAAGGTGAGTTTGGGCGCCACAAATTCAGTCTGGCATATAGTGTCGTTGACCGTGCTGTTTCCGACACTGAACTGCTCACCAACCTGAAAATCAACCGGGGAATCTGGGATCGTGGTATTCCAGGCCGCCGCGCAATCGGGATAGCCATAATTGGCACCCTGTTGTTCCTCAGCCCCAGAGATCGAGGTTGTGCCGTTGAGAAAGCCGTGAAAATTCAACTCGTCTCCAGGATTACTTTGGTGAATATCGGATCCATCTCTGGTCATATCGTCGGCGCCATTGTCCATGGCGAATATGCCGCCCGTCAACGGGTGTTCTCCGATGCCAACCGCGTTGAACAGCCCCCAGCCCAGCAGCCGGCCTGTTGAATCGAAGTCGAACGAGTCTGCCGATGTCAAAAGTTCTGTCAAATTGAAGGCTTTGATCTGGCCTAGGCCACTGGACTGAGAGACAGCCTCGTATCTCTCATCGCTTCCCCTGGAGACGATGAGCATGTCTGGCTCAAGTTGAGATACAAGCAGAGTACGGGTAACCTGGTTGTCACTCGTCATGCCCGAGACGACAGTCGTTGAAAGTCCTGTCACGGACCCGCTGCTTGAGTTGTAAGGCCATGCAAGAACTGACGACGCATTTGAAGCATAGATGGTCGTTCCGTCATTGGACAGCACCAGCCCATGGTTCAACTGCGACACAATCTGTCAGTAATGTAAAATCTTCTCCGCGAGGTGCTGGTGCCAACATCAAATATGAGTCCATACGCTTGTCTCATTCACGATCACAACAGCAGTCTCGGCTGTTAGACACGAGTCACTCTGATTCGTGAAAGTGATGCGCTTGATTCCCACACCATTTTCCAAAACTAGAAGCGCCCCCGATTCATCAAAGACTATAGTCCTCGGTTTCGAGAGACCAGATGCAGCGAGAGATGCTGTCCACCCGCTGCTGACGGTCGGAGGAGAGTAAGATGGGGAGAGGATGGTCTGACATGTGGTGGCTGCACTCCGGATTGTCATTCCTGTCGCCAAAACAGATCCCAGGCACAGTAAAGCTGTGCAAAGGATTGGCGGCGACGACTTCATTGTGTGGCTTGAATGTACTACTATTGATATAATATTATGCGACTCTAAGGTATCATCACCAAAGCAAAAACGGAAAAGAAAGAGAGAAAAGGGAAACAGATCTATAGAGATGATCACTATGTGAAGACGCTGACCGGACTTGGCGCAAAAGAGGAGAAGATAGCTTGGAATGGGAAGATACGAAGGTCTGCAGAAAGACTACTGCGTGAGCAGGCAACATGCATAAGCGAGCACAACATTCAAGTTGAGTGTCAGCTTTTAATTAGCCTCCATTGATGGCTCAAGATGCATTATCCCACCACCTGGTGTCCTAATGCAGCATGTATTTACCCCCTTGGGCCTGGTCTTCTGCCGTATTCGGGCGTTTTGTAGATAGGCGGTATTTTTCATAGCAATTATCTCATCCCCTCTTCATTGGCCTGGATGAAGAAAAGTAAGCACTACCAATTTTTGGACAGGTCAATGTTCAATGACTATGATCTTATTCTGAGGGACAATAGTGACGAGATTGTTTTCGACCACTCTCTCTATCTTTGCTGTTCAGAGACAAGACTGCAATATGAAGCAAGTTTGACCACTCAAACATGTCGACGCTCCATAAGTTCATAGGCGACCAGCCTGCCTCAGGCAAATGTTTTACTACTAATAGGGACATAGTTCTTGGTCTAGACGCTTAACTACGTCCCCGGTTCCATTGAATTTTCCTTCGGGTAACGAAAGACCAATCGAGCACAGCTGCACAGGCTAGAGCACAAGGCAACAGATATGAGGACATTCCACACAAGATTCTGTCAACGGCCACTCCCCATTGTTTACTTATCATTCTAACTGGCGATATGAGAAGTTTGTCTTTCTATTACAGTAATCTGAGGGCGAATGTTGCATGACCACTCTAGAGATTCAGCTACAACATGATTAAGACATCCTCAGATCACCCGACTTAATACTCCAGGACACCACTAGTACAGGTACTCAGACCAAGTACACTCCTCCATCCCCGACTCGCAGTACGTTCCCAGGAACTGAAGAGTGCTGTCGCCAACGAACCGCTGCACCCCGCCAATCCACTTGATATTCTTGGGGCTGATCCAGTGCAGACCCTGGGCCCAACACGCATCGTGCGGAAAACTTGGACAGTGGTGAGCACTGGCTGGGTTGGTCGAGCGAAGGATCAGCACGGTGCCGTTGTAGACGTGCTCCCACGCGAAGCTGAAGTGAGCAAGAGACGTGTCGTTGGGCGGCTTGAGCCTGAGAACGGCGACGGCGAAGAGGCGTCAGCATTGTGCTTGTGAACTGAGACTTGCGTCTGCAGAAATAGACGGGAACAGGGAATTCCAGCCTAGTGTACGAGTTCTAATTTACCCAGGTTGGTCCTGCCAGCATTGAGACTTCACGACATCGTCGAGCTTGCCGTCAGAGGCTGCAGCTGAGGCCGTGCATCTCACAGCGTCGAAGTCAGGCTCAATCCACCAAAGGAAAGAATAGCTGTGATTGGGTAAGAAATGTGCACCGAGACAGAACAGGTGTTGATGATCATGAGCCAAGGGCTTACTGGGCGTGTTTTGTAGTCTTGTTGACATAGGCAGTCAATTCAAAGAGGTACATGTGAGGAAGCATGACAGTAGCATTGGGAGGAGACGTGTAGATAGTTCGTAAGGTAGTCGAGATTTCAGAAGTGGTGTTGACAATAGAGGACGTGGAATTGGCGGGGAGCATCGTCTCAACACGAGTGTTCAATTCAACTTTACGAGCAACAGCACTGCTCAAGAGCACAACGAAGCGAGTCAAGCCTGCGAAGACGATCTTCATCTTGAGATGGCATACACCTTGTTCGTTTTCCGCCGTAGGATCGAACACTGGACATCGACTGAGGGTTGAGCATGGAAAGTCTGCACCTGTCGAGTTTTCGCATCATGAGAAATAGTGATGCTCGCACGAGCAGAACGTTTCAAGAATTGTTGGGGGGTTATTTTGAATGCCGAGGAGTGACGGTGGTCACCGACTGCGCTCGCCAAGTTTGCACAGTGATAACCTTTGTTTCTCTCACATTTCGCTTCACCATTCCTACCTATGGGTTGTACAGGATCTCTCCAGTCGCGAAACTTTGTAGGGCAACGAGTTCCCGGACCATGTTCAACCAGTGGCAGACCCGTCCCTGGAGCACAGTTCAAGATTAGGGAAAGTTGCCTGTGCTGCTCAAACTTGATGCATGGCCAAACTTGTACCGCTGAAACAGGTATGAAGAAGATATAATATGAAGAGCCACAGAATGTAGAAATCCCGTCCTGAAAGAGTGGCGAGATTGCACGTCACGGATGTTCCTACACTGAATAAGCCCGAGAAGCCATAAGCACCATGACGGAGAATCAGTCTTGCTTGAGAGTCGGGAACACCCTCCCCCTCCACCCCCCCTCCTCCAAAAGGAACGGCGTCCGGGACGCCTTGGGAAGCGGCATGATCCGTAAGACAAAATGAGGTAGCCCACAAGCCACCGCGAAGCCTCGCACGCCATAGCGACGTAACACCCCTCCTGAAAGTGGCTTTCATCAAAACAATGAATGAACAGCAGGAAAGGATAATGACCACCTCTCACCTAAGCTATAGCCTATTGTGATCGTGACGCCTGCCGCCGTTCCATTCCCGAGATCTTTGACGGTCCAGACCAAAGAAGAAAAGGCCGCTAGCATCGTCAGACACCTCTTTCTACCTGAACCGCTGTCTGTAGCAACACGACGCCATGGGGCTTGTATGACAGATCTCGATCGTGGGGCCAAATGGGGGAGGGAAGCTGTGAAGGAGTGGAACATGACGTCTTGGAACCTTGTTTCGTAGAGCCGCACACGCCCTTGTGGCTCTTGACCTCTACCGAGGGAAGACGGTCACGCCGTGGTACGCAATATCGATATTGTCAAACATATGTCTCTGTAATAGTTTATTGATCGTGTCACCGACCCCGCAATTTACAAATATTGCAAGAGTGCTCTCTCCCATGACAGCACGAACGTGTATATTGTGGTCGTTCCCGATCTCGTCAGAGTTCCGGGACCGCTCGCTTGTCCAGTCTTCTTGTTTTAAGATGCCCTGCAATTGTGTAAAAGAAAACGCCAAAACCATAGTTCCGTGCCATACCGTGCCGATTTTGTAATGCCATCGCCAGCCGAAAGGGAACACAAAAGAAATAAAAAGAAGGGGGGAAAAATCGGTTGGTCTTGCCATGGGCGAATGACTTGTTTGCCAGCACACTCGGTGTTCGATCCTTCAAAGCCATAACAAAACAGATATTAAGTGGAAAAGAAAAAGGGTCCAGAACGATCTCGGCGGCCGATTGTCGAGGGCATCTGAGACTTGTACGACTCCCTTGTCGCTCCAATGCCTCTCATCTGACCCCATTACTAACGTCTGGCCATCACACCGCAACTCTGCCCAAATATGTGCAGAGTTGCATCTACCTTCCCTGGCCACCACCGGGGCAATGCATCTCTTTCTGTTTCAGACGCTGTGCACAGCCGTGGTTTCTGACGTGGCCTCAGTCTTCTCTGTACCGCTCGTCTTCCCCGTGTTGATGGTGTCGGGCTGGCGATCCTCGAAGCCGAGCTCGGTCTTGGCCTTGAGCGCCTCACGCAGCTTGGACTCGCCCCTGTGCATCCACACATTCCAGCCGCTCTGGCTGAGGGGCCACAGGACCTTGTTGTCGATCGTCTCGATCCACTCCACATTGCGAGGCTTGCGCCTGGCTGCGATGACGTCCATCTCCGCGGCGATCTGCGCACAGTAGTTCTCGAGCGGCAGGTCGTTGACATCCTCGCCAAAGGGGTTCTCGATCTCCCGTCCGATGAAGAGCAGGCCCAGAATGATGTACCCCGCGGCCACTGTTGCGGGAATCGTCACCCAGTGCAGGTTCGAGTAGAGCTGGAAGGGCAACAGAAAGCAGTAGACCCAGGTGATTTGCGAGATGGCGATGGCGTAAGCAATCGGGAGCGGAGTAGTGAGGACTCGTTCGGTACCGACGAGGGCATCGTTCAGCGCCGCAATATTGTTATCTGTCACACAAGTGAAACCGTGTCAGAACATGTTCAAAGATACCTGCACAACGTGAATGTGATCTCTCGGGGCCAGTCGATGAAAAGTGACTACTTACAAGCCAGGGTCTGCTGCATGGGGACGGTGAGCTGGCCGTTCTCGATGATCTCGTCCAGAAAACTGGCGAGGTAGCTCAGGATCTCGAGAGGAAGGTTGCCAAGGGGTCGCGTGGCCTTCTTGATGGCCTTGCGTGGGTTGCTGGCGGCGAAGGAGATGCCCAGGTACTCGCCAGTAGCCTTGAATTTGTTCTGACGGCGGAGCGAAGCCAGATCGGGGGTATCGTGAGTCGCATGGAGGGCAAAGGTGTCCAGGTGGCCCACGAGGCTCGTTATGTCATCGTAGTTGGTGTACGGCTCAAAGCGAAGCTTGTGCTTGACTGCGACGGCAAAGGCGGTGATGAGGTTGAGCGCGGTCCTACACATGACACCTCCGCGTTAGCAAGGGATTCTTCCTCTCCTCTTTTCTCCCTTTCGGAATGAAAACGATAGCCAAGAGAGACTAACAATTTGGCAAGTATGTCCTTGTCCTTGCTGTCTGGGCGTTCTTTGGCATGCAGCCAGAACACACGTGCGAGGTTCTGCGACGACAGGATGATCTGGGCCCAGTATTTCCGACCTTCCATATAACGCTCGTAGGCACTGGAGTTCCGGAAGCTCAGGCCCAGACTGACGACGAAACCGGTCACGGTGAGAAGAATCGAGCTCACGCCCACTAGAGGGAGAGAAATAACAAGAACGTCAGCGTCATCCATAGTAAGTCACCAGGTAGCAAAAGCTGATGTTGTTCTTAACTTACACTGTACCCGGGTGAATTCCGAGATGCATGTTATGCATGTCGCCCAACCCCCCAGGATGAAGAGCGGTACAATCATCTTCGGTAGGATACTACCATGCATCCGCATGAACATGGGCCATTTTGAATGCTTGAGAATATCTCGTGGACCGTGCTAGAGGAGTCTCTTGTTAGTGAGTGTCGAGCACCCGTGCGGCGGCACGGACAGAGTGGCTACGCGAGCTGGTCGCGTGCCCGTGTGGAGGAGGAGGAGGCAATAATAGGCAATGGCTCACAAAGTAATCATCGAGATCTAAGCTCGTGTGCTGTCGGCTGAAAGGGTTCGGCGTGTTGGCCCTGGAGCGCAGCAGGGACTCGACCTTATCGAGAGGAGGGATGTCTTCGAGCGACCCCTTGTGGCCCGGGTGGGCAACGTCGTCGCCGCCCTGGGCATTGCTGGGCGAGGCATGGTATTCTCCGCCGTCCGCCATGATGTTGGCAAAGGAGAGGAAGTAGAAGAAAAGAAAGAAAAAAAGAAGAAAAGGGGAAAAGACGAGAGCGGTCGTCACCAGTTATTCAGCGGAACCGGGTACACAAGATCTGAAGGAACCGCCTTTCAAAAGAGCCAGAAGTATGTCTTAGCCAAGTATGACCAAGGCAAGGGTGGCTGTTGAAGAAGATGAGAATAGCAACAACAAAGGGGAAAGAAGCTGAAATACTTCAATGCTCGCTGGGGGAGAGAGTGTGTATGTGCAAGGAGAGTGAAGCCTGCTCGAGAGGTCCTTTGGCCTCGGAGGTGGGGGACGTATATGGGCGCAAAGCAGGTCACATTCAAGAGGATTCGAAGCAGGAAGACAGCAATGGGGAATAACTTTTTTTCTTCTTTCCAACGGATGGATAGCATTTAGTGTAAGGACCTGGGGGGCCTTGCGAAATCTCCACTGGCCGGCAGCCCATGCAACTAATTCAGCCCTCGAACCAAAGAGATGCAGGCGATGGTGAGGCCGGACAAGAATGGAAAATCGAGAGGGTCCAGGCTCACAAGGGGGGTGGAGACGGCAGAGTCGTACACTCCATGATGGGAGCGCCATGGACGCCGGGGCCCCAAGGAGCACCCGAGGAAGCTCCACTCAGAATTGCCAAATGCCCGGAGGATCCACTCTTGTGACGAGGCACTTGGGGTGACAGGCGTGGAAGTTAATTATGAAACACTGAAGAACAATTGCGTCGCGCTTCTACCAAGAAGGGAGGCCTCGTTGGAGGGGTGCACCCCAAATGGGGTCCAGCCTACGATCGGAGACGGTAGAGACGGGCGGCCTGCTTTCGTTCCCCTGCATCGGTCAGGAGGATCAGCAATATCTGCACTCAAAGAAGCGAACGAAGGGCGTATAGAGATTGAAGAAGGGCGCGAACCACTCGCATATGTGTGAGAAGGGTGTCAGACTAGTACCACGGAACAACGGCAGCTCTCCTGCGTCCCTTCCAGCCTTCCAGGCTGTGGTTGTGACTGCAGTAGGATCTCCCCCCTTCAGCCGAAGGAATCGATGGCAGAACCAACCAATGTTGCTGACGACCAACAAGACCGGGGTCTGGATTGGTCCCTGGCGGTGCCTGGCAGGCTGATGCTGGTCGTCCGTTGGTCGTGCCTCTTTGTCCTGCAATGCGCATGATTCAGGGGTTGGCGAGGTTTGCCCATGCAGTCAGCTTTTTTTTTTTTGGGGGGGGGGGGGGAATGTGGGTGACATGAGCGACGGGACCTGCCGTATTTTTTGACCGGAGGTATTCGTCCTCAGGGGTAAACCAAGTTGAAAGCTCAGAGTCGAGAGTCGAGAACAGTCAAGATTGAAATGATTCCAGGATGGAGATGGATGAGTCTTGTCTGTCTTTTGCCCTAAGGATAGCGCCACTTAGAGAGCGATCTCTTGCGCACGCTCCAAGCACACGTACAAGTGGAGCCACCATGAGCAGTGGGGATTAGATTCGATGCGATGTGCGCCAGAGAGGGTCCCAGAAGGGTTCCAGAAGATCCGCCAATCCGCCAGACAGAACAGTCATGTCCTGCATGCCATTTCAGTGCCCATGTTCGTTGCCGACAGGTACTAATAGTCTCAATTGAGCGTGAATGGTGTCGTCGAGGGAGCGCACTCTCTTCTTTCCCTCTGCCAGGCTCTGCTAAAAATCTGATACGCTGGATCGAGTTTCAAGTTTGTCACCCAGACAGACATCCTAGGGCGTTCAGAATGACACACCACACACCCTTTGCATCCCTTGAAGGGGGGATTCGCGGCCAACGGCAGCAGCTGCGGCACAGGCGTATGCCTTTGCCACACGGCATGAGCCATAGTAGGACTAGTTGCCATGTTGATGGTGATCCTTCCGCCGCGGTCATTTAGCTGCCTTTGGGGGCCACAGCTTCAGCCGCAGCACAGACAGTGTCGCCAGCCGCGTCAAATGCACATGCCAGCGTGTCGTCTGAGTCGACTGATCAATCATATTCCCAAATATAGACGCAACACTGACACATGCAGCCTTGCCCTTGCTCTTTTTTCCTTCGTCTCTTTTTCTTCTTCTCCCTTTGAAAGCCTGATCGACACCAGCTTTGATCCGATCTGAATATGCATGGGAGGAGGTGGTGGAGGAGGAGGAGGAGACCAGCGTGCGTGTGTTAAGATGGGACGCGTTGTCACCTTCAGAATATGCACGAGTTGGAGTGCGTGATAGCAAGTGGTATGTCTGCGAGTCAGCTCACTATGGTAACTGTAGTCAACTGAATGATTCGAAACGTTTACCTAGTTCTTGAGATAGACATTTTTCTTTCCTTCTTCATCCTTCTTGTATTTATCCTCCAGCAGAGGTCGTAGTGGTTGAGAAGGGGGGCCGAGGAGGGGTGAGAGAAAGTGGGGGCATGGGAAGCTTGGTATCCTAATCAGTAAATCGATACAGACAATTGCTGGACAACAAAATGGCAAGAACGTGCTGCCCCTGAAATTGGCTGACATAATCATGTTGCGGGGCCAGGAACCCTTCGTGCCTTCCGCGTCTTCCTCTGAACGGCGTCAGGGGGCAAGAGCGGCCACTAACTTTTGGTGCTACTGCTGCTGTTGCTCGTTGCTGTTGATACTACTACTATAGTAATCATCATCATCATCATCATCATCATCATCCTCCTCCTCCTCCGCCCGATCCTCGTCACTCCCCTCCTCCTCCTGATACATCATCCCCTTCCACCCCGCCCTCCACCACCATAGCAACCCTGTCGGCTAACCATGCTCTCTGGGATCCTCATCTTCAACCAGAAGGGCGAGAACCTCATCTTCCGCGCCTTTCGCAACGACTGCCGCCCCCGCCTCGCCGATGTCTTCCGCATTCAGGTCATCAGCAACGCCCAGGTCAGGTCGCCCATCTTGACGCTGGGCAGCACCACCTTTAGCCATGTCAAGCACGAGAACATCTACCTCGTCGCCATCACCAAGAGCAACGCCAATGCCGCCCTCGTCTTCGAGTTCCTCTACCGCTTGATCCAGCTGGGCCGTGGCTATTTTGGCAAGTTCGACGAGGAGGCCGTCAAGAACAACTTCGTCCTCGTCTATGAGCTGCTCGACGAGATCATCGATTTCGGCTACCCCCAGAATACCGAGACCGACACCCTCAAGATGTACATCACCACCGAGGGCGTCAAGTCTGAGAACAGGGCCGAGGACTCAGCCAAGATCACCATGCAGGCCACCGGCGCCCTCTCGTGGCGCAAGGCCGACGTCAAGTACCGCAAGAACGAGGCCTTTGTCGATGTCATCGAGGACGTCAACCTGCTCATGTCGGCGACGGGCGCCGTCCTGCGCGCCGATGTCACCGGCCAGATCATCATGCGCGCCTACCTCTCGGGCACCCCTGAGTGCAAGTTCGGCCTCAACGACCGCCTGCTCCTCGACAACGATGGCCTGCTCAGCCTGCCGAGCGGCAACCGTATGGGCACCAAAGCCACCAAGGCCGCTGCCGGCAGCGTCACCCTCGAGGACTGCCAGTTCCACCAGTGCGTCAAGCTCGGCAAGTTCGACTCGGACCGCATCATCTCCTTCGTGCCCCCCGACGGCGAGTTCGAGCTCATGCGCTACCGCGCCACCGAGAACATCAACCTCCCCTTCAAGGTCCACGCAATTGTCAACGAGGTCGGCAAGACCAAGGTCGAGTACAGCATCGGCGTCAAGGCCAACTTCGGCTCCAAGCTCTTCGCCACTAACGTCGTCGTCCGCATCCCCACCCCGCTCAACACCGCCAGAATCAACGAGAGATGCACCCAGGGCAAGGCAAAGTACGAGCCCGCCGAGAACAACATCGTCTGGAAGATCGGCCGCTTCACCGGCCAGAGCGAGTTCGTCCTCAGTGCCGAGGCCGAACTGACTTCCATGACCAATCAGAAGACCTGGAGTCGGCCCCCCCTGAGTATCAACTTTAGCCTCCTGATGTTTACCAGCAGCGGCTTGCTGGTGAGGTACCTGAAGGTCTTCGAGAAGAGCAACTATAGCAGCGTAAAATGGGTCAGGTATATGACGAGGGCAGGGAGCTACGAAATTAGGTAAGAGTTTACCACCCAACATTTGAATACGCAGGCACCCCATGGACTGGTCGCTGATATATGCCATCGCACAACAGGTTCTGAGGCCGGCATTCGAGATTCTTTTCTTCAGGGAGCTACAGCATGGCAAGGCGTTCAGGGCGGTGTGCTTTGCCGCAACATTTTATTTCTCTTTGCCGCACTTGATATCAACAGACCAAGGCCCCTAGCGAGGTGACTCATAGTCGGTGGGCTTATATTAAATTAATAACATGGCGACGACACAACAACGCCTACGCAGTACCTGCAGGGTGATGCATACAAGACAGATTGTGTATGATTACTGGCAACCTGGTAAATCAGATCGCGCTGCGTACCAAATGACCGGTATCGCGACGATTCAGGTGGCAAGCGCCGGAAAGATGCCCCCCAACAAGGCGGAATGATAAAACCACAACTGCCATAAGCGCTGCCAGAAACCGTCGAGGTCTGAAGATTGATGGAACAATGCCAGGATAATTGGAGACAAGCTTGCTCCCGCTCAGCGTTCACAGAACTGCGGATGACGAAAGTGTCACCGGAGATTGCAAAAGTGATTGTCCCGTCAACGAGCCATATAATTGGCTAGCTTGACGTAGAAGGTCGAGCTGGACCTGGACGAAGCAACGCAGAATCCATAGTCCACGGGAAGTATGGTATCATGGTGCGGAGAGAACATGTCCTGCACTCGGAAAAAGCTGCAGCCAGTGATAGAGCACATTGTCGAGTTGAGACCAAGGAGCCTGTTTATCTCCATCCATGCCTATTCAAGTCAGCTAGATTGAATTGATTAATGCAAGCAAAAGCGGAACAGGATTATGGCCGCTTACTGATCATGTATACAGGAGCTTCTGAGCAGCGCCCCTGCATGTAAAACCAATACGTCGCCGTGCCATCATTGCCTGAGGTGTTGGCGTATTGCCCGGCCAAGAGCGTCGCCCCTTCTCTCGAGACTTGATCCCACTCGTCAACCAACTCGACGAACTCATCAGGTGTGAGATAATGATGTGTGACCGTCATCATCCGCCTGGGCATAGTTGAGGGAAGACATGACACTATGCATAAATAGCATTATAGATGGTCGTGAGCCGGCTGGCATAGATGCTGCACCCTCCAGTAAGCATATCATCCTCGTTGCCGAACTCGATATAATTCATAGTGAAAAGATCGTGCTGTCCGCCTTCAAGACTCAAAACACTATAGATGGTGCTTGTGGACTCCTAGGAAGCACGCGGGCTCGTTGAGGATGTCGTCGACGTAAGGGTTCAGGACAGTCCTGAAAATAGCATTTACATCCAGAATCAGACTCTTCCATACTCACGACGGACTCGTCGGGATGCATAACAACAGAAGAGTCCCGGCTAGTTGTTGTCTCGATGGGTTAGGGATCCGACGACAGACCAAGTAGAGCTCAGGTTGCTCGAGCTGCTCTGAGCGCCATGAGCTGACCGCTGTTACGATGTGACGTTTCCACGCATGTTGCTGCGCCAGTACTTGTATTCCACTGCGTCTCAGCTCGAAAATTATACCACTTAGCATCACGCGCAGAAACATAGATCGTCGCTATGAAGCTCGCTTACGTCAATAGTCGTCCTCACTTGCCAGCTATCGCTCGGCGTATGGTGTATCTATCTTCTTCCCTATGGCTTGTAAATCGATTCGTGTAACTGATCTCGTAGACGTTGTTAAACCCACGAGTTCTTTCCCTCCGGAGACCTGAGAACAGAAGGCTGCATCTGCGCGAGGTTCTGAAGACGTTGTGCCCAATAGTGTGTGTCGTGAATATCCTAAGGTTAACGTTTGACCTCGTCCATCTGATTCATCAAGTTCAATTTTGAGTTCCTATTTTGAACATGGTTTTATAGAGGAGGACTGCCAATTTTGCACCCGTTCACTGCTCGTGTGGCTCTGTCAACCACTTAGCACCTCCTTGTCTTTCCCCTGATCATCTGTTCCTCGGCATGTAAGGTACAGAGTTCTAACTGATAACTGCCATGAATGCAAGATGGCACCTGCGAATTAGGCGCCCTCCACAGGCATGGCTGTATCCAGCTTGGAAAATCTGCCGTGTTTGAAGAGTCTTGTTCGATGTACAGCGAGCTTGATCATTTGGCGTTGCGGGTCTCAACAAGAGCTCGAAAATGTACATACCCTTATTACCCAAGAATCTAACGTGCTTACGCTGGGAAAAGAAAACCAACTCAGCTGTCCAGACTCTAACGAAGCGTTGAAATATAACTTCTGGTAGCTGTCCGGCGTTCAGGGGATTTGAGGTTGTTGGTACTAGTTGAGAGCTTGTGCAAATCCGCCAGTGTTTCCCCATGGCCAATTCCAAGAAACAAGCTCATTTTATATTCTAGAGACTCGCTCCTGACATTGATTCTGCTGGAAGTTCTTAGGTAAATTCTTTCTGCCTCTGTTCATCCTCTGATCGAGAAACTCACTCGGCACTGAGCCCTTGTGGTCAATAAAAGTGCTGTGTATTTCTACAAAGTATGTAGTAAAGGATAGATCTCGGAATGGCCCTTTGTGGGGCCAATCCTCGATTGCACCGTTATACGACTCGTGCGGACTCGCCTCTATTCCAAGGTCACCAGGATTCTTACATCAGCGTGCTCGGCACGGGACGGGGAGAACGTTCATTTGGAGCCACACGGCCGACAGCATGCGAGCTGCCCCATAGTATATACTTTTTCAGATGAGCCTCATGCGTCCGGTGGCTCGTGACGAAGTTTCGAAACCTGTGCCACATATTCCTCCAATATTACGCTGACATCTCCAGTAATGGCCCTTTGTTATTTCCGGGCATGAAGACTTTTGGGGATGTGGGAACTGTGTGGCTGTAGAGTTACAGGCGGAAACTTGCAACTCAAGAGACTGTATGCAGTTCTCTGGAGAAAATTCTTGATCGGTCTAACCGTGATGAACGGAAACTCGTTTCACTAACTCGATCCACGGTTGTTTAGCTCATAATTACTCCAAATGGGGGTTTACTAATGAAAAGAATTTGTGATCAGATCATTTCACCCGCGTGTCATATACACCGAAACTCATTCCGTAATGACAACGAGAGTCTTCACGTCCGTCATGCGATGTCCGATGGCAGCCCAGAGCCAGATTGCTGGTCAAGACACCAAGACAAAAAGGGTATCGAACTTGCACAATTGAGACCACATATTTAGTGATCACCCGTCCGGAACTTCGTTTAACTGGCTTACAAGTCAAGCTGCAGAACATCAACTTTGTGTGCATCGTCAAAATGTGGACCGGCATGCTTTGCAAGTAGAAGATGAGATGCTTTGGACTATTGCCCGAATATCATCAACCATATCCCTGGCCAGCTGCGAATTGTATAGTTGACTTCGCGTGGCTGAGATATCACCACCTCCCAATCAATGATAGTCTACTATGGTAACCTTTGTAGCTGGCCAATGGTCGCTAAGTAAGTACATAACGAAAACAGATGGCAGGGGAGCAAGAATTCGATGCTGTCAGGCCCACATACCCGGCTATTTGCCCGAAACTATGAACCCTTCCTGGACCCAGCGATCCTCCTCGCTGTGGGTTAGATGCTGAGTGTGTGTGTACCCGCATTGTGAGGCTATGCACGGAGTATGTCCATAAAGAGACCAGCTCCTTATGCGCCAGCCTACATGCTTCCAAAACCCTCATACCACCACCGTTCATGACAATACTTTTTTCGTGCACAGACACACGCGCACAAGACTTGTCGGTGCCAAACAAGGTATGATCCTTTTGTAAAGTCACGATTACCCTGGCTTGACGGGAGAAGGCTGCAGGGAGCTGGAGCCCCCTGTCCAAACCTTATCTCAGCCAGGTCAGACCTGTGGCGTTCGTCTGGTCTGTGTTATCAGATTGTAGGATCTGCCCTAGCAAGCTTAGATAGGTGGGCTCAGGTACCAAACTTGCCCTATAGACAAGGTGATAGGCCAGGATTCTGATCATGCTGACCGACCAACGATGACCATCCACCGAGGAGGAATCGTAGGAGAGTCGCCTCGGTACGAGTTTGAAATGAGATTGGCCCAGGGGCGAGTTACAGTCGTCCAATCCTCGTATGTGCACGACTCAGTGTTCCCTTTTCCCATGCTTCCCATGCCATATGATCGACCATGCAGGAACCAGGGGTCCACGGCCCCCCAAGGCCCCCCATTTCCTGATCTGCCCAACCGCGCGTGCGTGCAGGGGAATCACCACCATCCCGCACGAGCCTTGTCAAGTTGAATGCGTCTTATTTATATGCTTCCAGCTCTGGCTGCATGTTGACGTCGATCATGTTTCCAAGATCTGTTTGTTTGTAAACGGTTCCTCAAGTCTGGCGATGCTCTAATCGTGGTAATTGTGTCATTCTTTTACATTTGTGTTGTTTTTGTTTTTACTTCATTCGCTTCAGTCACTCTTTACAATAATTCAACACACAACTTAGGCTATCCGCCTCCCTCACCCAAGTCTGTCTTTTACGATCACAACTTCATCGTTATTTTTCACCATGGTTTCCAGCAAATCCAACATCGCCGGGGTTCTTCTTCTCTCGCTACTCTCAACTCCTGTCTTTTCTGCCCCTACGGTAGTTTCCAACGGCACCTTGACGAACTCTTCAACCTCTCAACCCCTCGCCTCCGGGACAAATCTTCCGCTCAGGCCTGTCCCAAACAGTAATAATGGAGTCCAGACCGCAGGCCGGAACGTGGTGCCCAAGAAGAACCTGAGCCTGGCATGGCAGACCCCGAGCAACGACAGCGCTGTCTCGGTGGGACTGACTATGCAGAACTCCGCTGTTGTTCTAGAGGATATCGATGATGTGTCCGCCGTCGACTGCACTGGCCAGAGTTCTGTGGCTGTCACCTTTAACAATACCGAGGCCTATACTGAAGCCCTTTCGGAGTGGAGCGCCATGAACAGCAGCTTTGTGATGATCACCAACCATTTGGGTGATTGTGACTCCGAGCTCGAGCGGTCTTTCTTTGTGACTGATGCTGACGCTCTTACTGCCTTCGAATCCAACCTGACAATCATTGCTCTGGCGGAAAAGAGTGACATTGTTGGAACTACGAGTACGCTCTCCCAGCCTTTTACCGAACAAAATCCAGAGACTGATGACTAGGTCCCAGGCACCACCGAGATTGACTTCACCAGTGGGTCCAAGTCTCTGGACAAACGTGGAATCAGCTGGAACGACGATGGCCTTACCATCGCTTACACATATTCTATTCCTTCGGAGCAGACGATTGTGGACACAGACTATGTGACAGTAGTCGTGAACGAGGCCTCAATCAACAACTCGGTCCAGTATTCCGGTCATGCAAAGTGGGAACTGTTCAAGGGCGTGACCGAATTCTACATCGATATCGACAAGTCGGTGTACCACTATGCTGATATGGAGCTTACAATCAAGGATTCGTGGTCTGACAGCTGGACCTGGTCGCCCGATGCACTGAGCTACTCTGTCCTCGACGTGCCCGGTATTATTTCTCTCGGTCCTTCTGCGGGTATCAGCTTTGGTGCCAGTGTCACCGCCGCCGCTGCTGGCACCGTCACAGGCGAATTCACCTCGCAGATGCCCAACGGTACAATCCACATGGATTTCAAGGACTGGGACTCCTCTTGTCAGTGTGCTCATAGGAGGGGAAAATGTTTTGGTCGAGAATATTACAGTTCTGACTTCCCATGAACTTTAGACTCCAGCGGCTGGGAGACAGAGCACGATGCCACCTTCAACGTCACCGAGGACGTTTCCATCACCCTGAAGCCCTACATCGACTTCACCGTCGAGTTCGCCTGCAAGCTCTTTGACGGCCTGATCGACCTCAGCACTGGCGTCAAGGCCGAGCCCTCCTTTCCGTTCGTCACGACCGCCACCGCCACGCAGGCCATCAACGCCACGTCTGGCAGCGTGACGTACCCAAACACTACCAGCAGCACTGCCTGCGCCAACGGTCTGAGTGAGGCTATTTCTTTCGAGTTTGACGTCACCGCTTTCGCCACGGAATGGATCGATATCTCGCTGTATGAATACGAAGTCAGCATCTGGGATGGATGTCTTGACTGGTAATGGGTACAGAGCATACCATGGAGCAAATGAGCGTGACAAAGGGGATCCGCCTCTGGCGCTTGGGTTTCAGAGTCAAGCACTCGCTTGTATGGAATAAGGGGAGATGATGTGGGCGAAAGAGAAAAAAAAACCAGACAAAATTATATCGCCTCTAACTAACCACCTCTGGTGCTACGTAATCATTTACTCCAATATTTATCTTTATTTGAGGAATGTATAAATACCACTCTGTGATTCCCTCTGGACATACCTAGCAAAGTCCGGGAGAGAAAGGGAACGAAGCTGAGGAAGAAAGGGGGAAACATCGCCACCCTACCATGTCTGTAGACGATTCAGATCAAAAGAAGAAAAAAAATCTCTTGTACGTCCTCCAGGTAGTCTAGACGCGACATATCTGATGAAAAGACTATCTTGGGTCATTCTCAAACTTATAAGCCTCACGGTGACAAAACGTTCTTACACCTTTGGAGTCGCGAGAACATTTGGAAGCTCCAGGAGATATTTCACCCGCTATGAAAGGTCTTTAATGATTTGGATGCATGTCGTGGCACTGAACAACAAGCTGAGGTCGAGTATGATGCAAGTCCTGCTGGCTGCAGAGATCCCGCTTTATTTTAACTCAGAAAGAACAAGTTGATACTACTCGGCATCGCGGCACAGACGAAGCCAATCTTAAAAACTTCTTGAGAAAGATTAGAACATGAAAAGGATTCACGGGCTAGAATCGTCCAGTTCACACTTTCTAGTCAGAAATACCGGCCTATGATTTACAGCACTGGAACATTAAAGTTTAGCGGCAACCTTCTCGGAGATCTTGCGTTGATATCATCCGGACGTAACCAATGGAGTCTGGACGGAACTGTGCCTCATAGCACACATATGCATGAAATTATGTATAGTATTATGCACTGTAGACCTGCTGTATAAACCACGACAGCTTTATAAATGGGTATGTTGTTTTGTTTTTTGTGAGCGTCGCGAGCTGCTCTCATAATTCTGTACTGCCCTGCTTCCTCAATTCAGATCCCTCAGCCCACATTTCCCTTCAACACAAGCTCCAGCACATCAATCCATCCATATGCGATCCTTTGTGGCTTAGTTGGAGTTGGTGAGAGTGGCGTTGCAGGTGTATCCATAGTCGCTGCAGATTAGTTAGTATCATTGCTCGCTCGGTAGTCGTCGTAATGCGTGCAAGCGTTTACTGACCTGTTGGCGACGTATGACAGCTGGCAGGTGGACGAGCACGATGCAGTGCACCCGTCAACGTCCTCAGCAGGTGGCCTGTGCAAAATACGAGTCAGCGAATGTGAAAAGGGGGGGATTTGACCGTGGTCTCATGGTTGATGAATGCGAGAAGCCGTGGGTGGTGCGGAGTAGAAACCTTCCGAAGAAGGTCGGGTCGCTTTTGCAAAGACACAGGCTCTGTCAGAGCAAGCACGTACATGAAAACGCTGGCCTGGCATGATGAACCGGCGTTGATGCACTTGTAGTTCATGGCCACGGTATCGCAGACAGGACACCACCTCTGGTACTGGATGAGAGTCTCTGGCACGGGCACGATGGGGAAGCGGGCCACGAGGGCGCTGGCAGCACCGACGAGGGTGAGAATCACTGCGTTGGTCTGGATATACATGAAGTTTGTTCTTCCGTCAGCTTTTCCGTGACACGAAGTGGCAGCACGGATTCACGTGTTTTGGGATTTTTTTTTTTTTTTGCTTCTTTCCACCCACCTTCATTTTGAGAATGAATTGTAATATACTGAATCCGAGGAGAGGAGAACCCGAAAGAAAAACGAGAGACTGTGATGAACAAATGAACGAGAGGAACGGTTGAGGAAAGCCGAAAAGGTAGGATGGGAGAATGAGTGTACGAGAGACCGCCTTTTGGGCGATATAAATTTATAAATGACCTGTACCGATGCCAGGGAGTACAAGCAAAAGGATGTGCAGTACAGATTAAGATTGACTCCCTGGCATAACCGCTCAGGCCCGCCAATGCGACTCAGGGGCGGATCGTGTATCCACAGCGAACACCGCTTTGATGTCATCCGTCCCGCGTAGACAGTGGCAGACGCCCCTGGCAGCTGGTGATCATCGATTAGGGGCAATACAAAATGTGCGAATCACAATTTACCAAACGCTGCAGGAGGACCACCTCAGGGATGATCCAAAGGAATCTGCTTTGTTGTTCGCCCCACGGCCCCTGAGGGACTTTGGACTGGCTGAGGTGACACTGGCTGGCGCCTTGACGGATGCATGCATGAAGTAGAGAGCGAGTTGGCTGTCAGATGTCGCACATTGAAACCAGGAAAAATCCTTTGGTGTCCTCTGTACCGTACATAAATTAGAGCTGCATGGTAAAGTAAATTACTTGCACTATACTGAACCCCTGAGGGGAAAAACCAAACAGTGAGACATGGGCTAAGGCATGGCAACCTGCAGACACAACAGTAGCAAATACGACCGAGACCTAAGAGCGAATGTACCCTTCAGCCGAGAATCGCTTGCCTGCATCGTGATCCAAACAAGAAAAGAAAAGGACAGTGAATACAATACTTCAAACTAACATGGTATCCAGTCAGCGGTGATGACCGTCAGCGGCACAGGTCTTGGACAATTCTGGGCGGCGGCCTCGTTTCGAAGTTCAGATACTGCTCTTGGTGTCTAGGCACAACACAGGCACGACACAGGGTCTCTCGTCTAAGGAGGCGAGCCTTTGGGGATAGGAGGCAACGCTTGGCGAAAAGCAACCACCCGTTTCATGAAACATTAGTGGATCATTGCCAGCCAATGGATCCTCTTCAGGCTTGCAGGATCAAGTGGATCGATCAGGTTGCAACGCTGGTTAAGCATCCGTGCCATGGTTAAGTGAAGATCATCTCCCTGTCTTGGACTGAGGAGTGTCTTGCCTCACGCTTGGTTCTGGTGCCTTTTCACGTGCCTCTACCTGTTGGATTTACCTAGGACTTTGTAGGTATAATACATATAGCATATATTCCGAAAGTCGCCACTCGGAGTGAAAGTAGTATGGTCAGAGTCAAATTGGTGTTATCGTGTATCGTTCAGCCAAAGCAATACCTGGATTCAGTCTATCCGCAAATCCACCCGTCCCATCAAAGCCCTCCCCTCGCCGGCATTGTCCCTTGCCCTGAGAATCCACGTTACTCGTTGCTCAACTGACGATGTAAATAATGGTTGACAGATACATTACGCCCTTACGCTCTCGATCGCCCTCGTCCACCTTGTCTTCATTTCCTTTCATCATTCTATTATTTTATTCCCGCTAAATAGCAAGCAAGTGCTGCATGCCAGGTTAGATACGCAATGCGCTATACGCACTGGGCATATGAGATCAAGACAGTCTTGTAAAAATAAAGAAAAACATCCCCCTTTTCCCAAGCATCTTCCAGCGAAACAGAATCTAACATTTTCTACCTCTTTAGTTTTCATGCATTCTCTTAGCTGCGATTGCAGGAGATACAGTGCTGCTACAGCCGCTGGCTCACACTTGCTGAAAGAATGATTGGAAGCTTGCACGATTTCTTCAGTATTGGTTTATATCGAGCATCCTCATTGAGACCCTCTATACAAAGCTTGAAGTGACAAATTGATCGTCAAGAAGGCTGGTATTCCTGTATCAGGCGATACTGCATACTTGCTCCTGACCCTGATGATTCTGAGGATCGTGGAAATCCGAGGGTCTAAGTATGTGTGCCTGGGGGCAATAGAGCCTTACAAGCAACAAGACTGCTTACCGTGGCTACGAGAACCTATCGTGGCTACCTTAGCGCAGCGAAGCGAATTCTCTGTCCGGTGAGTACCCGGCAAACATATCGATGTCCCCGACCTGCTGCCTCATCATCAGGATTTGCCAAGCCCAAAGGCACCATCCTGTTGACCTCTGGTGACCAAGAGGCAGCCCAGTGGCCTGCTCCGAGGTCCTCAATCGCCGCTGCGGCCCTCGTCTCCTTTGGTAATCAGCGTCTCTTGATCTACCAAGTTGCGCACTTCCTCTAGGCTGTCTGTCACGATCCTTTTGTTCATCGGGTGCTTTTGTAGCCTGATGCATGATTCTCGGCGACGGAGAACTACGGGATGCACGTTGAGTCCAATGAGATCATGCTTGGTCTGTGACTCGAGGATGATAGAGTCATATTGGTCAGCTGTGTCACACCCTTTTGTGATTGATGACTGGCGAGCTCAAACGCGTCAATGAGAAGAACAGCCCAGGATGCCGAGGTTCCCAAGTGCGCGCGACGGACTTTGGGGCATCTTTGACCATGTGCATGAATCTGGCCTGAGGGTCTTTGAGCTGAGCATAGTTGAAGAAGGGGTATCTACAAAGGCACAGAAGAACGAACTTCTAGGTGACCCCCTTACAGAGCCCCGTGAGAGGTCTCTTGGCCACGGCTGACTCTCGCCGTCGCTGTGCGGAGTGGCTCTGGTCGCCTTTCAACGCTTTGTTTCCGACCGCCACGGTCGGCCTGGTTCGTGGAGGAAGGAGGAGGATGATATGACATTGTCGATGACGGTCTACCAGCGAAGCAGCACACGCCTCTGTCGATGCCCAGCTTTCCACACATCGGACCTGCCTCTCAGCTTATACTTTCTGCCCCCGAACGCCACATGGCCAATAACTTGCAGCAGATGACCTGGTCGACTTGTTACCTTTTATGACGGTCGAGGGATGAAGGTGGATGCTGTGCGCGGCCTCGCACCTGAGACCCGTCGTCCAAGCTGAAGCATAATGGGGAAGCGAGAAAGAACGGTGAACAACTTCACCCCGAAGGTGCCGAAGAAGGAAATATGTTCATGCGGCTGTACCAGCTGAGCTCGGCAGTGCCGGGACGAGGCGAATCAGCCTCATCATCCACTTGATATCCGCTGTGGCAGTGCCGAGGAACCCGCCGCCGTGGAAGTATAGCAAGGCACTCTCGTCAGACTTCCAAGTGCGTGTTCCTCGCTCTCGCCAGCGTGTTGCGAACTCGTGGTGTCGCTCGCTGTCCGGTCAAGTCCGTTTCGATTGTTATTATTATTAGCCAACGTGTCGTGAAGGTTTGATCTTAAGCTTAAATGAGCGTAGTGACTATTCTGACCGGCTTGAGTCGCACATTCTTGACCAACATGGAAAGACAAGGGAAGAGGCGGGGTCGCGTCTCATCCTGCAGGTGGCGCGCTATCGCAGCGGAGGAACGATGCCCGAGTTCACATTTCGTTCCATGAGCCCTCTACAATCCAGGTACATATGGACTTTCGACAGACACAATTATAAAAAAAATTAAAAATAAAAACATAAAAATTTAGAATAAAATTAAAATAAAATAAAAAAACCACCCCGCACGCCGTATCGATAGTCGTGAAAGACAAAAGAAAGAACTGGGGGCAGCCTGGTAGACTTCTGTCAAAGGCTCGTGGGAACAGGGGTTCATCTCATCCTCGTGTACACGTACAGGCAAAGCTTGATCTGGATGGTCAAACAACGAACATGGGGCCTTATCATAGGGATCAATCAGCATCTGCAAGGGCCCCAATGTTCCGAAATGCATAGATGCAATGCACGTGTCCGAGTACGAAGGATATAGCCGCTTCTATGCCCGGCCTCGTTGCCGCATAACGTAGTGTCCTTGAGCCAGTCAGGTAAATAGGGGTCTCTGGAGAAAATAACCCACTTGTTAAATTGCAACGGCCTCTAAGCTTCAACCCTATACTTATTTGTTCAGTGAAGACCGTTGATCAGCGGTTCGCTCTCGGTCCCGGTCCCACTTCTCGCTAGAATCTGCAGTTCGCGCTAAGCCCTAGACGGATGTTCAATATATCCCGTGTGGACTAAGATGCCGTTGTCGATATAGTGGTTTCCCGATTCCTTCGCAACGGCCGCTCAGCCACCAGCAACTTGGACGCTCAAGCACATATTTTGTTCCAACAAGCTATATCGCTGTGGTGTCGCTTAGGGGCATTCATGGGCTTTGTCATTGAGAAGTCCAGGGGTCCGTTAGGTAAATATGTTGGGCCTTGTTGCATCGACGAGAGCGAGAGCGACGGGGTTTTAGTTTTTTTCTTTCTTTCTTTTCTCTTTAAAATATACCCCGAGCTGGAAAAGAGTAATGAGGCGTTAGTTCTGGTGGTAGATGAGATTTTAATTCCATTCAAGGGCTACTTACTCAGATCCTCCGCTGCAAAGTTCCGAGATCTATATAAAAGAAGGATTGTCCCCTGTGTTTGTTGTAGTCCTCGACGATCCCAAACTTGTTTCAAGCAAGCTCACAGCCCAAGTCTTCCAGCCTTGGAACCATCTCGATAACGCCCTTCTCCCCCATCTTCGCCCCTCCACCCAACACATATCATGCCGTCAACCTCGACGATGCGGAAGCTCCTGCTCAGCAGCTTCAGCCTGGGCGCTGCTGCCCTAACCAACAGCTCAGTCCCATCAGAGATTCCCGTCGCCACCCTGGCGGATGGAGCGAGCTGTGCATGCACCCAGCTGGCAGCAAAGTACGGCGCTTCCGTCATTGGCCAAAATTCGTCCGACTACGCCATCGAGACCGTCTCTTACTGGGATATCCGTTCCGACCAGGAGCCTCAGTGCTTCTTCCAGCCTGCAGATGCCTCTGAGGTGGCGGGTGCTGTGTCGACCATCGTGTCCTGTGGCGCCCAGTTTGCTATTCGAGGTGGAGGCCATATGAATGTAAGAAAAGAAAACAAGAACAAGTTGCCGACTTCCCCTCTCCTTCCTCTTTCTTGAACGACGTCGGCCACAGTCGCACCCCCCAAACTCACATGGCTTCCTATATTAGTTCCCAGGCTCCAACAACATCAACGGCGGCGTGGTGCTCGCGCTCGACAACCTGACGGAGCTGGCGGTCGCGGCTGACAACTCGTCCATTGCTGTGGGCCCCGGCAACCGATGGGTCGATGTGTATTCGGCACTGGACCCATACGGTCTGTACTGCATTGGTGGCCGTCTCAAAACCATTGGCGTTCCCGGCCTGAGTCTCATTGGAGGATTCCACTACCTCATCAACACGTATGGCATGGTCATGGACAACATACTCAGCTACGACGTGGTCCTCGGCAACGGCACCCAGGTTGTTGCCAACGCTACGTCCAACCCGGATTTGTTCTGGGCGCTCAAGGGCGGTGCCAACAACTTCGGCATCGTGACCAAGTTTGTTATCAAGACGCTTCCCATTCCGTATATCAGCACCACCGTTCAGACCTACAACGAGTCTGCTGTTGTGGACTTCATCGGAGCCACTGCCGAACTCGCTGAGAATGATGGCCCGGATCTGGCTGCAGGAAGTGTCATCAGCATCAGCTACAACGCCACCACCAAGGCCGTCTCCCCTTCGCTCCTTGGTATCCAAGAAGGAACCGAGTCGCCTCCCTCGCGCTTCGCCAACTTCTCTGCCATCCCTGCAGTCTCTGTCTCGAACAACGTCTTGACTCCGCTCCAGTGGCACGAGAACTTGGAAACGCCTTTCCAGATGTTCCGGTAACAACAACCCCTCTTCCTTCTTTGCCTTGTCCCCTCTCTTCTGTTCAGGGCTGTGCATTGCTAATATGTAAATTCCAATCTGCTTTAGTATCCAATTCGCCTCTCACACGATGAAAGCGAATGCAACTCAACTGAATCGCATTTACGACGCATGGAAGGCTGCTGTCGACGAGATCAGCGACGTGGAGGGTCTTTACCCTACCTTTGTCATGAACATTCTCCCCAAGAGTGCCGCGTCTGTCGCAAAGAACAACGGCATCGGAAATGTCTGGGGTCTTGACGACGATGAGTCCTGGATCAGTGAGTTTGCCCCTCTACCCCCCACCCCCCCCCCGGGCCTGTTGCGCACCTCTCTCCTGGTGGTAATTACTTACGGGTTTTGCTAACCATGCTTTTTGTGTAACGCTATAGTCTGGCAATTCTCTACTGCCTGGGCCAACGAGGTCGACGACCTCCGCATGACCAACTGGGTGCGCTCGCTGTCTGACTACTGGCACATGGAAAACCAAGCGCTTGGTCTGGCGTCTGAGTTCCTCTACATGGGTGACAGCGGCGAGTTCCAGGACCCGTTCCTGGGCTTCCCTATCGAGAATGTGCAGCGCATGAAGGCGATTCGCGAGGCTTACGATCCCCTGGGCGTCTTCAGCCGCCTGAACTGGGGTGGATTCAAGCTGGGTGCCAACTAGATGGCGGTTTCATGTAAATAGTACGTGCGTTTTTGTTATAAGAAGCCGGTTTAATCAGCCTTTGAGCCCATTATTTCAAGATTCAAATGAAGTGTGTAAACCAAACCCACGGAACACTTTACTGGACTTCACGATTGGTGTGACCAGTTCAACATATTAGGTATGTAATAACTTTGTTGTCGGAAGAAGAAAATACGTTGGATAATGTCTTCCTCGGTCCGATACATAAACGATGTGCCAGTTACTATGATCAGCTGGTCTACATATATATTTCAACAAGAACAAAAGTGAGTGGTGCATCTATAGAAAGAGGGTGGCAGTTAAAAATAAATTGAACGGTATCTCCACACTATCAAAGCCGAGCTAGAAGAGACAGAGATTCTCGTGACCAATCATGTTCAGTAATATATTGGACTATATAAATATGATACTGGCAGCTGTAAATTAATGTCACACCCGACTGCATAAGTCTATGAATCTTGAGCCCCGGTATCCGGTTGCGACAAAACTATATCTTGACATATGCATGGATAATAGCCGAACCAAACATTGATCGCCCAGATCTTGTGGTCGTTATCGCATATCAGATCAGAACAGTCAGCAGTAGATAAATAAAAATTGGGAACAAATCAATAAACTTCGAAAGGGCTCGGGCCTCCGGATTTCTTACCCCAGGATTCTCGTCTGATCACACAAGCCTGTGGCTGCAATGTGCAAGTAATTGTCGGGGACAAAGCCCCAGACCTCGACGACTTTACCAAAACAAAGACCATAAATAGGCCTGGAGCTGCACGTTATAGGGAGCGTCAGCAGATTGACCCGCTGAATGCATGACAAGTAGCAACTATCTTCATGTAAATGAACATATGATTGGGATAAGCACGGGCCTATGACCGCCCCCCCCCCCTTCCCCTCCCTTTTCTTTTCCCTTCCTAGATGGTTTACTGCACTGCGTTGAGGGGCTTCAGCCAGGTTTGTGGGGAAGCGGCTCATACTCAAGTAGGAGGTATAATTAAATACATGGAATATTTTCAAGATTGAGTGAGCGTAGATAGATTACATGGGTGATTACCAAAGCGAATCTTCGCATAATGTCCAGGGCCCAGCACGCATACAACCGTAGAGTGAAGTAACCTAAAAATTCATAGAATCCCACGGGATAAAGATGGCTGATAGCCACGGGTCGTCCCCGAAATTTGTCAGGAAGGCGTCCTGGATCTCTTGTGACGATCCCTGAAGATCTGCGCCGCCTGCAGCCATGGCAGAGACTTGCTCAATGCCCGTACTACCCAGAGGATCAAGGTTCTGTGAGAAGGAGATCTCGTATTAGTAACGGCCTTCAGTGAGAAATTGAATACCCAAAAATTGGAGGGCATAGATCATATAGTGAAGCATGTGGGAACAACACAACACAGCTCGGCTGGTTGCTGACGATGGCTGAAGGGTCAAGAATTTGAGAGCGATAGAATAAAAAAAACCCAAAAAACCTGGTGAGTGTTCGTGCTGCACGTACTGGGAAATCTCTCTTGATCCCTTGCTTGATCAATCTCATCACCTTTGCAGCTTTGGACCAGGCTGTGATGATTATCGTCAGCTTCTTGATACCACGCAGGGAAACGTCCCACAGAGGGGGGGGGGGGCATCGACTTACTGCTGGCTTCTTCATCATCTTCCAGGATGGGAATCGTCGCAATGGTCATTTCCATCTGTTTTGCAAGATGATCCAATAACGCAAAAAGATGGAGTCTGCCCCTGGCCACGGCAGGGTCCCACCCAGGGATGCTATCAAGAGTGCTGAGCCGGAAGAGCGCAACGATGACGTGTAGAAGCTGGATGAAGGTGGTGAGGGTGAGACCCATGTGTTGTTGGGTTGGTATTCTATCCCAGGTCTGGAAGAAGTTCTCCACGGCTTTGAGACATTTCTGTAGTGCATCCAAGCGCTTGATAATGTCTACATTGTCTAATGATGGATCAAAGTTGGAAGCCAGGTCATGGACAGCAACCTCTGCGCCGTACAGAGACAGCAGGACTGCCTCTGTTTTCACAACACACAACTTCCAGTCAGCAACCCAAGTTCCACTGATGGATATGTCTAATAGACGAGGGACTTACCATTCTGCACGAGGTTTGCCGGAAGCGTTCGCCAGATGTCCTCTAATTGAGCACTCAATGAGTTGTGAAAGTACATGGGTATTCGGGACTCTCCAGCGCGATAGGCCTGTTGAATGGCCAGATCTGTCATCTGCTGGCCCACGAGCGCACATCGGACCTGTGTAGCAAGGATGCTGTCGCCCTCCCACTCTGGGGTCTCGATGATAGCTCGTAGGTTTTGTTCCATGAAGGGTGTCCAACGGATAGCATTCTCTCTTCTGACCATTTGAGAGGACCTGAAAAGATGATGAGAATTGATTTGCCAAATTTCTCGCAACTCATACAAACACACGCAAACATCAAAAAGGAATGGAAGGGAGAAGAACACTTACATGCTCGTCCACACATAAAAGGCCAGTACCGTCCTGCGTTCTTCCATAGTTCGGGCTGTATTACTCTGCCCATGGCAATTCTTGTTCTGAGACTTGGGAAGCCAAAACTTCTTGACGTACGTGTACGCTGTCTCTCCGTGCACGCTCATAAACCCCAGGTCTTGAGCCATGGCGAGCCCCATATTGGTCCAGAGCGATAGCCAAGGCTTGTCAGTCCTGTGAGAGTGAGGCCATTGCATAAACACCAGCAAACTCTGCAGCAAGTCGAGGTTCCTGTCCAGATCAATCACCACCTTGGTGGCGACGGCCTGTCTCAATTTGTCTCCCAAGGCATAGGCCTCCTTCATGGAACAGGAGGCACATGCCATGATGCTGAGCCACAGAAACGGGTGAGTCCGTCGAAGTTCTTTGGCGGTTAAGGACGGAGGCAGATAGACTATAGGGCAGAACCGCACCATGTCCCTCCGGAATAGGGCCAAATTTGATTCTGCAACATCATCGGCAATAGGGCCTGTAAATTCTGGTATGAGCATATGTGTCTGTAAAGAAGAGAGAATAAAGAAGGAGGGAGAGAAGATGCAGGATCCGTCGACGTACAGTCATATTCAAAGCCCACACCCGTACTCGACGGACTTGTTACATCCGTTGCATACGTCTCGCCAGAAGCAGGCCCTGCCGGGCTCTCATTGGGGGTCGACACGGATGACAGCGATGGGACAGTCGGCGGCCCGCCTAAGCCATGTGTCTCGGGTCTTGTAGAAGGTGAGTTGGCCTTGCCGGGAGCTCTGATGTTGGTCTGTAACCTGATCAGAGAGACCAGGTCATCCAGCTTCTCCTCGAGATGCGCAGTCCTCGAGGAAGGGGTTTTTCGTGGATTTCGCTTCCGGTTGGGAACGGATGGGTTACAGTCCTTTTTGAGCCGGAAGCACCTAGAAACGCGGCGATTTGAAATATCTCAGGTCAGACCAAGGAAATACGACGAGGGCAGCCTACTTTGAACAGCAATCATAACAAGGACGAGAATCTAGACACAAGGCAGCCAGCGTCGACCATTTCTTCCAGACAGCACCAGTCACCAACTTTCAAGACTTATATTATGCAGGGGGGAATGCCAAGAGATAGAAACACATGGCTGATCCCACCTTGTCCTCACAATAGCAAAAGTTTATATGTATATGTATATGTATAAAGTATGTTTGAGAGAGAGAGAGTGTGTGTGTGTGTGTGTGCGCGTGCAACTGAAAGTGAGAAAAGACAGACTTACCGCTCGCAGGCTCCTCCTCCGTCGCGGTGGATGCATTTACATTTTGCCTTGGCGCAATTCGTACACGCATGCCCATAAGGAGCAGGTGTGCCCAAGGGCATGTGTGCGTCGGACGGTGCGGGAGACTTCCCAATACGTTGACTGGATGACTGCATGGCGAGGACTATTTCCTTGTGGCGCTCGCCTCACATGTGGCCCGATTGCAGTGTGGGACTCGGGCTCTCGTTCTCCTTTCGGTGCTGTAACGGTAGACTCTCGGCGGAGGCCGGACCGGGCCAGGCGCGCAAACCCTGACGCGAAATACCCAAAGGCTATGGCTTAATGCAACCGGCCAGGTGGATTTCGCGATTTTCGGATGGGTACAAGTCAGAACGTCGTTGGCGCAACACAAACGAAAAACACTGAATGTCGGATTGTTCGGGGGAAGCGAAAAAGGGCCAGTTCACGCTCGAAATCCGGTCAAGAGGTAAGAGAACCAGTCACTCTGCTAAAAGGAAGAGGGAGAGAGAGGAAGAGACGGGGGGAGCACGCCCTGCAGCTGAAAACGGGAACGGAATCCAGTTAAATCCGCGGCGGACCAAAGTCATGGGCGCACAGCATCTGACAGTAGAGGCGGCATGTTGGGTGATTCCGAACTCCGAAGCCCGCATCTGTTGCGTGTTGAAATCCGACGTCAGCCCACATAGTACTATACCATATTAAGGTCTCTCTCTTCCTGGAGCAAATCCGTCGATCTTAGGATCGAATGATCTGCGATAACCCTTAGTTTATGCCAACGAATCTTTGGAAGGACAGGGCCATTGATACACGCCCAGATGCCCGTTTTACTCGTTCGGAATAAGAAGATGCACTGCTCAGTATCCTCCAGAACATTTGGTGAATGGTGCGAGCGGTTAATTAACTGACTATTACCATGGCACCTGCAGACGAGATGGATTGGATTCAAATCATCTATGTTCTCGACCACTTTGTCGATCAAATAACATCCTGCTGTGAACAAACGACCTCTTGTGCTTTGAAAAACATTCGACCTCTTTTCCAAAAATTACAACTAGTCTTCGTTATCCCGAGGCTCGCGAGTTTTTTTCTTCTTTCTTTCTTCTTTCTTTTCTTTTTTGTAACAAGATAGCAAGAGTGTCTGCGTGCAGGTAGTAAAGATCAAGGGATGGAACAGGTGGCTGGTGTCAAATAAACTGGGGGCTGTCATTGGTATTCTCGTAAATCCGGCAGGATGACAACATTTTCCGATGTCCTCATGCTGTCCACAATCGGCAGATATGATCTCGATATGCATCTGCTTAGGTCATCCCTACGTGCTTCTGCTGGTTTATATCGAAAGCATAATGACAACACCGAAATGACTTCACTAGATATAAAACCTTACACTTACGTTAGTATAATTACCAGTTGATATAAGCCTGGCCTGCCGGACTAATTCTGCTCATGAGTCGATGCGAGCCTTCCTGTAGAGCATGGCACCTTTCTGCTGTAAGAAATTGAGTATTGGTGGAACGTCCTGGGGTCTATTACTTACTCAGCACACGGTCGACTGCTTACAGCCAGAAGCACTACGACTTCTTACAATAACCACACTCAGATGCCTGTGTAACAACGAAGCTGGGTGCGTCGGTTTATGAACCCTAACATCCCATGCAAAGTCAAGAATTCCTGTATTTTACATTTGTGGTGAATGCAAGAGGTGCTCTGCTCTGTATTTGTTTCAACCTTGCCAAAAGTGTTCAATCATTTGCAGAAATTGTGTATTCACAAGCCTCCAATCCAAGCAGGCTGGGAGCCGTTAATTACATATGCAAAACAAAAGTTCCTTCGTTCCACATGGAGTGCATATATATACACACAATGAATATATACAACTGGGGTCCCATATACATAGTCGTTACTTCACACTCTCTCTTAAAAGACTCATTACAGCGTAATCTCGATAATCTGGCCACTCGCTTCGGTAGTCGAGTCTCCACGGGTGGTCAGGTAGATGGTAGACCCGTCACCCTTGAGGACGACCGAGGTGGGTCCGCCGGCGATGCTAGTGTCGTTGATGAGCACGGTCAGCTCGCCAGTGGTCAGGTCCACCGAGGACAGGTAGTAAGGGTCCTGGGCGCCGTAGGCGATGGTGCCGTTGAGCTGGAAGTCATCCCAGTCATCATCGCCGAGGAAGTTGGTCACGATCTCGGCGTCTCCCGTGGCGACCAGGGCGGAGCCGTTGTCTGCGATGGGGATACGCCCCAGGAGCTCGAGATAGACGTTGGTGAAGTAGGCGTAGGAACCATCGGCGGTGATCTTCAGGCCGTCGATTCCGATCGGGGTGGTGGCATTGTCGGGGGCCAGGAAGTACTCGCTCGTGACGGCTTCGGCAACAGAGCCAGTGTCGATGTCGACTCGCCAGAGACAACCCACGCGAGAGTCGGCAAGGACCAGGACGTGGGAGTTGGAAGGCAGTGCAGCCATGCCGTTGAGCATGATCGCGTCAGGCCTGTGTGCGTGTGTCAGTGAGGTTTTTCATATTAATCACGATTAATCCATTCATCCATAAAAAGGACAGGATGGTATGATGATAGACAGAAATGGTTTAGGTTGAACGATCAAAACTAACAAGGTCGCAACTGTCTCCAGCACAGTGATATTTGGGTTCTCCTCGGTGGCCTCGGTGAAATCAATGGTGAAGATGGTCTCGTTGGCGTAGCTATAGCTGCCCCTGACGCCTCCAGCAACAGCAAACTTGTCATCGTCGACCCTGGCAATGCCAGTCAGAGCCGTGACCCCAGGCAGGTAACGGACAACCTCGGCCGTGGGCTCATCCGCGTTGGTATCGATCGTGTACAGCTCAGGACCGGTGAGGGTGGTGAACAAAAGCTGGCCATTGGAACGGAGGATGCTGTTCTCGATGTCGACGTAGGTCGTGAAATTGAAAAGCTGTTTGGCGGTCTGGGCCAGCGCGGAGCCCGTCAAGGACGAAAGGGTCACGGCCGCAAGGGCCAGGCTGTTCTGAGAACGCATGATGGGAATAGAAGGCAAATCTCAAAGGGGAGGCAGAGAGAGAGAGCAATTGGACGGTGTCGCGTCAAAACTTTCACACTCACACACACATCAACGACAGCAAAATTCCAAGCCGTCAGGAGGCGAGCGGTGGCAATATATACCGTTACAACAGTAGTAGATCGCAGGGTCCCTCAAGAGAAGGAGTAGGAGGCCACCTCGGTGAACGAGGCCGTCTCCATATTCAGTCCGTTCCTGGCAAGGAGAACGTCCCTGGTCCCAATCCTACAATAACGTCAGGGCCGCCGTGGTGTGGGGGATTAAACGGTAATCCTTTCCCCTTTGCTATTACAGTTTACAGGGCCATTGCCAGTGGCACGTAACCCGAATGCCCCCCACTGAGACACTATGGACCTGTGCTGCGACCCACTGGTCTCCAGATGCGTCACTAAATTTTCTCTATTAAGCTTGTTGTTTGCAGGCACTAGCTCGGTACGTGTGCAGAGCCGAAATTACCGATGGCCAAGTTGTTCAGGGGCCGACGTACAAGCCGCGCATGCTTAACAGGGGCAAAAAACGACTTGTTTTCCCCAACCCGGTTTACTCGTAGATACGAGGCGTCCCACGCCAATGAGGAATGCATTGTGCCATCGTAGACCAAATAGATGCAAGTCGGTACTGAGGTAGGGTCGCGTAGAAGAGGATGCTGCATAAAGAATCATTATCTCCCATCGGCGGATTTTTTTGGTTACTATTACAATAGTATGTACTATGGTAAGTAATGATCTATCTGCCACTCCGAGGATTTTGCCCCACTGTGTATCTGCATGTTCAGTTACTCGTCCGTCCGGCGAGACAAGTCATTACGTCGTGGTTGTAATATACATCGTAGTATTCGGTGAGGAGATACCGATCACGACAGCACTATATTTGTGGGACAAAACATCATGATCCTGACTCTGCTGGGAGGGAGGTCTTTTTCCAGATGGGAAGGAAGCTTCATGAGCAAAAGAAAGACGACAAGTAAAGTGCCGGCTCCTGGCATGATGAATGGGTGATATTTGAATTCCTTCATGCCTTGGGATTAGTTTGCCATTCGAATCGGAGAATAGATGATGTAGTGGTTTGTTGAATTTGCCCTAACATACTAGACCACGGTAGTTCAGAGATCATCGAAACGAAAATGGAAACGGACAAGATGCCCCCACGTTCCGGGGGGGATTGGGTATGATTTGCACCTGGGCGGGTCTGTGTTTACGCAAGACCGGTGGACACTGTGAATCTCGTAGCAGGTTTTACTCCTATGTTAAGAATTGCTCAATGATGGTCTGGACTGCGCCTTGCATTGTGGGAATTTGTAGCCCTCCATTCCTAAGTCTTTGAAAGTGAAGAAGAAGCGAGTGCGCGGTCTCAAGTAATCATATCGAATATAGGTCGCCAGTCTCAATGTGGTGTACAAGGAACTGTTTTTTCACACATATATTATACGTAGATGATTTCATGTAGCTAGTGCATATCTGCGACGGACCTGATTGCATAAGTCATATATTCGAGCCGTGGTTCCACATGTTTTGAGGTGTGTGTGGCGTTTCATTGAACGATTTGCATCACTCGACTCGGATTCCGGAGATGCAGTTCGGGCCTATCGCCCGAGATGGGCGCCGACCAGGCCCATGCAGCAAATTACAAGTGTATAGTGTATTGTCTACGTCAATGCTAATCTTGCTTGCAGGCCTTATCGAGAAAGAAGAGAGAAAAATACATGAAAACTGGGCTGGAGTTTGGACGGCAAGACACGACTTGGTACATCGAAAGAAAGCAGACAGAATGCTTGCTTGTTGGTTCGTGATTTTGCAGCTGGGCTTCACTGCACACCCAATAAATAATAACCCTTCCTTCTGATGATGACTTGGCCATCTTGTATCTAAGACGGATTCCCAAGAAATATGGATTTTACCCAGGGTGACTGGGGAGTCAATAGCGTTTGTATGATGGTTATTGTTTCACAAAGCCACATGCACACCAGATTAGACGAACACCTAACATGCATAAAATTACATAGACACGCACTCACCACTCCCAGTGCATTGCTTCCCTCAGCCGGTCTAACGCCCGCCGATGACGGACCAAGAAGAAGGCTTGACTCCCCTTCTCTGTTAGCGGAAAGCTGTGCTCCGCAAAACCAATGAGTCTAGGCCTTGTACGTTTCTGCTGACAGGGCTCGCTCGGGCGACACACGGCACGGGAATCCCCACACAGCGGAACCCGCACGCTTGACATCAAAATTCTGCGCCGTGCTGTGATTGGGAAGAATATCGAGCAGCAGTGAGTGAGTCGAGTTGCATGACAGCGGGGGTTCTGATCAGCGAAAAGTGATCCAAGTCGAGTCAGGATTCAACATCACGACTTTCGAAAGACCTCTAGAGAGGGAAATTAAACATTCTTCCTAGGTAAGTAATTCACAAACAAGCCCTGTTTGATATCCAATTTACGCCCTCTCTTCCTTTCGAGAACATCCATTCAGCAAACAATCTCTCTGACCAGCAGCACCAGTGATCGTCACCACTACCATCATCACCATGGCAGCCACTGAAAGCCAAGGAGAGGATTACATTCTCACATTGTCCTGCCCGGACAAGTCTGGCATCGTGCACGCGGTGACGGGCATTTTCGCCAGCCAGGGCATCAACATCCTGGACCTGCAGCAGTTCTCGGACCCAGTCTCCAACAAGTTCTTCATGCGCGTGCACTTTGGACCCGTCTCGTCGCCCGACACCCTCAAGGCCTCCTTTGTGGACCTGTCGGCCTCCCTCGACATGGACTACGACATCCGGCCCGTCGCCAAGAAGATGCGCGTGCTCATCATGGTCTCCAAGATCGGCCACTGCCTCAACGACCTGCTCTTCCGGGCCAAGGCAGGCCAGCTGCGCATCGAGGTGCCCGTCATCGTCTCCAACCACCCAGACTACGAGCACCTGGCCAGGAGCTACGGCATCGAGTTCCACCACCTGCCCGTGACCAAGGACACCAAGGCCCAGCAGGAAGGCCAGATCCTCGAGCTGGTCAAGCAGCACGGCATCGAGCTGATCGTCCTGGCCCGCTACATGCAGGTGCTGTCGCCCACCCTGTGCGCTGCCATGAGCGGCAAGATCATCAACATCCACCACAGCTTTCTGCCCTCCTTCAAGGGCGCCAAGCCCTACCACCAGGCCTACGACCGCGGCGTCAAGATCATCGGCGCCACCGCGCATTTCGTCACCGCTGATCTCGACGAGGGCCCCATCATCGAGCAGCGCGTCGCGAGGGTCGACCACAGCATGAGCCCCAAGGATCTCGTCGAGGAGGGCTCCAATGTCGAGAGCCAGGTATTGGCCGCCGCCGTGAAGTGGGTTGCCGAGAGGCGGGTCTTCCTCAATGTTACAAAGACGGTCGTCTTTAACTGAGCTTTGGTTGTTGGGAAAGAAAAACTGAAAAACAAAGGAAGAGAAAAAGGAGAAGGACATATAAAAATAAAATAAAATCATCCATTTGTTCAAACTGTGTGACGGCTAAGAAGCAAACTCCTATGAGGAAGATGATACTGTCAGACCAAGGCGATGACCAATGATCAAGGCACTGCTCAGGAATGGAAACCTCGTGACTACAATACAACGAGACTCATCACCCATGGTATTACTAGTACAATTTGGTAGATGAGGCAGGCAGCATTATTTGACGGAACCCATCCTTCACTCAAAGCCTTGAATATCTGTGCGCTATTAAATTGTGATACCAGGCAGCCACTTAAGATAGCCTCAACCAACTAGCTACTTTTCCTTCATCTTTCCTTTCTTTCGTTTCTTTCTGCAGCGCAACCATCAAGCTAAATCCAAATTATCTCATTGTGTCCTATGTAGTAAATTCTCTGCAGCCGATTAGATTGTCTTCCAAGGGTTGCACTGAATCCATTAATTTTACACTCAATACCCTCCATGAGACACGCCCTACTATTGCTGTATTACTGTCAACAGTAACTTGTTGTCCCACTCAGTTCCCCTAATCCGTGAACGAACTTATTTAGGTAGATGCATGTGGCTTACATACCCCATCTGTGCTCCATCTTTTTGAGGCGCAGTCACTCCTCTAACACTTCATGGTTGGGTAGACAATTCGTGACTTATCTAGCGTGAAAAGCACCAAATATTAATGTACAACGAGCAAAGCTGGTGCCTGTTCAACCTCGTGAAGAAATATATATATATTCAATTACGGCCATGGCCCAACTTAATAGTATTGTTCCATAGCAACAAGCAGCCAAAACTCCCTCCTCCCGCACGTGGCTTCCTAATTGCTCTCAACTCAATCCCAACTCTGCAATGTCGATTCCAGACTTTGACCATCTCCCGGCTGTGGAGGGAATGCCACAAGGCTGTGCATGGGGCGTCTTCGACAAGGACGGAAAGAAAGACCTCCTGGGCACGCTCAATCTTCTCACCCCGGCTGTGGTCGCTGCTGCGGCTGCCGAGGTCAAGGACGGGGTGTCTATATCATTGAAGTAACCCCCAATAATTTTTTTTTTTTTTCCCCAACCGCCCCCCATTCTCTCAAGAGATACTAAGAATAAAAATCACTCATCTGACATCTAACGCAAAGCTGGCCGCTCAATGGCATCAAGATACCCATCCCAGGGCGTAAAGCGCCTGTCCATAAATTCATATCCTTCTTGACTCCCAACGAGCTGACTCCCTCGACATGTCATGGCTGGGACGACGAGCTGGAGTTCAACACCCAGTTCAGCAGCCAGTGGGACAGCCTGTGCCACATGCAGCATCAGCCGTCAGGCCTGGCTTACAACGGGACCAAGGTCACTCTTGACGGCTTGTCCTCGCCCCAGACAAGCGCTGAGAACTCGCTGCCGACTCTCGACCACTGGCACGCCCACGGCGGACTCGTGGGCAGAGGCGTCCTGATCGACTTCAAGGGCTACATGGACGCTCAAAACAAGCCTTACCACTGCCTCGATGGGTACCGCATCACAGTCGAGGACATCGAGAACGTGGCCAGGCACCAGAAGGTTGAGTTCCGACATGGGGACATCTTGATCATCCGGACCGGCGTTACGGAGATCTTTGAGAATCTTACACCTGAAGACCTTGCCAAGCTGCAGCAGTTCAGGCTGTCTGGGCTGCACGGTTCCGAGGACACGGCGAGGTGGGTCTGGAACAGGCATTTTTCTGCGGTGGCGGGAGATAGCTCGTCGTTTGAAGCTTTTCCTCCGCTCAAGGCAGATGGCACAGAAGGTTCTGTCGGTGATCTCGGTAAGTGGATGGATGATGGACAGCCCATTTTCAATTTTATTTTATTTTGGTAGCCTGGTTACGGGAATATCATATACTGACAGAAGCAGTATTGCATCAATATTTTCTCGCAATGTTTGGTCTGCCTATCGGAGAGCTCTGGGATCTCAAAGCCCTTTCTGCGTATTGCAGGAAGACTGGAAGATACAGTTTCATGTTGACCTCGGCGCCGTTAAACCACCCAGGTCTCGTGGCCTCTCCGCCGAATGCGCTAGCTATCTTCTGATGTCTCACCAAGGACAGACCCTCGAGCTGTGCATAAAGTATCGAGGGCTAACAAACTACTCTGGTTTCTTTCAAGATGTGGTTTTCTTAGGAATTCTGTGCAACGAACAGGTTTTTTGGATTTCCTTTTCCATATCTGAAAAGAGCCCAGAAGCGTGTTTAAGTGATGCACAACTGAAGCCTGGAAGAATGTATCAAAATATCATAATCTTAGAACTCACTCCATATGAAGAAACTCGAGAATATATTTGGATATGTAGTTCATGGACACGGACACTGGGTATCAGACAAGATTCGGGTTGCCGATATAGAAACTCTGGCAGTTGTACGCCATGCATCGACCTACGCGTAACTACTCCGTGAAACAACGGCTCTCGTATTCCTTGATATCAAGTGCTGTCCACAATGTACGAGGGTAGGCCAAGTCCAAAGTCGCCTTTCAAAGAAACTGTAATCATCATTAACATTCAACCAACACTCCTCCCGCCACATCCGCCGGAAACGATCTTCACTTCCCTAAATTAACAACTGAATTGCCTCCGTACATACTGTATGCATACTTTTCTCCGAGGTCACCATGCTGGAGTGTGCGTTGGCAAGCGCCGGGTTCTGCGGCATGACCGTGGACTGTGCAGGAGGAAGAAAAACCCATCACATACAAAGTAGGTAGGTACTTAGTATGTACGAGTTTCTCACTCACTATGCTGGAAGATCATAAAATTTATCGGATAGCTCAAGTATGGTACCTACACCCGATTAGCATTTGTCCGGCGGCGCTGTGATAGGCTCGACTGAGGGGCTTTCCAAAAATCGGGTCATGGAAGGGGGGTTGGCTGCAGTAGTAACATGCACTTATGTACACTGCATGCATAAAGTACGTTGTGGGATGTGTGTGTGGGCCAACCGTAGTCAACGCTTGGAGATAAAAAGGGCAAACAACCCGCCGAACACAAAGGAAACACCTCCTCTACCCTCTTTGCATCTTTCCTCCTTTTCCCTCAAGCCATTACATATTCTGTGACCAAATAATAGTCAAACTACCTTTTGAAGAAACACTCCACACTGGACTCAAATCCCATTTATTCTTCCTACAGCCGCTCAAAATATCAGGTCGGAGCCCAACTGCAGAAGGATGCATGTGAGGGGGCCGGAGGAGGTCTAACGGAGGAGCGATCGAGAAAGAAATGTGTCCAGTATAATTATCCATGCTATATGATGTTGTTGAGCCCATGTTTTTGCATGTGTATCGACGACTTGCTTGTGATCAAGTATGGATCAAACTTCTTGCGAGACAGGTTCCTAGACAGGTTCCTAGACAGATTCCTAGACAGGTTCCGGTGCTGCTGGGACTTTGTTCCAGACCCCTCCGACCATGATTACTACTGCCGTGGCCGCCCTCGTAAGATGGCCATACTCGAGGTGAAGATCATATGACCAGACAAGGGAGGCATTCAGCGCGGGGATGTATGATGGGCACAAAGGCGGGGAAGATTGGTTGCGTGTACAATAACAGAGGCGGTCTCTATCGGGGGCACGATACCGTGTGTACTTGACTGGTCCTCATTGGGCAGATATATTCATCAGGCGTAGTGAGTGACTGTTTGTCAAGCCTCGCAAGAGATGTGCATTAAGGCCTTGAGAGGTGTTACGACGGCGCAGGGCTCCGTCGGTCCACCAGTGCTCTACCAGCAGCAGCGCAGCAGCGGACACTTCGATTGACTCTCAAGACAAGACCCCACGCCGCGACTCAAAGTTTCCTCTCCGAAACGATACTCAGCTCGATCGATCACAGTAACCACAGTCACACATCGCATCATCCAACAGACCCCTATATTTTTGGTTGGAGAAGGTTTTTTGTTCTTCTTTCTTGGTTTTTTCTCGTCCATGTAGGCTCATCTCAGTAGTTCAGGGTGTATGGGTCCCTATATCTGGGGACCGGACCTGACGAATAAGCCAGCACTATTTCCCATCCCGAAAAGCCGTCCGTCGCCAAATGCAAGACCAGACCATCCCACGCCGATCTAAGCGCAAACGTAAAAAGAAGCACACAAAGGGTTTGTCGTTGGTACGAGCACGACCACCATCTAGTAGCCGTAGGCCTCGAGGGCCTTGGTGGTCTTGTCGTCGACCTTGGCGTTCTTCTTGGCCTCGGTGATTTGTCGTCGGGCGGCCTTCTTGCGCTCGTAGTAGGCGGCGCCCTTGGCCTTTCTGCGCTCCTCGAGTCTGTGTACACATCATCTGTCAGTAAAGCTGGTCCCCAACCAAAACACCCCGAGGGGTTCTGCTCCCCGTGGAGCCGAGAAAACGTACCTCTCAACCACATCCTGGTACTTCCAGCCAACCTCGTGGCTCAGACGGCCGACGGTGCAGTACTTGCGGCCGGGCTGCAGACGCAGAACACGCAGAGCCTGGGGAACGACCATCTTCTTCTGCTTGTCGTAAGGGGGAGGGACACCCTCGAAGACCTTGAGGCGCTCGAGGGCGGCGGCACCGCGGGCGGTCTTGTGGGGAATCATGCCGCGGACAGCCTTGTAGAAGATGCGAGAGGGAGCACGGAAGTGGAAGGGGCCTGGCAGCAGTAAAAGTCAGATATGTTGTCTCAATCGATAATTTTTGCGCCTTGGGAGCGAGAGGGGGGGAAATCGTCGACTGACCTCCGCGAGTGGGGTTGTAACGGGTCATCTTGCGCAGGTAGGCGTGGTACTTGACTGTATATCCATATTGTCAGTTTTCATGCTAGGATTTTATTCTATTCATGCTTGCCACTATCCATCCTCGACCACCTCGACAAGTAACACCAGGTACACTCGAGGATTGTGGTGTCGAGAAATCGACTGGAGGGGGGGGGGGGGGGAGAGGATTGGTTGTAGGTGCAAGACGTACGCTTAGCGCGGAAGAACTCTCCAGAGATGTTGAGGGCCTCGCAGCGGACGATGACGATCTTCTGGCCGCTCAGCAGTTGCTTGGCAACAATGCTGGCGAGACGGCCCAGAAGGTGGCCCTTGCCATCAATGACGACCTGAGTGACACGCACAGAAACAGTCAGCTTCTTTGCTCTTCCCACAGTATATTTGTGATGTGTTGTGACGATTGGATCCCCTGCCCTCGCCGCCCATCATCGATTCGCATCGCGAAAAGAATATTTCGTTCGCGTCGTCCTGCATCAAGGGAGCTCGTCCCGTCCACCTCATTCTCCGAAGCACACCAAGATGTATGGAACGCTGGCGAATCCGTCATCCATCTGTCGACCACACCAGCGTTCCCGACGATCTCCAGCCAGCTCAGGGCGGGCCAATCCCATCCCTCCTCTCTCTGATTGTGCAGCAAGGGGCCATAGTCGATGATAGCACTGCAATGTGTGTGTCTGCGCGCGTGCGTGTCGTGATGTGAATCGGGGGTGGGGGGATTGTACTCACGACCTGCTCGAAGGTGGACATCTTTGTGGAGTTGTCGTCAACCAGACAGGAGGTAAAGGGGATAAAAGAAGATGCTCAGAAGGACAAACTTCGAAGTTAAACGAAGTCTGCGAAATATTCTGAGTCGTCCCTGGTTGTGGTAGGGTTAGTATTTGGTTGGGAGTTGGGGAGGCAATGGGAAGAAGATGGGACCTGGGCCACACGCACGGGGAAAATTGAGATGCCCACGCAGTCTTGCGCCTGCTGTAAGTGGCCCGTTCTCCGGCTAGCCCTCTGCTTTCCTGCGGGCAGAGGGAACAAGGGCCAGCGAGAATTTTTAGGGCAGCTAGTCCCACGTGATGTGTGGCCAATCAAAACCCTACCCGGACCCACTTCTCTTTTGCCCTACCCGGCCTGTCTTGCCAGTGCCTGCCAGTCCGCACTGCACCAGCAGCATCTCAACGACATAAGGCAGTCACCAACTAGGGATTCACCAGAGTAATCTTATCGGTTCAGGGCTACTATCATTGCCGCGATCTATGCTTGCATTTTCCCCACGTGTTCGACGTTCGCTCTCGCCCTCGCTCTGAGTGCTTCCTAAATCATTTGGTATCGAAGAAACGTAAGTCCTGCATTGGGGGAATGCTCAACTGCTGCCGTGTTGCCTAGTAGCCACTCAGAAGAAGAAAAAACACATTCACCATCTCAATCTACAGAAGCATATCTTTAGAGTTTCATGCCAAAAGGGCTGAGAATAGTGGCATACAGGTTACACTGAAGAAATCACATGATGTTTCCACCACAAGAGATGTAATTTGATGCCAGCAGACCAAAAGGTAAAACGGCTCTGCCTAACAGCCGTGCTCCTTTTGCGCCGGCGACCTGTCATGCTCAACCGACTTGCCTTCTCAGTGACCTTTGCTGCGCCTTAGAAAAGGTACCCAGGTCTGTCTATCCTGTCGTCCGTACATCCTTCCGTCCATGCTTGCATGCTAGGAAACTTTGGCCCCGTGTCCCCATGGTATGCGCCACGCTACATCTTGGCGATCAAAACACGAAAAAGATGCAACATGTAAACTGTGAAATAGAGGGTCGACCGTCAGGCGTGGGGCCAGACTGTGTTGTTTGCGCGCCTCTCCACTTCTAACTTCATCAAGCTACCAGGCTCAAGCCATCTCAGCTGTGCTCTTCCTCAGAAGTGGTTCGGCCCCAACAAGTCTCAAGCGTTCACCTTGCTGTCGAGCCCCTTGAGGACTTCCTGCACCGTCCTGACCAGCTCCTTTCTCCTGGCGCGCGCCTCCTCCTCCCCGTTGGTCTCCACCTCGTCAAGCTTCAGTAGCACCTGCTGCATGACCGTCTCGGAGAGCTTGCGATGCTCATCCTCTCGCTTTTTTGGGTCTGACGGCGGGCTGGCGGTAAATTGGACGCACAACGGCAGCAGTTTGGTTGTGAAGTGGGTGCTGATGGAGTTGAGCTTGTCAATGGGCCCCCCTGGTGCGGCCGCTGCCGCGCTGGCGCCAGAAACCGCGGATGCAGGCGACTGCGGTCTGCTCGCGCCAGTGCCGCCGCTGGGGACCTCCAGGTTGCTCTCCCGAGGGCTGTCGCTTCTCCTGCTCTTCTTGCTCTTGCTCTTGTTCTTCTTCTTGGACTTCTTAGGGCGGCTCTCCTCGTCTCCCCTCCCTACCACTACCACCTCCTCGCTGCTCTGGCTGCTGGAGTCGTCGTCGTCGCCGGGTTCGGGCAGGACTACGAGGATCTCGCTGTTGTTCTTGACGTTGAACTCGCAGACCGGGGCCAGGTTGTCCTTCAGCTGCCGGCCCTTGTACAGCAGTCTTATCTTGTTTGTCCTCCGGTCCGACAGCTTCATGATCATCTGCACGCGCTCCCGAACGTCGCCTACCAGGAGCTTGCCATCGCCGATACTGTAGGCGGGAAAGTGCTCCGGGTAGGTGGCGCCCTTGTGCTTGATGAGGAGGATATCGTCGTCGTCGATGACCAGCGCGGGGCCGCCGCCCGCCGCCCGCGTGTAGTGGCTGCCGCTGCCAGCCGGATCCTTGCCGTATCGCCCGTCCATGCCGTGGGTGCGCTCAAGATCTTCCGACGTGATGTAGCTATAGTCCTCATCCGTAACCTCGGGGACGCCACCTCGACCGTCGCCCAGGCTAGAGCCGAATGGTGATAGGCCGCCGCGCTCGTGGCTCGACCAGCCCCTCCGTGACATCTTTTCTCCGCCGGCTTTCCTGTTTGCCCTGTTGGAAATTGACTTGGCGTAGGCAGTGGGTATGGCGCCGAGGAGGATGGCGGCGGCAGCAGCGCTGCTGTAGAAGAGAGCCGGATCGACACCTGTGGTGGCTTGGATGTATTGTGAGGCGCTGTCGATACCTGTCTGAACCGAGTGAGGCAGTTGCTTCACCAGGCTGGTGGTCAAGTTGGCAATATGCCCGGTGATGACGGCACCGGAGGATGCCAGGGTGGAAGGAGGTCCGGAAGCCACCGTGGGCGATGTTGGAGGGTCCTTGGAAGGACACGGACCGGGAATCGAGAGGATTTAAATGGTGTTGATATCTGGATAGAATCGAAAGAGAGACGGGTGCGGCTGTCTTTTTGTAAACGTCAACAGCAGCCCTTTTGCCCGGGGGGGGGGGGGTGAGACTGTTCTGTGATCGGGCAGGCAGGCTTGCGATCAAAGGAGGGACATTGGGAGCAGGTAGCTAACTGACTGAGTGACTACAGTCTGGTCCGTCAAGCCAGAAAAACCATTCCCTGAATCAGTGAAGCGGGTTCGGGGGTCTCGAGGCCTGAGTTCTGACGTGATAAGGTGGGGCCGATGCTGTAATGCTGAACGCCGGAGATGCTGTGATGCAGAGAGTGTGCGCGGCAGGCTGCATGCGCCGAGCAAACAAGTGCGTCCGAAACTTGTCTCGTGAGCTCGTGAGAGACCAAATAGTGAAAGGCTGTGTACGTTGACAATGGGGTGACGAGTTGAGGTCGTGCATAGGCTGAGAGATACGGATGGTGTCGCTGAAGATTTCACACCCTCTAATCGGTTGCGAGGATCCAGTTACAGGGATCGATGGGACGGCAAGGAAGAAAAGTATCAGCTTGAAAAGTGCTGCAGAGAAAGTTGATCGACTTTTTGATGATGGCGTTGACCCCCGGGAATGAATATGCAAAGCTTAGGTTGCAGGTTGGAAATGAGGCTGCGAAGGTCTCTTGGCCAGGCCAGGCCCAATCGAGATGCTTGCCGAAACAAGCCAGCCCTGAATCCCCTGACGTGGTCAATACAGGGTTAGGGTTATAGCGTCCTCCTTTTTTAAAAACACTTGGACGCCTAGATGGGATACGAGAAGGGATACGAGTTGAAAACGAGGTCGGCGATCCAACAACAATAATTTGGACGATGTACATATCAATCGATTGTATGGAATGATCTGGACCAGAATAAATATAAGGCGATAGACAAGGCGACGAGACGGGTAGTATATCACAGGCAACGCGTTTTGAGGGTACTTAGTACGCAATGACCAAAAGTTTTGGATTTCGACCTGGTGTCCTCGAAGTTAAACAGGTCTGAGGATCACACGAGTTGGCAGCAAAGCCATGTCTTGTGTGTCTTGCTTCATTCTGAGATGAGATGAGACTGTGACACTTGGATCGTTCTGTCTGCGAACAATGCCGTGGTAAATGCCACAGGAAGAGGTGATTCCTTTCTTCCCTTTGCCTGTATCCGGCTCTCTCAACTCTTTTCCACTATAATGAAGCATCTACAGTAGTACGCTGGGTTTTGAGGTGTTCTGGGAGACCCTCGTCCTGTTGCTTTTGTCATCTCGTTGCTTTTCCAAATTCGATGCAGCCTTACAAGGCCTACATGGAACTGTATCCTACGGTGGGGTCGGTCCGGTGGCGTTGATGATGCTGGCTGACAAACATGTCACCACCCCTCGTCGAGATTTGGAATTGTTCAATTATCACTATAACTTACTCATGTACTGGGTTACATACATCGCATGTGGTCTGTAACAGTGGATCTCAGCGGGCATTGCGTCATTTCCATACCTGCAAACAAACGAGAGGCACTAGGCGCACAGAGTGAATACTTCCACGAGCTTCGATAGTTGTGTTCGGTCTGTACAGTAAAGGAATTGCTACATAATAGTAAATATACTTTATACCTGGGTCATCTGCCTTTGAAAAGATGATCCAGAATACTCACTGTTTGTGTGATTACTATGCATTATGATACAACCCGTGTCAGCCAGCGCGACGAGGCAAAGAATTCAACCGAGGTCGGACAGCAGGCCAGGGGGGGGGGGGTTTTGTGCAGTATTCAAAAACCCAATGATGGAGGGGTCGAGGGGTAAAAATTGATTTCGTAAAATCAACCAGCCTCCTGGAGAAATCAACCTGCCCCCCACCGGCGCTATACCTAAAGTAAACAGCAATCTAATAAATATCTCACATGTACTCACCTCCAGTACAGAACATATGCTCACACTATGACTGGCGCTGCTTATCTGCAATAGCTTATATAGATATGCTTATGGATTAAGGAGTATACTGGATATGAAAAATTTAACTCTGAATAATTATGTCTTGTAATGTGAATTAACATTTGCACTCGCAGCCTTATTACAAGCGGCGCAATGTATACTATATCTATTATGAAAGACAGTGTGGGCGCCATGTGCATAGTCTGCCAAATACGGCTAGAGTGGTGGGGGGCCAGTTGATTTCTCCAAGTGGCTGGTTGATTTTACCAAATTCGATAAGAATACGATTGGGGGCAGGGGGACGGGGTGGTAGTGTGCTAAATATTCAGGTACGGAAAAAGTGTATGTACTGTCCGCGCTGAATGGGGTACCGCGATATATGGAAGCAGTTAGCAGGATACAAAGAGGTCACCTAATTATCGAACACTGACAAATCCAACCTTGGCTGACACCTGAAAATATTCCTATGCCCAAGTCATCCATATCCCACTACGTAGTACATGCAACACTGACATATAATTATCGATTCCCCTTCTGCGCCTCCAACCCGCTCCAACTTTTCTCAACACAACCCTCACACAAACCTCCCCCCAGTCAATGTCCCTCCTGCGCAGATTCTTCTCCGGAGTCTCAACATCACCAATCAACATGTCTAGCGCAAAGGGAAAGGCCGAACTCCTTATCAAGGAGAACCCCGTGATGGTCTTTAGCAAGAGCTACTGCCCTTACTGCCGGGCCACCAAGAAGACCCTGCAGGGCCTGGGCGCCGACTTCAAGGTCTACGAGATGGACGAAGAGAGTGCGTAGCTTTCTTTCTCTTCCCTCTCTCCTGCTTGCTCTTGTCCTTCTCATACCTACGTGCCGATCCCACTGACCGTTTGTTTTCTTTCTCGGTGTTGTATAGGCGACGGCTCTGATATTCAGGACGCTCTCCAGAAAGAGGTCGTGGCCGCCGAGGGCCAGCGCAGCGTACCCAACATCTTCATCGGTGGCGAGCACATCGGTGGCAATGACAACCTGCACGCCCTCTCGCAGAATGACCTCAAGGCCAAGCTCAAGGGGGTCGGCGCCATTGCGTAAGGCCCGTTCCGCCCAAGCAGCAACTACTACTCTCGTTTCAATTCTTCTACTATGACGGAGTGGCATTGACGACTACAGCATGGACGGCAAGGCAAACCTGTGATGGTGGGGGAAGTAGATGAGGGGAGCGTGGAGTTATCCATCCATAGGAGCGATGACCAAGAATATTATACGGGGAAGAGAGTAATAAACAAAAAACCCCGTCAAAGTTGCCAAGTAAAGCAAAGATCATCCCTCGAGACAGAATTGAAACAGGTTTCTCTGGGTATTCTCGCAAGGCGTGATGCTTCCTTTGTGCTTTCTCTTGTCTCCTTTCTTTTTCTTCTCGCCAATGGTAGTAGAGATGGTAATCGGAAGAAGGATAGGAGTAATCACTCGCCACTATATGACCTGCGCTGCCACCGTCCCCACAGGCCTCTCCACAAAGCCCATAACGCCGTTCACAATGCTCTGCCTGGCCTCCTCGCTCGCAATCTTCTTGCCCGCGAGGTAATTCATCCACAGCGCCCTCGAGATCCTCTCGTCTGCCACGGTGCCCAGGAGCTGTCTACCCCATGACTTGCCCTCATCGTAGACCATGGTCAACTTGCCGTCCCGGTCCCGGAGAAGTAGCAGCTCCTTCTGTTTCGGCACCTTGCCCCTGCTGAAAATCTTCTTGAACTCCTGCATGGCCTGCCCAAAGGCCTCATCCTTCTCCTGGCCCGTCCGCGCCTGAATGGCCCGGACAAAGCCGTCGCGCAGGTGGCCAAAGTCTGTGTCGCGAACCGGCACCACGCGCACCATGCTCCGCGCCGGCACACCAGATCGAAGCAGCTCCTCCCAGACCTGCTCGCCCTCCACCACGTCCAGCAGCTTCTTGCGCAGGTCGTCCTTCTCCGTCGAGACCAGCGCCGACGCGATGGGGTTGATCCTCTTGACGAGGCGCGCCTGCAGCTCGGCTATGTCTGCTGTCGCGATGTAGTACCCTAGTACATAGACATTGATGCCCAGGAAGGACACAGAGCGGGTGCCCAGGCCCACGAGTGTATACTCGGTATCGCTGGTCTCACTTGGTCGGACCACGAGGGTGGGGGAAATAACACTTGGAACGCGGTCGGCAGGTACCGCGGTGTTGTCTTCCTGCGCACCCGGTGTTGTCTCCGTAAATTCAGGCAGCTCGATCGTCCTCGGAAACGCAGGCACCGTGCTGTTCCCCGTTGGCACGAGCTCGCGCCCGTCCTCGTCGTGTTTGACCACCTGCCTCCCAGCATCGTTCAGTGGGTGGCCCGCTGGCAAGCCCGAATCCAGCTGTGTGCCTCTTCCAGCCTTGGCCTTATTGGCCCCATCCCCATCTCTCAGCAGCACATAGATCTTGTAGGATATGTAGATGATCGAGATGAGACCGGCAGCGGCACCACCCGCCAGCATCTGCTGCCGCGTGTTGTAGTACTCGGCATGCTGGCGGGCAAGGCGCTGAACGTTGAGGTTGTCGAGGGCTTCACGGCGCGAGGGCTGCTGGCGCGAGCGCTGGAAGATGGTCCGACGGACGGTGTGGGAGCAGCGTGGACAGGCGGTTGGGGCCTGAGGGAGGGGAGGTCGGCCGAGGGTGCGTGCTAGAGGCTGTCGCAGCATGTTGGGCGAGCTTTGGTGCTGGGTGGGTTGTCGCGCAGAATGTGCTTAAGGAAACATGTCAATACCAACTCTTATAATTGCGCATATCCGAAAAGAAATATAACCCCAATCCAAGTTGGCTAGAGAAATGTTCCTGGACGGTGTACTAGGTTTTGAGAGCTCGCGTGTAAGGACCGGTTATGCCGTTTGGGAAAATACAGCCGGTAAGATTCGCATCTCAGCTTCCTGCAAACTAGTATTGCATAGACCCTTCGATAGTTGTTGGGTCTACGTCATCGGTATGCACATAACAGAACGCTCACTTCTTCCTCCCCGTTCTATGTACAGTACAACGGTACAGGGTCCGAGGTCCCAACTGTGCTCCAGATTCCGTCCCAGAGCTGGGCAGGGCTTAGGTTTACCGCTGTCAGTCTGTATCGTTTACTGACTACTTGCTCTATGCCTGCTGTGTATACGATTCATAGTCTGTTATTTGCCATCTTCGGAAGAGGAGCGGTACATCACTGCACATGGGAATTACCAGTTAGAAGTGGAAATCTGTGCGAGTTCGATTGACAACGAGACCACGATCATGATAGCCGAATATACAAGTCACGGACTTAGAAGTTGAAGAAGGAAAAAGAATGTTATTAACAAGGACATGTTGGAGAAGCACATGAGACCAGGAGGAATGTGGTACCATGTCCTGGTGGTTACTGTTGCTTGAGCAACAGGGCAGCCAGGCAACTGAAGAGCCTGTCGCTCACCGTTGACGCCAGCCCCCAAGAAGCGCCGAAGGGTTCCAGGGCAGGTGCTGCTGGCGGCCGAACACGCTAGCTCCTAACACCTAGCAACCAGCAACAAGGACCCAGAACCAGCACCAGGATTAGGATACCTTAGCCCAGGTCACTCGGTTCACAGATCGACCCGTCCGCTCCAGGGCTTCCCATTGCTCCCTGTTCTCGACCCAACTCGGCCACAGGTTGGTTCATTCAGGTGCTGACTGCTTACTTTTTGACCACTGACTCGATTCCAACGCGGTAACGCCGGCCAGCCAGCCTCACCGTGAGCACCTCATCTCGAGGGAGCTGACTTACTACTACTGAAGAAACTACTTCCCCCAGACACGGTGCGCTTCAACCCCAGCAAAGTGCAACAGACCAGTGTCACACAACCGGTGCATCGTCCAAGCAGCCCCTCCCCCCAGTGGAGCAACTTCGTCTGTTCCAACCCTACCTGGTCCAGTGCATTGCATTACATTATTACAGGTAGCAAAACAGCCAGTGCAGTGGCAGCTAAACCCGCCCCTAGCCTTCCCGTCAACATAGCGGGGCCGGATATTTGAGTTTTGGTGGCAGCACAGGCCTAACTTGGGCGAGTGAGTGGCTGTGAGTGGTTCTGGGGTTGGTCTGGCAGCCGGGCTCCCTGGTAGGACTCACCTTCTCATCTTTCGTCTTTGCGCCTGACCTCACTCGGCCTTCCTCGACACTTCGAACCACGCTCCCCTCCCTCTACGCCCTTACTTGGCCATCCTCATTTAGTCCTCAGGCCCTCCTCCCCAACAGACATCGATTCTGGTCTGGCCTCGTCCGTCTCACAAGGTGGAACGGGAACCCTCTTTCGCGCAAGACAGATACAAACCAACAAAGACGCAGCAGGGACGACGCATCGGATTCAGATCCAGGTCCAGATCCATAATCCAGGAGGACCAGACCAGGGATAGGGCCAGCCTACGAATTATTGCATCACCTGTGACTGCCAGCGACCGACAATATCAGTACAGACATAGTGACAACTGCAGGCCACGCCTACGATCAGTCATCATCTCTCCTCCTCCTAACCTGCGACCCGCCCCTGCCCCGACCGACCGATCAATCTTCTATCTCTCCCTGGCCTCTCTTTGTGCTGTACGCCAGGCTCAACCCACACCAATCTGAGACCCTGTCTCCCTTCCCTCTCTTTTTCTCTCTTTTAGTGTCCTTGCCCAGTCGGTTGTGCAACACCACCACGCACGAGGCCTCGACTCAGAAATCTTCCTCACTCTCGCCTCGTGTCTGCTGCAGGCCTGGAACTGTGGCTGGGCCTGTGACTGTCAGCCCGTTGCAGCCCAAAAGGGGACGCTCTCCTCATTGTCGACACGGTCCCGTTCCCGACATCTCGACTCGATCGACTACCCGCCTTGGCCCCCCCCACTCGATCACTCGTCGCCAGACCCACCGTATACTCCCCTTCAACAGCCTGAAGGATCACTACGGCAGGCTGCGTCACTGTCCGTGTCTGCTGCATCTACGTGCGTCACATCTGCCGTAACGGGCCGCCGAGTGTTGCACAGGCTGCCCGGCTCCAAGAAGCACGCACGCCTGACCGTCCTCCGCCTGACCGCTGGTGAGAACCCCCCCCCCCTTCTCTCTCTCCTGCTGTTGCTGTCCTGACCCGCAGACACCCAACTCAAGGCCTCTGATACTGATATCTGTTTATGCAGACCAGGCTCTCCGTTCTATCCCACACATAAACCTCCATTCTAAGATACATCAACATTACCCCGCCCCATCTCGAGACCATGGCGAGCCAGGGCGCGTCTTCTCTCGACGCGATAGCCAACGGCCGCCAGCCTCGTAGTCCTCCTACACCATCCGCCGCAGCCGCTGGTGATGACCCACAAGACTCGAGGTCTACGTCCTCAGCCAGCACCCCCCTCCCCGCCGAGGAGTCCGATTTCTACCTCAACGGCAATGACTCCGAATCTTCCCTGGGCGTGCCCAACCTGCAGGACATGCAGGTCACGGACGAATACGAGTGCTTACCACCGGTCCAGCGGCTGCCCAACGAGATACTTATATGCATCTTCTCCAAGCTGTCCGCCTCGAGCGATCTCCTGAACATTATGCTCACCTGCAAGCGATGGTCTAGGAACGCTGTCGACCTGCTCTGGCACCGCCCTGCCTGCACCACGTGGAAAAAGTACGAGATGGTCTGCAACACCTTAGGCCGCGAGCAGCCCTACTATGGCTACGCCGACTTCGTCAAGCGCCTCAATCTGGCCCAGCTATCAGATCAGGTCAACGACGGGAGCGTCACCCCTCTGGCCGTCTGCAACCGCGTCGAGCGACTCACCCTGACGGGCTGCAAAGGTCTCGCCGACACGGGCTTGATTGCCCTCGCCACCAACAGCTCCCACCTCATGGCCCTCGACATCTCCGGGGACCAACAGATCACCGAGGAGTCCATCAAGGTCATTGCAGAGCACTGCAGACGCCTGCAAGGCCTGAACATCTCCAGCTGTGTCAGGATTGCCAGCGAGTCGCTGGTCCTGCTCGCCGAGAGCTGCAAGCTGCTCAAGCGGGTATGTGCTCTTCCCCATCTATCTGCCCTTGTCGGGCTACCCTCCCCCTCCCTCTTCCTCTTCCTCCTTCACTACCCACCTTGCTGGGACTGTTGGTAATGTGCTGACGATGGTCTCAACAGCTCAAATTGAACGACTGTACACAAATCACCGACGATGCTGTCCTTGCCTTTGCCGAGCACTGTCCCAATATCCTCGAGATCGACCTGCAGCAGTGCAAGCTGGTGGGAAACACGCCGGTCACGTCTCTCCTGGTCAAGGGCAGCTCCCTCAGGGAGCTCCGGCTGGCCAACTGCGAGCTCGTGGACGACACTGCCTTCCTGTCGCTACCTGCCGGCAAGTCCTACGAACACCTGCGCATTCTTGACTTGACGTCGTGCGTCAGGATCACCGACCGTGCTGTCGAGAAGATCATCGAGGCCGCCCCTCGCCTGCGGAACGTTGTCTTTGCCAAGTGCCGCAACATTACAGACCAGGCCGTGTTTGCCATATCCCGGCTGGGCAAGAACCTGCACTATGTGCACCTGGGCCACTGCGTCAACCTGACGGATGAGGCCGTGAAGCGCCTGGTCCAATGTTGCAACCGAATTCGGTATATTGATCTAGGCTGCTGCACACATCTGACCGACGAGTCCGTCACACGGCTTGCTGTTCTGCCAAAACTCAAGAGAATTGGTCTGGTCAAGTGCAACAACATCACCGACACTTCTGTCTATGCCCTCGCCAAGGCGAATCAGAGGTATCGGAGGCCCAGAGAAGGCGACTCTAGAAATACAGCAGAGTACTTCTCCAGCGGGAGCAGCTTGGAGCGCGTTCACCTGAGCTACTGCACACAGCTCACCCTGAAGGTAAATACTCCCCAGCCTAGTGTCTGTATATGTGTGTGTTTTGAACATGCGAGACTGACTGGTGATAAAATGTGTCGTGCAGAGCATCATGAGACTCCTCAATTCCTGTCCACGACTGACCCATCTCAGTCTTACCGGGGTCCAGGCTTTCCTTAGGCAGGACTTGGAACAGTTTTGTCGCGATGCTCCCACTGGTAAGGCACCCACCCGCTGCTCAGGCGACTCTGGCTTATGAAACGTCGTCTCGATTACTGACCCTCTTATCTCGTGCTCGCCCTTAACAGAGTTCACTGACCACCAGCGGAACGTGTTCTGCGTCTTCTCGGGCGCCGGAGTTTCCAGTCTTCGTCGTCATCTGAACAGCGATGTGGCGTTTGCCCACCTGCGGGATGCGACTCCGAATGGACAGCCGCGGCATGCCCAGAATCCCCTCGACTTCGTCTACGACAACATGCAACCGCTGGGGGGTGAGCCAGGGCCTGACCTCGGCTTCGACGAGCGGGAAAGGGACGGAATCGAGGACGACGATGTTCTTGATGACGGCAGCGAGATGGTCGTTGATGCTGCTCCTCCTCCTCCTCCTCCTCCACCACCCCCACACAACAACCCTGTGCAGGCTCCAGCAGCGGGTGCCAGCCTGATCCCGCCGCCATCACAGCCTCAAGCGTCGAGCAACGACTTCCAGTGGAATCCCCAGAGCCAGCACTGGTACCCAAGGCAACAACAGCACCCGCTCCCGCACAGCGCACCGCTCCCCAACGGACCTACATTTACGGCCCAGATGAGTTTTGCGTCTCAGCCTGGTGGCCCACCTTACCCCGAGATCAGAGCCCCGCCAGCGTATTGGACGAGTGGGCAGCCGACAGCCAGCACGGCTCCTGTGGGCTTAGGCGGCGGTCCGGGTCCCAGCACGGCGAGCATGAATGCAAGTCACAGCAATAGTGACACCTCTGGCCAACCAGTCCACCCAGGTGAGCCGGGCGAGGCTGAGGACGAGGATGATCCGAGCAGCAGCAGTCCTCCTGGGGATTTGTCATGAGGCATGACACACACACACGCGCGAGTCCGTCAATGCCACGTACGACGATGGCTGTTGTTGTGTGCCTGGGCCTGCTGTTATATCACACGTCTTGATGGCCAGTTCAAGTGGATAAAGCACTTGGATTGTCCAGGACAAGCAGCGCCACGGAAGGAGAGGAAGGGTGTTTGAAGGTCGCGGGGCACATAAGACGGTCCAGTGGCCAATGAAAAAGGGTTGGCGGCAATAGATCGTAAGTGTTCAGCATGCTTTTCTTTTGGGTCTTGTGACCAAACATGCAATTAGCGATACCCAGAGGCAACAAGAGCGGTGGCGCGAGGAAATGAGGGTGATGCTGCTAGCATTGCGATGACATTGGGTACAACTGTTCAATGCTTCGAGTATGCATTCTTTCCAGAATAGGGAGCGTCACGAAGGGCTAGGTATCATTCAACAGTTTCCATTGTCTACTGTCTCAAGATTGTGTAAAGTAGTTGTTTTATTACGACACCTGCTTCCTTTTTCTATCTTTTCTTCCTCTGTTCAACGCATATAGCCTTTGCATGCATAACTGGCTCTTCGGGATATGGAGAAGGGCAGTGCACAGTCGCTGGGAGTCACGACTTCTCATCCGACGGGAACACAAGTAAATTGATACCAAATGGGAGGAGAGGAAGGGGGAAGACAAGGAAAGAAGGGGGCGGTGGCGGGTCAGATGGGAGGTTATTGACAGCTCTACCGTCTGCGCCCGCCCTCAAGACCGCGCAGGCTGGAGTGGACTGAAACAAGGAGGAAAATGAGAGCAGCAACAGAATCAGAAATACTACAATTGCCTACTTGTCACTGTCATTGCCAAGAGATGTCAGCCTCGCTCATGCTTTGTCACTCGTTGCCGTCTCGTGCGCCCTCGTCTTCCAGGCCCAGATCTCCTGGCGTAGGTCCGGCACCAACCTCCTTCAACAAGCCCTCATTCACGTCCCGCCTCCCCTCGGCGCTCTTCAGCACCTCCATCAGACGGCGAGCTCCCCCAGGCCACATGCCCTCTGGACCCTGGGCGGGCACATTGCCCTTGAGAATCTGATCCACCTTGACACCCTTGGCGCCATAAAAGGCGGCATTCGCATCCGGCCTCGAGATGATCACCGTCCCATCAGCCTGGACTCCGGCGTAGAAACCCCTGCTCTTAACATAGCCCCACACAGGCTTGGTGCTCTTCAGCAGCGCCGCGTCGACGGCAGCACCAGCACCCACAGGCCCCGCCACCAGGCCGACCTCGCCGCCCAGGGACAGGCGCGGGCGCGTAAAAGCAGCCACGGCCTCGGGCGTGCGCAGCACACACACGCAGTCGTAGATGTCCAGACCGACCATGAAGCCGGCGCCCAGCGTGTGCACCAGGAACCCCGAGGGCGGGGACCACGAGGTGCCGTCGGCGGAGCGGGCGACGAGGACGCCGGAGCCGCCTGCGCCCGAGATGTGGAGGCCTGTGCGGAAGGTGGTGAAGATGGCGAGGCCGGCGGCGGATTCGATGGCTTTTTGGGGGATCTTGACGAGGACTTTGGGTTTTTGTTTGGGGCCGGCGGGTTGCTTGGGTGTGTTGGGGTTGTTGGCTCTGTGGTGTAGAAGCCGTCTTCTGGAAGAGAGGGAGGGGAGGGGTGTCTTAGAAGAAGAGATATCATGGAGGGGGGAGGAGGAGGAGGGAGTTGGGGAGTTACACATACTGGCAAAGGACTGAAGGATCCTAGCGGCCTTGTCACATTCAATGTCCAAAGTCGAAGGCCACCAGGCCTCGGAACCAAGCTTGTTGGTTAGTTTGTTGACGGGGACGCCGACTCTGGTGCTCCACTGGAAGAGACGTTCCCTCATCGACACCTTGCTGTTTCCACCGGCTTGCTGTTGTTCGGTTATGGTGGCTGCCAGCCCTGGGGAAACGTGTCCAGGTCGAGGTGGCTTTGGTGGAGGGTGCTCATCCGTTGTGGTGAACTCGTCAGCAGGGCCCGAGGGCCGAGGAGGAGTAGGAGGAGGGGGGTATTGCTGCGAGTATTCTTGGTACCGGGATGGGTTGGCGCCCAGACTGGCCGTCTCGGCGTAGTAGTCTGGGTTTTGATGTTCGTGGTCTTGAGGTGCGGACATGTTGGAAGGTTGTCAGAGGAGGAAGAAAATGAGGGGGACGAGGAGCACTAGAGTGGGAATTAAGTAGGGTGGGTGATTGACGAGAGAAAGAAAAAAAGGACCGAGTACTGTATAATAGATTGAAGCTGATCTGGATGAATGCACGTTTAGGGAGAGAGGAGGATCTATATAGATGTAGGTTTCACAGATCTAACATTCAAGATCTTGCTTTCGGACGGATCAAACCTTCAAGGCCGTGTATGTGTACAGAGATGGCATGGTCTCCACTGCGCCCCTCTACCTTAGCTGCCACATAAGGAAACAGGAAGCCAATTACTGCGAACGAGAGTGTGGAAATAGAGGAATGTATGGCAGAAAGGGAGTGTTAGGCACGTGGGAAATACTGTGGCTGTGAGACGCTTCGTTGGCATTGTTATCAGTAAACCCGACGCTATACTGCCCAAACTAGAGCAATATACACTTAAAAAGAGAGACAAGACGGCCCTGTGATTGTGATGTCATGCTGCCAGGCCTATAATAGTATAAACCGGCTGGAGAGGGGAACAGGGGACTATCATTCTCCACTCATACCTACCATAGCGCATACAAGTAGTAGCAGCATAGCCCCAACCTAGGGGATTTCTCCCAAAAGGCATCGCGTCGTTCGGATTCTGGCGAGGTCGCCTATCAGGATGGGCCCAGTCCGAGGGCAGAAGGATGACCACGACAGCTGGAACGGAGAAAATAAAACATCCTCAAAGCCGGACTGCCCGTGGCTGTGTGGTGGGCCTGGAACGATGTAAAATGATTGGCCAAATCGCCAAAGATGGTACAACTCTGGTTTATATGCGTACGTGCTCACGGTGCTGTATTTACATCCTACTACTGTACATGGTAGCCAAATGAGCATATAGCTAATAATTTCCTCCTGTGTACCATTGAGGACTATTATACAGTACACATTTCCTGTCCAACAGTGAATAGTGAATATATCTTGAACGTACCTACAATAACAAGGGCGAACCGATCCGTTCAGGCTTGCTTCTCCATCGCCGCCCATCGCTTCGTTCATTCATGTCACCTGCAGACATAGGCTGCCTACGCCTCGTCACAAAAACAACCTCCTCCATTCCAAATTGGAAGAGAGAGGCAAAAACTTTTCTCATGCTTTGGATGGAAAATGCAAAAATGCAAGTGTCCGAGGTGAGACTCGAACTCACGACCTTTGGATTGGTGCTCCCGATGGTTGTTCCACCGAGTCATGCTATGAGACCAACGCTCTAACCAACTGAGCCACTCAGACATCTTCCAGATGATTGGATGATTGCTGCTTGACATGTTGCTTCTTATTGCTGGGATTCTCGGGCAGTCCAGTTGTCGATCTGCAACTTTCACAAAGAAGACGACGTTTACACAGACGGGCCACTCTTTCCATTGGAACATGACTATTTAGAGAGAGAGCTGGAAGAACACTCGTATTGGATATCATAAGATTCTTCTGGTTGTCCCTTGGTAATTGAAGAGAAAAGAAAAAGAAAAAGAAAAAGATGTCTGATATGTCAGAACCAAAAACAGAAGAACTGCCTCCATATGTACAAATCATCGATTTCTACTTCTTTCATAAGTCAAGAATCTATACAGCCACTCTTATCTGATCTACCATAATTACCTTCTACCACGCCCACTGAGCTATCACACCACGAGGCCACCTCCTCACCCAGAATTTACGCCCCTCGTCCAACAACAAGATCCCCAGTCCATACGCCATCGGCAAGAACCAATACTCTACTGGCACCGCCGCCGTGCCCAGGACCTGCTGCAGCTTAGGAATATAACACCAGAAAAAGACCATGACCAGAGCGAACAGGACCGCAGGGAACAGCCACAGGTTCTGCGTGGCCCTGTTGCACAGCGGCGGGTGCTGAAACAAAGACAGCCGTCTTGTTCGTACCGACAGCAGGTTGAACCACTGCATGACGACCAGGTTGACAAAGTAGATAGAGCTGGCCACGTTGAGCTTGTCCGTGTAGTACGCGTCGTCGATATCAGCGGGCAGGTTTCCGAACCCGAACCACAGTGCACTAAAGGGGATTCCGCTGCGCTGGAGATACCAGTACGACATGGCGAAGGAGGCGAGCGTCTCCATGAAGCCGATGAAGCCGTACGAATGAACGATGAGCTTCCAGTCGACCAGCCTGTCGACACCGATGACGCGTGGTGGGCGCAGGAGCACGTCCGCCTCGGGTTTCTCGTAGGCCAGGGCTGTGGCGGCCAGGCAGTCTGTGAAGCAGCTGATTGTAGAGATTGACGAATTAGCATAGGAAGCCAACGTTGACAGTAATCTCTCTTTCCACTCTTTCCTCTCTTCCTTTCTTCTTGTTCATGGAGAAGAACCTTGACTTACCAGATCACAATCATCAAGAAACTGCTCAAGACCTGCGGCAGACCAAACGCCACATTGGTAAAGACGGGCCAGAACTCGGAGAAACTCCCAGCAGGCAGCAAATACGCAATCGTCTTCTTGAGATTATCAAACATCATGCGCCCAAACCTGACAGCCTCGACGACACTCCCAAAGTTCTCGAGGAGGACCATATCCGCAGCCTCGACCGCGATGTCACTGCCCGACCCCACAGCGATGCCCACGTCCGCAGCCCGGAGCGCGGGCGCATCATTGACGCCATCGCCTGTCATGCCGACGACCAGACCCCGAACTTGCAGCTCGCGGACGATGCGCAGTTTCTGCTCTGGTGTGGTCCGGGCAAAGACGACTTCTGTGTATGAGTAGGCCAGCTGGTCCCACTGCGACTCGTTCATGGCCATGAGGTCAGAACCTGTGAGGACGATCGAGGTTGGCGAGGACGCATTGTTGTTTTTATCCTGGTTCCGGCGGTGGAGGGCAGAGTTGGTGGTGGTTCTTGCTTCTGCTGCTACTTCTGCTTCTGGTTCTGCCCCATGTGTAGCGTTATTATTATCATTATGAGTATTAGTATCGTTCAACTCCGAGTGGTGGGCCAGGGGATGTCGACTGAGGGCAGAGGCATCCCTGACTGACGCAGCAGGACCAGTAATAATCCCACACTCCGCCGCGATGGCCTGCGCCGTCAGCGCAAAGTCGCCTGTGACCATGAAGATTCGAATGCCAGCACCTCTTAAAGTCTTGACGACCTGTGGGATCTCAGGGCGCGGCGGGTCTGCTATGGCCACAAGCCCGACCAGCGTGAGGCCGGACTTTGCCTGCTGGGTCACTTCGCCCTCGAATGCGGAGGACAAGGGCGATGTAGACCGGATGCAGCTGCGTGAGAGGGCCTTGTGGGCGAGGAGAAGCACACGGCGGCCCTGGGCAGAGTACTCTTGCTGTATGGCCTCGATTTGCTCTCTTGTCGTGTCGCTGAGGATGTGCGATGCTCCAGTCCTGCCAATGTAGCGACTACAACGGTCGAGAAGCCTATCAGGGGCGCCCTTGATAGTAAGAAGCCTGTTGAAAAGGTCAATGCATGTGTCAGTATCATGGAACGAATGGTGATAATGAATGAAAAGAGGGATCCTCTCTCTCTCTCTTCTTACATATCGCCAGGCTCAAACATGGAGGCTGTATCCATAGGAACTGCATCCTCAAGGCCATCAGGATGCGTCAACCCCAGCACCCTGATCATAAACTTGTTCTTGCTGTTAAAGGCAAGCTCAAACTTTGTCTGCCAGCACCTCTTCAGCTCCGAGACGGGGCCAAGAGACTCGGCAAAGCGGAGAATGGCAGAGTCAGTCGCATCCCCGTGGATCCTGCGCTCGGCCAAGGGCAGTCTTCGAGTCTGAGAATCAAACTCGGCCGAGTTGCAGAGCCCTGCTATGGTGCGCAGCTGGTCGATGGCGTTGCCAGCGAACCTGCCAGCCGTGTTGCGCTCTGCGACGAGCATGTCTCGTGCTGCGTCTGCTGTCATCTTCTCGAGGCCCAGACAGCATTCCTTGACCTGCATCTTGTTCTAATCACCAGGAGAGAAATCAGCATCTTATAGGATGATTCATACTAATGTTATAGACTGGGAACAGATTTGAACACATACCGCAGTCAGAGTTCCGGTCTTGTCTGAGCAAATCACGGATACTGATCCCAGAGTTTCGACAGTCTTCAAGGACTTGCACAGGATCTTGTTCTTGCGCATCATATTGGCACTGATTGTCAGACTCGCCGTTAAGGCTACCGGGAGGCCCTCGGGGATGAAAGCCACAGCCACGGAGACGCAGTCGACGATGAGCGTGGGGACATTGATCCAGTCTGGATGCTCTTTTCTCAGCCACGCGGCCCTGAGGAAATATCAAGTGTTAATACAAAAGGAAGAAAAAAAACCCAGCTCAGTGGCCAGGCTTATCGCCAGGTGAGAAAGACGAAATAGGAAGTATTTGCTCAGACATACCAAAGTATCAAGACGATGATGATCATAATGGCCATGATCGAGCATATGATCAAGACAAAGTTCAGCACCTCACGCTCAAGCGTAGTCATGCCAGTCTTAGGTTCACTTGTCAATTTGGCAATTCTGCCAAACACGGTGCGGTTCCCTGTGGCAACAACGACGCCAGTGCATGTTCCCGAGACACAGTGTGTTCCTTGGAGACCAATGTTCTTCGTCTCCAGGTAGTTCTTGTCTGTCGAATCGACTGCGGCTGAGAGGGGCACCGATTCTCCTGAAAGGATGATTGACATAGTCAGTAAAATAATCCAAGCCACAGTATATGTTGACAGGTTTCCAGGCGGTCATTTGTGTAGGGGAAGAGTTCTTTTTGAGCAAAGGCAATGATATGAAAAAAGTCTTGCGAGGTCCTCCTTGGAGAACGTACCAGTAAGAATAGACCGATCAAATTTCGCATCCGACGAGACCTGTGTAAACCTCACGTCTGCCGGTAATTTGTTCCCAGCCTTGACCAGCAGGACATCACCAGGAACTAAATCATTTGCAAACAGTGTCCTCTGCGTGCCGTCCCGAACGACGTGGCACTCGTCAGGCAGCATGTTCTTGATACTGGCCATGACGCGGCCCGAAGACCAGTCTTGCCACATGTTAAACCCAGCCTGGATGAGGAACACGGCAACCAGGACGATGGCAAGGGCAAGATTCGCCTGCGCAGGAGGGTCGCCTAGGGGTCGCCAGGCGATGAAGACAAGGATAGCCGCGATGAGGAGGATGGATCCGAATCCCTTGAAGAAATATCCCGCGATGGTCTTGAAATGATGGGTCGGTGGTGGCGAGGGTGCGTTTTTTCCATAGCGGTGCTGGCGGATTCTTACTTGTTCTTCGGAGAGGCCGTCTTTGAGGGATAAGTTCATACGTTGGAGGAGCTCGTCGGTCGTGATGGTATGCCATTCTAAGTCGGCGAGATCTGATAGTTTGTAGCGAGTTTGTATTGTGTCAGAAACCAGTAGCCAGATTGCTTTGGGAACATCATTGGCTGTCAAGACTCGGAACACCAGATATCAATTACCTGTGACTGCAGCATTCTTCTTGTCTTTGCCCTTGGCGTCGTCGATATCAATGGATCTGCCTGGTAGTCAGAACACAGTCACTTGATCAAAAGGCAATGAACAATAGATGATAAACGATCTGCTAATTCATCTGGCGTGGCTTACAGAGTCCGGTATTGAATCGGCAAAGCAGCGGCAGGCTCTATCGTCATGCTCCCACGGCCATTGACAGGAAAAAGCGACACAGAGTCTTCCGAGATCGCTGTCGCCGAACGAGCCAGCGGGAGAGTAGCATGGTTGTGTTGGTTACTACGGCTTGTCGAGGCTCTAGCCGCCTCCTCGTCCGAAATCTTGAAGCGGATGCGGTCTGGGGCAGACTTCGGGTTGTCATCCTCGTCCATGGCGAGATAGACCTGGTAGCTCTGCGAGACACTGAAGACCATACAGTAGAAATTCAGTGGAGGACAGAGGGGAATTTATATGGGAGAAGGAGGCGAGAGTAGATGAGCAAGAACTTCGAAGCGTCGAGAAACAGGAGACTCTGACCACGATGATTGAGGGATTTATCCTTGAAGACTCGGAACGAAGCGTGCTTTCAATCCACTACACAGCAGGAGGAAGGATTGTTATTAGATGGGCTGGTGTAATACCTCACTCACCATGAAACGGGGGCAGAAGGAGGTGGAGCGGGAGGATTCCAGATACTATCAGGTTGAGCTTTTCCCTCTTCAGTATTACATATCTCGATATCACATGCTCCAATAGTTCTTGAAGCGGAAAGGAGTGGTCACAGTTTTATCCTTTACTGGATACTTTAATCTTAGGTGGATAGTATACCCGGAGTGTTGGCTATCAGCTCGCCAAACTCTCTACGTCGTCTGGAGGCAGTGCAACTGACTACAGAACAAAGCACAGGACTTGGCGGTGGCAGCGCTCTGGCAGAAAGCATAATGGGGCGGGAAAAGGATGCTACTTACACCCCGAGGGAACATTATGGGCGTTTCCATATGATTCGGTTAGACTTGACACTTGGCGGACAGAAGTGACCACCTGAATCGAGGTGGCACCATTATGATGAAGATGACCCATCTGCACACTCCAACGGTTAATTGTCATTGTATCTAAACTCAAAACTTGCTAACACGGCGGTGAGCCTGTGACGGAAGAGGAGGGGGAAAATCTGGTCTCGTGGCCAGGAGGACTGACAAACAAGGGAGGGAAATGATTGAATCGATCAGCAACTTGCATTATGCAGCACAAGGAGGACATGTCTCGCTTCAGGCATCCCGAGGGAATTGTTTTCCATACTGTGGCATCCGGCTTTGAGAAATACCTCATGCCAAACTCATTCCGGGATAGACGCCGTCGGCAATTTACGTATATGTTATAAAATGATTGAGGGGTGGGAAAAAAACAGGAGAGTAGAGGCATAACAGGCGGTCAGAAATCGCGCATAGTCGCAGAAGCGGTCCAAGGTCTCTGTTTGATATTTGGATTCATGAAGTGCAGCCCGCACAATGGCTCCCATGCACAGCCGCACGCACGCATGGCCACGTCCCCAGGTTGCATGTGATGACGATCGTCTTGAATCGTATAGGGCGACAAAGGGTGGAGCATCAGTCAAGTCAGTTTTGGCTTCTCTGCCCCTTGGCACACCAAATCCTCCCGCCATCATCACGGGTTTCCTGAACCGGCAATCCTCCAGAGGCCTCCAGATTAACCCAAACCATTTCGTCATCTCCGAGGGAAATAAAAAAGAGACAAAAAAAAAAAGAAAAGGAAAAGAAGAAGAAAAAAAAAAGAAGAAAAAAGGAAAGCAAATAATTAAAATAAAATAGGTGAGCATGTAGACCTTCAGCAAAAGACCATCGTCTCGTCAGTATAAGCCAGAGAAGTTCGGCCCAATAAGCATCTATTTGTCATCTATCGCCTAGCCATGCTATTGCTCGTCTGTAGCGATAAGTTTTTCTCATTAACCTCCCTGCCTTTCCCCATGTAAGAAGCAAATGTACACACTTGTCAAGACTACAAATACAATCCCTCGGGTTCGCCTTCCTGCTTCGTCCGGAGCACTCTCTCACGTGCAGACCGGAAGTCGGACATCTGCACCCGCATACGTCTCTCTCGCAGTGCCAATAAGCCAGCCTCGGAGCAGATGGCCTTGATATCGGCGCCAGAGAGATCATCCTTCTGCGCGATGAATTCCTCTAGTTCCACGTCTTCATTGAGGTTCATCTTGGACGTGTGCAAGTTGAAGATCTTGCGCTTCGTGTTCTGGTCTGGAGGCTCAAAGAGAATCTTTCGGTCGATTCGGCCAGGCCTAATCAGGGCAGGATCCAGCGTCTCGATCTTGTTGGTTGCCATGATGACCTTGACGTCGCCGCGATCATCGAAGCCGTCCAGCTGGTTGAGAAGCTCAAGCATGGTCCGCTGCACCTCTCGCTCGCCACCCGACGTAGACTCGTAACGCTTTGTGCCGATAGCATCAATCTCGTCAATGAAGACAATCGACGGAGCGTTCTCTCCAGCAACCTGCGTGTCATACATGTCAGCAGAGAATCCCATGTTTTATATTTTATCTGACAGGGCGCGGGCGCTGGACTTGCCTGGAAGAGCTGGCGGACCAGGCGGGGCCCGTCACCGAGATACTTCTGGATCAGCTCGGAGCCAACAATGCGCAGGAAGGTTGCAGACGTCTGATTTGCCACGGCTTTGGCCAAGAGAGTTTTTCCAGTACCTGGAGCGCCGTAGAGAATAACGCCCTTGGGCGGTTTGATGCCCATCTCCTCGTACAGCTCCGGGTGCAGCAGGGGCAGCTCGACCGACTCCCTGACCTCCTGGATCTGCTGCTCCAGGCCGCCAATGTCCGCATATGACTCGGTCGGGGCCTTGTCCAGTTTCATGACGCTGACGGCAGGGTCCGTATCGTCCGTCAGGACACCCACGATGCTGACGCTCTTGTGGTGCAGCAGGACGCTAGCGCCGGGCTCGAGAAGGTCCTTGTCGACAAAGCTCATGATGCTGACGTAGTATTCGGGGCCGGTAGTGCTGGATACGATGGCGTGGTCGTCGTCGATCATCTCCTCGAGGGTGCCGACACCCATGGGACTTCCCCTCATATCGTCGACACGGCCACGCTCGTCGGCGTTACGGTCATCGGCGTGGTCGTCAGCAGCGGCAGGAGCAGAGCTGTCCTTTGCCGCCTTTGCCTTGCGGAGACGTTCCTGGTTCTCGACGTACTCCTCCTCGAGGAGCAAATGGTCGTGTATGCGCTGCATCCGCAAGAGGCGGAGCTTGCAGCGCTGGCTGGGGTAGATGGCGGGAAGCTTGGCGGCAGCGCTGGTACCACCCTGCTTTCTCTTTTTGCGGCCAACGCGCATGGTAGGCTTTGGTGGGGGTTCATACTTGGGCTTGTCCTTCTGTACGGTTGAGAATGAGAGAATGTCAGCAACAAGGGCTTCACGACCATCACAAAGAAGAAGGCCGGGAATGAAGTTCGGGATTGTGTGGATGATGCAAAGCGTACCTTCTTATCCTTCTCGTCGCGGCCATCCTGGCCTGGGCCCATACCAGACTGGTTCTGACCCTGTTATGGAAAGAATATCGTCAGTAGATAATACTAAATGGATGCTGCGAGAGGAGTGGACTGCCAAAAAAGGCAAGACGAGAACGAAGGCCATGGAATTTGGCGTACCATGTTGACAGTTCAGCTGCGAGGAACGTTCGGTTTGGCTTCGGCGACAGTGGCAAGGCAGAACAGGAGCGTTCAAATAGACCCAAAACAAAAAGATTGTCTCTCTTTGAGGCCTTTAGAAAGCCTGGAGATGAGGATGCTTCGGATGGTTGACTGGTGCGGCTTGTTTGCTTTGATGCTAACCAGGATAAATGGGAAGCAGCCACACGGCCAGACAAGCTGTGAAGGTAGGTTGATTGGGACAGAGTTAGGTAATCAGGCTGCCACTTTGACACGCATCCTGAGGTGCTCTCACAAGCTCGACACAATTGCCTGCCGGGCTAGGCCGGGCAAGGGCTAGCTGTGACCCCCGAGGTATCATAGTACAGCATGCACTGTCGTACCACAGTACATGCATGGTACCTTGTAGTGGGCTAGGCCCCCACTGTAGGCCTAGTCCAATGAGGTCACTGCTGGAAACTACCCATTGAAGCTGCCTACCACTGATCATTCATACTTTATTTTGAGCCATGTGAGATACTGAGTCGATTGCTCTGGGTACCGCGGTACTGAACTGCATATGGTATGGTACGAAAGCATCTATCAACAGCAGGCTGGCAAGACCACACTAATAATACCGAGTCCTCCTCCTCCTTCACTCCTGCAGCTCTTTGGAGCCTGACTCTTTCTCCTCCGCCTCGTATTTCAGCTGTTCATCTGTACCCAATTCCTGGTTCTCTGGTTGTTGCCTCACTCCCTTGTAGCCTTGAGAAGGCTGTAGTTCTCAACTGAACTGGATCGGGGCTGGACAGGGTCATTCTGCCTGTAACCTGACGACGACTCGTGGCACTTTGTTCGTGACCCCTCAACATCAAACTCAACTTTCCATCCTTGACCTCATCTGTGAAGAACCGGCTTCGCCCCCACTTTCCTCTCCCCTCCCTTTCACCCCTCATTCTCTCTCTCCCTTCTAAAAGAACAGAAAAGAGGGGGGGAAAGGCGAAATTCGACAACCATCCGCCACACTTATCAGGCTTGATCTGCAGCCTCAACGTCAGACTGAAAGTGTTCTTACCAATCCATTTCTCAGCTGCAGGTTGGACAGAAACTAGCAACATCCGTTTTATCCTCCCTCCCCTCCTCCCCCCAATCTTTGAACATGGCCACCACCCGTGAGCGCAGGATTGCCAAAGAGTTGGCAGACATGCACCAGGACAGAGACAAGTCAGGTGTTTCTGCATCTCCAATCGACCAGAGCAACCTGACACATCTCAAGGGCACCTTTCCCGGTCCTCCAGATACCCCGTATGCCGGTGGGACATACGTAGTGGACATCCTGATACCAGATATGTATCCCTTCAAGTCACCCGTTATGAAGTTTGACACCAAGATGTGGCATCCAAACGTCAGCAGCCAGACTGTGAGTTCCCTCTTACAAACGAAATGCTCGGACTCAACCCATCTCCACCATTATCACCACCACGAGGATTATCATAACTAAATACCATCTCTACGGTGTCGAAAAAAAACAGGGCGCAATCTGTCTCGACGTTCTTGGCAATGGCTGGTCCCCCGTCGGTACTATCAAGACCGCCCTGCTCTCCCTACGCATGCTCCTCGAGGCCCCAAATCCCAAAGATCCCCAAGACGCAGAGGTTGCCAAGATGATGATGGAAGATCCCGAGTATTTCGAGAGCGTCGCACATGACTGGGCCGTCAGATACGCTGGAGCCCCGAGGATACATCCTGCTCCCGATCAGATACAGCGGAAGAGCAAGGCCAAGAAGGAGGATGACATCAATCGGTAAGAAGACATGGGCCTTTCTTCCCCGCCCTCGTGAGGATAGGATTGTGACCATAATCCCCGGCCATTATGCTGACGGACCTTTCCCTGGTCACAGATATCAGGGCTGGAACAAAAACATGGTCGACCGCTTCGTCAACATGGGCTTTGAGCTTGATAGCGTTGTCGACGCCTTCGCCTACGTGGGAATCGAACGGAACGGCGGTGAGGATTACGAGATGGAAGAGGCCTACATGGGAGATGTCACAGCTCGTCTCTTAGGCGAGAACTGAGTACGAGCACACAGGCCGAGTGTCCGGATATAACATGGGCAAAAGAGCGTGGAACAGCCAAGGACTCATTGTCTTGTCCCAAGGGGCATGAGAGCACGGCAGAGCAGAGCATAAATTTGTGCTTTGCGTGCTGTGCCCAAGACTTGGGGACTGCTTGCCCACCCACACAAGAGCTTGGTTCCAGAGGCAGTCGTTGCAAAAAGGCTACCAAGGCGTGATGTGGAGGCAGCTTTGCTTTCTCTTATTGTGTTGCATGATGCGGTGTGTTGAGAGACGACGTTGACAGATCATGTCGTCTACTCAGCAAAGTCTTGAGGGGTTCCTCAAGAGCATAACGGCCGACAAATTTTCAAAGTCGGTTTCGCAATCAAGGCGTTTAGGTCAGCCAGGGGGGTTATGAAGCATTTTGATCACTCAGCACAGCTTAGCCTTGCCATCAGTAAATGGGGGGGGGGGGTTGCTTCTTCTTTCTCTTCCATGGGTTTTATAGAAATCTCAAATCGAAGTCTACTATTTGTAGCCAACTATGGTGTTGCACCACACCACACCAGCCCAGCCAGGCCCGTCCTCGTACAAGAGACGCCTAGATAGGCTTACATACATACAGATTAGTGAAGTATTTGGGTATGAGAAAAATGCATTTGGACACCACGCCGCTTCCGCCCCAGTCTATAAAAATTTGCGAATGAGAAAAGAGGCATCCTCGTTCACGAGGCTACAAATATGACGCTCGCCGAGCCTTCCAGCCATCCAATGGTTCCTTGTACACAGATCCATGTTACCTCTGCCGAGAGGATCACACAACCTGAAGCCCGCTATCTACCCTGAAGAGGTGCATGAAGAGCCGTCAGGTCTTCCTCTCCAACTTGCCATGGCGGTGGGGCCGCAGCTTTACAGCAGATCCCGTCGGACGAACTCGTCGCGGAGGGCCTTACCCAGACCGGCAGGCGAGCGCTCGACAATGACACCGGCGCTCTCCAGGGCCTTGATCTTGGAGTCAGCACCACCCTTGCCACCAGACACAATAGCACCAGCGTGGCCCATGCGGCGTCCAGGAGGTGCAGAGATACCAGCAATGAAGCTGACGACAGGCTTGCCACCGTTAACGGTGTTGTTCTCGCGCAGGAAGTCGGCGGCATCCTCCTCAGCGGAACCACCAATCTCGCCAATCATGATGATGCCATCCGTCTCCGAGTCCTGGAGGAAGACCTTGAGGCAGTCGATGAAGTTCGTGCCGGAGAAGGGATCGCCACCGATGCCAACGACAAGAGACTGGCCCAGACCAGCCTGGGTGGTCTGGTTGACGGCCTCGTAGGTCAGAGTACCGGAGCGGGAGACGATACCAATGCGGCCGCGCTTGTGGATGAAGCCGGGCATGATGCCAATCTTGCACTGGCCGGGGGCAATAATACCGGGGCAGTTGGGGCCGACGAGACGAGTCTTGGACTGGGTCTTGAGCATGGACGTAATGCGCACCATGTCTGGGAAGGGTATTTTGTCAATTAGGTGCCGATGGTGAGAGATACAGTGGGAGGAAGCTCTGTGGACAACTGACCATGTTGAGGGATGCCTTCAGTGATGCAAACCACGAGGGGAATCTCGGCCTCGATGGCCTCCTGGATACCTCCTGCTGCCAGGGGAGGACTGTTGCAGTCAGCAAGACCGACCTTCATGTTCTGACCATCACATGCCACCTCTAGACTCGTGTGTGCAGGCCAATTTCTCTCTTATAGGTGAATGATCCTTACGGGACAAAGATTCCTGTAGCAGTCGCGCCGGTCTCCTTGATGGCATCGGCGACAGACGCAAAGACGGGACGGTCGAGGTGGGTGGTGCCGGCCTTCTTTGGGTTTGTTCCTCCAACAACTTTGGTGCCTGCAGACGAGATACGAGATATATGATCAGACGCTTGTCATTTGTCGCACAACGGCCTTCGAGGGGATCATGTAATTACCGTAGGCAATAGCCTGTTCAGCGTGGAATCTATGAAGAGGATAAGTTCGGGTTAGCATGCGAATCTCAGCGCAGGTGGTATCTTTGCTTTGCGATCTTTATTGATCTTTTCTTCTTCTTTTCTTAAATTTTTTTTTTTTTTTTCCTTTGTTCCGTTGGGCTCTCGCTCAAGAGGCTTCGCGATAAGCGTCGCGACAGCAGGAGAGAAGCACACGAGATAACATAACAACTTACGTTCCCTGCTTGCCAGTAAAGCCCTGAAAAATGACCTTGGTATCGGCGTTGATCCTAAGGTTCTCGATGGTGTTGGTGTAGGGGCCAGTCTGGGCGCTGTACGTCCTCTTGCAGAGGTGTCGCAGTGTCGAAGCCGAGGCTGACGAGAGCCGCGCTTGTCTCGCAAAGGCCTGCATTTTGGGTAGCTCTAGCAGGTGAGGGAAAGGATGTGTGAGGAGAGGAGAGTAGAGAAACGGGCAGGGAAAAGGAAAAAGGAAAGGGTTGTGTCGTCGAGATGGAGGCTCGATTCAGGATGAGGTGGTGTTTGATTAAGCTTGGCTGAAAGGCAGTTGCTGAGGTTCGTTTCGTTGCAGCAGCTTCAGTTCCGGCTACAGTTCTAGTTCGGTTGCCCACATGCCTCACCTACCACCCACTGTGGGCGGGCTCAAGGCGTCAGGGTACCTCCTCAGTACTGCTAAAGGATACTATCAAGTAGGTACCGTCATATGTACCGCAAAAGATCCACAATGATCCCAAATTGGAGTAGCTTTTTTTTTTTCTTTTCTTCCCACTGTGCCTGCCGACTCACCAACTACTCCCTGCTGCTTATCAGTCCCTTATCAGCCACCTAGCCACTGCACTAACAGAATTTCAGAACCCCCACTACGTACAGAGAAGCACGGTAGGACCCCCCTCCTCGATCGCTACTGCATGACTACCATGTACAACAGGTCCTGACGAATAGTCAATACTTTATTTTGAACATTCTCCACAACAACTTTTTGAGACCTCAGCCTGTCACCCAACCTACCTGCCTGCCTACCAACTTACCTCCATGACACTCTCGCCTCTATTCTCTCCATGGCGACCACAACGGTGACAGTGACCAAGTCGGGTCGCAAGAAAGATGCCGACCTGCCTCCAGAGAACGAGCGTTTCCTGCGATGTTGCGCAGACATCGCTAACGCCCTCATCGAGGACCACGAGGCCGCCCAGGACCATGCACGCCCGAAGAAGGACCTCAACCTAAACGCTGTGCGTTCCAGGTTGGCCAAGAAGCACAAGATCAACAACATGCCGCCCCTGACTGCCATTATCGCCGCTGTTCCCGAACACTACAAGAAGTACATCCTCCCCAAGCTCGTCGCGAAGCCCATCCGGACCTCCTCGGGCATAGCTGTCGTTGCCGTCATGTGCAAGCCTCACCGCTGCCCACACATTGCCTATACTGGCAACATCTGCGTCTACTGTCCCGGTGGGCCAGACTCCGACTTCGAGTACAGCACCCAGTCCTATACAGGCTACGAGCCCACCTCCATGCGCGCCATCCGGGCGAGGTACGATCCCTTTGAGCAGGCGCGCGGCCGTGTCGATCAGCTCAAGTCCCTCGGCCATTCCGTCGACAAGGTCGAGTACATTATCATGGGTGGCACCTTCATGTCCCTGCCCGAGCAGTACAGGGACGATTTCATCTCTCAGCTGCACAACGCCCTCAGCGGATACCAGACCTCCAATGTCGACGAAGCTGTCGAGGCCGGCGAGATGAGCAACACAAAATGTGTCGGCATCACTATAGAAACGAGACCGGACTACTGTCTGCAGCCACACCTGTCCAGCATGCTGCGGTATGGATGCACAAGGCTGGAGATTGGCGTGCAGTCTCTGTACGAGGACGTCGCGCGCGACACCAACCGTGGGCACACTGTAGCTGCCGTGGCCGAGACGTTTTGTCTCTCCAAAGATGCCGGCTTCAAGGTGGTCAGCCACATGATGCCAGATCTCCCCAATGTTGACATGGAGCGGGATCTCGACCAGTTCCGCGAGTACTTTGAAAATCCGGCTTTCCGAACCGACGGTCTCAAGATCTACCCCACGCTCGTGATCAGAGGCACGGGACTCTACGAGCTGTGGAGGACGGGGCGGTATCAAAACTACACACCCAACGGTCTGATCGATTTGGTCGCCCGTATTCTAGCCCTGATTCCGCCATGGACGCGCATCTACCGTGTCCAGCGTGATATCCCGATGCCTCTCGTCACATCCGGTGTGGAAAATGGAAATCTTCGCGAGCTTGCCCTCGCCCGCATGAAGGACTTCGGCACCACCTGCCGCGATGTGCGGACCCGAGAGGTAGGCGTGAACGAGGTCAAGAACAAGATACGGCCCAACCAGATCGAGCTCATTAGAAGGGACTACACAGCCAATGGTGGCTGGGAGACGTTTCTCGCATACGAGGATCCTAAGCAGGATATCCTCGTCGGTCTGCTCAGGCTGCGCAAGTGCACTGAGAAGTACACGTTTCGTGAAGAGCTGGTGGGCCAGCAGACGAGTCTGGTGCGGGAACTGCATGTCTACGGTACGGCAGTACCGGTTCATGCACGGGACCCGAAGAAGTTTCAACACCAAGGCTTCGGGACATTGTTGATGGAAGAAGCTGAACGGATCGCCAGGGACGAGCATGGCAGCGAAAAGATCAGTGTCATTTCGGGTGTTGGGGTCAGGAGCTACTATAAAAAGTTGGGATACTGGCTGGACGGGCCCTACATGAGCAAATGGCTGGATGGACGCCCGGGACCTGACGCATGAAGGATGCTCTGATGGTCTGCTCAATTTCATGGGCAAATCCCGCGGCTGAACTTGAGCACACTTGTCCCAACACAGCGCCTACTTCATCAATGGCGCCAGTAAGCCATAGAGCGGCGGTCTCTTAAATACCACCTCAGACTATCGCAAGCCGTGATGCCTTTTCCAGAGTCTCATCAGGGCCAGAACATGAACCGACAGATCTTCACCTCGTGCAGCGTCTGTTAGCCGTTCTTGCGATGGACTGCTGAAGGATTTCAACACGGCGTATAGATCGATCGACGATAGTTCTTCAACTATAAATGTCTTGGCTCAAACGGAATGCTCGCGTATCCTCGGATAGCCGCCAATTGCAGTCATCTGATGGCTGAGAGCGTCCAACTACGTCATTGCAGACAAAGAGGATGGAGATGGTGGGGAAGCGGATGCGGCTCGCAGTGCCCAAGGCGAGGGTTGGATGGGTGGTCAAGCGGCCTGATTGGAACTTGGCAAGCCACTGTGCTTGATCCTTTCGACCCCCAATGCTGACAAGCGTGGTGTTGCCTCTCGCACACCTGCAATTCACGACTGCTCATCTTGATGTGGTCACAGGAAGCCTGGGCGTATGGTTGCTGGTCAGGGGTGGCGGCAAGGCCCTGTCCTGCTCACTGCCTGATGATACAGCAGTTGGAAGACGGGTGAGGGCTAAAAATGACATGGATCATATAAAGGCCATTGACGCCAGCTCGCAGAGCAGATACAACACAAGTTTGCATGATCTATGAAGGGATACCGTTGCTCTTCGCTTGTGAAGACAAGAAATAGTCCTTTTGAAAGAAATCATCACCCTCTCTTGTCGTGGGAACCTGCCAAGGCCCCGTGCAAGTCCAATGTGACTGCCAAAATGGATCATACTTCCAAGGACAACGGTCTTGATACCAAGCCTGAGGATCATCATGTGGAAGATACAACGCGTCAAGGTTTGGCCGCACCTGAAGAGCCTTCGCAACCAGAGAACACATTGGCCAATAGGCCCGAGCTCAAAGAAGAAGACGCCTATGAGCACCTCGGCTACTCCTACCCAACATGGAGGAAGTGGCTTATTCTCACCATCATGTTCCTGATCCAGATTAGTATCAATCTCAACGCGTCTTTGTATGCCAACGCTGTCGATGGCGTGGCTGAAAAGTTCCACATCAGCCAGCAGGCCGCACGCGTACCGCAACTCACGTTCCTCTGTGCATACGCCTTTGGCTGCGAACTCTGGGCGCCCTGGTCCGAGGAGCTCGGTCGCTGGCCGACCCAGCAGCTCAGCCTCCTCCTGGTCAACATCTGGCAGTTTCCGTGTGCATATGCGCCCAACTATGCCACACTCGTAATCTGCCGACTCCTGGGCGGGCTCTCGACAGCCGGAGGGAGCGTCACGCTCGGTGTTCTGGCTGACATGTGGGAGCCCGAGGACCAGGAGTACGCCATCGCCTTCCTCGTCTTGAGCTCTGTCGGTGGCTCCGTGGTCGGTGCCGTCGTGGGCGGCTTTGTGGAGGCGAGGCAGCCGCTGCAGTGGATTTTCTATACGCAGCTCATCGCCGGCGGTGCTGTGCAGCTCCTGCACTTTGTCTGCGTCCCCGAGACCCGGTCCACAATCATGCTCGACCGGCTGGCGAAGAAGAGGCGAAAAAATGGGGAGAACATTTGGGGCCCGAACGAGGTTAAGAAGAGGCGTATGACAGCGCGGGAGGTCTTTGTCATCTGGAGTCGACCGTTCTACATGCTGATCACCGAACCGATCGTGGCCTGGCTCTCGGCCGTGAGTGGCTTCAGCGATAACCTCATCTTCATTTTCCTACAGGGGTTTCAGCCGGTCTACAAGCAATGGGGCTTTGGCACTATCGGGATCAGTCTGGCGTTTGTACCGTATGTAAATCCTCGCCCCGTCCTGTTGAGATGATACTGACTGTAATTGGTTTTTTTTCTCTCAAGCCTGCTTGTTGGTTACATACTCGCCTACTTTTCCTTCCTGCCATCGATCCACATGTTCCGTCAGCGCAGGAGGAAAGATGGGCCAGACTCGGTCTCCCCAGAGGCCAGGCTTTGGTGGCTTCGGTACGTGATCCTCCTTGAGCCCATCGGGCTGATCGGCTTCGCGTGGACATCGCTCGGCCCAAGCTACGGCATCCCCTGGATCGCGCCCATGATCTTCTCCTGCCTCGTGGGCATCGCCAACTACTCCATCTACCAGAGCTCCATCGACTACACGGTCGCCGCCTACGGGGTGTACGCAGCCTCCGCGACAGGTGGCAACGACTTTGCCCGGGACTTCCTCTCGGGCATTGCGGCCTTGTATTCGAGCCCCATGTACAGCAATATCGGGAAGCAGTACCCGCTGGAGTGGGCGAGCACGATCCTGGCGATTATCGCTGTGTTTGTCACGACGCCTGTGTTTTACTTTTACAGCCATGGGGAGAAATTACGGCTGAAGAGCAAGTTTGCGGCAGAGATTGCGAGGGAAAGGGAGGCGAAGATGGCTGAGAAGAACTCATCATCAGCGCATGATGGTGGGCGAGGAGAAAAGGCCATGCCATCTGATCAGGTCTGAAGGCAGGACTTTGTATTGACGATCGAGGGTCCTTTGCTCCTCAACGAAATATGCCTTGCGACAAGGGGCGGGCACAGGTAAAATAATTACTGCCGACGAATTACTACATGATCTTACATACTACTAGGCCATATACACATGGAAAGGATTACCGCAGGGGTAGTGAACTGGCGCTAGAAACAAGTCTAAATGTCTTTGACGACATCGACTTTGACGACACCCAATGAAGGAGGTTGTGAAGTTACTCCACAACCCAACTCCGCCGCCCTTGGCCAACGACCCCACGAAGGACCCCCAGCATTTCATTATGAATACCATCATCATCATCATCAGCACCACTACCCTCCATATTCTTTTTGTAATTGTCTAGTGCGACTGTGACCCCTCATCCTCGAGAACGTTGTTATGAAAGACTACCCAGAAGTACTCTTGTGATGCTCGTGTAAGCACTATCGTTCGACATGGACACCTGGACAATACTTAAGTGATTGAGTAATGACTGAGTAGAGTTGTTGATCTTTTTCTTTTCTTTTCTTTTTTGACATGTCATAAAGGTGTTGAAGTGAACTCTAGATCTATATTTCACAATATAGATTGATATTAGCACCTCGGCATGAAGTCTTCATTCTCGCCCCAGTGCTATGGTAAAGTCGTTTCATCTAACTTAGTACCCCAGAAGAATGGGATTCAATAGTAATGGTAATAATGATAATGCCATACATGTAGCTAGTCCAAAGTTGAATCTATACCCGTCCAGGTATGAATGACTGCTACAGGAGCTCGCAGACTGGCCACTGATACAAAGTACAAAACAAAGGGTTCTTCGAGCGAAAGCGAGGAGCCGAGGAGTCTCTTTCGAGGCTAATGATCCCAAAAGTCTATTTTGGCATTGTATATAGCTACGTAATATATTTGAACTTCCAGGGCTTGCCAGACCTTTGCCAGGAGCTGACCCTTGCTCGATGGTCACAACGCACTCCGGCCTAGCGAGATCGACGCCTTCATATTGGACGGATGACTGCCACGTTTGACTGTTCCATGCCAGGGACAAACTTGTGTGCGTACTGCCTAATCACATTCTTGGATTTGCTGGTTTAGCCGGCTAGCTCGTTCTTTCTTTGACTCTTCTACTCGTAATGACCTGTGAGCAGAGTCACATGGACAGGCGTCCTCCACTAGTCTGGGCTGATCCTCCTTTCCTTGACGGGCGCCATGCCACTGTTCTTGGGTAATGCCATGGAAGTCAGAGGCACTTCGCTTGTGGCTGAATAAACTCAGAGGCACGCTGTAAGTAGCTCCTTGGCCTCCTCATCACGCATCATGACCAACCAGGTTCAGCACAACAAGGTTGCTCGTGCTGAGAGGCTAGATAAAAGGGCCCATCTTCACTTCTCCCCTCCTTAACACGGTCTGATACAGATCGCCTGCCCACTACTCGCTTCTCTCGGTCTTGTATAATCATCACCACGATACATAAGATAGCAATCGCATCATGCAGGTGAAGTACTTCGCATCGTTCGTCCTTGCCGGCCTGGCCTCGGCCCAGTCGCTGCAAGAGATTATTTCGCAAAACAGTAACCTCACAACCTTAGCAGGCCTGCTGAACCAGACAGGCCTGCTCGCCGAGCTGGGTAACGCATCCAACATCACCGTCCTTGCCCCCAGCAACGATGCCTTCTCGGTCTTCCTGAACGAGTCGGCCACAATGGCACAGATGCAGTCGGACCCAGGCCTTGTCCAGGCGGTGTTGGAATACCACGTCCTAGCCGGCACCATCCGCTCCACCGACATCACCACCACTCCAGCTTTTGCCAAGACCATGTTGACGCACATGACTTACACCAATGTGACCGGTGGACAGGTTGTCAAAGCGCAGGCCGTTGATAGCAATGTCGTCTTCACCAGCGGGCTCCTGATGCGCAGCAATGTCACGCAGGCAGATATCGGTTTTGATGGTGGCGTGGTCCACATCATTGATTCCGTCCTCACGGTCCCCCAGAACGACAGCGCCACAGCTGTTGCTGCTAACCTCACTGCGCTCGCCGGGGCTCTGACGCAGGCCGGCTTGGTCGCGACCGTTGACGCAGCTATGGTCAGACATAAAGCCCCTTTCCTCCCTTCCTCCACAATAGAAAAATGTCCAGATTGCTGGGCACAGACTGATACTTCGTGTTAATACAGGACGTGACCATCTTTGCTCCATCTAATGCCGGCTTTGCTGCCATCTCCAACCTCGTCGGATCGCTGTCCATGGAACAACTCACACAGATATTGACATACCATGTCGTGTCGGGCACTGTGGGCTACAGCACAACACTGATGAACGGTATGACCATCCCAACGCTCGACGGAAACGCCACGGTAACAATCACGGTCGACAACGGCACAATCTTTGTCAATTCGGCCAAAGTTGTTACCGCCGACGTGCTTCTGAACAATGGAGTCGCCCACGTAATCGACAAGTAAGTTTCCAAGCAGGGCTTCGACTTTGCCCACCCGTGTGTAATTGTTTGCTTGCTGCAGCTAACAATGTCGACAGTGTCTTGAACCCGAACAACTCCACAGCTACCACGAACCCGACCGCAACCAGTGACGCGCCTGCGTTCAGCGGTGCAGCTGGTGGCTCTGGTTCGAGCGTCCCGTTCACTTCAGCAGTGACGGCAACAGGTACGGCTGCCAGTACCTCCGCCTCACAGGGTGGTGTGGCCATGCAGACTGCTGCCGTGGGTGCGGCTGCGCTGTTTGGCGGCGCTGCGTTTCTCGTCAATCTCTGAGCCTGGCTGGCGGTGTTGTCCTCAGTATAAGTATAGTCACGCATTGAAGAAGATCGCATTCGTGTCAATCTCTCGAGAAATGCGGCGTTCTTAATCGATCATTTTATAGTCAAATACGACCAAGTGTCTTAATGATCAGTGTGGTACAGCATTTTCAAGGTAATGGACCATCTGATATGGCGCCCCTCATGTCAATTAGTCGTCCAGACTCACGCCATAGTCGCGGTCTCGGTACAACGACCCAACAGGAACGGCACGACTGTCGGCAATCAAGCCGATCAGCATCTGGCCAGCATCCTTTGTCTTGTTGTACTGGCGTAAGAGCTGGATATGCTCGTCGACCGTGACTTCTGGCTTCTGCCTACACGACACAGACGCACAGAAGGCTGTCAGTGACGCACAAACTCTCTCATGTTACTTCAGGCAGCAATAAGGCTGGACGGCTGGACGCAGTACACGCACCTGAGACCAGCTTGTTCTCTTTCGAGTTCTTTGTTTTTCTCTGAAATATCAACGATACGGTCATGTATATCCCCAAGCCTGACACACTGGGGGAAGAAAAAACTGTCAGATACAGAAGTCAAGCCAACCTCCCGTGTAGCCAACTCGAACCATGTCAGTCAGTACTCACAGCAGCGCTCAAAGCAGAGACGTAGCGAACCTGTACACGTCAGATGGTTCTGCGCCACGACGAAGGACAACTTGGGTTGCTCACGCTATCCGAGGCTTCTGCAGCGGATGCGGCCGTGGCCTTGAAATGGTCCCCAGGCGCTGGACCAGTGATCTGAACAGTGCGCGCCTGGTCACTCGTGCTTGTGGCACAATTGATGGGACCCCAGAGGAACGGGCATGTCGGCTCGTCGTGGCCCTTGTCCTGTTCCAGAATCTTGTCGAGACGGTCAGTGATGACTATCAGCAAGCCACCATAGTCTCGACCGTTAGACACTTCGAGACAAATGTTGTCTCTTAGGCCTCTAATAAACTCAGCATCTGCAAAAGAAAGGAGGGAGGACGGCGGAGGCGTTGCCGAGAGGCTAGAATCCATGACTGCAAAGAGAAGACACACTTGGCCTGCCTCAACGAAAGAAAAAAAAGAATGCTCGTGGATTGGCAGGCAGTGTGAGGAGAAGCACACGTCCTCGTACCTTCCCAAGGTAAACAGATCTAGTCTAGCAAATGCCAACATGTAGTCATCGTAACCCTGGGAAAGAGTGACCCTAGCCCTAACCCTGATTATATCCCTGCACCATTAGGCCACAAGCACTTCACCACCACGACCCAGCTCAGTTCAAGCAACCAGCTGGGTAATCTGCATTACTGATGTAATCTATCCCAGATCTGGTTCTTTTTTGGAGGGAGCACGCCTTCGGTTGACTCTGTCCTCGGCCTTTTCAGGCATAACTCTTCGGCTGATCTAATAATACTTCATGTGCTGGCTTAGAGGCTTGCGTTCGTTCGACTGCCATCACTCACCTGCGATACCCACACGCAGTTTTTGTCGAGGGAACAATTGAAAAGAGCATACAGCTGGGTCTTCTCTACCATGGAACAGAGATCTTATCTCGTCACATTTCCCCCTCTCCCCGCTCTCCTGGGACAAGATCCCCCGGATGACGGTCCCGCTTGTTCCAATATCGATGAAACCTCGATACGCTGTCTGCGGGGATGGCTGGAGGAAAATGACACCCTGGAGCCGTTATTCGGCAGGGTCTTCCGCCAGATATCACATACTACGTATTATGTATACGACGATGTACAGTCGCGGGCCTCTCGGAAAGGGGGGGAAAGGGCGAATCCAGACCGAGCACGAGGCAGATCCAGGCGCACCCCTGGGTCGCTCTGATCAGTCAGATGAGAGGGCATGTTTAGACGAAGGAACCGTTGGCAATGGTCTGATGCTATGGTACCAGTCGCTGTCGATCCTGACTACAGCAGACACAATACCAAAGGGCGGGGCTCGACCTCAAGAAGATCCGCCGTACTCCGGAGTCCTGGGGAAGGCGAGGTTCCGATTTTCCCCCGGCCGGGGATAACGGGGCTGTCGATATAATTGATGGAAGAACTTTTGACAAGAAAAAATTGGGTGGAACCATACTTTTGGAGTCACTCCACTCGCACAGACGACAGCCTGACGGGCCGACAGGAGACCACAGGCCAGGTACTTCGTTTTTGCTGCTTACTCTCGCATCCCTTGATAACACGTTATTGGATCCTCTTGGTCTAGCTCCTTTTGTCTTTGTTTGCTGTCCGACCTCACCATTACCACGCCAACAACCAGGAGGTTTTTGTGCTATCAGTGAAGGTGGACTTATGCACGCAAATTCAGTCGGTCAGGATGGACATGGCCAGGCCCAGTAACGGATGCCTCCAGTGTCTGAGAAAATTACTGCTCAAATAGGAGAAAAGAATGTAGGAGGAAGAGGAATTACGAAGAGAGAGAGAAAAAAACAAAATGGAAAAATACTTGCTGTGGGATGATACGACGTTCGCATATGCTGGAGGGTCAGCCTTACGGTCGCCCCAGATGCGTTCCACCCGCGGTGGCCGTGTCCCCTGAGATGGCACGCTGCCATTCATCATACAGTACACATCATCTGCTTGATGTCGGCAATCTCGTGCTGATATTCTTCCTTTCCTTCCATTTTGTTAGCATGTTTATATACCTCTCACATTCCCCTCGAATTTCTTGCTCGTGCCCATATTCCCACCATTGGATTATCATCACTATCCACACCGCTCTGCTATAATTACTACGACCTCTATCGAGTGCCGCATATTGTATACACGAGAGAAGAGAAAGAGAAAAGAAGTCCCCAGTCAACCCTTTAAATTATCTACAAACATAATTATATGATGACCGTCTTTGGGCCCAAAACATATGCATGGTAGGACACACCAGTCGCTCACTTTTATCCAGGGAGCTGGCTTCTCACTGATTTGCCCTCACAGGTTCTGTGCGCTGTCTGCTGCGCTGTGCAATTCATATTATGGCTTTGATGCCTCGGTAGGTTCCATGCTGGACGCTGGAGGAATGAAGAAGCCGACGAGAAAGCTGACGACCTCGACTTTTAGGTATACAATGCGGTCCAGGGCATTGACAACTGGAAAGATTGGATGGGGGACCCCGGTGCCGAGACCATAGGTGGGGTCAATACGGCCTACTCAGTCTGTGCTATTGTCTCTGGCTGTGAGTATTCCATTTTTGTTTCTGAAGCTTTGGATGGATACTGGCAAGACCTCATCTCAGAAGCATGCATTCGTGTCTATGTCTCGATACTGACAATGGTATTTTGTTCTTGCCCTTTAGGGTTCCTCGCTGCCCCTTGTGCCGATTTTCTAGGCCGGAAATTCGCAATGGCCATCGGAAGTATCCTGATCATGATCGGTGCTATTCTTGAGACGTTCACGAAAAGACATACTCTGGGCATGTTCATTGCAGGCCGCGCGATCATTGGATTGGGTCAAGGAATCGCCCTCTGTAAGTACAAGAAATATGACACTCTGGCTGTTGCAATGGATGCAAAGGTTTGGTGATTTTCTCCGTCAGTGCTGACTCGAGGTCGTTCCCTGCAGCTGCCGCTCCAGCATACATTGGCGAGATCACACCGCACAAGATACGTGGTATAGTCATGACCTTTTGGCAGGTCTGCTACAGCATTGGTCTCTTCTTTGCCTTCTGGATCAACTATGCCTGCACCAAGTATACTTCGCGTCTGCCCAAGAACTGGGACTGGAGGATCGTGTGCATCTTCCAACTCCTGGTCCCTGTATACGTCCTCACAATCCTTCCTTTCTTGCCGGGATCTCCAAGATGGTAGGCCTCCATGCCGAACCTGTATTTTTGTATTACTATTTGTACTCCAGAAGCCTGATCATTGATTATTGTCTTCCAAATTTTAGGTACATCAAGAACGGCAAGACAGAAAAGGCCCGCAAAGCTCTACTCGCGACTCGACCTACTCCAGAAGGAGCCGAGGAAGAACTGCAATCCATCATCCAGGCCGTCGAGTTCGAAAAGACCAGCACAGAAACGTCCGCCGGCTACTCCGCCCTGTGGAAGGACAGGTCTGTTCGGAAGCGACTGTTGCTTGCCATTGGCATGAATGCCGGGCAGCAGCTGACGGGCCAGGGCTCCCTCTCCACCTACTCGACCAAGATATACGAGAAGGTCTTCTCGTCCTCGTCCACCATCGCCCTGATCAACGCCTTGAATGCCACCTTCTCGATCTTGTTCTGTCTGAATGTCACATGGATTGTTGAGCGGTGGGGTCGCAAGGTGTTATTCATTGTCGGCGGTATGTCGGACAACAACTTCCTTCCCTTCACTGATAGAGATCATAAGACTGACTGGAAATATCTTCTAGGTATGGGTATGGCATGCTGCATGGTTAGTGTCTTCCTTTTTCTCTTGTTCCTTTCTCCCAATGAAGTGTCTCAGAATTGCCTTTTCCTGACTCGCCCAACAACAGCTTATCGTTGCGACCGTTGAGACCCAAACGCCGACAACAGCGGATGGAGGCAAGTCGCACTCGGTCGGTGTCGCCATTGTCTTCCTCCTGTTCCTCTTCATCTTCTTCTACAAGCCGTCTTGGGGCGCCGTCACCTGGATCTGGACCTCGGAGATCTTCAGCCTCAACGTCCGCGCCCAGGGAGTAGGCATGGCAGGCCAGACACAGAATATCGCAAACGCTATCGTCCAGCAGTTCTTCCCGACCTTCCTGAACAACTGCGGCTTCTACGCGTTCTACAGTGAGTCCTATTCCCCAACTTCATGGCTGTAAAACTAGCACTGCTGCCCATTATGATTATTATTATGATGAGGCTCGAGAATGACGACGCTGACTCTCGGATGTGCTCTTTCAATCACTAGTGTTTGCCGGCATCAACTGTCTTCTCGTCCTCTATGTCATTTTCCTCATCCCAGAGACCAAGGGTGTCCCGCTTGAGGAGATGGACAAGCTTTTCGGCGGTGCCAATCACGTCCAGGCCGGCGCAGAGATACTACAAGAGGAACAAATGCAGGTCGACCAGCACAAACCCAAGAGCGATCATAGTAGCACCCATGGGGATGTTACCGCCAAACCCGAGGCAGAGTTAGTCTAATCGTGAATTGTGAGGCAAATGTCTTTTTCCAAGCCGCTGTTGTTCGAGCAAGAGCAAGTCGTTTCTTGTTATGTTTACTTTGATTGTTTACTTTCTTTTCCTTTTTAGAGAGACATAAGGGGCATATTGTGTATCAAGAATCATTTGTGTACATACTGCTGCCAGCGAGCGTCGGCGTGATAGATGTTTCATGACAGCAGGGTAGAAAATAAGAAGCTTACTGTCCATACTACACCTTAGAGGGATATCACAGCAGGAAATTCATCTGAAACTCAAGCAACAACACATTCGTTTAGAGATGAAGACCGAGTTAGCATATTGATCCGAAGGATCTCCATGTGCTTATTGAATTAATTACTAAAGCTATCTTCAGGTCTGCTTTGGCATTAATTAATTAAGTAGACAATACGTATCCACGCCTACCCAACAAGACTTTCCACTTGAGCCTGCCTCATTTATCGCAGCTATGGAGGAGCGAGGGCCCTTAATTTACTTGGAAGCAAAGCCAAGAGTGGGAGTTGTAGCCCCGTTGAAGACGACAAAGGCGGCCTTCAGAGCGACATCACCGAAGATGTTGATGCCGATACCAGCGCTGGACTGGATGCCGCCAAAGCAAGACGAGCTTCCAGTGGAGATGGGGCCGAAATCAATGTAGTCGCCAGGAATCACAATGCGAGCTGAGCCAACGCCGAAGGTGAAGGAAGGCAGGGTCGCGCTGCAGGGGAAGACGTAGCCGCCGACGGAAGAGCTGGACTTGGCGCCCGAGACCTGGGCCCAGTAGGCCGACACGACGGTGGCAGGGAGGTACAGGAGGGTCGTGCCAGTGTCAGCGATGCCGTCGATGGAAGTCGACTTGAAGGTGCCGGAGCCGACGGCGTAGCCGGTCGAAGTCCACTCCCAGAACCCTTGCTTGGTCGAGACAGCGGTGTAGGTGATGGAGCCCGTGTAGGCAGTGGTATCGATGAAGCCGAAGTTGTAGGTACCAGCTGTAGATACAAACAATTTCCATATTAGTGGGGAATGCTTCTCCAACAAGATTCATCAAAAAGTATATGTATCAAGAGGGGTCACTCACGGGCATGGTAGCCAAGATCAGCCGTGAACACAGGCGAGTCCAAGGACGCCTTCGCATTGTCGAAGAAAGTCTTTTGCTGGGTAGGCGACACAGTGTTCAGGGTGCTGAAGGCCAGGCCCAGGAGACCGTCAATGGTCGAGTCCTCGGTGAAGCTGGAAGAAACCTTCTTGGCCGACTCGACAGCCTGGCCCGTCACGGTAAGGCCTCCAACCGAGACGGTGTCAGTGTAGACATCGCCGCTGGAAGAGCTACCGTCTCCGTAGGAGATGGACCAGGTAGCGCCCGACAGCAGCTTGGCGGTGGTGCTCTTGCTGGGGGTGTAGATGGTCTGCCCATCGACCTACAGTTGGGAAATTCCCAATGTTAGTATTCTGATTACCAAAAAAACTAAAAATGTATGCAATAAAATGCGGGCGAGGGTTGACCAACCTCGCTGGCTGTAGTCTCGCTGCTGAAGACCCACAGATCCGAAGATCCAGTGTCAAAGTCCAGGTTCAGAGTCTGCGCAGGGGTGCCGATCTGAACCGGAGTGATGTAAGCATCATCGAGGCTGTCGATGGGAGTTGTGGTCGCAGAACCGGTCGAGCGCTCAGCCAGGCCCGAGGTAGAGTTCTGGACAGCATCCTCCAGCCAGGCTGGGATCGGCACGCCGTACTTGAGGTACGTCTTCTTGACCGACAGAGGCCCGTTGAACTTGTAGTTGGGGTTCCGGACTTCAAAAGTATAATTGTCAGTAAAATATCCGTCTTGCCTTGACCTCTTCTTTTTGCGTTGGTCTTCTGTTGCAACACACAGAAGCAGCTCTACTCACCTTGCTTGAACGAGTACTTTCCGGGGCCAACTTCAGGAGAGGCGTTGACGGGAATTCCAACGTGTTGCTTTGTAGGCGAGCTGAGAGCACCACCAGCCAACATGGCGGTCACCAAGGCGTTCTTGAGAGGGGAAGACATCTTTGAAGGTTGCTGAAAGTCCTAAGTCTGGAGCAAGGTGATGGTGGTGGAACACGAAGGAGAAGTTGAAGAGTCGATGGCGTTGGGACAGACAGAAGATGGTTGAGCAACCGTCGAGGCCACTCCTTTTATATACATGTCTTCATCTGGCGGCACATGTGCTCTCTTGACCATATCGTATAGTATAGACAACAGAGTAACATCGCTTCGCCAGGCTAGAAGCCAGAAGGTCATTCATCCGCCAGCGGAGCCCGCATGGACGAAAAGACCACGGACCAATGATTCGAACAAGTTCAATAGAATTCCCCCGCCGGCGGCGGATAAGCTTGTGAACCTCACTTGAAGTCTGTAGAACACTCTGATCGAACAAGGGATTATTGGGCTAGTAACGCAGTCACAGCGATTGGCTTGTGATCGTGCGTGACCATAGATTGATTGCCAGACTGTCAGGCAAGGCTCGAGTCATTCGTTCATCCCTACGCTCGGCATGTTGCGAACGATGTGACCGTGACAACGGCCCGTCCTGCTGGTGCTGGCTGCTATTGCTATACGAAGCGCGCACGATCACGCAAAAAGAGACTATTTCCCTCGGTCGACCAAACAAAGGTCAAGGAGCCGTTTTGCAGCTCAAGCGGATCGTCAGACTTATCGGCGCCAAGCAGGTGGGTGCTATGGATGAAGTCGGCTAAGCCTCCCTCCCCTTGTCCCATCAACACCACTCTCCTGTCGCCATCGCCTGGCAACACCAAACGACTTGCCTGATGCGGTTTAAGGGCGGCGGGCCGCTGATTCATTAGCTGGAAACTTTGAGGAGCCAAGCCTTCTAGAATATATCAGATATCACAGATTAGTTCATGGTCATGAGGTCCCCCTTGATGAAGGACCAGTGCCGGCTGAAGGCCCTGAATGGGCAGGACGTTAAAGAGCCAAGCATGCAGCATGGGGTCAGGAGAATTAAGCATAAACCCTAATCTAATCTCCGAGATGACATTACTGCCGAGCCAGCCAGTCAACAACCTGCTTTTGGCCGGTTCCATGCCGGCCCCAGACAAGGAGAGTGATGTGTCGAAAACAAAAGGGGGGATGGGATGATGCTTGAGCCTCGGTACTGGATGAGGACTGGCCTCAGCTCATGGGTTCCATACTGGGAATGCTTGCCGAGGGTTTTTTTTGTTTTGTCTTTTTAAGCATAGTGGCTGGCGTCTAAGCATGGTTCTCCTGCAAGCTGTAGTATTGCTTGTGGATTATCAGCCGCTCGTGATAATCAGTGGAGCTCCGGAAAGGCATCATTGTCCCCTTGTTGTTATTGAATTCGGATGGACCCGATGCTCCTGAATGAGAGTCTAAATATTATGCCATTGAGAACCAAGATTGATAGATACGGCCTCTTTTGCTCAGTCAGTAAGGTAGAGGTCGTCGTAGATTCGGGAGGGCCCCAGAAGATGATATTTACATTACTTAATGGTAATGCTATTGGCCCTCTTATCACACCTCAGTCGGCCAAATCCAGTTCAGGATAGTGTCTGTATATTCCCAAGCTGTACTTTTGACGCCTGTCACTCGCAAGGTATGCCTTAATGCGAGGTCTCTCCTTCACAGCAGCATGGAGAGCAAACACGCCATCGTAGTCGCCCGTGTCCTGCAGCTTCTGCAAAGCCTTTGGAAACATGTGTTGCAGCCCGTCTACACACTAATGATTATTGCTGCAGTGTCAGCCTGCTTCATAGAGCACACAAACTTGAATGGGAACCATGTCGCCTTTCCTTCCCTTTCCTTTCCTCAGGGGATTAAGCGTACCTGGAACAGCACAAGATCGGCATATGTCAGCTTTCCGGAGTAAAGCCAGGGCCCGTCGCCACTGGCCTTGCTCTTGAGCACTCGATTGAAATAGCCCAAGAACTTCGGAAGCCTGTTTGCGATGTAGTCCTTGCTTTTGCGCAAGCTTTCTTCTTTTTGATCCTCGTAATACAGGCTAATTTCGTTATAGTGTAGCAGTTAGCACAAGCAGCGCTGAATGGAACGGCACAAGACCGGAAGAAGAAGGAAGGAAGAAAAGACGCAAAGCTTATACCTGCTAGCGATGGGATGATGACAGTCATGGGGCTCATTGCTCAGCCCATCCAGTGCGGTAAGAGTAAGTTCATTGACCACAAAGATGCCATCTTCGTCTTCATCCCCTGGCTTGGGCGCCAGTCCTAGCTTCGGCCCCAGATAGAGCAGGATATTGGGCGTCTGGTTGATGACTAGATCACCGTGCTTGAGCATCGGAGGAGCCAACAGGGGAGGATTGAGATCATCACCGGTGTGAGAATCGTCAATGCGCGAGAGCACTTCGTTCACGCCATCCTTCTGGTGTGCCGTGTCGGTGTAGTCGGCACCAGCCTCCTCCAGAGCCAGGCGGATGTGCTCTCCGCGGCCTGGAATACCTGGCCAATAAATCAGGTTGTAAGGTGTGTCTTTGGAAGACTTTTGGCGCTTGGCGGCATGAGTCGAGGCTGACATGGCGAGTCTAGTTCCTGGCTGAGGATTTGATATACTTATTGGATGGTACAGCAGACCGTCACTGGCGAAGTTGTGGTGCGGCCCGAAATAAGACCAACCCGACGTTTATGAAGTGTTCTGTCTAAAGTGCAAGTGTGCAAGAGGGGTTGAAAAGATGTAAATCCTTCCGCTGCAGCCGGCCGTGAAGCAAACCGTGCGGGGAGCTGCAGTGTCAACATATGTTATTACGTCACGACGGGATTAGTATAATTTCCGAGGTCAATCGTCAAGTAGATATCCGTATCATGATGTCTCGAAAACGAGGAGATTGATGTCGGCACCAGGTCAGTTGCTAACCAGTCTACTCCTCCAGATCTCCCAGACAATTATTACAGTCATCGATAATTGTTACGCCGATGAAGTTGTTTTTACACGACGATCATCAAACTCAGGTGAGATCCTTTGTGGGAACTGAGCGGTTGGACCTTTGGATGCGCCTCTCATAATGTTGTTCGGTTTTCAAGATTCATGGAATATACACTACATGATGATCGCAATGCCTTTACATGGCGATGTATTCTGAATTATGGGAAAGCGGGTGGTGGCTAAGTGGTTAGTGGATGATTGATTAATCAATTACCTGGTAAGTATCTACTTACTTACACAAGCCTTGTGAAACGGAACGCCATTGCAATGAAATCCAACTCTGTTTCATATTTCTGAAGCTAATTCATTCCGTCGAGGAAGGGAGCGCACCTCATCAACAAATTTGACTATCGTAAGCTTGGTAGTCCTCCCACCGGCATGTATCCTCCTCCGAGTAGAGTTCCTAGTGATTCTATAGTGTGAGATGAGAACGAAAGTATCAAGAACTCCAAAACACAATTATCGCGCACAAAATATCAAGCCAAAGAACACACATATGAAGTATGTAGGCTCATAAAGGCATGGGAAGTCAACAAACCTAACACATAGGGTACATAAATGAACAGCCAAATAACCTCAGCAACGGAACTGGATTGCACCATTCTTATAGCAGGTGGAGCAGCGGCACCATGATATTCCTTAGCGGCCACACTTCTGTTCAGCCACGCCCCGCACTGAGTGGCTCAATCATGAAACTGTACGCTCGCAGTGTTACCAACATCATTTTGGTGGTGAAACTTGTCGCAAGTCTAGACAGGCTTGGGTGTAAAGAGGGAATTACTAAAGACAATAAGGCTGCAGGAAAGTTTATCAACAAAATCCGAATCAACAAAAAGTCATTAAATTGTTTATTTTTCCTACATCATTCATACAAATAGCATAGTACATGCATGATATGTTCATGACCCCCCCCCCCCCCTAATCCCTACCACTGCAGACCCACCCCGCGAGAAAAAATGTTCATGACGGTAGGAGGTTGTTCCGGGTCGACTGTATCTGCCGCTCTGCGTACTGCTTGCGGTAGTCATCGATTCGACTAATACATTCCAATGACCTGAAATAGATCAAAATTTAGTATTCACACGTGAACCTCGGCCACTCTTGATCACTCACACTCACAAACAACCCAGGGAAGAAGCATCACTGTTGCCGTCTTGTCCCCTCAATCACTGATTCACTTGGCCCTCCGGTTGAGGTAAGTAAGTATTTATTGAACGCCTCGACGACAACTCAAGCATCCATCCCTCAGTAGAACTTCATACTTACTTTATTTGTGGCGGTAAGCACAACACAGCCACACACACACATACCCTTTTTTGTCTTACCTACCACACCATGCCTCTGCCGCCAGGAGTGTACCGTGCCGACCAGGTGGGGTCGTTCCTCCGGCCCAAAGCCGTCCTCTCGGCCCGCAACGACGCCGCAGATGGCAAGCTGAGCCCAGCCGCGCTGCGGGAGGTGGAAGACGAGCACGTCGCGCAGGTCGTCCAGAACGAGGTCGAGAACGGGATCCGGTCCGTGACGGACGGCGAGTTCCGGCGGGCGTATTTCCACGTGGACTTCTGCGTGCACCTCGACGGCGTCGAGCAGCAGGGCTACGTCTCCTCGACCAACATCACCAAGGTCGGCATGAAGTCGCCCCCGCGTCTCGTCGTCACGGGCAAGCTGGGCCACCCCAAGCCCATCCAGGTCGACGACTTCAAGTTCCTGGACGCCCAGATAGAAAAGCTCGGCCTCAAGGGCAAGGCCACCGCCAAGGTCTGCATCCCGTCGCCGACCATGGTCCACTTCCGAGGTGGGCGCGAGGCCATCGACAAGACGGCCTATCCCACCCTCGAGCCCTTCTTTGACGACCTCGTGCGCGTGTACCAGGAGGAGATTGCGGATCTGTACGCTGCTGGGTGCCGCTTTGTCCAGCTGGATGATACCAACCTGGCCTATCTCTGTGATGAGGGCATGGTGAGTTTTTCTTATGCACTAATCTCTCATTCTTCTCTATCATCCATCACATCCTGCCGAAGAGATGAATTACCACAGAGAGAGAGAGAGGCATCAACTGTCTAGAGAAGTGGCACTGAAGGAAGAAAACACCTCACTATCACTATGGAGACTCATCTTACGGGCAGCTTATCTTTCACAAGCAGCCATGGAAGTTCGAGTTTCTATTTACACGAGTGTTTCCCACTATAATCTCTTCTTCCTTCCTGCTATCTTTCAATATCCTGTCAGTCTCCTTCAAACCAGCTAACGCGTTCCAAACAGCGCAAGGAGGCTGCCACCCGCCACGGCGAGGACCCAGGCCAACTGGCCGAGCAATACGCCAAGCTCATCAACGCCGCCATCTCCAAGCGGCCCAAGGACCTGACCATCGGCATCCACCTGTGCCGCGGCAACTACCGCTCCCAGTGGTTCGCCCAGGGCGGCTACGAGCCCGTCGCCGAGACCCTCTTCAAGAAGCTCGACGTCGACGTCTACTTCCTCGAGTACGACGACGCCCGCTCCGGCGACTTCAGCCCGCTGCGCCACCTGCCCGAGCACAAGGTCGTGGTCCTGGGCGTCATGAGCAGCAAGACGCCCGCGCTGGACGACAAGGCCGAGATCATCCGCCGCGTCAAGGAGGCCGCTACGTACTGTCCCAAGGGCCTTGATCAGCTGTGCCTGTCCCACCAGTGCGGCTTCAGCAGCACCATGGAGGGCAATGATCTCTCCGAGGAGCAGCAGTGGGCCAAGGTCAGACTCCAGGTTGAAATCGCCAAGGAGATTTGGGGTGAGGACACGTCTGTGTAGATAAGGCTGTCAGTACCTCCAACGTCATGTCAAGTACCCATGAGATGCAGGTTGCCCAAGCATAGCTATCTGGACGTGGCTCAATCATTATGACTTTGAACCTGTCTTATCATCTCCATGGTCTGTTCTGATGTAGTACCCTGGCATAAGGCGCCAGCTTTTGCATACAACAAACCAAAACGATACAGCAACCATGATAATCAGGCTTACTACAAGTGCAACCAGGGTCAGTCAGGGTCAAGTGTATCCAATTTTTTTTATCCTTAGTATCTGCCTACGTGGGCCTGTGCCTTTTTGTGCAAACAACACCGACGCGACTCTGGCACAAGTCAACACATAGCCACTGTTATCCAGATCCAGTGGGCTCAAGGCGCCAGAATACAGAAACACAATAACGCCAGCCACCCGCCCTCTAAATGGCCACCCTCCGAGCGCCAGAACCAGATGTTGCCAGAAAATATCACAATCCTCGACAGAGTTCCACACCGCTGCTTCAACGCGCTGGTCTTCTTCATCTGTCTCACTCTGCTTGGCGTCTGATGGGCACAGGTGGGGCGGGTTTCTTGGCCCTGCTGGGCGGAGGCGGCGGTGCCTTCTTCACGCCGACAGGGGTGACATTTGCGTTGTTGAAGTTGTTCAGGTTCGTACGGCTGGAGCTACCATAGCTCGTAGCGGGGCTGGTGCTGCCGGGCGGCGTGCCGCTGCTTGTAGTGTCCTCATCGTCAGTAGCAGCAAAGACATCCATGGCCGAGGTACGCGCAGTCGGCCGGAGCTGGCCGCGCAGGGACGAGATGCTGGGCTGTGGCGGGGGCGCAATACTGAGCGGAGTGCTCGCTGTGGAGGTCCGCGACAGGGAGGCGCCGAGAGACCTCTCGCTCTGGTAGGTGCTGGCCCTGGAGATGCCAGGACGCGGTAGGGGCACGGGCTCCTGACCAGATGCGGCGCTGTTGACACTGATGCGCGATTGGGAGCGGATGGGGGCCCGCGCAGGGTGGGCAGGGACGGCGTCAGGTTCGTCGTACTCGCCATAGTCGGTGCGACTGTTTACCCTGCCAAAGGACTGGGCGGTGTTGGATCTGCTCCTGGCCGAGGGCCTGCGCATGCTCCCGTAGTCCCTCTCGCTGCCGCTTCGTGCGTATGGATCGGTGGGCGAGGGGGCGGCGGCAGTCCAAGTGGCGCGGGTCTGGCGGAGGGCTTCGGCGCAACGGTCATGGTAGTCGAGCTCGACGTCGAGGAAGCGGGTCAGGTCACGGATACTGTCGGCCTCAGCGTCCTTGATGTCCTGCATGCGGCGCAGGACATCCTCGTTGGTCTCCTCGTACTTCGCCTTTGCGGAGCGGAGTTCTTCCTCGAGGCGGAAGTCGTCGCGCCTGGCCTTTTGCATCTTGGTTGTGGAGGCGTCGAGGGCGAGGCGGCGAGACTCGAGCTTCTTGCGGGCAGCCTGTTCTCCCGGAAACGAGGTTAGCTAGAGGTCTGCTGCAGGTCAAGTCTGGGGCGGTGCAGGGAGGGAGCACTGTTCTGGAAAGGAGGGAAAAGGCGTACCTGGTACTCCTTCATCATGGCAACGGATCTCTCGAGGGAGTCAAGCCAGTATCTGGTGGCATCGTTGGCGTACTGCTCCTGGAAGTGGGCAACCTGGTCATTGGCACGGCCCATCTCTATGAGACAGTTTCCGAACTGGGAGTCTGGGTCGAAATCTTCGCCGTGTGTGATCATGGTACGGCTGAGAACAGCAGTTGGCACACCCTTTTCGCCGAGAAGACTATCGCGGTGGGCGAGCCACTTTACGTAGGCGTTCATGGTGGTCTGGAGCTTGACCATGCCTGAAGAATCACAAGAGAGCAAGCCTGTCAGTCAAATTCGTCGATCCCTGATCAATTAAGTGATGGGAATGATAGACAGACCATCAAATCGCAAGGCCATCTCCATCTCGAGCATCTTGAACTCGTCTGTGGTTCCTGTCCGGGCCTCATTGCCCATCTTCTCGCCAGCCCACTGGAAGGCGCGGTCAAACTTCTTGGTGAAATTCATGTTGGGCGTGTGTGTGTGTGTGGATATCCTGATACCGCCTCGTGGGGAAAGGGAGAAGAGTACTGTATATCTGGTCGGATCGAGTCGTGCCGAATCGAGAGCTTCCAGTTTAGAAGAGCTCTTTGGAATGTGTGTGTGTTGTAATGTGTGGTATGTATATATGTACAGGCCCGTCGAGGGAGGAGTACGTATGTGTTTAGTACAGTTACTGCACCAAGAGAGGAGGAGGGAGCAGAAAAGAAGAAAACGTCTCAAGCCGGTGAGTGAGTGAGTGTATGTAAAAGTATGTAGTTGTTGTATATACCAACGAAGAGAATTGGAGCCAAGAAGAGAAAGGAAGGCCAAGAGAGGGGACAGACAAGGGCGACAGAACCAATCAATGAATCAGTTGGTCTATCTGGTCAAATCAATAACCCCCAACAGGAAGAGAAGAGTGGCAACAAGACGGACAGACAAGACAGGCAAAGACTGGAACGAGGAGGTCGAAACGAAGGGTCGGGTCAAAAGGTTGGACAGACCGGCAGCCGCGACCTTGTATGTTATGTGTGACCTTGTCCTCGTTGGGATAGTAGTGGAAGTGGTGGTTGTTCGGGTGGGAAGGTGCGGTGGAAACGTTCATTCCAGGTAAGCCTCCCCCGGAAGGCGCTCATGCCAAGCAGGGCTATTACTGCAGTGTGGCATGTCATGGCATGTACCGTGTACCCTGGATCATACCACTGTACGGTAGCGACTGTACGTATCACGGTACAACTGCACTGTACCATAGTAAGTCTTGCCCTCTCGCCCTCTACCAAGGAGATTGGCCCACCCCACCCCCCGTCTTCCCCTTGTCGACAGGTTGCGTGGGCCCTGCATCGTCACTTTGATTTTTGATCTGGGGGAGAGAGCGGCGGGGGGTGCAGGCTCAGCCACTCGGGTCCCCTGAATATCATACCAAGAGGTTTGGCCACCTGCAACTTGAACTGTTGGATAGTCCAGATAATAAATTTGTTAGAGTGATGATCATACCGGCTTGATCACTTGCTTCAATCAAGTCTAGGCTACTATGGTATCATGATAGTACATGCAGTAGTGGCAGTGGCAGCAGCATAGCAAAACAATCATGTGTACAGTGCCAGTGCTGTGCAAGAGATATGCATATCTTTTGTCCTCAGTGGCCCTACGGACAGAGAGAACCCGAGGGGGTGGGGAATGCATGTACGATGATAGTACCGAGATCGGGGTCATATGCATTCATCTCGGCTGTCATGCACATACTTACATATGATACCATCCGACACATCAACTGATCAACTCTTAACAGTATTTTCTTGCCATCACAGATTTCTCCAATAATTGCATGCACATAGTATATATAAGATCCCTCCTCTCGTTGACTGATCTACCATCTGATGTCCTACCATTTGACGTCACACGGCATGTCTTCGTCTCACCCTGTCACTCCCTAGAGATATTCATCCCTTCTTTTTGCTTTTTCTTCTCCCGGTGGATCAATCGTGGCCAAATTCATGCGGTCACACACATGCGCATCGAGATAGCCCCTGGTATGGCCCGTATCCATCTCGTACTGTAAATGCGTAGGTGCCATGCAGAAAACTACATCATACCATAGTACCTTTTCCCCTTTCCCACTACGGCCTGGTACGTATCTCGCTACGGAAGCAGTGCGTACTCAAGTACGTGTACATACCATACCAAATCCAAGCCTCGTTCACTTCTTAATTACTCGGCCACCCCAGTGCCGCCCACCCGCCTCCAAAAAAAGAATAACGCACACACGCGTGTACTGTGGTACAACAATAGCATCGCCACGCCAGTGGAATGCCATGAACAGGCCAGCGCTTTCCGCTTCACTTTCCGGAGAGTAGCAAGGGGGGGGGCAGAGGAGGACCACGAGGCCCACACGAGCTCGTGAGGTGCTCCCTGTCACGAAACAGTGGCCCCATCTATCATAGTACCCACCCCCCTTAGGGTGGCCTAGACCTTCTACTGCCACGACCATAGTGTTTTGGTTTGGCCCTACAATGTACATAGTTCAGCGTCCAGCGCCCAGAGCCAAAGAGTCAGAGGACCCCAAGTTCTGGACCCCTCAGCGCACCGTCCGTCAGTGCGTGTACAGCACTACTGCCAACTAAAAAGTGTGGGTGGGTGGGCCTTGTACCTAACCGCCGGCCCCAGGGTCCCGTTAACAATTCAGGAGCCGCTCCAAAAAAACAAGAGATCCACGTTTCACCCTGAAAATAGAAGTGCCAATCAATCAGCTACACTACAATACCAGCCAGACTGACTAGCTAGCATGGTATGTATGACTTTATGTCGTACGGGCAAAGCACAGGATACGATAGCACATCGCAATCACTCACATTCATTTTCTGTGGACAAGATACTATTACATACTATGTGTTAGGTTTAGAATGTGGGGGCCAAGGTCCAGCAGCGAGGACACGGTGTGGTCAGCTTCGTGCTACATAATATGTACTGTACTATGTACGGTACTTGGGCTGACGTCTATCTGATGTGATTTGGCTGATGAGTATCCATCGCCTCATCTTTGTTCCACCTCACTCTCGTCATCCTGACCAAACATGGCACCAGTCGAGCATCTCACCTCGCAGAACTTCGAGCCTCCCTTCTCAGAACATGAGAGAACAAGAGAGAGGAGGAGGGAGAGTGCCTCTGTACTGTAGGAGGACTTGCAGTGAATCTCTTCACCATCCAGGTAGATAGATCGTGGGCCAGTGGGGTCGGCGTCATCAATGTTTCTCCCTTGCTGGCCTGTTCAGTAAAAGGACTGCTATGTCCTTCTGCTTCGGGAAAGTTTTATGACGAGGATACCGTCCACCCCAGATACCTTGGTTGCAAAGAAGGCTGCGTGACTTGTTCAGTGTTGGTCATGGCCAGGGCACAAGAACTCGATCAGGCCAGGATATCAAGAGCCTGAAACCAGATGCCTCTTTCTATTTGCCCAAGTCAGCGGCGCAACCCACCTGCATCCATGAAATTTTCACAGGAGAGACGTCTGGCCTGTCGTTCCGTCGGATAGGCCTTCAGCCTAGGCTCATGTCATAGTAGACCTTGGGTTCGAGCCTTTGGTCAGTTGCGGACACCGCTCATCGGGTCGATTAACATGCCAAACATCAGTCACCACAAGGGGCCTCACAGAGGGGGCCCAAACGGATCGTCCCCGGCCACCCTGCGCCGCTTAGACTCCCGATCAGCACTACCTTTGAGCGCCTCAATGCTCCCGCCGAACACGGCCCCGTCATCTTCCGCCGCGCCTTTAGCACTGGCCGTCTCCTTTTCACGAAACTCCAGTCTCTTTTTGTGCAGCCCGATCAGGTCAAACCGGTCCGGGTCCCGACATCGCCTGAGCTTCTTATTGATGGGTTTCACCAAGTTGCTTGCTTCGGCCTGCATACAGTCAGTTGTCAGCGCCTGCCCGACTCCACATGGGTTGCCAGCTTGTCTATGTGCGGGATGGGCAGGCCTCACCGTTCCCCAATACTCTGTCATGCGCTCCGGTGGCTCCTGCAGCAGCATCTCCTTGCACGCCTGGACTGTTGCGAGCGTCTTCTCCTTGACCATCTGACCCAAGACAAGGGCGCTGTTATGCGGTCCTGCTCCTTTGGCATTGGCTCCCGAGCTCGGTGTGCTCGTTCCACTCTCGGTCGGTAGCCGCTGGGTGAAGGTGGCCTCCATCACTCGCTCGAAGAGGCCGTGGTCGGCGATGGACAGGGCAGCAAGCATGATCTGGCTGGGTGTGTAATGAAAATATGCATCCGTAACGATAGGGCTAAACTTGAGGATCTCGCGTGCTCGGCTGTGAGCCTTCTTGATTCTGGCGTCCTATGATATTGCGTACAATCAGTAATGAGTTCCGGCACGTGAACGCACAAACACACAAACACATAATGACAGAAGGAGAAATGCGGTGCAAAGAGACAAAAGAGGAGAGAAAGAGAGTGTGTATGCCTACATCGACATCGCCAAAGGTCCGCAACTGCATGATAGTGCCCTCGAGGGCAATAAAAGGGTGCCTGACATCAAAGGCGAAGCGAATGCCTTGACATAACAAGAATTCACCAGCCAGAATCTCCTCGCCGGTGGTGTTGGGAAACTTGTTGGCAATGGTGCTGACGCGTGGGTAGACATTTTCGGCCTTTGCACCAAAAAAGACACAGGTCTTGAGCATCTTGGCGGGAGGATAGGTCATGACGCTGTGAGTCACAAAGAAGCGGCGTAGGAAGATGGCGGCGGTGGCCCGTATCTCGGTAGGTAGCTGGCAAAACTCTGCTGCACGCAATGTCTCGACGGTGTAGAAGCGCAGGAGGTGCTGCTCCTCGGCAGGGGAAAGGAACTCGGGTAGTGATGCGGCTGAAGGTCTGTCTGATACAGAAGATGATGCGAGGAGGTCGATGGGAACATCAGCGGGCGCGGTAGAAGTGCCTGAGGTGGCGTTGGCAGTAGGGATTGGCGTATTGGACCCGGACGCGTTGGCAGAGGCGGTGGCTGAGATGGGGACGGAGGAGGAGGCCATCGAGGAGAGGCGTTCAGAGATGTTTTGTCTGGCGAGGCTGTTCGTCTTGGCGCGTAGGTCGGCGAGCTGGGCAGGCGAGTATGACCACAGTCGAAACTGGGTTGACTGGCGATACCGCTCGTCCTCGGTAGCAGTGGTCATAGCCATTGTGAGCTGAGGTTTTGTGAGAATCAAGGCGACGCCAAGGTCATTCCAGTGAAATTGAACAAACGCAGAGGTGCAGACAGGAAACTGGTCAAAGTTGAGATGTTCCCCCCCTTTTAGCGATTTCTCAGAGCATCCGGAATTATTGAGCGGCCCAGCCCCGACTCTATCCCCTTCCTTGCACGTTCGCGTTTGTCGCTTGGTTGCCGTACTGCCGCTTCATGAATTTCGGCCAATGTTTAGGTCGATTCTGGGTTGCGACATCCCAAAGAGGGACAAATGCGGTATGACAGCAGTAGAGCGCTTGCCGGCTCAGCAGCGGCAGTGTCGACCCGCAAAGTTGCCTGCCGGTACTTGTGCACTTTGTACGATCCTCTGGGCTTCCAAGTAGCAGGATTGAAAATTCATACTATGGTTCTTACTGTGTTTGGAATGTATATTTCTCGAAACCTGTATTATGGTGTTCCTCAGATAGCGTGGCGAAACATATTAGGATGGGGTTTGATTCTAGGCAAGTACATTATGAGTGAAACAAGTGCAGTGGCCACTGCCGTATAGAGCTGCCAGCCCACGTGCTGGCTGCAGGTACCTGTTTATGTACAGGGTATTGAATTAGCAGCTTCGCTGATCATGTATTCCATGCACAGCGAATCATGGAGTCTTTTACCATTGGAACTGGAGCCTCTATCTACACACAGAGACTCTTACCAGCCATTCTAGCCGCTGAGCAAGAGATCATCTTGGTAACATGCTATTGGGCCCAGTCCAAGACGCTGACAGCTCTTTGCGACGCGCTGGTGCAGCTCGCAAGGCGACGCGAAGCACAACAGCAAAGTAACGTTACCCAACCTTTGCGACTGCGCATCTGTTTCTCATCTCGATCCCTCTTGCAAAAACTCTTGCACACGTCCTCCAGCGATGGCTATGTATATCCTCCATCGACATGGACAAGCAAACTGGGGCTGCCGTCACCGGAGGTCTTCGCCGCCGGCAAGATCGACGTGCAGGTGAAAAGCCTCTTTTTCCTGCCATTCAGCGTGATGCACCCCAAGTTCTTAATCGTGGACCGTCGACGTGCATTCCTGCCCAGCTGCAACATCAGCTGGGAGCCGTGGCTGGAAGGTTGCTTGGAGCTTTCGAGGAGGGCGTCACAAGATGATCCAATCGATGGTCTGCTGAGGTTCTACAAAGGGGTCTGGGAGAGCGATTTGGACCTGGCACTTTTCAGGCCACAGGTATTGGAAGCACGGACAGAGGGACCTTGGGAGCAGTCCACCTCCCCCATCATCGTCAAATCCCCCGCGGATACATCAGTCGACCTCTCAGATATCTACGTGCCCCCTGCTGCTGTCGAGTGGCTTCCTTCCTGGCACACTCGCAACCCTTCGTTCTGCTTATTCCCCTGGCAGACGCCTAAAGCGCCAGAAACGCCTCTCAACACAGCTTTGTTACGACTTTTTGATGATGCAACCAGGAGCATCATTTTATATACACCAAACCTAACCTCTCCTCCAGTTCTCTCGGCAGTCCTCCGAGCATTGGCCCGCGGTGTGGACGTCAATATCGTTACAAGTCGGAGAATGATGGTCTGGGAGCAGGTGTTGACCGCTTGGACGACAGCAGAGCGATGCATTAAAAGTTTAACGAGGAAGTACACTGCCATGTATGATGGTGAACGTCGTCAAAGGCAAGGCGTACCAATTCAAGCAGGACCAGACGACATGAACGACCTTGAGGCTCAGACTACTCGTCGTGGATCACTCAAAATATCATACTACAGGCCCGCTAACAGGTCTGTAGAGGGCGAAGAGGAGGAGCCCATGCTTTCCCACTTGAAGTTGAGCATTTTCGACAGCGAGCATACCGTGTTGGGCTCAGGAAATATGGATCGAGCAAGTTGGTTCACAAGCCAAGAACTCGGTATAGTAATTCACGGAACTGCTTTTGCCACTGCAGTGAAGGACACTGTGGACCGAGCCCTCGAAGCTAGGTTGGACCCGGTCTTTCCTGCACCTCAATGAGCTCCTTTTTGAAAGAACGTTGGCCCGTGGTACTTTTATTCTTCAGCTGGCACCAGCAGGCTAAAACCCAACCTTGCGGATTCGTATCGACAGCGCGAGGTTCAAACTATGTACATAGAGAAGGAAAAGCAAAAGCATCTCTACCTGTTTCCCACGGTGCACTTCTTCTCGCACGAAGGAGCGTCTAGAAGGCCGGGTTGGCATTGGTCAGGAGTTGCTCAAAGTAAGCCTCGAACCATGTCCCAGCCTCAGGAGCAGGCTGAAGGGCATCCGAATACCCGCAATGGTAATCGTACCGCGGAGAGCTTGTATTGCTCGTCCCGTCGCACTCACCGCCGGGCTTCACCCAGACGAAAGCATCCTCAACCGAAAGACCAGTGCTCGTGGTTGGGCGCGTGCCGAACCCAGTGCCGATGGCATTGCACCAATCTCCCCACTGGGACTGTCCTGTCGGCTGCTTGCCAGAACGGCTTTGGTCCGTGATGAAGTAGGCATTGAAGCCGGCCGAAGACAAAAGAGGCTCAAGAGCCTGTACGTACAGGCTCTCGTCATAATTGGAGTCACCTGATCAGAAAACCATGTCAGTAAATGATGACACTCTTTATTTGTGGTTATTGTTTCCTTTTGCTGACCTTGAGTATAAGATGGAGCACTGGACAGATTCCAGGCGTTGTAGTTTGCCACATTTGTGGCCAACCCTCGGACGGCGGCAGGGCTGCTTGCGTTCTTGTACACTTGCGCGAAAAGAGTTGCAGCAGGCTGCAGGTTCGCCGACCAGCCGAGCCAGCCCGCATGGCCGGCATCGAGGTACATGGCGACATTGGGGAGGTTCAGCGTCTCGATGGCGTAGTTGACACACTCGTAGTAGGCAGACTGGGCATTCGCACACTTGGCCACGTTCAGGTTGGTGACCATGTTGGCAAGGGAGTCGGGCTCGACGACGAGGATGCTCCTGACGTCGCTGTACGTCGTGAGCTGGGTCTTGATGGAGTCGATGTAGGCCTTGTAGTTGGCCACGCCGTTGTCTGCGATGCTATACTCGCCATTGGAGGCGGCGGCAGCGCAGTCTCGGTCCGGAAGGTCGTACACGACGAAGAGACCAGCATATGGAGGCGAGGCTCCGGCTGCATTGGCGGCACGAATATCGCCAAGTGTCTCGACCATGACAGTCGGCACCTTCGCAGCAGTATCACTTGTATGGAGCGAGCCAGTTAGTCAACCTTGCGGGTATTCGAGAGACAATACATGAGATTCAAGTCCACTCACAGCCATTGGAATGTAGGCACCTTGGCCACCTCGGCAGCTTTCGTGGCCATGGCGCCAGTCAGCGTGGCCAGGGCATTCGCCGAGATCTCAGACGCATAATATGCATTCGCCCACTGTTGGACACCATTGAAGGGATTGCCGCTGTACGTGGCGGTAGTGCTGGCTGCGGATCCTGCGGTGGTGGCGCTGGCTGCAATGGTGGTAGTAGCTGGTGCTGCCAGAACAGCGCTGCTCAGAGCCGCTGCCAGGAGAACTCGTTTCACAGCCATTGTTGTTATTTCCCTTTTACCTGCTCAAATGGTACGAGATTGTGATTTTGTGAGAGTAACAAACACTAAGAATCACTAATGGTACAGAGGGCCGTCAGTGTCATTTTATAAGGAATTTACTGCACTCGACCCGTCGTAATTAAAGATCCTCTTGAATTCAGCCGAGCATCGGCCACAACTGGAGGGATTTCCCTTTTGAGTTCGAGATGATCGCTTCTTTTTTTTGTGGCCTCCTCCCAAATGTTTGCACTCCTGCAGCCTGACTTGCGCGCATATTGTCAGTGGCTCCAAGATATTGGATCGAGATATGCCTAAATGCAATACATTCCACCATAGTACGACTGGAGAAGGCTATACCATATTCAACCCCAGTCGTGACGCAGGAACTAGGCAAGATGTTCCGAGTTTCACCGGACGGTTAATTAGTAAACGGATGCTACATGCATATTACCGCGCATGGTCAGGGTGGTGTCCTGGGGGGCAAACCTTGGAGCGGATGACTGGGAGATCAAGCAATCAGCGCAAGGTCTTGGATTGTCTAGCTTCTGCAGGAGCTACAGGTGACAAGAAGATCGGTCCGTAGACTCTGACAACCTGGTTAATTGAAGGATCATCGAAACATGTTTAATATGGAAAAGTATGGTAGCCTGCATTGGCTTCAAACCGCATGGCTTGGCATTTTCTACTTTACCTTAGACCAGGGTCGCCATATTACCATACATGGTCATCAATTAATCTCGGAGCCCACGTTCCTGAACCGCCCAGCTTTTCCAGCAGGATTGTGGGTCGAATATCAGCATACCTCGAAGCTAAGTTACCTCTTGAGGGATTGTCGAATGGCTGGCTTCATACCTCTTTGCTAGTGATTGTTAAAGGCGTAAATTATGATTCATCAGAAACCTATGTCGCCATTTCGAGTTATTCTATAGCTGCCACTCAATGATAATTTGCAAGCCTTCCCCGGGTACTAAGTATTTTCGAGGGACTGAAGGAGTTTGAGACGTGTGGCTTCAAGTCCAATCATGGCTCTGCTTCGATCTGTATTGCCAATAACTGTTGAATGCCGTGTCACACCTGGTAGCCATACGATCTGGTGGTATAGCGAGACGTTTTCTTGTTTGTCACAAGATTGTGCCGACGGGGTTGCCAATCTTTTTTCTCTTCTCACCTGTACATATAATCGTACCACAAGGCCCAGTCCAAGAGTTCAACTTGATATCGAGAAAAAATGGTAAGCCCAGTCTAGAACCAGGATACTCTTGAATGTTGGCCCAAATAGACTTCTTTAAGCATTATTACGACTGACCATGTCTGTCAACAAATTGTAATCGAATACTTGAGTGCGAGTGAAAGAAACTTAGATTATTTCTCGGCTCTCTCCTCTTTGTTCATGAGAAGGGGACGATCATTATGTGCAGGAAGGAAAAAAGAAAAGAAGGGGGGGGGAGTAAATGAAGAAAGACAAGAAGTAAAGAAAAGGTGTCAAAGATGAAATGAGGAGCAGTATATGTTTAGTCTACAAAACAGTTCCAGAGTTGCGTACTTTCTTTCAATACGCAAGGAAAGGCAGGACAAGCAGGGCCAAATTCCACTTGTTTTCAATGAGCTTGCGCCTATATCTGGTTCGAGGAAAAGTGAACATACGATCCTAAATTATGGAAATATTAGAAGCTGAATAAAATAATACGATGAATATTGGGTTAAAAAAAACTAAAGAAAGCCGGACTGCTTAACTAAGTAAGCTTCAGAAGATCACCTGGACACCTAGTCCGAAGGAGGATGGCATTCATGATAGTACCAGAGGTGTGAGTTCCTCCGCATCCGATCCTTCCCGAAGCCTTTCTGCATGGAGATAAGGAGTATAAATTCCGAATATACGCCTATATTCAGCACCGGGACGTCCATAATCCATGACATCCTTTTCTTCATTGATTCTCAAAGTCACCATCGCCAGACCGCGCTACACCAACAACAGCGAAGATGAAGGTACTTGTGCTTGGCCCGCCCCGCACTGGGACTCAATGTAATTGGACTCTCAACCCTAAACACATCGTCACACGAGCTTAAGATAATCGCAGCCCTGGCAGATGCTCTTGCTTTGATAGGCGTCTCGCCTATCTATCACATGAGAGACGTCGGAAAGAGCGGCCATCAAGACCTGTGGATACAAGCCCTCCAAGCAAAATACGAAAGTATTGGACACACATGGGGTCGGCAGGATTTCGACGAGCTTCTTACCGGCTATGAGGTTCACAAACTCCACACCCAAGTCCCGTGAGAGTGCAGGAGGCGTCTTGCTGACATATAGAATTGCTGGGTCTAGGGAGTCTCTGATTTTCCCGCCGCGATCTTCCCAGAGGAGCTCATCAAATCGTACCCGGAAGCAGCTATCATTCTTTCTACCCGCTCTGAGGATGCCTGGTACAAGTCCATGATGTCAACCTTGTGGCATGCGCACGCCAACCGACCAGCTGTGAGCACTTCTCGTATGGCGCCGCTGTCTGAGAGATACCACACACACTGTTGGGACAATGATTTCCCTGCCAACGGGCGCAAATACTACCAGGAACACAACGATAGAGTACGCAGCCTGAGCAAAGGTCGGAAATTCCTAGAGTATGACGTGAAGGACGGATGGGGCCCGCTTTGCGAGTTTTTGGGTGTGCCAATTCCTAACGAACCCTTCCCCCGCAAAGATGATTGGCTCGAATACAAGCAGCAAGTTGCGGAAGAGGAGAAGACCAACAGCAAATGAGCAGCATAGAAGAAGAGAGTTCCAAGCTGAAATAAACCTCAGACCATCAGAGCAAATGTTAGGTGACTTTGTCGAGACTTCAGCGGTGGCAACTTTACGAGAGTGTTGTACGAGGAAGCTGTCGGCTTAATATGTATAGAATGATCCTCCATACGAGGAGTTCTGTTTGTCAGTAATAGTCTTATTGTAGAAGGCACTCTAGGGGCTGTACAAATGGTAGAAGGGAAGATGGTTCTTCAATTAATCTATCTCAAGGCACGCTTGCCAATTGCCTTCTATATAGAAAGGCAATTGGCACTAGTCCCAACTGGGCTAGCGTACCTAGCGACTCACTGCCTTTCTATTGAATGGCCCAGGCCAGTGAGTCAGGGTGGCCAGCCAGGCCTTATTCACTCGAGGCCCCTATGGCCTCTGCCACACTTATAGTGCATACCTTTTATTATCATATGCCTTTCTTTGATCCGACACTTATTTCAGACCACCAATCTCATGTATACACGTTGAGTTTTTATACAGACAGAAAAATGCAAAACCCAGAAAGACCCATCCATTTGCTGTCAATGCAGCTTAGCCTGAGCTCAGCCACGTCGCTGCGTTGCCTGTTTTCAGAAATCGGCCTTGAAGCTGCCTGAGATGGTTGGCTCCTGCATGTTCAGAGTCAGTCACCTACAGAATTTGTGGACAGATTTGCGTTGGCCTTCAAGGGCTGCATTAGTTCATGGCTGCGGTGGTGGCTGAGCCGTTTCCTACCACAGCATGCGACGCTGACCGCCTGCTTCCAAGGCTTAAACGTTGTGTCGCGACTCCCTGTTGCATGCGTTTATGCAAGATTATGTATCAAATGAGGAGTAAGCCAGTAAGATAACGGTAAGAACAATAGTCACCCCTCACAAGTACTCACCAGAAATCGAATTCTGACTTGGCAGAGTTTGATGTGCCTCCTAGGTATACCTTTCAGTTCTCACACAGTTCCTTCGGGAGATAGCACACAAATCGTGCCTATATCTGCTCGACAATCAAAATACGAAGGCCGACAAAGATACGCAAGATAATCTACTACACGGGCTGGCGATGCCCGGAGAGCTGCCGTCAAGCACGTCCTTTGAATCCCTGGCAGTGCCACTAGAAATGGGCTGGAAGAAGATATGGATAGCTTGACCGATGAGGCTCCGGCAACCAGCCTTTCCAGCGCAATGAGTGCGACAGCATGTTACCTTGCTGTTCCAAATTCGTAGGCTGACTGAAGTGTGCTTCTTAGTTCCCTCCGTCGAGACTCCTCCGAGTCTGCCGTACGATGTTTGCTTCGGGGTGGTAGGTCAACCGTCCGCTGGCCGTATGTTCAAACCTTTCACTAAGCAATTATTAAAGCTCTTGATGGAAGCAAGCTCCACATATGATAAATTAGGCCCCCCTCAGGACGTCGCTCCCGTGCAAGTCACTTGTCTCGACAGTCTCGACAACGCAATTATGCTCCGATACGAAGGTAGTGGGACAAATGCCGGGTTTCTACTTTCACAAGGCCTATCACGACTTGTCAGAGAGAAATCTGTGACCTTCACTGCATCCTTAGGTGCTCCGAAGGGGCGACAGTCTACGTCATCTAAAGATGTCAATAGTTACATCCGAGTCCGGCCTTTAAGAGTCGTTGTCTACGGCTTCCTCTCTGATAAGGATACAGTCACAAATATATTGGACAAAGACAACCTGTTCCTCCAACGCCCAGAGGAGTCCGAGTATGATAGAACGGTGAGATATGTGAATCCCATGTACTTCACTCGCCCCGGAGAGGAGATACCGAGGATGCCAAATCCGTTGGCTGTTGCCTCGCTGAGAGACAAGTCTGCAGCTTTTGATGAAGAGCAGCTCGGAGAAGTCATGAAGATTTGAGTGCTTAGGATATTCGACGAGGCAAGCGGGGCAAACGTAAGCCTTGCTTCGGAGAAGGTGAAGCAAAGTTCGAGGATTATCTCGACCCTTAAAGAGTTCGTTCAAGATTCCCTGATTTTGTTGTTCTGGCTAACAGAGACATATCTATAGGCACCAACTTATTGCACTTGCTACAATGATTGAAAGGGAGCAAGGTGCGCTAGACGGCAACTCAAAATACCCCTCACTTTGGCAGCCGTCTATTGAAGGGGGAAACCAGGTGTACATATATTTCCTGAAACCTCACTACATGTCGTCTCATGGCCAGCTAGGCGCCCCATGTCCTGCACTTACTTACTTTAATTTTATGCGTCTCTAGGTATCGCCATGTCGTCACCAAATCTCTTCAGAGCGTGCCTTTGCCGAGCTTAAGGGGAGGCATACTGGGTGATGTACTTCTGATAACTCCTTCCGTCGTCGATTGCATGAATTTCGCTGACGTTGTCTCTAGGAAATGGGCTTGGGAAAGACGCTCTCTACCCTAGCTCTCATTTGCCACCATCTCGACAGAATATCCAACGCCGCCACGCCTCAGACATCCCGCATGTCCAGAGCAACTTTGATAGTCACCCCAAAATCAAGTATGTTTATGAATACTAACCTTGTGGAATTTGCGACTCTGGCTTGTAACTGCTTGGCTAATTTTGACCGGCCTTGCTTTGCAGCCATCTATGGCTGGCAACAACAGATAACGAGGTAATTATGAGCTTGCCTCTGGCTCTTCCTATCAAAACCACTTGATCTAATCAATATGTGCAGACATATTCGACCGGGAGAATTGAAATCATTGGTATACCATGGCCACAAACGGCAAGATTCGGCCGCGGAACTGCACAACAACGACATAGTCTTCACTACGTATGACACGCTTCGTTCAGATTGGGCAATCTATGGTCCTCTGTATGCTTGTTCTTGGACGAGAATTGTCCTAGATGAAGGTCAGTAATCATCTCCTTCATCACTGCATTATCTTTGGGCATAGAAGAACTTACGCGGCTCGTCTCACTCATACAGCCCACAAAATCCGCAATCGTTCATCCCAGATCTTCCAAGCAACATGTGAAATTCCTGCACACTACCGGTGGTGTCTGACTGGTACACCGATCCAAAATTCGCTCGATGACTTCGGCTCTCTGCTAGCCTTCATTAGAGTCCCGCCGTTCGTGACGCGCGATCAGTTCAAGTTCTGGATATCCTCGCCCATTCTCTCGAACCGCGAGCACTCCTTGCATACACTGCGGAAGCTCGTGTGCGCAACCTGTTTACGGCGTACCAAAGCACACCCTTACCTGGCATCGACGCCGAAACTGCCTCGAAAAACGGAGTACGTCGAGATTGTCGAATTGCTCCCTCAAGAGAGGGAATTCTACGAGTTTTTCAAACGAAGATCGTATCTACTTGCTAGCAATGATGCAGTCCCGGATCCAAAGGCTACATCCAAGGCAACGAACAAGCGACGAAAACTTGACGCCAGTGGATCTATCTCCGGAAAACAGCGTCGCAAGAGCACTGGGAACATCATGATTCTCATATCTGTGTTACGCATGATCTGTGATCACGGCCAGGCGCTGCTGCCTCGAGTGGCCTTGGAAGCATGGCAGAATCACAACGAAAACAGAGTCAGTTGGACTCTACTCTGCACAGCGTCAGAACAGGAGCGCAGCTGTTGTATTTGTAGCTACAAAAGCTATGGCGAGGATGAAGAGGTGCAACAAGCCGACTTGACCGAGTTCTCGTGCAAAAAACACGTTGCATGCGAGACGTGCTTGAAACCGGCTGATGGAGCAGCGCTGGCGTGCCCAGTGTGTTCGACAGGCCGATTAACCTCGCCTCTACCAGGTCTGGGGCGTGGCATCGGCTCGCCTCAGGCACCCTCTTCCAAGGTTTCAGCATTGCTGCGTAATATCGCGGCTATCCATGAGAATAAGGATCCTAAAGATGAAACCCAGTCACCAGCCAAAAGGTACTCTGAAATTTCTCAGGAAGACGGATTGAAAAGGTCTCTATCCATGCTTACCAACCCTTTGCTGACGAATTACGACAGTGTCATCTTCTCCTACTGGACTGGCATGCTCGACATGATATCTTGTGCCTTAGACCCTCGACTCTCGTCCCTCAACCTTTCTGCCGTACGGATCGACGGTCGTTCCACATTACAGCAGCGTGACGATGCTCTCAATCGATTTAATTGCGACAGACGTTGCGTAGTTATGTTGGTTACTATTGGAGCTGGGGGTGAAGGGTATGTAATTCGTCGGCACACGAGTGCTGCTCTCGGCTATCGAGCCATAAGAGAAGAGAGACTACGAGAAACATTACTAACCTATGGCCCGACCCAAATAGCATGGATTTGACCGTCGCACCCGACGTCCATATCGTTGAGCCGCAGTGGAATCCTATGGCTGAGGCCCAGGCAGTGGATCGCGTACATCGTATTGGGCAGACTAAGGACGTGACAGTCACAAGGTATTGTGTGAAGGACAGCATTGAGGAGGTGAGTACTCCTACTCCATGTGCAGGAATCTTGGTAGCAATAACCTCAAGATTGATATTCTCTAACAACACATTTACTGAACAATGATTATCTGGTTTTCAGTATGTTCAATGGATACAAAACGACAAATTGAGGCTGATCAGCCAGTCATTCACGTCCTCGGAACAAAGCGAGAAGACAAAGGAGGAAGACAATCTTGTGGAGCAGCGATGGGAGGTGAGTACTAGAAGCCCAACGAATATTGTATTTTTGAAGTTTGTACACTCATACCGTATTTGCAGAAACTCCTCGAATTTTTCAAGTAACTTGAGTAAAGAATACGCCCTATCTATAAGTACCAAGTAGACGTAAATGAATTCAAGAGAGATCGAGGTACACAAATCAACTGGGTGCGTATAGCTCGCTCTGGCTCTTGAATAATGAGGGTGTGAACAACGACGCAGAATCAGATGAACTAGCTCTCGCAACTCCGACTTTCAAGCTTCTCTTGAAAATTAGCAATTCATTTTCTAGTCAAAGTCTGCTGGTACATTTTGGCCATGATTGATCTTGTATATAGGAGACTTAAATCATGGATGACCAAACCTTGTTACAGAATTTCTTCCCCATTCCTGACTTAACATAATTACTTGTGAACTATCGATATAATCTTTATATACTTAAGTATATACACACTCAAATAAGTCAATCAAGTACACGTAGTTCATAAACAGCCCGACCACCTGCAGCCTCCACATTAAGGCGTGATCTTCTTTCACATCGGTAGGGCGTGCCTTCAACTCAGCAAAGGTGAGTTGTCAAACCTGCGCCACCCCCAGTCGCAACAATTAGTGTGGTGGAGCTTGCCTCCTCTGTACTTGCATAAACTTTCCTTCAAATCCAGATGTAGTGCCTGCCCGATAACATGCATAGAGCTATGTATACAAGCCCGCCTCCCAGCCTTATTAAGTCCTGGCCTAACTCCCCCTCCTTTCTAGAACGCAATAACAAATCGCTGTCACGAAAAATGGCGAACCCGAATGCCTCGCAGCAAGCCTTTGAGAAAGCCAAGACTACTTTCAAGAAGCATTTGAAAGATGAGAAGCTGTTTGAGGATTTGTTGAAAATTACTAGTATTGAAAGGGTTTATGAGGCGATCGAGCATTTGCAGGCAAAGCAAGACTCTGAACGACGCATACGACGTCTGCATAAGATCAGCAGCTTTCTCAACAAGCTTTCAGCATACGCCAGCGCTGTCGACACCTTCGTGCAGGTCAAACCAGAAATAATGGCTTTGGTCTGGGGGCCTATCCAAGTCTTGTTGGTATGGACTGATAACGTTACCAAGTTTGCTGATGCTGTCGTCGCTGCTATGGAGCAGATCAGCGATGCCTTGCCCCATTTCGTTGACATAACCAAGATCTTTGGCAATAATGATATGCTGAGAGACAAGTTGGCGCTATTTTACCAAGACATCCTTGAGTTCTACACTGTCGTCTTCGACTTTTTCAATATGTCGAGTAAAGGAAACCCCCTCTCCTCTAGCCGGTTGCCAGATCCAGATCTGCTTGCTTTGCTGACCACCTGCACATTCAGGACCCAGAATCTTCTTTGAATCTGTGTGGCCAAAGCAGAAGGCCAAGATCGATGTTCTCGTCAGCCATATCGAACGCCACACCGCTCTCATGAGGAATGAGGTCTCTTTCCGGCATATACAAGAGGAGCATGAAGCTCGAGTCAAAGCTCTCGCACATTTCGATGGGCAAACAAGTTCCCAGGAGCTACAAAAGTTCCAAGCTCTACAAAGTCGAGTCGCCCCCCAGGCTTACAACGATCGCCTAGACTACTTGCTGAATCGCTTGTCGGAGGGTTCAATGAAGTGGCTTATGCGTGACAAAACTTTGTTGGAGTGGCTGGACATGACCAGCTCGGCAGCGCGTTACCTATGGTTTCATGGTATACCGGGAGCAGGCAAGTTTTGTTGATACTGGTCATTCCTAGGCATTTAGATGCGCTTCTTGGGGTGTGGGAAGCTCATCATGGATTCCAGGCAAGACATATCTTTCGGCATCGACGGTCAAGGAGGCCAGGAAACATCATCAAACACTCTTCGCGTTTCCGAGCCACACCTCTGGAAGCAGCACTACGGCCAAATCCATTCTGCAGTCTCTGTTATTCCAATTAGCATTCAATGCTAAAGACATACAGTCTGCTCTTGTTGGGTCTGACGAATGGGACCTGGTCAGCAACGCGAACAAGGTCTCGGAAATTTTGAAGACCATGCTGAAAGTTGGTGGACCTACGTACATCATCATAGATGGACTAGACGAGATGGAGGCATTCGAGCGTGGGATACTCTTGCAAAAGCTCCTTGAATTGGATGACTGTACCGAAACAAGAGTCCTCGTCAGCAGCAGGCCCGAGGACGATATTGAGAAGATGCTCAAGACCAATGCCGCGAGCATCACCGTGAACGAGGAGAACTCAGCTAGCATCCAGGCATATGTGAACCAAAGAATTCGGGACTGGATGGGCAACACAGATTTTGTCCAGGAAGCCCAGGAGCAGATACGGCACCTGTTGGCCCCCCTTGCGGCAAATGCAAACGGTAAATTGTCTTACACGCTCCTTAATACATCAATCTGCCCTGGAGGACTAACGGGAATGTTTTCGTTGACATTTACGGCATAGGCATGTTTCTCTATGCTCGCATTGTCCTGGATACCGCTGAGGGACTGACCAGTCTCGAGGAAATTGAACGAGAACTTAGAGCACCCCCTAAGGACTTGGATGAAGCGTAAGTCTGAGAACCTAGACCTTGAAATGTTCAGGTAGTCTGGAAGTAAGGCTCATGCTTTGATGTATAGGTATTCTCGAATATTCGCACGAATCAACGATTTGTCGCCACCCTTGCAACGAAAAGCAAAGATGATCTATAGCTGGATCGGTTGTGCCCCCATTCCTATGACGCAGCACGAGATGGAGCAAGCCTTGGAAATTGCCTCGGGCAGCAACGATGCAGCTCCTATTGTTATGGCCAGCGTGAATTTTGTTCGCATATGTGGTGTAGCTGTCGAAGTTGTGGACGAACGACCGTGCTTTGTGCACTTCACCGTTAGCGAGTAAGTACAGTAATGAGTAATCAAGATCGAGTCCTGCGACTACACCAGTCTCGAACAGCAAATTGCCTCCAGTGACTAACAAACCTGAAGATATATTGTCGGGCGGAAGCTCACCGACTTCATGAGCAAGGCTGAAGCTAACTACATCCTTGCTAAATCTACATTGATATATCTCTGCTCTGGGATATTCGACCAAGAATTGTCTGACAAGCAGCTTGATGAGAACATCCTCGCTGGGAGATACCGACTTCACTGGTTCGCCTTCACTCAATGGATTGCCCTCACTAAATCCTGTATTGAAGAGTCCAAGGACTTGTCGGCCTATCCAGACCTGCGCGAACTCCTTTGTCGCCTAGTAGTCGATCTGAGCAACTCTGACTTTGAAGGTGAGGTCGACCTCGAAGACACCATCCTCGGGGACATTGAGTCAGGCTGGCCAGACATTGTCCATATGGTCTGCGGAGTCTCGCAGTTCCGCCAGGACGATAGCCAGGCTGATTGGGACTACACTAACCGTAAGCTTGTTTCTACTATTTCTATTTTTTTTTTTAATTTTTTTTAACACAGGATACCATTCTTGAACTGAACCGGGAAAGTAACAAATGCCAACCCCGCAGGCAACGAGTGGGTGAATAAGGACCCTTCCACCATGTCGACCATGTGGGCTCGCATCTACCAGCGTTTCCGGGCGCTGGTATGCGACAAAATAGAGCACCAAAAGTCTATTTGCCACTGTGTAATGCTCAAGAGGCATTACGGGACCAGACTCTTCAAGTGCTCATTCCCTAGCTGTAGCCTCAGCCGGCAGGGATTTGACACTCGCAAGGCCTGCGACACGCATGTCAAACGTGAGAATCACGGGCGGCCTTGGAAATGCACCGTGCCAGACTGCGAGTTCGCCGTCATCGGCTTCTCCAGCAGATGGGATGCAGATTCTCATTGGCAGACACATCACCGCATTTCCAAGCCAACCTCTACACACCACGTACCCCAGGATGAGTTCTCGCCTGACGAGCTCCAGGTCCTCTTGTTTGAGTTTACAAAGGCTGGCAACGTCGACGGGATACAGCGTCTTGGACCTCAAATTGCCTCGCACGATGAGGTTGTGAAGCCCGCGGTACTTCTGGCAGCAAGAATGGGATCGCTGCCGATGGTCGAAGTCTTGACCGAGTAGTCCGAATGGTGGCTCAGTCCAAATTTTCGCGATGCGAGATTCTACCCTGCTGTCATGAAGAGCGACAACCCAAACCTCTTGCTCTGGTTCCTGAAAAAACTGTTGGACTCGGAACGTAATGGTTCTATCCGCGCTCAATACAACTGGCTGGCTGGCGAGGCCGTCGCTACCAGCTCACCTGACATGTACGCCGCGTGGGAGGATTTTTTTCTCGACCCCGAGCGCGGGCTCAAAGCCGCTTATCCTTACCACTCCGGATCGATGCTGGATTATTGGGGAAACAAGATCTCCTTTCGGGAGATGAAAAAGATCCCTCGTCGCTCCGTCCTCTTTTCTAGTTGGGCCTTGAATGCGGCCAAGAAGAACACACTGTTCGAGGTTCGGCTCATCCGAACGTGGCGCCGGCTTGTCAACATCGTCCTCGGCGGTAAACCTCTAGATAGGGTATTCCTAGGCTATACGCTAGTGGGTCTAGCGCTGTCCCCCAAGCCTTCCATTACGCTGGCCGCGGAACTACTGCGTCTTGGGGCCCCCATTGACTTTCCGAACAAAATGGTCATCGGCACTCCCAGTGCCAGCTCGAACAATTCTCAACAGTTCAAGCAAGAAGGGCAGGCAAGATCCCGACGCAAGATCGAGCTGACAGGGATGACGGCACTACATTACGCAGTGCGAGGAACGTCGGAGCAGGCGGCAAAGTTTGTGCGATTCCTGCTTGAACAAGGGGCTGATCCGGAGTATGAGTATAATCGCAAGAAACCAGCAAATGAGCCAGGGGCAAGATTATTGCAGAAGTGGGTGGGCGAGACGTGGGACGAGCTCGTGAAGAGGACGGAGGGGGCGAGATTGGAAAAGAAGCGACAATATGAGGGAACATATGAAGACACCTACCGTTGCCTAGACGAAGAGGAGGAGGAACAAAACAAAACAAAGAGGCTGAGGCTTGCCTATATTTTGAACTAAGAGACAGAGGCTTAATTATATCATGACTTACGAGAAGCTGTGATGACAAGATTAATTCGTGTCACATGAGAAGGGTTGGTAAGGGGGATGGCCTGGTAGAAGGCACGGCATGTGATCAGGCAAAGTCCAGTAAAGCACTTAATAACACTGATTTGGTCTCAAAATGAATCCCGAGACTCTGGGTGAGTGTAGCCCGAAGCAATCAAGTCACCATTCAAACAATCATCTTTAGACACTTCGACACAACGAATGATGAGCAGGGAAAATGCAAAGAGAGAGGGAAAGAGCTCTACCAAAACTACACGATGGATTCGCTAGTCTCAGGTAATCACAAAGGCATTCTTCCGTACTCTTACTCACAAGACTGCCACGTCTTACAGAAGAAGAGAAAATCGACACAGTCTTGGATGAGAAATTTTACAGAACATCCTTGTTTAGACCTTCTCGAGACTAAGTCTCGGACCACTTCGGCATGTTTTCTCTCGAAAGTGGTGCGCGTCTCAGTAGCACAGTTTGAGTCACCTCGAGACACACGCCGGATGCGGTCTTCGGGACGGAAGGGTTCGTCCAAGCGGCAAGGTTCATTTTACCCTCTTAGAGAAGGTAGAAAGACAGGGGCTGAGAAGAAGTGAGAAGAAAGAAAACGAAGAAAAAAAAAAGGAAAGAAAAAAATGAACAAAACCAGCACATGCATATTGAGAGGGTTGGCATGGGTCTTTTCATGCGTAAGCCCATGCTTGGTTTATATGCAGCCAAGACAATATTCCTCCCCTGGAGCCGCTGCGGATGCTCCACCCACACCACACTGCCCCCAATATCAGCAGCGTCTCTGGCGGCTCCGTCAGCCCGCCCTGTCTGCTGTGAATCGTTGCCTCAAAGCCTTGTTTGTTGTGTTGGTGCTGGTCCTCAACAACTTTCCCTTCATCCCGTTTTGAAGAGGACAGAGTACTTGAGAACAGCCCAGGTGATCAAAGCCAGGAGTACTAGAAATAGTCTATCCAAGAATATTCAAGTAGCTGATCTCAGGCAAATTCGTCCCTTGATAGGAAGAGAGACGTTCGGCAGAGGTGTACCCATAGTTTACAGCGCATGCATCCCGTGGTACGTACTGTGGTCCATCCTCATGTCCCGGCCCCACGGAGCAGGCCGTACCGAATCGTGGAGACGACCTGAAGATTTCAGCCTCTAGCGCCTTCAATCAACTTCAATCAACGGTTCACCGGGGTCCTCCACTGCTCTTCTCGGCTAGCCTTTCACCGCTCTCCGGGTATCCACGTTTCAGTCATCCGACCGTCGTCACCTCTACTCTTCTTTCTTAGTCCCGCGGGCCTTTTTCTGGCTGTGTTTCCTTGTTTCGTTTTCTGCCTTCTCTCCTCCCCCTTTTCCCCTCTTATCCCTTCTTCAGACGAGGCCTGTCTATCGTTAAGGACGGGTCTTTTCCATTTTTGAGTTTCAAAGGCCTTGCCAAGGTAGATAGGGAGAACAAACAGCAACCCGACCATGGCCGGCTCCAATGAAAGGACACAGGAATGGATCATGGACCTCGAGGACCTCGATATGCTCGAGGACCCCGGAAGCCCAGCCACAGTACACCCAGCCGAGATCGAACTGCCGCGCTGGTCCACCGAGATCACTCCGGCCGGCCCAACATCAGCCGCAGCCCGACCCGCATCAGCAGCGACACAACGGCCATCGTCGACGGGGTCACAACCGTTGCCAGGCGCTGCGGCGCACTTGAATTTTGTGAGGACGCGTGGCGGTGGTTTCAGGCCCTCACCCGAGACCAGGCTGCGCAACAATCTGTTGGCCGCCGTCGGCTTCCTCGAGCTGGCCAACGCGGGCGATTTCGCCGCCAATGTGTGGAACGAGACGCCCGTGCCTAAGTACGCCCTTGCCATGATGGCGCTGGGGGGCATTGCGGCGCTTTGTATGATCTACTTCAGCGTGCGCGACGGGGTCTTGAGCTTGGCCAACCTGCGCGCCCTGCGCGAGGAGCGGCGGTACCTGCAGAGCCAGCGTGAGCTGCATTTGCGCGACGCCAACATGCTGCGCACCATCGACTGTTTTCTCGACATGAACACGCGCGAGATGGGCACCGAGCTCGTCGACCGCGTCGGCATGGACACCCTGCTGGGTTTTAGTTCTCTGGTCGTCGGCATCGGCACTTTCTTGGCCATGGACGGAGACCGCCACCCTGTGCTCTTTCGCGCGAGCAACCTGCTCACTGGGTACGTGGGCAACACGCCCTGTGTCCTGTTTGGTCTGGTCAACATCTCATGGTCGAGCTGGGTCTGGGCGCGATCAAAAAAGCAGCAGGCTGCCGCCCTGAGATATGTCAAGGGGTCCACGAGGATAGGCCAGATGCTGAGGAACCGGACCTCGAGCATCCAGATGCACGCCGCTTTGTAAGTAGTAGTAGTAGTAGTGGTCACCCTTCGTCTCTCTTCTCCATATCTGTCTTCTTTCGACATAACTCACACAAAAGCAGACATGGAATCTCGGGTATTGTCGCAGGTGCGGCCGCCATGGTGACCGCGACAATGTGGTGGGGTTACGTTGTTCTCCTGCCCTGCGTCATCACGTCAGGTCTGGTCAACCTCTTCTGGCGACGCCGTGTGGGTTACGAGCGGCCCCTGGTCGCCCATGAGATCACTTCCATCGATCAGGACACCGTCCTCGAAGCCCTGCGCTACGCAGACAGCTGCTGCCAGCGCATCTGGAAGGGCTATGTGCTGGGAAAAGACGCCTTCACCACGCTAGTCCCAGAAGCCGAGTCTCTCCTATGCGCTCTAGACTTTATTCAAAAGAACAACCTCTTCGAAGACCTCTGCCTGCGTCTCTTGAAGGATCCTGAGACCTCCCGCAGACTGCAGCAGACGTCTTCCGCTTCGCCGTCCTCTTCCACCGATAACTTTGCTGCAGCAGAGGCACCAGCCATCGATTGGCACCAGCTGGCCGCTGTCGAGGACGAGGCCTGGACGCAGCACGTTCTCAAGGTCGCCAGAGAGCTGATCAACGAGAAGGCGCTGCTGTCGTTTACCTACCAGGAGCGCCACCTGCTGGAAGTGCTCGGCTGTTACATGTGCCGAGGAGCAGAGTTTGGGAAGCGGAACCAGGACAAGAAGGCGGCCAAGAAATATTCTGCGCAGCCTCGCCAAAACGCACACACCTACGCTGGCAGGCACGGCAATGACTGGCTCTTTGGAGGATTCTCTCTCAGGGAGTCCGTCAAGGGGATGTTCCAACGATGACAAGTAAATGCTTGGGGTGTACAAACAGCATCTACTTTGGACAGAATCAACGGCTCCGTCTGCGGGACAAGACACATTTGAGCCAATGGGCAAGAAATATAGTGCTTAGCTAGCGCTCGAGGGTTGACCATGTGCGACAGTGTGAACGACTATTCTTTTGTCGTCAGCGAATTGTCGACACAAAACTGAGTACTTTTCTTTACTTACAGCCCGGCAGAAGTGCACACCGCCAGAGCAAGATGAAGACTTGCTCGTAAGTAAACTAGTTGTACTTGCGCCTGGGGAGGTCATGACAATGTTCGATCCAAGTAATGACGGGCCATTAGGAAAGATACTACAGAGGTATCATACAAATTAATATTAGAATGTTAAAGGTGGAATCACCACCTTCAGTACAGCGCAATGGAATAATTGTGATTGAAGATGCTGTTGAGGGAAAATCCTCTGAAGCTCTGTAGACCCTGTCGACTGTTCCTTCCTGCCCTCCTTCCTGCCCATAATCTCTTGAGTGAATGGGAAGGAACTATACTGGTTACTCGACTAGGTCTATACTGGATACTTTATTCAGGTACTTGAGCGAGTGAACCTTCGATACGGGCATATCCGCTGCCGTGCATGTAAATTATGTTCCCGAAGCGGTGCTGCTTTGTTGCGGCTGCTGTGGCTTATCAGTTCTGATAAGGTGGCCTTTCCCGAACAACCACAGTTTGTTAAGCGTGCAGCTGTCCTCTTTGCGCTGCTTCAACTTTCTCGCTCTCTTCAACAACAAGAGAACTTACAGCCTTGGGAAAAGGAATTAGGCCAGCCCTCTCTCTATTCCTTCACATTCCTTCTTTCTTCCCTCTTTCTCCCTACTTCCAACTGTCTACTATTTCTGCAAAGGGGCGCCGACCCAAGGCATTCCGACAACGAGCTCGTCCGCATCATCTCTCTGATCTCTTCCCTCAACACAACAAATAAAGAGGACAGAAAAAGACCAAGCAGCCAACGAACCTCCCTCCTCGGAGCATTACCTACCCTCAAGGAAACCAACCGCCACCGTCTCCTCCTCTGGCGCAAAGGCAACCGCGCCCACACACCAATTCAAGATGGCCACAGACCAAGAAACCTTCACCCTCCTCCCCTTGTCCATGAACCCGCAGTCCAAAGCCATCACCTCGGCCTCCACCTCCCGCAGCCTAGCCACCGAGCTCGACGCCCTCAACAACCTCCACCGCTCCCTCCTCAGCACCCTCGAGCACCCCCACGTCGTCCCGCCGCCCCCCGTCCCCGTGAACCCCAAGCGCAGCGCCCAGATCAAGAAGCTCCGCGAGACGGGCAACGACACCTTCAAGAACCAAAAGTACACCGAGGCCATCAGCTTCTACTCGCTGGGTCTCAAGATGGCCCTGACCCGCCCTGCCTGGGAGCCCAACGGCCTCGTGCGCGACGAGGCCGCCATGCTGTTTGCGAACCGGGCGCAGGCCCACATGGAGCTGCGCGACTGGGTGCGCGGCGGCGCCGACGCCGAGTGCAGCGTCGAGGCCAAGAAGGTTGGGAATCCCAAGGCGTGGTACAGGCGAGGACGGTGTCTGTTTGAGATGGGCAGGTATGAGGAGGCCAAGGAGTGGGTGGGGAAGGGTCTGGAGATGGAGGGGGAGGATCTGGAACTGATCAAGCTGCTCAAGGAGATTGAGGCCAAGCTCTGAAAGTAAGAGTCGGGAATAGTTAAAGGGGGGAGGCGTAGGGAGGAACTTGAAGTGGCTTGGCTTTGACGGGGAAGTTTTGCATTCATCCTTGCCCGGCTATCTTCACGAGAAGGGGCTCGAGGTACGGAGGGTTCTGGCTCGGGGTCGGATTACAGGTGTTAAGGCGTTGGGACATTTCATATTTCGACATGTAGGCCTCTGCTTCTCCGCTTCCTCCTGCTCTCGCGCCACGCACATACACAAGGGACCTTTTGCAATGGCAGTGGCATTGTTGATACTAAAAGGTCCCAAGAGAGGCAAAAGCGGAGGAAGTTTGTTTTATACGCATCAGGACTCATGATACTGAATGCCATTATTCCATCTGATTGAAATCCTCTCGGTATATTGTGTCCTGACGCCAGACTGCCCAAATGGACGAAAAAGTGGGAGCCAAAAGTACATGCTGATGTCCACCGCACTCGCCTTTCCTGGGGACTAGATATGGATTTGATTTCATTGTGACGCAGCTCACTTGTCTGTCCCCTTGCTGGATGGGTATAAACACTCTCGCTGATCGACTCCAGGCCTCTCTTCCTTGGCCGGTTCCCGCCTCTCCTGAAAAGTAAAGCAAACAAAACATAAAGAACAATTGCAATGCTAGTTTCCTCCTGACCTGCTGTCCCATGCCGACATGGATAATGGACCTTCAAGTATGGTCTCATCCGGCTTCGTGATGACCAATATACTTAGGAGTGACGAACCTTCTCTTGTCTTTCTCCTCCGCTCTCTCTCTCTCTCTGTCTCCAATTGTGTAAAGCCATAATCATGAAAATTTACACTGAAGGCACCCACGCCGCGGGTTGGGTGCTTCTTGTGATTGATGAAAGCTCCGGGGGCCCTTGGCCGCTTTCGACTTCTTCCCCTTTCATGTTGTTGGTCCGGAATGCAACTGGCTTGTTCCGTCGGCGTGGTTCTGTGGAGATGCCGTTATCGTTGTCGTTCAAAATGTCCAAGTACACGTATATTCATTCGAGAAAGAATTTGGTGTTCTATGCGGCGGCGGCGATCTTCTCCCCGTCCTTCTCGCTCAGACCCTTCTTCTGACCAGCTTTTGAGGGGGCACGCTGCCGCATGACAGCGTCCTGGCCGCTCATGCGCCTGCCCAGGGCCCGTTCTAACTTGGCGCCCAGGGCGAGCTTCTGGAAGACGGTCTGCTGGTCCGTGTTGAGCTCAACACGCTGCTCGCTCAGCCTCTTGTTCCCCTTGTCCAGGCGCTCGATGCTCTCCCCGATGTTCTGGATCTCGGCAACGGCGCTGTCGTTCGTGGCAGTGGTCTGGATGGTCGGGGCGGTAGAGTAGACGCTGTAGCGGACCGAAGCCCGTGTCGACGTGCGAGTCTGTTCGGAGTCCTTGTCAGACGACATGTTTGCTAAGTGGTGATGGTATCCTCGCGTATTTCCGTCCATTTTTGCGTAGACAGACAGCACTGCGCCTTGTCAAAGAAAGGAGAAATATTTCTTGACAAAAACAATGATATTCGTGGAAACAGCAGGGCTGAGGAGAGTATACAATGTATAGGTGAAATTTGTAAAGGTGCGTCTAGGGGTGTATAAAGGTGTGGGTGGGTAGGTATGCCAGGCTAGGGAGGCAAAGCGAACCAAGGTTCAACCACAAGCACCAAAGGGGGGAGGGGGGGTTTGTTGATATCAGGAACCTTGGATGTGACGACGTGACGTGACGTGACTACAACAGATAGAGAGAGAGGCTAGGCGGAAGTTGAGAAGAAACAAGGTACGATCTGCGCGACCCTGGATTAGAGAAGAGAGGTGACGTACCGAGGGCGCCATAATTGGGCGGGCTGATTCGAGAGAAGTGGGCATTGTCCGAAGGATGTCGTGTTCAACCGTCGACAAAAAAATGACTGTAATAATAATGATAACAAAGGGCCGTAAGAAGGAGGATGACGGGGAGTTCTCAGCTGCGATGAAGGCGGTGGATGATGGGATCCTGAAACGAGAGCACCTTGTTCTTCCTTTCGACTTTTCAGGAAGTCGAGCGAGGGAAGAGAGAAAAGAGGAAGGGTGGTAAGAAAGTAGGATAGAGAAAGGGAGAACAAGAGAGAGTAAGTAAAGATTGAGATAAAACGGGTCCCGAGCCGGTGGAGAGAGCTGAGAAGTCAGGGCAGACGAAGTTGTTCGACCAGGGGGGGGGAGAAGAGGGAGGAGAAAAGAAGTAGGAGGATCCAATCAGCCCGCAACCCAGGATATTCTGGAGAACGAGAAGAAAATGACGAAGAACGAGAAAAGACAAAGAGATAATTTCGAGCCTCGGTACAGGTGAAGCGAGTCGGCCAACAGTTGGCCTGTTTCGAAGGTGTTTAGAATGATCTGGGAGGGGGTAAAAGCACAGGCAGCACGGACCGGACAAGATCAAGACGGTCAAGTCAGCAGAGAATAAGTGGAGAAGCTGTATGTATCGGATTGGTCCAGGTCCATGTGTCAAGAGAAAAGAAAGAGGAAAAGGGAAAAGAAAGGAGTCATGAAGGGACAGGATAGAAAGAAAGAGGCGTCAATTCATTCAATTCCACACTAGGTAGTGTGATAGGGAAGGGATGAGGGATGAAGGATGATAGGCAGCGGAAAAGGGAGGAGGCGTGGGGGGCTCTCGCTAAGAGAGGTCAATCACTTGGAGGGAGGCGAGGTAGCCCCTCCTTGCCTTCCAAGCAGGGTGGGTGCTATGCGTTATGTTGCAGCCGGGGTCCCGCCTGCTTGGGGCGGCACCTGCGGCCCTAAACCCACAGCGTGCATAATGCTAAGTACGTTTAAACACGCCAGTACAAAGTACGTAGTAAGCGCATTTGTACACTGGTCAGTACCACCTGTCAGGCTTGCAGTGCAGTGTACACCATGGCACAGCGCTTCTTTGTTTGTGCAGTAGAAAAAAAAGAGAAAGAAAGAAAAGCAAGAAAGAGAGCGCGATGAGAGAGCGAGAGAGCCGAGCAGATGCTGTCCTGCAAAAGAGATCAAGACCCATAACGTCTGCGCGCCCGCAATGCTGCGGTCACGAATCAAATGGTCCATCTACATGGGTCAATGGGAAGAGGGGGCTTGGGAAACTCCTTGCCAGGATTAGGATGGGCACTGGGCAGCCTGTGCCCGACTTGGTTGGTATCTCCATGGTGGCCGGGTGGCAAGCTAGCTCACAACAACAGGGGCTTCCCCCCACCTCCTGGGTATGCGCACGCTGTGCATGTGCTGTGCCCTCCTAAAGACGAGCCTAAAAGACCACTGAGGCGTCCACGCACAGAAGGGCCCACAACGCAAGCACAGGCCCCCCCCCCCTCTTCCCTCAAGGCCGCCCTCCGCCCCAGTCCCATTGGTGTGCGATCGATCCTCGCAGCATCTTATGCAGGATAACATCCGCCGCTACGGCGTTTCAAACCCACATGGCAAGTGTCCATCAGGACGGAACACCGACAGCGCCTTGACGCGTGGATAGCAGGGATTCCTGGGCACGATCGACTACAGGGTGAGTATGCAAGATATGAAGTCATCCATTAATGAGCATCAAGCATATAGAATTACTGCTATAGCATATACGTACGCAGCTTACACTGCCATGGCTCTTTTTTAAAATCCTGGTATTATCATTGACAACAAAAGTCAGACCGTCTACAAGAACTCCAAAAAGACCTGTGTCCAGTGTCCGTCAAAGGCACCCAGGTCATTTCGAGAGTCGATTGCAATTCTTACTACTCAGCAACTCAGATACGAAGAGGGTGGTCAGACCTCCGCCACCCTAGCAGGGGAGGAGAAGCAGTAAGAAAAGAAGGAGGAGGAGGAGTAGGAAGAACAGGAACGGATCTTGTGAGACCATGATACAACAGCACGGAAGCACAGCAGCAAAACCAACACAACATTACGGCTCGGAACAAGGGTCAGGACCGGGGAGGTAGAAGAAGGACAAGGACAAGGACAACTACAACTCATCTCGCTATATCTTGGGCAGTGTCCATGGCCATAGTAGTTCTAATTTACAAGTCAACACCTCTTGTCGTACTTCTCGGCTGTGCGACCTGTCGAGTGGCCCGACCTTGTCATCCTCCTTTCATTTGTTGATTATTATGTTTATCATATTTTTTTCATGGCCTTTGATTCTCCCCCCCCCCCCCCGGTTTTCGTCTTCCTTCGGCTCTCACGTGCATTATCTCATTTTAGATCCGTCTGTTCAGCATAGCTGCTGTGCTGTTAGGCTGTGTGGGTGTGGTCTGCTAAGATGCTTCAAGTCCGACAACGAAACCCTTTCTTTATTTTGCCGATTGGTGGTTTGTTTTCCAAGGGCTGTCGATCTATCACTTCAGTCTCGGCGCTATCTCCCGCCCAAGACCCCAAGGTGGGTGAGCAGTGGGCTCTTCTTGGGTGGACACTTTTGCGTTCTTGCCTAAAAGCCTCCTTTCATGAAGCAGAAGAGGAGGAAACACACACACATCCCCGCCCCTCCTCCCAGAGAGAACACAAGAGACCCCGAGATTCCACACGAGACAGGTTGGGAGGAATAGGAACAGAAAAAGGAAAAGACCTCGGGCTACGTCTCACATCATCCGCCCCTCTTCCCTTTTGGAAGGGAAAAAAAAAGAGACAAGGGAAATGGGGGGACGAGATCGGGTCTCCATGCTACTGCGACTGGTGGAGCACCAGGAGGATCCCGCCTCGTTCGCCGGTCAGAACCATCCCTGCCTCGCGTGTGCAGCACGTGGCTAAAATGCCTAAACAGACCGGATCACTTTTTGAGTTTTGGGGGCCGGGCAGGCGGGTCAAGTGCGCGCGCGCCGTACCAACAAAGAAAAGGATAGGACCCCCGATGCTGTCTCAATCATTCACTCATCGTCCCGTCCACTCGATCCACTGAGCTTCCCCTTGCCTTCCTCCCTCCTGCGTCCTCTCCTTCACGCGGTACCTACCTGACCAGGTGTTTAGGGCGGCAGCAAGAGATCCCGAGGTGAGATGAGCCCACGTGCTGCTGCAAGAATAGAACAAATGAGAGAAGGAACAAGAGAGTAAGAAAGAGGGCCTTGGCGGGGTATGGAAGGATTTGGATCAGCAAGCATCCTTCTCAACCAGGGCAGTCAAATTCCCGCCCAACAGGACAAGCCAAGATCCGCATCTCTCATGACAGTCGTCCAGTCATACAGCAAAGGGCTGGATCTTCGGCCCTCGTTCTCTTGCCTGGACATTCCGAGAGTCCCGGGTCTCCATCTGAAGCGCCTCTCAAGCATCCCAGCCCCTCTATCATCTTCTTAGCGAAAGTCAATTCCACACGATCATTGTATAGTAAAGTATCATAAACTAACGGAAAACCTGCTGCGCAACATGATCCGCAACTTGTTGTATTATGATGTGCGCATCACGAGGAAGGAAAAGATTCTCCGCGCATCACCAACAAAAATACCCTACCAACATTACTGGAGCCAGACCAACCAGCTAAGTGATGGGCTATACAGCTGCGTCCTTTTTTCCCTTTTCTTTCTTTTTTTATTCTAGCCACCCGCTATGTCTTCCGGCCCCTCTTGTCTCGTTGGGGCCAGAACCGAGCAGATCGCTGGAACGTGGCCTCTTCTGTTCCTGATTAGTTCGCCGGGAAGCTATACTAGACTCGCCAGCCATCCAACCACACAGCGATTTGCTTCCCGCGGTCGAGACGGTCTACAGAGGCACTAATTAAGTCTAGAGAGAGCGGGAGGTCTCGAGAGGGCCATGTCGAGAACCGGCGGTCAACAAAAGCACATGGCAGGCAAGAGACCTTTTGAAGAGTAGTTCTCCCTTTGGCCCGATAACAAAGATCCTCGGGCCAGGGTGACAGCTCATCTCTCCAGTTTCAAGAAATGGAGGTGGACCATAATTTCGTAAATGAGGTCCATAGAAACACGTGCAAGGCTTGCCCGGCGAGATGAAGGTCGGGACGGGCGGGACAGGACAAAGGTATCAATTACATGGTGCTATAATTAGTACAACACGCTTGCGTACATGCTTGAAGAGGCAAATAATACAGCGCTGTTATGTAGAAGGCACGATTGTCGTCTCACAGAACGCACAAACCTGCTATTGCACCCTATGCACGATATCCACTGCTGGGAAATATTATGGAAGATTCATGTATGATTCTTGGCCTAAAGACACACATTGGAAGTGGAATATCACCGTCACGTCACTTGTATCTTCTCTAATTACAATATCAAACGAGTGGGTCCTTCATCCTGTTCTTCCTCGACCTCTAAGCCTGACGTGATGTCCAGCAGTGGGGAAGAGGTAGGTATTCTGATACTCACTGAGCAATGAGCGACAGCGAGGCGCACCTTATGCAGCCTCAGAGCGTGATCAATATGAGGTTCCCAAACGGTTCGACGTTGGCTGAAGGTATCCAATGAGAACAGATTAGAGGGGAATAACAACGAAGAAAAAGACGACATGCAGGATTCTGCATTACTGGGCTCTATTACACTTAAATACAACACTTTCATACTGCCGTTCAGAGGAAGGACTTGCCCGGCCATCTTCCAGGCTCGTAGATGTTTATTGGCACATAGTCGAGGAGAAAGCAATCACCCGCTAATTATTTTCCATACATGTCAACCTCGTAAATCTCACAACCAGGAAGCAGGAAAGTCGATCGTTTATGACCGATTTCCCAGATCTGGACAGTGTACTGTAGTCTTGCTAGCAAAGAATGAACCTCGTCCCTAAATACATGTAATCTTCGTTCTGTTAGCCATATTGTGTCTTATATTGGTGCAAACGAAAGCTCTTCTTACAATCACGGTCAGATTATGAGAGGTAATGTATTTTGGTTGCTACAAGAAAAGCAGGTGAGGCGAATAGCTACACCTAGGTATATTGCCACATTAATTAATCAGTTCACGATTGCGAAACTACTAGAATAACCACTCTTACATGAATTCAGAAGCTATGATGCGATGCAGCGCGAGAGATCTCTTCATCAGAGAAGACGTCGGTGGATGGTGAATAGGCGCAGTCTCTCAGACTCAAATCACTATTGTGTGGATACTGTCTCTTATACACACTAGCTACACATCGACGACGTAGAGGTCTATGTGTCAAGCATAGAGCCTGCAAGCATGAGTCCATGGTAAGGAGCCCAGTATACTAGAGGATAAATCAGGCAGAGACTACAAACGCTCATCAGAACTGCTTCTTAGAGTATAGAGGGGAAGAGACTAAGAAAGAGATTCATACGGTGCTCATGATAATTATGAGGACGTGTAGTTGTCATTGTGAAAGGTTCCATGCTCATGGCCGAATAGGTGCCGGTTTCACTCTTTCTGAAGACCAGGAGCGAGTTCACCTCTGATTTCTAGCTTTCCTCCACCAAGTAATTACACGGGATCAGTCGCCGTGGCCTATATGCTCTATCGAAATCCTGTAAGGCTGTAGCCAAAACGGGCAAATGATGGCACCCTAGAGAGATGGGGGGCGGGGGGGGGGGGGGGAGCCTTGAAAAAGCAATCCATTTGTCTTTCGCCAACACCAATACTCATTGCTACTTTCTATATGCCCTTCTTCATGCGAGCAGCGTTTGCATAACGCTCTTAAACCTGTAATACTACCATCTAAGCCCATAAATAGCACGCCTGTGATGGGCCTCTTGGGCATCCAAACGAATCATGGGGCTTGTTGGGCTACGACGATCCCAACACACGTTGGGCTTCAAGGATGCAAGTTTCGGATCAGCACAAGTATTCTCGCTTTTTATGCTTGTGTGTAGAGGCTTCACTATTTGTTGAACACTGAATGGAAAAAGGAAAGAAGGAAAAGATCTGCTCACGTGATGGAGTGCACATCCGGCAACAACAGTGATTACACACAGTGTCATGATCCCACTGCCCTGTGGCGGCGTTGAGCTCGATCCTGGGGCGGTTGAAAATGCACCAGCCAAGGAGGTTGGGCCCCTGGTGGCACTGGCAGCAGTTCCAGACGCCACCCCTCTCCAGGAAATAGCAGAGCTGGTTGGTGCAGTGGGCGTCCGAGTCGACGGGGATCGAGTAGGTTGTTCTCGCACAGGGGAGGACCGAGCCTGTGGCACGGTCGAGCTGTGCAGAGACACAGTAGAGAAATGTCACAGACATGTGCTGGCATGGGTGCCTCTTGGGATGGCCGACGCACATCTCGAGCGAACCGAGGAGGAGGGGGAAAAGGGGAGAGATAGAGCACCCTGTCAATCTGTTAAAGGTAAGTATATCGTGATATTCGATGACCAGAAGACTGGCCAGTATCTTTTTGTCGCGCTTACACGTCAATGCAACAGAAGAAGGATGGACCAGCAACTTCCATTTCTTTCTTCGTCTTTTTCTTTCTTCTTGTCTTTCGTCCTGAAGATATTTCAGTTGTACATGGGAAACGTTCTCAAACAGGGCTCACATGGTCTCTTTTGTCGTCATGGGTTTCCTTTCAGGATTCAGATCTCTTAATATATTTATATGATTCACGATAGCTATTCATCTCAAGACAGATAGGTCATTATCATCTACCGGGCCTCTGCCTAATTACTGCCCGTGTCCAAGGGGGGTTTCGAGATCTGGGTCCAGTGTACACTGACAAGGCGTCGATCCTGATCCGGATCTAATCAGAGACATGTCGATTGGGCCTCGACGAAGGAAGAAGCAATATCATTTGCCGCCTTGAGAGTCTTGGATAACGGCAACCAGCAGATTGCCCCCCCTTTGGCTCGGGAAAAGATGACTTGCATGTATGCATGCATGTTTACGCAAGACCATTAATTTCTTCATTCCTTGATAGAGAGAAGGGGAGGAGAAGGGTGGGTGCTGTCGTCGTCTCCTTCACTTACGACAATGTGACGTGTCCTCATATTTGGAAGGGGAGAAAAAGAAAGAAGAAAAAGACGGCTGGCTGCTGCCGGAGCGCAGGGGGACACCCGAGAAAAGCACAAACAAAAAAGATCAGTCATGCCTCGGATCTATAGTACGCCTTTGGTTGGGGAGCATCTCGGTAGTTGGAACTCACTCGATACCCAATGAATGGGGGGGGCCAACGTTGCCTTGCAGGTGGGCCGTCGCGAGATGGTGCAGGGGCGCACCAAAGATCCAAACAGAACGCTGCGACGTGTTGATTATTCCGTCTCTTTCTCTCTCCTCTCTCGCAGGCAGGGATCCGACACAGAAGGCAGTTGAGTAATACCAAGATCCACTCAAAATGGTCATAAAATCCAAGGCTCGTCTCTGTTTCTCTCTCTATTCCTATCACACCAGGTATGTCACATGTTTGAAGCGCGTATGGTGCAAAGAAGAAAGAAATGCTTGGGACGAGAAGCCCCTTTTTTCCCTCTCTTCTCTCTTCTCTCTTTCTTATGTGACACCTCGACCCCCTGGGACGGGTCCCTCCTTGTGACACACCGGGCGCGATCACGCAGACAGCCCTGGCCCATCCATCTTTCTCCTTTCAGCTTCAGCTTCCTCGCCTTGTATACATGTGTGAGGCGAGGTGGCACAGCATATATGCAAAGAAGAGCACATATGCATTATCCTGCTGTGCCTCACCGGCAGTCGGCCTAGCCACCTCGTCATTGTCTTTTTTTTCTCTCCTGCATTGTTTTTTTTTTTTTTTGTACTCTCATTGCTCTCTTCTTACCGACCAGCTCTTCTTCTCCGTCTGACAGGGACAGCTGCAGGCTGTGTGTCTCACATTAATGTTTGACCAGATCTGAACTGAATCTCTCTTGCATCCCGATCGCAGTCTCGGAAGACGCCGCTGCTGGGAGTGATGTAGCTCGTGCATCGGGTCATATTCCGCTGACTTGGGAAGGAAAAAGAAAGAAAAGAAGAAAAGAACACACAAGTAAAGATGCAGCCATTGTCTCTCCACCTCCGAGGGGTGGAAGGAGGGGAAGTGGGCGCCGCCTACAACCTGTAAGAATTCCGAATGTTGTCGGTATTGTCTTCCTTGTCTGCTGGGGGGGGGGGGCACATTGAGTCAACGTTGCCTTTTCCCGACACCTTGCGGATGCACTTGAAAGGGACGCACCGGTCTGGTTTGAGGATTTGAGTTGCACACTTCAGCTCGCTGCTTTGTCATTTGGCGTGCCCCTTTTTGTTACGCCCATGTAATGGCCAAGGAGGGTTTGTGTGGAAAGAGAAGAGAGAAAGACGGCACAGACGAGACGGGACATTGGGACGGTTGGGCAGACACGCAGGAGCCAGGCTGTGAACCCCTTGACCCCTTTGCTTCTCCTTTTCTTTCCTTTCTCTGTGGCTGCCTACACCCTGCCCTCTCCTACATCAGGGCTGGAACATCGTGTACACCTGCCTTGTTGAGAAAGGTCATGGGATTATTCAAAGGACGGATGGATGTCGACCTTGGACCCTGTAAGAAAAAGAAAAAAAAGATGGTAGCATGGCAAAATCGTGGTCAGATTTTCAGTCGTGTGGCACACAAAACTCACACCACACACATTGCAGCACCCCCAAGCCTCCTTGCGCCGTCAGCCTTCGCATCTGTATGGAGCCTAGCTGCTTCTGGGAAGAGGGGGTGGGTTTCTGAGGCGCACCCGTATGCGAGATCTCAGCCAGCCTGCATATCGATACGGTCTTCCTGTAGATCCGGGGACCCATCTTTTTTCTTTCTTTTTCTTTTTTTTCTTTTCTTCTTTCCTGCATCCTCCCTCCATGATAGTGAAATTGTGGCACTCACCAGAGGGGGGCGGATCAAGAGGCTTCGTAGCAGCCGCCACGTCGTCCCGGTGTCTTGGGTCCAAGGTTTCTTTTGCTTGTTATGTCCCAAGGGGTTGAATGGAGCCGCACACCTTTTTCCTTGTTTCTACTGTGTTCTTGGAATTTGCCCTTTTGGTGGAAACCTGGTCCCCTGGAATTAATTTTCTTCCCCTCCCTCCAAACCATGGCCAGACTCCAATGGACCACTCTATACGATTACGATCTATGGATGTGTCTAGATCATGGTCTGAATGTGACGAGTAAGTAAATATGCAAATTGCAAAGACCGCCATTCATACCCAATAGCCGCTGAAAATTCATACCCCTCCTCGACTATATTCGCCCCCACCTAAGAAGCAACAGCCACAGGATCTGGTGTTTCTGACAATGAGCAAATGTATATTTTTCTTTCTTCTGGCGATCGCACGATGATCTTACTTTTGGGCATCAACGCTAAAAGCGTGTAAATACCAGGCAATTGTATCAAATCTATCACATCTCAAAAGAAGAAAAAATTACAGATGCTGCTTCTCACCCTTTCGACATCGGCTGTACTTCACATACGTTTTTTCTTTGCCTCATCCCATTAGATTGAAACAGCCTGCCCGGAAAGCTTTGTCTATCAGTGCCCTATGTTACCCTCTAAGTCTCTCTCTCTCTCTCTCTCTCTCTCTCTCTCTCTATGTCTCTCTCTCCTGCTGCGTGTCTCTTGTGTGTGTATGTGTGTGTGTGTGTAGAACCCAATAACTTATTTTTCCTTTTTTGGAGTTCGAAGATCAGAAGGGAGGGGGAGAGCAAACCCTGTTGGTTGTCTAGCTCGAGATCCTGCTGATTACGAAAGCAACAATGACAATGATACTATGAAATGATGACGATGATGATGAGAAAGATAACGACGATCTTCCCACCCTCGCCTCCCCTCCCCCTCAACCCAACTTAAAAACTCACATCGGCCCGGCTGGTGTGCACGTTTCACAGCAGATGTGCTCACACCGCACCTGAGTCCCCTCGATGATCATGATGCAACTGCACCGCCCCTGCTCGTTCCAGCCCTTGCCGCACCAGCAGCAGTTCCAGCACCGGTTGAGTGCCTCAAACGGGCACCGTGGGAGGGGGCACTTGGGCAGCAACGGAGACAGGGCCGCCGTCGAGGGGTCGCCTTCGAAACTGGGTGGGAGGGGGTAGGCAATCGCCTGCGTCGTGAGGTTGCGGCATGGCTTTCGCTTGTTGGCCGCCGATGAGGACCTGCTGCTGCCGTGATGGTGGTGGTGCTGTGATTTGCCCTTCTCCCTGCTGCTGGTAGCTGATCCTCGGTGACTGCTCTTCTTCCCACTGTCCCTTTTCGACTTGGAGGAAGAGCTGGCCCCTCCTCCCCCTCCACTTCCTCCTGCTGAGTGACTGTGACGTGAGCCACTTTCTGGCGCGTCGGCGCAGTAGACTATGTCTGTCCGCACGTGCTCACATGGCAACGTGTAGGTGATTTGGTGGCACATGACGCTTCTTCTTCTTCTTCTTATCTTGTTTCTTCCCTTCTGTCCCTCTTCTTTTCCTCCCCCTTTTATGTTTAAGAAGGACGAATCCGGCGCTCCTCTTTCACTTCGTATAATAGTCAGTCGTCAGTGACTCGAAGTTGGTGACTCGAGACTGGCGGCTCTGTGTTTTTTTCTGCTTACACAAGGCAGGGTGACGGATGTGATGAGAGCTCTGTCGAAAAGGCAGGAAGCTGAAAGTCTGGTTCTTCTTTGTTGAGGGCCGAACAGACTTCTTATATAGGAAGGAGGGCTGGAAAGCTGAGTGGTACTTTTGTTTCCTCTTCCCAATCTGTCTGAGCAGGGCGAGAGCAGCTGACGATGACTCCAAGGGATCTAGGAACCCGACGATCGAGCCTTGTCGACCAGGAGGGACCTTTAAGTATTGTCGAGGCTCGTGGGGGAACACTCATGTTGTAGTGGTGGCTCGGTCAGGACGGGGGACCAGCCTCCTGGTCATCGGACAGGGAAGGAGAAAAAGAAAAAAGAAAAGACAAAAAAAAAGTCAGCCCTGCTCACCATGTCCGTCACATTCCATTATTGACACCACCCCGCAGTACATCGTCTTCCCCCTTGCCCTGGAAAGCCCATCATCATCATCACGTATGATCGGGCGTAAGGAAGTGGGAAGGTAGGGGGCAAAAAAAAAAAAAAAAAAAGAGGCTGTCGGCGATCATGACAAAAAGGACCAGGGACAATGCACATTGTTGCAAGTAAGTATCTTCCTTCTCTTCCTCTCTCGGTGGTCGTCTAGTATTTCCTGGCTATTGGCCAGAGTAATTTGGAATTCCTCCTCTGAAAACACTTTTTTTTTTTTTGTCGTCCAAGTATTTTTTTTATTTACTTGTTTCCCCCTCTTCCGACGGTCAAGCCCGGCGACCCGACAGACTGGGTCCCCTAAGTTCATGCTTGCTTCTTTTTGTATAGTGAGAAATATGAGGCTGCGAGGCGGTATGCGGGTCATCAACTAAGATTCGAGGATGACAGACGCCTCGAAGCCATGGGGGAGAAAAAAAGAGGTAAAGAGTGGGGAGAGGAGAGGGGAGAGGGGAAGGGTGGAAGCCATAGTGTCGTGTTCGTATGGTTCACAAAGTCTCACACGCACAGACTTGCTTTCTTGTTTGACTTCCCATCCTTACCAACCCCCTTTCCCCTCTGTCTCTTAACCTCCTCCTCTCTTCATCATGTCTTTCTTTCTCACATGGCAAGACCCTGAAGTCTAATAGCCAAGAAAAGAATAAAACGAAAACAGGTCTCATGCCTGACCGAATAGTCTGTTCGAAACTCCACCTTGGGCCAAGCCACTTGGCTGATTTTCCCCTTTCTTTCTAGAGTTCCACAGGCGGGTTGGCTTTCAGCTGGTGTTGCCCGGCAAGTTCCATCTGATCTCATCGTTTTGTTGCTTTTTCCCGCTGGTCCACCTTTTAAGATCGAGCCCAAAAAAGGACAAAAAAAAAAGACGATCCAGACCAGATCGATCTTGCATGAGTAATGCCGGAGAATTTAACAAGATCTTGGAAGTTTCTCGAAGATCTGGTTCAAATAAGAAGGAAGAGAAAAGAAGAAGAAAAAAAGAAGGAAGAGAAAAGAAGAAGAAAAAAAACGAAAAGAAGACAGAGAGAGAGAGAGAGACAAAGAGAAAAAGCAACAAGCAAACAATATTAACGAAATTGGAACAGAGCTGATGATGATATAATGATGATGACTTGCAACTTCATCAATATAATATTACTACAGGCTTCTTCAGTATTTAGATCAGTTCGGTGCTTGCATGTCTAATTATCATTTGAGGGGGGGTATCAAAAAGTACTTCACCTCTTCTAATTTCTTGTCATTCTTTTCATTCCTCTCCATCATTCCATCTTCTTCTTCTTCTTCTTCTTCTTCTTCTTCTTCTCCGTCTTCGTCGTCGTCTTCGTCGTCGTCTTTCTGCTGGCCGGGCCGTCCTCAGCTCGACTACTTAGTAATAGTCCCTCTCGCTTGCGACGCCTCGTCAACAAAGCGCACACAGGTAAATGGTCTCTCCCCTCTCCCCCTTTCCGCCAGGTCGGTCGGCTCGGTCGCTCTTGTCTCGGGTCGATCGGTCGAAGTTGTTTTCCTTCTTTTATTTATTTATTTCTTCTTCTTCTTCTTCTTTTTCTTGTACTTCTTCGTCATGTCCTTCTTCTTCTGTTCCTGGCGTTGGCTCCTCGAGCACTAGCTGCTGCAGCAGCTTGCGCCTCAGCGCCGGTCCTCAGGTCGGGCTGGCAGTCCTGACAGCACTGGTGGTAGCATAAAGAGTCTGGGCTCCGCCTCATCAAGTGGTAGCAGCACGGATACCTATTCCCTCCAAAGCCACACCGGCAGCAGATCCAGAGCCCGCCTAGCTCCTGCAGGCGACACCGGCCGAGGCTGCAGTCTGGGCTGGCCAGGCAACCGCCGCTGGCACACGGGTTGGTGAAGTCGATGCCTGGGTTGCCGTTGGCCTGGTCGTGGTACGAGATGTTGGGGCAGGGCTGCTGGGTCTGGGTGGCCTGGTCGAAGGTCGCGTCTTGACAGTAGATGTAGTGTATAACGAACTCGATGTCACGGGTGCAGGGGTATATATGGTGATAATGAAGGTAGTAGTAGGTGCACATGGTCGTCGAGGTAAGGTAGGATTAAGTCGAAATTCGGCGAGGTCTAATCGTCTTTTTTTTTTTTTTTTTTTCCCGAAAAAGAGGGAGGAGGGAGAGGTAGAGAGAGGCAGAGAGAGTGTGTGTTGGTGCCAGAAGTGGGTCACTCGGAGAGTGACAATGACTGGTTGTCCAAGTGATGCTCCACGTATCCGTTCAATCCCCCAGAAAAGCCACTGACTGGGCTGTAGGTGTATAGAAGAAGGCGGTCGTTTTGTTGCTTCAGTAGTAAACCCCCATTGTTTGGATAAAGAAGGACTGAATCGTGGCTGGCGGTAATCGAATAGAGAGACTTTGGTGGCGTACAAAATTGCCGGCCCAGAGGTCTTGTACAGGAGTGAGGGTAAAAGAAGTATAAAAAAAAATATAACTATCCTCGAGGGCTTGCGAATATGGTTTTTTGGGGTGTTTTCGGCCCCCAGGAGGCTGAAAGAAGGGGGGGTGGGGGGGGCGGACTCTCAATTCAACGGTCGGTTGTCCTGGGTTGGGGGAAAATAGAAAAGGTGTGTGGACAATATATTCTGAATAATGTGGGTATCCGAGACAGGGGACGTATGCAGGAACAGAAATATCCTGCAGCTGTCAAAAATGACTAACCGAGGTCTTAAAAGGTGGTAGACGAATGTACAAGGCGAGTTGATATATGTTGGTGGATCTCGTGATTTTTGGGTGGTCTCCAGATGCGGACGATGGGGTGATTGGTGACAAGAATCATGAGAGTCGACCCTAGTTTGTTCTTGCAGATTCCTTGGGGCTCTTTGGGCAACGGGCGACTGGAGGCCGAGATTATTAGCAAAAGAAAGGAGAAGACTTGTAGGATCTTGAAGAAATTGTAATGAACTCTGTTTTCCCTCTATGGATTGTTTGTCTGTTGTCGTATCCGGGGTGCAAGTATGTGTCTGTGTGGTGTTCGACTTGTTGTGGTAGCCGTGTCTCGTTGTTGCTGAATGATTGTTAGTGATGATGATGGTTTACTACCGCTCCCTTCTGATCCACCTTCGACTGAGAAACGGCACGATGCCCTCTTATATATGAATAGCAATAAATTAAAAAAAGAAGCGGAAAAAGGGTCTCTCGCTTCTGGCCAAGAGAGCGCCTCGTGTCATCATGTTTTAATATACCTTTTTCTGATACGCCTACAAGGAAAACCCCCACGTCTTCCCATCCCGCTGCCCACCCTTTTCTTTTTTTCTTATTTTTTATTATTATCCTTTCACACCTGCATCTGTGCCCAAGTGCGATTTTGACGAGAGAGGAAAGGTATGAAGAGAGACAGAGAGGGGTGAGAGAAAAAAAAAAAAAAGAAAAGGAAAAAGCCTTTCCGCCACCTCCAGGGCTGCTGGCCAGATTGCCTTGTTTTTTTCTTCTCTTCTTTCCTCTCTCGGCAGCGTGTCAATGAACATCTATCTGCAACGCCCTACAAGAACTGGCCAAGGATTGACCGACCGCCACGTCCAACAATAAGCCCACCTTAATTTGGCGGCACGTGGCTTCCTCGTGGCCTGGATCGGTCCGCACGTGGGAAGGGCGGTACACAAACGTGGCTCTCGGGTGCTCTTGGTGCGCACATAGTATAATCATGCTAGACAAAAGCTGGAGAAGGAGGGTAGGGGAGGAGACAGACGTGAATGGGACATACGGGATGCAGTTTAGGTAATTAGGCAGGCAGCATTAGGAATTAATCGGAAGACCAGAGGAGGGGAAGGTGGGCAGATAGGTGTGTGAGGAGACGCAACAAGAAAAGAGGCTGCGTCTAGGAACGAGTGAGTGCGAGGTCGGGAGAGAGACACAGAGAGAAAGAAAAGAAACATTGAGAGAACATGCCTGCCTGAAAGCTGCGCAATCGATCGAGATCCAGGTCGAGGTGGATCCCGTGCGTCCACCCTAAGAAAGCAATGTAATCGAGGGCTAACTGGTTGGGCAAGACCATCTTTTGGAACAAACAGTGACATGGCAAATATCGGAAAAGAGACGGAGAGAGAGAGAGAGAGAGAGCGAGAGAGCGAGAGAGAGGAAACATGAAACCGGGGAATCATGATTGCAAAAGCTGGGGACGAGGAGGAGGGCTGAACACGCGATGTGGCTTTCAGCCATGGGGCAATCCGGAACGCCTCTCCTGCTTTCTACCCTATTCGCTGCCTGAGGGAGGGAAGAAAAGGACAAGAAAAGAATATCTATGGCCCAGACGGAATATGCATGCAGCCCTAGATCCGTACCACAACTCAGCGTGCATGAAAGGACTGGGTGGCGTGGAGGTGCGGAGGTATATGCAAGATCTCAGATCCCTTTTTCTCTTCCGCACACCCCCCCCCCCTCCTCCTTTTTCGCCCCTAAATATCGCCCCGCGAGTGGTACGATGTTCTGATCGGGCCAACCCCCGAAGTAACTCAAAAGAGAGGGAAATAAAAGGAAATTGAAATGAAATTTTAAAAAAACAGGTAAAACACAAAATAAAAAAAGGCTAAGAAGAACAAAACCCTTGCAGACAATGTGTCCTCCATCAGAAGTAAGGGACAAATGCTGTCTGTTTTGGCCCTTAATTCGTACAGCACTACTGAATATGGAGCCATGTTGTCTTAGATGACACACCGAATATTCCCTCTCCATGGACGGAACGGTGGTTTTCTTCCTTCTTTTTCTTCTTCAAGATTTTGTTCTTCTTTTCCTTTCAATTCCGTCTTTTGCTGCATCGCCACTCCTGAGAGGTTTTGGTCTACGAACCATTTCCGCCCTGTAGTAAATTGTCCGTTATTCAATTGGTGTCACCCAAAAATAAACAGTCACAATTATGCATGTGATATTGTATATAGACACGGCACCTGCGATGAGGCTGTGGGGGAACACATGTCTCTTGGACGCCAACCTCTCGAGACAGGTAACACCGTCACAAGGTGCGACCAGCCAGACGAAGCCACCAGGTACTGCAGCCGTGTCGACAGACATATTTTCCGCAGGCGAAGAAGAGTTGGCCGGAGCGAGAGCCTGTGGCGGCTGAAGTCTGGCCGGCGAGAGCCCAGGCTAAGAAAAACTCCGGCAACTAGAGAGGAAAGTGAAAAGAGGCAAGCCTGGCTCTTCAAGTCGGTCTGATCTGTCTTGCCTGCCCAGGTGGTGGCTGATGCTCCTCCGCTCTCAAAGAAAAGCAGAGCGAAGAAGAGGAGGGGTAAAAATACGAAGAATACGAGGAGGGGGCCCGTTTGCTGACCGGCAGACCAGACAAGACATACACTGCTTCTCCTGTGTTCAGCCGACGATCGTTTGCTGATCGACCCCAGAGAAGCAAGAACCTTATGCATCTTTGACAGGCGAGTAACAGGGGTGAGCCCAGCCCAGTTCAGCCCCCAATCCTTCTCAGATGAGTCTTTAGAAACAAGTGAGTGACAAGGCGTAGGAGCCGTGTGTATACACCCAACCGTGAAGAAGCACAAACAGGTCCACCTGGGTTGTGGAGTGGTTGGGTCGGGTTGCTTAGATGCTACCATGGTATCGCGGTATCGGAAGCTGGGTTATTCATTGACCGAGCGTATGAACAAGCCCGTGTTCTAAAAAAGAATACAGACAAAAGGAAAAATAGGGGTTCAGGTCTAGAACATGCATATCGTCTAGGGTCTGGGGGCCTTGAGGAGGGTATCATCCGAGCCAGATGAAGCCACACAAACGTCATCAGGGCTATTGTCCCGCATGGAATCCTGTGGAAGAAAGTCTTTTCCCCTCCTCTTCTCAGCCGCTTCTCGAGGCCCAATACACGACGCATGGGCCCATGGCAAGCGGCCAAGCGGGCTCAAGCTGCGCTGCCCTGGAGCACACACATCCCACAGAAAATTGCAAGTCTGCAGGCAGATTGAGCACCACATTACTTAGGCGAAAGGGGGTTGTCTGAGATCATCATGCGAGTCTGATTCGCTGGAATACGCCTCCCGGTGTGAATTTAACGACATATAACTGGCTCCAGTGGCTTGAAGGGGAGTGAGGGCAATACCAGTCGACAGCAGTTCACCTAGGTAAAAGAAAGTTTGCCGGAGGAGGAGGACCAGGCTCTGCACACCCGGAGCAAAGACACCGACGAGCCAGATGCGGGTATGATAGACATGGTTCTCAGTAGGAGAGGCCACCATGTGGAGTGTTCTCTCTCGTAATGCTTGCCTTTCCTGCTGTGACGGCTTCATAGGAGAATCCTTCTGCTCGTTGGGAACCAGGCTGGTACCTGCGCATCAGGCAATAGAGGCGACGGGCTGAACATGGCGTGATAATACGCCTAACCGTCGTGCGGTTTCTGTCTCGGTAAAGACACTGCCATAGACGATGGCGCACATCTGCAGAGCAGTCGGCCTCGTCAGGCGCAAGACAGAGAGGACTGGTCGCAGCTCCGTAGCCAGCCACCCTTTCGCCTCGTTCGTCTTAAACGTACGATTGCAATCTCTCTTAACCTGCTGACGAGCGCCCTTCCTCCAGATCAAGGCTACTCTTGTTACTCTGAAAAGAAAGTGGCATGCACATCTAGCATGTGTAATGAGAAGTCGTCCTCCTCAATGTAGGGCCCTTAACACGCGACGGCGTGATACAAAAGTTCTAGAGCATGGTACCATTGCTGTGCCTCACGGGGTTGTCAACGACAAGGCTTTGCGTGAGGACCGGATAAAGGTGGCAGAGAGACAATTTTGGAGCCCCTGTCGTGATGATGGTGATGATGATGAACAGCTCCTTCATTTCACGGTGACAGTTGTAGAATAGGGTCTCACAAGTCCCAAGTGCGGTGCGGCGGATCGATTTGACAAGAAGCCATCACTCGTGCCTGTGTATCGACAGATGCCTCGCTCGGGATCCAAAGCAGAAGAATTAAATTGAAAATCTCAATTCCAAAATATTTCGAGTCCAAGGTTCAGCTTGGTGACGACGTACAAATCCAGAGACGAGACCTAACGCCCAATTAAAACGCCAAGAACATTCATTGACAGTCAATGTGTCACAAGTCAGATAGACTATGCAGCCTCGTGCCTCCAAGCGCCAGAACACGGGTGACGAACATCACTAGATCGAACACGATCGATTCGGCTTCTCGTTCGGTCCCCGGCCACAGCAGCAGCAGCAACGAAAGCAACGACAGCAACATCAAGCTGGCCTCCAAGCACCCCCCCCCCATTCTCATCTTTCTCTCTCTTTCTTCCCACCTCTCTCTTTCTTTTCAAATTTTGGGCATGGCTGGGACACAGACCACGCCTCCAACTTCCAACAGGTCGCAGTTGATGTTGCCGTTGGCCTCCTTCAGCTTTGGTACGTCGATGCCATGCATCTTTGCAATATCCCAACATGACTCCCCCTGCTGGATCTGATGTGCGTGGCTCCCCGGGCCGCAGCGAGAGAGGGTCGCCTTGGAGCTCGTCATCCACCCCAGAAACCAGAACAGGCCGACCAGGAATAGCGCCAGGATCATGAAGAAGTTGAGCAGCGGCATCAGCTCGGCCCGCCAGTGCTTCGCGGCATACGAGGTGCCGCTTCCATCTCCTCCTCCTCCTCCCCATCTCGCATGTGCCTGGCCCGCGCCTGTGTGTGTGTTGTGGCCCTCCAGGAAGGGCACGGTGGCCTCGCTTTCGTCGTAGCTGGGGGGTTGCTCGCCCCCATGTTCGGCATCGGCAGACTCGACATCGATATTGGTGAGGTCTGATGGGGGCTTGGGTGGGTTGGCAACCTTGGTCAGGCGGCCATATCGGCAGCCAGGCGGGCCCTCCCAGAGACTTCCGTCTGTGTCTCGAAAGGTGTAGACCTCTGTGTCTGCATCGTATCCAACGCGGACCATGCCCTCTGGGAGGCGCTCTTCGTCGGTATCGTAGTCGAAGCGGCGGGGCATTGCGACTCTTGTGAGTGGAGAGAAAGGACGTAAGCGCCTTTATGCGGTGTTGAGATGCCTCAATGGTCGACTGGCTGGCTGGACTGGACTGGACCGGTCATGTGAGCAGTGGCAGGTAACAGAGCGAGGAACACTCGTCCTTGCTAGAGATGCAGGCGTGTGTAAGGAGATGGGAAGGAAGAGTGGACGATCAGGACGGGTGGTAAGTGACGGAGGAATAAGGATAGATAGACGTGTGAGTTGACGGGTAGATGGGTGGACGGATGGATGGACAGATGAGCAGGAAGGAAAATGTTGGGTGTCTTTGGTTGCTTGAGGATGAGGACGAGGATGACGGCAGGTGGTGGTTTCGAGCTGGAAGGCCCCTGCGCCACACTCGCCATCGCATGGCAGGAGCAGGATTCCAGGGCACCCTCGCCCCTGCAAATCAAAGTGCAATCCTCTCGTGATTCGGCGTCATTCTAGTTTGCTTGTGACTGTGACACCGTTTTATTTGTTCTTCCGGTCCATTACGACAAGCAGATGACCAATTTCCGTCACACCATACCTCAAGTCAAAGCCTAGATTTCCATTTTCTTGATAAGTTTCCACCTGCAGTTGTTATCACTGGATGTCGCCTCTTTCCTCTGCAGTAGACTTTGTACCGAAGTGGGGGTGACTACAGTACTATAGTGGCCGTGCTTCAGGCCATGCAGGCCATGCACCTCAGACCCCAACAACACCCCATGCACTTGCTGGTTTCCAACCTTATTTGGAAGTTCATAATTAGGTATAATATAGCTATGAAGTCTTCTTGGATAAGCAGGATATATAATCAAAATAGTTGCTTACTTGGCCATGCTCTGCTATCTACTTATATTCATGGAATCATCAAAGATACCTCGGCATAAAATAATAATAAAAAAAAGCAAAAGGAGAGAAAGTAAAACACGAACACACACACACATACACGCACACCCCTCTAGAACAGTGTAGTAAATATCCACAGTACATACTACAGTATGCAGCACGCAGTAGGTTACGTGCAACGGCGGATAAAGCGAGCAGTTACTTGGTCCCGCTGAGGAGGTGCTAGTATGGTCAGGCCTTCTAGGGGACCTGGAAACTCCCGCCGCTAACACCGACCGACACATTTCTGCGGGGCCCTTGCTAGAGTGGGCTACTTTGGTACGAATTTGGTACGTACCTCAGTAGCATTACCTCCTTCCCTTGACCTTCGTCTATGCACCGTACTGCACAGTGAGCACAAAACCTCCACAGAAATTCAATCTCTTTTAGGAGGGGGAGAGAAACTGTGTTCGTCCACACACCTTCTTCACACATCAATTCCCTGGGCGACCAAATACTAGGGTGTCCGCCAGATCGCACTGCAGCAGAGCTGTACCGAATCCCCTAGATTTGCATGCATCAAGGCTCACAGGCAATCACGAAGGCCACACGCACCATTCCCACTTTTTGTTACCTTTTTTCCCCCTTCCCTTCACCATTTTCCCTATCAGAAGAGAGGAGGGAGACCAGAAGAAAAGAAAAAGGAAAGAGAAAGAGAGAGGAAAAGAGGCGATCCTAGGAGTTTGTCCCCGCCTGTTCCGTCAAGGATCACATCCTTCGATCCTGTCTCCCTCTCTCTCTCTCTTCTTTCCTACACACCAGACCAACTGCACCCACTTATTGCCAAAGGTGCAGCAGGCTTGAGGAACTCCTCGTCCGTGCAGGACACTCGTCAGCACGCTTACTTCGAGGGACCCTCGGGAATACACGTTGGAAAATACAGCAGGCTGGTGATTCGAGGGATATTGGGTACATCCCTGAATCTTTCCCGTCTTTACGACCCATCATCTTCACTACTCAAGGTCTCACAAGCGCTATCTGCTCTCTCTCAACCCCGCCTGCTGCGCCTCTCGGACGACCCTCATCAGCCAGCCAAGCTACAAGCGAAAGATTGAGAATGCTAACCGATAAAGAGATCGACGATGCTGCAAAGCAGCTGGCAGACTATCGCCGCAATGATAAACTCGAAGCAATCCTCAATAATTATGCGTTGCTGCTCGAGGAGCATCAGCGTCTCAAGAGCGACTACGAGGAGGAGCGGGATGCCCGGGAGCGCTACAAGCAGCTAGCTCGTGGCCAGGAGCGCAACCCTTTTGTCCTGGTTCTTATTGACGCCGATGGCTATGTTTTTGACGATCGTCTCGTCGGTGCTGGGGCCGAGGGAGGCTCGAGGGCTGCCCAGCTGCTCAACGACGGCATCAAGACCAGCCTGCGCCGGAAGGGCCTCGAGCACTGCGACATCGTCGTCCGTGCCTACGCCAACGTCGCTGGCCTGTCCAAGGCCCTGAGCAAGTCAGGCCTTCTTGGTGCCGAGAAGCGCTCGCTGGCGCCCTTCATCGCCCATTTCAACAGGTCCTATCCTCTAACCGACTTTGTCGACGCCGGCGAGCTCAAGGAGAATGCTGATTTCAAGCTCCGCGGCCTGCTGCGCCTTTATGCCGAGAACGCTCAGTGTAAGCATATTTACTTTGCTGCTTGCCACGACGCCGGCTATGTGTCCGAACTCACCCAGTATCGGGACCACAGCGACCGTGTCACCCTCATAAAGACACCAGGCCTGCTATTTCACGACGAGTTTACCAAGCTTGGTCTAGGCATCGAGGAGCTCCCGGGCGTCTTCCGACCCGCCGGCTCTGCCATGGATGCCATCTATCCTAAGCCGCTCCAGACCATCTCCTCCTTCAACAAATCTACTCCGTCCCTCCCGTCTCCATCCTCAGCAGCAACGAGTGCTGAGATCTGTTCGTTTTACAAGTTGGGCAAGTGCAGATATGGCAGTAACTGCAAGAAGCTGCATGCCAACCCGCAATCGATGACAACGACAACGAGCACCCTACCGGTTCGTAACAACAACAACAATCACAACCACAATAATAACAATAACAACAACAACAATAATAATTCCTCGAGATTGTCGCGAGATTGGAGGTCAGATAACGGGTCTCTCCTCGACTATGATGGTGGTGTTGGGGGCCCCATGGGAGGGTCAATGCACGCTCGCGACAGCCCCCATAGGACCTATATGCAGCAGGCCGACCTCCTGCGTCAACTGCCCAGAAAAGAAGACATCCCGCCCGGTCACGTCGCCGTAAATAAAAATGGTCAGCGCCTGGATTACTACCTGTCTCCGCCTACCCCCGACGCCGAGAACCGCCTCAGGGCTCGCTCTGCCACTACAAGGCTGTGCAACGCTATGCACCTGAAGGGCTCATGCAGCACACCCGGCTGCGAATACGACCACAGCCAGGTCGAAGAAGACCTCAAACCCGCCCTCGAATGGCTTGCCCGCTCTCTACCCTGCGCTAAGCGCGGCGACTGTCGAAATGCAGCCTGCCTATCCGGCCACGTGTGTCTAAAGCCGGACTGCAAGCACTATGGCTCAGGCAAGGCTTATTGCAAGATAGGCTTCCTTACGCACTTGACCGATTTAGCTGTCGACCGTTACGTGCCCGCCACTACGGGTCAACAGCCCAGTAACGGCGATCCTGTTAATCACACCTCACCATCATCCACAGTTACTTCTCCCGTCACCGAAGACGACGAGGACGAAGGCGGAAGTAACACACCTCTAGGTGGCACCTCAATTTAGAAGGACTCTTGACAGGTCAGGTATGCGGTGATGCTCACTGTCAATTTATTTTTGAAGAAAAAATAACCTCTGTGTCCTATTACCATGAGGGCAACTTCTTTTGTTTTTTTATTTTATTATTTTCTCTCGGTAATGCGGTCTCGTGTTGGCGCGCACAGGCACCCTTACAACTATGCAGCCTTGTCAACGTCGCGTGGTCGTATTTAATCGTCCCTCTTTTTTCCCTCTCCTTCATTTTCGAAGACGTGGCCTTAGGTTACAGCTGCTTGCATCTGAACAGAGGAGAGAGCTTACTTGCATTGCAGGGTGGTTGTTGAGTTCTCTTGACTTCTAGAAGTCAGTCAGAACGAAGGAGGCATTGATGTGGGGGCGCTCTGCCACATCTGATGACGCCGGAGCTTCGAGAGTGCTACCATAAAGCACGAGCCTGAACACCGCCACCACACACGCTTAACAAGACGCACGAATGGTGGCCGTTGACGTGAAAGTGGTCGGCGAGAAAAATTGATGAAGAACCTACGAAACGAGACAAGAGGATCAGTGACGTCTGAAGATGGCTTGCGCGAATCAAAGCCGTGCCACCAAACGATTACGACATGCAAGAGGGTGGAGAGTTTGAAAACAGCAGGGCTCTGTCTTCGATTAGTCACAAGGAGAGCAGATTGAATCGGAGACGAGTCCCTGCTTGAGCCGTCCCCCCTCGCTTGAGACTCTAAGGAAACTTTGCGAGGGGGCAATCTTGGAAGACAAAGGGAATTTCGTGGACCGAGATAGATTCGGCTTCAGGAGGCTGGTGCGTGCTGAGATGCTCTGCTACACACGCCAAAACAATCATGGTGCATACCTAGGTATAAGGTACGAGGAGGACTAGTCGCTGATCCACTTAGCATGGCCACGATCCATTCATGAAGCCTTGCAAAAGGGGTCATCTACTTGTGTGGGAGCAGAGCAGCACGTATAAGATGGGTTCATTACCCCAGTCTACCCAAGTACGCGCGGAATACAGCGCCAGATCTGATACGTTATGGGTCATGTGGATGGTTGCATTCTTGTTTTTTCTGTTCTCTATCTCTCTTTCTTTTCTTCTCTTTTCTCTCTCGATATTCCGTCATGTTGCATTCATACTTGTGGCTTGGGTTTCTCCCAGGCTGTTAAGGCGGTCGCCATATTCAGTGTACTCAGTTGTGGTGCATTCTATTCTTTCACTGTACCTAGGTAGACATTGTTAGTAATTTGAAGTTGCAGTTTCCGCAACGGCGATGATATCAAGCAAGATGGCATCCGGTGATACTTACTATGTGGACGACTCATCTTTGTGCAGTGATCTTGTCCTATCAGTGTATGAACCTCAAAAGAAGCACTCTTTAGCTGAAATTTCTAGCCATTTGTTTCTGTCCCAGACGAGGGAGACTTCAACTGAAAAGTTGATTATCTTTATTATATCTAATCGTACCTGGCTTCCTTTCAAGTTTGGAGATTTTACATTCTACTAGTCTCAACACGGAAGGAGCACCATATTAAAAGTCGCATCCAATCACTGATAAGTTGACAAAAGAATGACCTTGGTATACGAGGTCTGACCAAAAGGATACAAAGGTGCAGCTATGTTATTCTGCCCATTTTCCAGAATTAATTAAACTTCAACAGTCTTAAAGAAGAAAAAACCCCGATACTGATCTTCATGGACAATCATCAAGTGCATATAGTGTAGTTGCAAAGAAGTCGGAACGATAAAATTTCGGGGAGTCTTCCCTCCGCAGCTTATGGCTGTCGGGTCGTCACGTGCGAGGCCGCCCCTCCTTCCTATGCTGCTGTGCTCGACTTGGAAGGAACTAATTAACAAGTAAACAAGTGATATGAGAAAGGAAGTCGCCCTTGTCCAGAAGGCGATTCCCATTTTCCTGTCTCGAGATCCATTCAAATTCATCTCGTAACAACAACCATGGACGAGAAGCAGTCCTTTCTGGGCCTGGCTACAACGCCTAGACAGCATGGAACAGATGTTCGCCGTCATCCAAAACGTCCCAGCTTGAGGTCGCCCAAGCTCCTTCTGGCAAGCAGCATTCTGGTCTTTCTTGCTCTGGTACACTTTTCCTGGCGCGCATTTATCACGCGTCATGGCCACTGTGGACATGATCGCAGAGGTGGCCAGTTTCGCTACGAAGGAGAGCACATCGCATGGGAGGCCTGCGGGGAGGTCGCGGGACGGCATGTGGAGTGTTCGACCATCTCGGTGCCCATGGACCAGTTCAATGCGACCAACTCGGGCGACAAGGTCTTCACCATCCCTCTGATTCGCATGCGCGGGAAGAATGCCACCCAGAACCTTCTTATCAACCCAGGCGGCCCAGGAGGCTCTGGTCTCGAGTTCCTCTTCAGGCGTGGCGAGCAGCTCAACACCATTGTTGGCGAGGGCTTCCATCTGCTATCCTTCGACCCGAGAGGTGTTAACCATTCGACGCCGCAAGCTTCTTGTTATCCTAATCAGGAGACTCGGCGTGCCCTGTCTCAGGTCAAGCACTCCAGGGTCATCGAGGACAGCCCGGAGGCTTATGCCTTTGCCCAGAATTTTGTACAGGCTTGTGCAGATACCATGGGCGAACATGGGCTATACATCAATACGCCCCAGACTGCTGCAGACATGAACAGTATTCTGGATGCTGTGGGCCAAGCAAGTCTGATCTACTGGGGTTTCAGCTACGGAACACTCCTCGGCCAAACGTACGCTGGCCTCTTCCCTGAACGGTCCGAACGCGTCATTATCGACGGCGTGGTCAATCAATTTTCCTGGTATGACGAGATTGTGACTGAAGAGTTCTATACCGATACGTTTCGTGTCTTCGAGGGGTTTTTCGAGGAGTGTCTGAATGCAGAAGAAAACTGCACATTGTCCACATTGTCGAAATCCAAAGAGGAGCTCATGGACAAAGTTCTCGGGTTCGCAGAAAACATCTACGACGAACCATTGAGCGTTTATGTCAACAGTACAAATTGGGGTACACTCGACTACTCCAAGATCTTGTATACCGGCATCTTTCCCGAACTGTACAAACCGGCGCAGTGGTCTGCGCTTGCAGATCGTCTTGCGAAGTTACTCGAAGGAAATGCAACCGACGCGTTTCTGGCCTACGGCGGAGCTGATGCTTGGGACCTCGGGGGCGAGGCCAACCAGTTCGTCACCTACAATGATGGCAAATCCGGCCTGAGAAACTGGCCCAAGGGGCGCCTGTCTGCGCTCGAGATCATAAAGCCCGTGGCCAATTCGAGCCTGTTCGCTCCGGCCGGGACCAGTGAACTTTATCAGAAGCAACAATGGACCATTCCCAAGACGCATAACTACGTGCCTAGACTCGGCGTCGAAACTGCACATCCCCTACTCATCCTGAGCACCACCTTCGACCCCATCTGCCCCCTGGTGTCTGCCCAGTCCGCCAAGAGGGCCTTTGCAGGCTCGGAGATTGTGGAGGTCAAGGGTTTTGGTCACTGCACTGTGGCCGTCACGTCGAGCTGTGTTGCAAAGCATGTGCGGGCCTTCCTGTACAACGGTACGGTGCCAGACAGCCACACTCAGTGCGAGGTCGATGGGCCCTATTTTGTGAAGCCGGAAGATCAGAATGGAAAGAGCATCACTGCCCTGAGGGATTTTGCGGATCCTGAGGAGATGCAGATACATATGGCTCAGCTGAAGATCGCAAGGGATCCGGCTTGGCCAACGTGGACGCGGTGGCAATAATGTCCTTGGAGAGAGGATTTGTTTTTGACCCAGTCCAACATTTATGAACCTTGACAATTTTCCCAAATCTCAATCTACAACGAGATAGTAATAGCTACTTATTCACAATCCATCAAATGGTCGCCCCATTGTCTTTGAGAAATTTGGCCAGCGCCATAGGAAGCATCTCGGCCGCGTCTCCAACAAAAGACCAGTCAGCCTCCTCTGGCCTTGCCACACCGGCCTCCTTCACCTCCAGGTTAAAAAAGGCGATCCGAGCGCCTCGCTGTCTCGCCTTCTGTATATAACCGGCAGCAGGACGCACCATGGCCGATGTTCCAATGACCAGCATCAAATCACATGAATCACTCTGGCTGAGCCATTCCTCTACCCTCGCGGCGTTCTCTTCTGGGACACCCTCGCCGAACCACACGACGTCCGGCCTGAGCAGATTCGTCTTGCAACGGGGGCAGTGCGGGAGGTCTTGGACGCTGATGTTGTCATTGAGTGGGAATCTGGCGTCGTCTGTGTTCTTCTGAGAGGGTGAAGAGGGAGGAGGTTGTTGCAGGGCTGGCACGATGGGGACATTATAGTCATCAGCCTTATAATCGCAGCTTTCGTCAACACATCGCACTCGAAACAGGGATCCGTGGTAGTTGACAATTTGCTCCGATGGATGGCCAGCTCGTTGGCAGAGACCTAGGTTGAATGGTCATTAATTAATGATGAGAACTCGTCAGCAAAAAGAAAGAAGAAAAAAAAAGAAAGAAGAAAAAAAAAAGAAAGAAGAAAAAAAAAAGAAAGAAAAAAATAGCATCACATAATAAAGCAGCACTCGAGCACTATTACTGTACCATCTACATTCTGATTCACCGCAAGGAATCCAGGCTTGAGACTCGCCAGCCTCGCCAGAGCAAAGTGTGCCGCGTTGGGCTGTGCCGCCAGGACCTGCTCCCGCCTGTGCTCGTAGAACTGCCACACAAGACACGGATCCGACCTGAAGGCGCCCGGCGTGGCGAGCTGCTGGTCCGAGTACGTCGTCCAGAACCCGCCGGGGCCGCGGTACGTCGGGATCCCGGACGAGGCGGACAGTCCGGCGCCCAGCAGGGCCAGGACCCTCTGCGACGCGCCGAGGTGCTGCGTGAAGCTGGCGAGCATCTCCTGGCTGGGCGGCGGGGCGGCCTGTGCGCGGAGCTGGACTTGGTCGTCTAGGCGCTTGAAGTGGCGCTGGAGGCTCTCGTTGGCCTTGGCCATGAGCTCGGCTTTGAAGTCGGGGTTGAGTTCTGGCATGGTTTTTCTTTTTCTGGCTTGGAATTTGGACTTTGTTTTTGGAGGGGGGTTGTAATACTTTGTCGTGAGTAATTTTGTTCGAACTGAGCTGAGCACCAACTTGGAGCAGCTGGCAGTTAACAAAGGGAGAGTGCTAGAGAAATCACTGCTGGTCTTCTTGAACATGTTACTTGGTTGGATACTATCTTATTTCAGTTGATGTTCAGCCCTGGTGTGGACTTGCTTACACAGGTAATCATGTGGCTGGGGCGGTTGGTGGAGGCGGCGAAGCTTATACTGTACTATGTAATACCAAGCATGAGCTTGGCTTATGTATAAAAACACCTTTCTAACTATCCTGTCAATCTTTGGCAGTGCATGAACCTGTGTGTATGCGATGAGTGACTGGCGGTTGAATCACAACAATTAGGCGTAGACTAGCGGTGAGAGCCAAGTCTGAAGTATTTTCAAGTCGATTAATTAATTATCATGGTAGAGGAATCAACCAAGCCCGCATATGGACACTGTCAATATAGGGTAATCGGATGAAAAACTGTCATGAAGCCAACCGTGAAGATCTCACGATGGAACAAAGTTCAGCAGGTTGTCATTGATTAGGTCCTCGCAGTTATCATGTCGCTGCAATAACACGTCTTCCTTCATGCCTCATGTGAACACGCTAGCTATAAGATAATTTGTCAAAATTGGAAGAAACAACATTGTAAGAGGATAGGAGCATAGAACTGTTTTCTTCTATCAAGGAATTACTGCCATTATGTCGTTTGTTCTGCATCGATCGTCTTCAGACACTGGCGACGACATGCATAGGGACCTTGCCCCAACAAGGCCTTGCTTAAGTACTGGCAGTAAAGCAGGTGCACAGATGATATGTTCTGTGTCAATAGTCATAAAAATACCACCTTGGTGAACGGCTCATTCGGCAGCTAATGCACGTCAACTGGGGCATTTTGTCAACAGTCACATGCCAGACCGTTTGCCATCCCACGCCGGCGTCATTTTAATTTGTTTACTAGTACAATCAGCCTCCGTGGTTATCGGATCAGTGGCGTGGAGGTGCCTTGAGCTAATTAACAAATGACTTGTGAAAAAGAGTCCCGTTCATACCTGGGCTGCTAGTGAGCCGAACAAGGAGCCGGCTTTCAAGTTGGCAAGGCTGAGTTCGCACCAATAGTAATAAAAGGTTTAGCCTGATCCAAACCCGGCGCCGGTGAGTGATTTGTATGCCCATTACCTAACAAACAAGGCGGGCTGCTATCGTTTCCTAGTACTGTTACTTATCGTTGCCCGTCTCGACTTTGGACTGTTCCGGATTCAGTATGCTGTGATTACCGTGTACTGCACGCCGCCGTCTACGGAGCTGGGATTAACTAGAGAACCCACACACACACTCTCTCTCTCTCTCTGTCTCTGTCTCTGTCTCTCTTTTTTTTATGCTATCACAAACCAGGCGGCCCTTTATTTGTTCACAAATGACACACAGGACCATACTGTCGGGTCTCGCTTGGGTGGTGGGCCGCACGTGGCATTATTGTGTGCTTCCACTTGAGCGATCACGTCGTAGTGAATGATCCTGGAGCCCTTGCATCGCTACCATTCATTGCTTTTACTTTATGCAGGTACAGCGTCATCACGAGTATCAACAACCCATCCGTCATAAAATATATGCATAGTATGCTGTATAGTATGTTGTATAGTATATTCGGCACTGTACATTTGTACATAGTAATGACAGGACTAACGGGGACGGCATGGACAGCCTGGAGCCTGGGCTGAGAGATAAGGAGAAAATAGGAAGAGGAAGAGAGGCCTTTTCCCTTTCCATGGTCCATAGTACATAGTAGTACGTACAGTACATTCAAACCTAGTGGCAGCAATAATTGTTACTGACAGCCGGTATCGCCTAGCGTGTATTGGCCCCCGAACAGCCCCCCCCCCCCCCCAAAGCCCCATGTCTGGCTTATGCTGTGGGACCCACTGTGCCACTCCGGCTGATAAGAAAGGGCATTTCAAGGCTCGCAGGGCTGACGCAGCGCTGATCCGAGGCCCTGCATGAGGGAACAAAGAAGCGCGCCAGAGAATTGTCTCACTCACACAACCCGATACTTTCCTTCCAGAAGCCGCACTCGGAGCCTCGTCCGCCCTCTACCGCCGGCCGCCTTTCTCCTTTTTTCTTCTCTCTTATTTTTTCTTTGTCTTTTCGGGGCCCCGCTGGAGAAAGAGAAGAACGCGGGCTGGACTTTCCTTCCACGATCAATTTCCAGAACGTTTTCTATTAACGGGCTTCTTATCTCGAGTGGGCCCAGCCCATTTCTTGTGAGTTCCACTTTGGCCGTCTTGGCAGAGGAAGAAGGGCGAGGCTTAATGCCCAGCAGACCTGTCAAGATAGATAACATGATGTTGGTAAGCGCAATCTATGGGCTTAGAAAAAGATATTGTCTGTGCCAAGGCTTCTCCTCTCGGACTTGCTCGAGTAGTAATTGAAGGCCGGATTTTGTATCTTGGCTGCTCATTCATTCATATCCATGTAGATCCCCCCCCCCCGTGTCCTCATCTTCCCTTCCTCGGTCTCTGAGTGTTCCTGTCAACTCTTTGATCTTTTTCTTTCTCTTTTTCCTTTTTTTTTTTTTCTGGTCCTTGCACCATCTAATAATTTTGGGACGGCTTTCCCACCACTCTACGTCCAACCTCGAACAAACAATAGCCAACGAGGCTCCCGTGACAGGATTCATACTTGACGGTCTTCCTTGAAGGGGGAGTGGCACAGGTTCGCAATGTCGGCCGGTCCTCTTGAAACGTACAATGGTACGAGTGGCGTCGCCAGCAATGGCGGCGACTCGCTGACTGAGGATCTCAATGTTTACTATTCGGTATGTGATGAAATGAATATACGCCACACCCTATTCATGATATACTTTCTTGTGTTTGTTTTGTTTGCGTACGAGGGTGTGAATGATCATTGCAACGTATAATAATGAATTCTTACTGACTCGCTATGTCCAATACTATAGTCTGGCGACTTCGCCTGGATCCTGACCTCGTCGGCCCTCGTTCTCCTCATGGTGCCAGGTGTGGGCTTCTTCTACAGTGGACTTGCTCGTCGCAAGTCGGCCCTCTCGCTCATCTGGCTGTCCATGATGAGTATTGCCGTCGTCGGGTTTCAGTGGTTCTTTTGGGGTTATTCCTTGACTTTCAGCCACACGGGCAGCGCCTATATCGGTGATCTGTCCAACTTTGGTCTGATGAAGGTGCTGGCTGAGCCCAGCGTGGGAAGCTCCAAGATCCCGGATCTGCTGTTCTGCCTGTACCAGGGCATGTTTGCTGCCATCACGTACGTGTTTTTTTCCTTCCAGTCTTCCAGAAAAGGAGGTTTAGATAAATCTCTACGCACAATCATGCTGACCTGTGTTTTCCATAATAATAGTCCTGCTCTGGCCATCGGCGCAGCTGCCGACCGCGGCCGCATGCTCCCAGCTGTCGTCTTCGTCTTCATCTGGTCGACCATCGTGTACGACCCCATCGCCTACTGGACCTGGAACGCCAACGGCTGGTCCTTCAAGCTCGGCGGCCTCGACTTTGCCGGTGGCACGCCCGTCCACATCTCTTCTGGCGCCGCCGCCCTCGCCATGTCGCTGATGCTGGGCAAGCGCGCCGGCTACGACAAGGTCCACGGCCTCCCGTACCGCCCGCACAACGTCACCCACGTCGTCCTCGGCACTGTCTTCCTCTGGGTGGGCTGGTTCGGCTTCAACGGCGGCAGTGCTCTCGCCGCTAACCTGCGCGCTGTCATGGCCTGCATTGTGACGCACATTGCCGCCTGTGTCGGTGGTTTCACCTGGTGCCTGATGGATTACCGTCTGGAGAGGAAGTGGAGTGCTGTCGGTTTCTGCAGCGGTGCCATTGCTGTGAGTATTCTTTTAATTATTTTGAACTTTGTTCCTCTCTTCACGAAATATGGAACAACGTACTTGGCCAACAAATGAGAGATCCATCTTGGCTAATTTCTCAAAACAGGGTCTGGTTGCTATCACCCCAGCTTCAGGTTTCGTTCCTGCGTGGTCTGCTGTTGTCTTTGGCGTTGTGGGCGGCATTGTGTGCAACCTGGCCACCCAGATCAAGTTCTGGGTCGGTGTTGACGACGCCCTGGATATTTTTGCCGAGCATGCCATCGGTGGTATTGTGGGCAACCTGCTCACTGGTCTCTTTGCTGCGTAAGTATATTAATTCACCCTCTACATATGGTGTCCAGGAGGCGCCTGCTTTAAATGAAAAATTTGCTAACGACTACCGCCTTGATAGCGATTACATTGCGCACCTCGACGGCTTCTCCGAGATTTCCGGCGGCTGGCTCAACCACAACTACATCCAGCTGGCCTACCAGCTCGCCGACTGCGTGGCCGGTTTCTCGTACGCCTTTGGCATGACCTGCCTCATCCTCTTCCTCATGAACCTCGTCCCTGGCCTCCGCCTGCGCGTCGACAACGACGAGGAGGAGATGGGCCTGGACGACGGCCAGCTGGGCGAGTTTGCGTACGACTACGTCGAGCTGAGCCGGCACGTCAACGAGCTGCTCGGCGCGAGCGAGGAGAACCGTTCCAGCCAGGGCAGCCTGAGGGCCACGTCTGTGGTTGGGCCCTCCAAGGCAGATGACGCGGAAAAGGCTGTTTAAATTTTTCTTCAACAAAATAATGTGAGGCTTGTGAAGGATGATCATGACTTGTGGCGCGTATGGGCCGGGAAGGAATGAAGCGTTGCAATTGAAGGAAACAGAGAATATCAGAAGATTAGAAGAGTGCTGATAGACTTATAATATTGCTGCAATTGCGAAATCAGCCATATATTGTACTTGATTCATCAATTCATGTTCCAAAGTTCAGTCCTCTGATCTTACTATGCAACCTGTTGAAAATCCTAGTCAACTGTTGCATCTTGAATTGTGTATAGTAAAAAGTTATAAAGATGAATACCAAAAACTACCTAGATTCCGTTAATAGCTCATAGTGTTATCCATTACTTACATGATAGTAGCAGATCTTGGAAAGCCTCCCCTGTCAACTGCACATAATATTATCCTCGGAACGGAATATTTTCCCCGCGCAACCCCTCAGCTCAAGGCCTGCACCCGGCCTGGGACATCCAGGATGTCGTGCTGAGGTATGCATAGCATTACAGGTCAAGGTTGTGTGTTAATTCTATGGTTGACTGCTACTCACATAGCCACAAGCCTCAATATATGCAGCACATATGCTTGTTTTCGGAGGAGGGGGCCGGAAGGGGGGGGGAGGGGTTGGAGGGGCAGTGCAAGTTTGGTCCACCCTATCAGCTCATGTTGTGGCCCTGGAGACCTTAGCACTCCAGACGAGCTTAAGTTGGATGCATAAACACAGAGATGAGCTCTCGTTCATCTCAACTCTCTGCCCGAGCTCGTCCAGGCGAGCAAAACAACAGACACACACAAACACACGCACCACTTTTGACAGATGCTTTGTAAACAGGGTCTTGGCAAACCACCCTTAATTCCCGAGCAGCCCTGGTCGGTATGCTCCCCCTTCAGTGGAGGGAAGGGGAATCATCCACCCGCGTTTTGGCCCCTGACCAGGTGAGGTGGATACATCTGTCTTCTTTAGGAACCGACGCCAAAGTGCATAGTATCCAAACAACGTTTCAAAACGTCCGTGTGGGCTCCTCTATTCTCAACTGCTCTGTCTGTGCACACAAACGAAGCCTGGGACAGAACCAAAATAGAATTGCCTGTAGATGTGCTCCATGTCTCCTTTTTTTGTTTTCTCTCCCCCCCCCCGTCAAACCGAGGTCGAATCCATCCTGTCATTCGAGCTTTTTCCACATAGTGATCCATCATCTCCCAACCCAAGCTGTAATATTCAACCCCCGTACGGACAGGCTTTGAACCACGTCATCACATGTCAAATAAATCTCTTGGGTCCTCCACATCACACTTGAGTGATCTACGTTCTAGACCTTTTGTTTCCTTGTTAGGATACATGGATGAATACCTACGGCCCAAACCATTGCTATGAAAACACTTGATTAGGTAATTAATCACTCCATAATGAAAACAAAAGAAGAAGGGAAAAAGGAAAAGAAAAAAAAAGGGCAAGTTGACCTCGGAAATAACGGCCAACTTCCTCCTTCGGGTGCAGGCGGGCAGCACTCTGCCCATTTACATAACAATTCCACTTCCCGATCCGCACACCCTGTTCTGAAACCCCATTCACATTAATGATCTCGTCCCAACTGGACTAGCTGTAATGGCAGAAGAGAGGGAGAGAGGGGGAGAGAGAGAGAGGCAGAAGGCACTGGCATCCCAAAAACCCTCCTTGACGTGCTCATTTGAGAATCCCTACCTCTGGCTCCTCACAAACTTCCAAAAGAGAATCCTCGAACCCTTGTCTGATCCTAGAACAGGAGGGCAGCACAGCCTGGTAGTCGACACCCCAGGATCAAAGAGCGAGAGCCAGTCTCCTCAAGCCAGGCACGCGCCGGGAGTAGTTGAATGGCCTGACGCAGCTTGCCAACCAACTATCCATTGGAGGCAAGAGCACGTCGTCAGCTACCTGCAATCCCACGATTTCAGGAGCATCTGTTGGGGCCGTTTCAATGCGGATGCGGCGGGAATGGATCGGCTGCAGGGGAGGGGTGTGGAGCCAGGTCCGAACCAGCGGCGTATCGCCGCAAAGAACATCAGGGATCATAGGCAGGGGACTGGCGATGCCACTCAACTCGCCTGCAGCTCTGGAGACACAAGAGAGAGAGCCGCCTCCTGACTTCCCCACATCAGCTCATTTACAACATCAAGCAGGATGACGGACAGCGTTTCGAAACATGTTCACCACCACTACCTTCCCTTCCACTATAGGAAACATCCCGACGACCGCGTTACTGGGGGGTCAGTGGAGTCATGTGCCGTGGAGACCTCAGGAGACCTTCCCCAGGGTGAATGATGATTGGTCTCCCCCCCCCCCCCAGCAAGGTTCAGCCGAGCCGTCGAGATGGTTGAATATAAGGGCCAAGAGCATCCCGTTCTGAGGGCCTCACAGGAAGGAGAGGTCTTCTGTAGCATCGTCAGTATCGCCTGCCTCGTTCATTCTTTCTTTCATCTTCGTGGTTTCACGCGCCCAGCGGGTCTTTCATTCTTTCACAGGTGCTTTGGTCACCGCATTCGTTCTCTTCCAGCCTCACCCACAGTCTTCGCCCTCATCCACCCTCGATTGGGAAAAAGAAACAGACAACAGACCTCTCTCTCTCACTTTCTTCCTCACTCGAAGCCATTCTCTGAAAACAAAACCGTTGAAACAAGACGCACCCGCTATCATGTTGTTCCACAATGTCGGGGCCGTTGCTGCCCTCTTGCTCTTCTCCCGCGGCGCTCTCGGAGCCGCCATCAGCACCAACGCCACGGCCACTGACGATTCTTGCGAGCCTGATGAGACCCTCTCCCTAACTGTCCAGCCTTCTGGCTCTGCGGGTCTCCAGAGCCTGACCGGCATCGTCTCTGCCTTCTCGACCTCTGGAGCCGCGTCCCCATCCGGCGTTCCTGCTGCCTCAACTGGCGACACTGTGAACGCTGCCGGTGCCGCCTCCGAGTCGGTCGTCACCGAGACCATCTACACCACAAACATTAACACCGTCACGAGCTGTGCGGCCTCCATCACGGACTGCCCAGCCCGCAGCTCGACACTGTCCACCGAGATCGTGGCCGTTTCCACCACGGTAAGGACAGTCTCTGTTGCTTCCCAAAGCTCTGGCCTCCCCGCTGTGTCTGGGGCCGCCGCTGTGTCTGGAGCTGCCGCTGTGTCTGGAGCCCCCCAAAGCTCCGGCCTCCCCGCTGTGTCTGGAGCTGCCGCCATCTCTGGTGCTCCTCGTGGCTCAGGCCTGCCTCCCGTGTCCGGTGCCGCCGCGGTCTCGGGCGCGCCCCAAGGCTCGGGGGTGCCCTTTGTGTCTGCAGCCGGCGCTGTCGCCTCTGGAGCTCCTCGCGGCTCTGGCATCTCACGGTCTGGAGCCGGTGCTGTCACTGCTGCCCCCAGTGGACCAGCCCCGAGCGGCATCCCGAGCGGGAGGCCCAGTGGTGTTGTGAGCGGTGTTGCCAGTGGCTCGAGCCCGGCTGCTGTCGTAGGCGCCCTGAACAGCACCTCGGCCGCGGTCGAGATTGTGACCGAGACCTTGTACACCACCAGCCTCCACACCGTGCTCTCGTGTGCTGCCACAGTGACCAACTGCCCGCTTCGCAACCAGTCCGTCTCGACCGAGTTTATCCCGACCTCCACGGCGGTCGTGACCCGCACCCTGACTCCTGGCGTCGCGGCCGTCAGTGGTAACGCCACCGCCGTCGCCATCTCTTCTGCGGCTGCTATCACCGGCTCCCCCAGCAGCTCCTCTGTTGCCGCCGTCGAGGTGGTCACTGAGACCATCTACAGCACCAGCCTGGCCACCGTGCTCTCCTGCGCGCCGACTGTCACCAATTGCCCCGCCCGCAACGCGTCGGTCGTGTCCACCAAGATCATCCCCGTGTCTACCACTGTGAGGACCATCACCTCGGGCGTTGCTGCTGTCACTGGCGCCGCCAGCGTCGCCGCCAGCACCAGCGAGTCCGGCCCGCAGACCACCCTGACCATCCAGGTCACCCAGGCCTACACCGTCGTCTCCTGTGCCGCCAGCATCACCAACTGCCCAGCTGCCACGGCCACATCTGCCATCTCTGCCCTCCAGTCCTCCCTGGGCTCCTCTGCCGTCCAGACGGTCATTGTCACCGACACCATCGCCGAGACCACCACCATCTGCCCCGTCACCGCTGCCCAGGGTGTCTCCTCCTCGGTGGCCGCCAGCCTGAGCTCTGCGGTCGTGACCACCATCGTCTCCGGCTCTGTGTCCTACTACCTCCCCACAGCAACCTCGTCGGCGGCAGCCGTCCAGGTCACCAGCGTCGTGACCAAGGTCCAGCCTACCCAGTCCGTGGTGACCATCACCGTCGGCGGCCAGGAGACAACCTCCGTGAGCTCCTACGACGTCACCAGCATCATCACCACCGCTGTCGCAGCTCAGTCCACATCGGCTGCCGAGGCCGTCACCACCGAGGTTATCGTCAGCAGCTCTGTCGTCCAGGTGCCCCACATTGTCACCATCACGGTCTCAGGTGTTGCCACGACCTCGTCGACGCTCGTCCCATCCACGACCGTCATCACCAAGACCGCAGTCGCCAATGCTGCCTCCGCAACCACCGAGTCCGTGGCCACCTACCTCTCTGTCGGCCAGACCCAGAGCGTCGTGACCGTCACCGTCTCTGGGGTCGAGTCGACCTCCACCTCGATCGGCCAGGTCACCAAGACGGTGACTATCCCCTCTGAGGAGACCTCTTCTTCCTCTCCTGTGGGAGCCAGCGCCCCTCCTTACTCCAACGGCACCGTCGTGTACAAGACCGTGACTTCGCAGCTGCCTGTGGAGACTGTCGTCACCGTCACCCTGGGCTCTCAAGGTGAGCCTCTTTCTGTTGCTTTTCTCTTTTCTTGTCTCTGTTCCAAGTGCTAACCTTTGACTGAATGTGATTAGTTCTGACAAGCACCGTCTCCACCTCGGCTGCCATCCAGACGGCGTCCACGACCGCCAAGCCTATCGTGTCGACAGTCTATGTCACCGTCGGATCAGGCTCTACGGCGCAGGTCCTCACGAACACCGTGACGGCGTCTGAGGTCCTCGCGCAGGAGACTGTGACCCTGACGTTGACGGGCTCGGGCGGCGTCGCATCCACCATGACCCTGACCGTCTCGTCCAAGACTACCCAGACTGCCGAGGCCGTCGCCACAGCCAAGCCTACCGGACAGGGGTACACGGGTAACCAGTGCAATGCGTCAACCGTGACCCTCATCTCCGTCTCGACCGTCTGCGGATCATCCTGCCCAGCTTCGGCCACGGGACTGTAAAAGGCCGATGCCACGAGCACCCCATTTCTTCGAAGGAGATGAGACGAAGCCGACACTGAGCTTCAAGGGGTGTTTTATATAGCCTGAGAAGCCCTGGTTGGCTTCTTGGGGCTCTGGATCGCCATGTACGCATCGAATTCTGTTTTTCCTCCCAAGGTCAGCAGCGGATGAGCCGACCTCATGAGGGTTTGGGGAACCGGGACTGTTTTGGTTTTACCTCTTTGTCTTTTTCTGGTTGGCTTTTTTTTTTCCAACCTTTCTTGCATGTACATACTTTTCACATGCACGGGTACTCGCTCAGATGCCCTGCTCAGTCTCGCTGCAATGAAAGTTATGAGCGTTCAGACAAGCTGTCTCTTTAACTTGGTGACATGAATTAGGGTCTCTGCCTTGATGTGTGCGTGACGGCCAGCCTAGGCTCGACGTGTGGGGAGGTGCTCTCTGAACATCTGGTCAACTTGATCACACACATTCAGCTTGAGGTCGTTCTCATTGAATATGTCCTCCTTTAAGCTGTAAGGCGCAACATATCTTGACGAAGCTCTGTTGGCGTTGAAGGTGAGCAGACACCGTCACCTCACTCGCTTCTCTGCCACCTGCTGAAAAGACCAGAAGTTCTCATCTTACAGATGATGATGATGATGATGATGATGATGTTCGAAGGTTCTCAGCATGTATTGATTATGTATGAGGCGTTGGGCTGACTGCGTAGAACTCGGTTAAAGTAGGGAGGGAGGGTGTGAGTGAGTCTAAGGGTAGCAGAGCCAGCTTTGATAAGAGGAGAAAGTGCGGTGCGGCTTCCCACACCACATGCCGTGATCGATGAACAGATAACATGCTGTGGTTCGTACCTTCCAGTAGTGACTTATCTTTATCGATAAGACTTACACAGATCGTCGTGGAAACGATAACAGGGGAGTAGTACGTCACCTTTCCCAAAATGGCAAGGAAATCAACAAGCACCAACCACCCACTGACCAGGATCAGTAACCAGTCAATCGGCAGGTGGCAGGGGAGGGGGGCCAAAGTTCCAGCCACCAATGCAGGCACGACAGACAGCCTTGCTGCATTCCTGCCCAAAGAGAGATAGCAAGGGGAAGAAAAGAAGAAGAAGAAAAACAACCAGAGAAAGAGAGTTGAACAAACATACACGTCGAGCGAGGGTGACGACATCATATGCATTCCTCTCGACGACAGCGATATCGTGAGATACTAGACGACATCTCAGAAACCCTTATAGGATACTCCTTCGAACCAAGACTCATGCCCGCCGCCGCCCACGCCCTCGTCGACCCGCGGGCCGTCCGCTCTTCAGCCTCGACGCCGTCGTTACGGGCTCGCGATGGCACGCTTCCCAGGTTGGACAATGGAGGAAATGTGCGTGTCGTGGTGCGCGTCAGGGCCTTCCTGCCTCGAGGTATGTGTCTGTGTGCGTGTGTTATTACTGTCCCTCTCTAGGCCTCTCCCTCCCTCCTCTCTCTCCTCGGCTCTCTGTGAATACGTCGGCCCCTTTCGCTAACTCGTGTCTTCTCATCTTCATCACAGAGATCGAACGAGGCGCAGAATGCCTCGTGGACATGGACCCCATCAGCCAGGTCACAACCCTCCTCCCTCCCAACGACAGCGACCCCGCCAACAACAGGTTGATCAAGGCGCGAAAGGTCATCGAGGAGAGGAACTTTGCCTTTGACAACTCCTTCTGGAGCCACAACCCCAGCGACCCCCACTACGCCCACCAGGAGGATGTCTATAACAGCCTTGGCGAGGAGTTCCTCGACCACAACTTCGAGGGTTACCACACCTGCATCTTCGCCTATGGACAGACGGGCTCAGGCAAGAGTTACACCATGATGGGCACCCCAGACCGCCCAGGCCTCATCCCACGCACGTGCCAGGACCTCTTCGAGCGCATCGAGGCCGCCCAGAATGAAACGCCCAACATCTCGTACGGTGTGCGAGTCTCCTACTTTGAAGTTTACAACGAACACGTCCGCGACCTGCTGGTCCCCGTTATTCCCAACCAGGCTCCCTATTACCTCAAGATACGCGAGTCCCCCACCGAGGGCCCCTACGTCAAGGACCTGACCGAGGTCCCCGTCCGCACCATCGACGAGATCCTGCGCTACATGAAGATGGGCGACAGCTCGCGCACCACCGCCTCGACCAAGATGAACGACACGTCGAGCCGGAGCCATGCCGTCTTCACCCTCATGCTGAAGCAGATCCACCACGACATGGAGACGGACGAGACCACCGAGCGGAGCAGCCGCATACGCCTTGTCGATCTGGCCGGCAGCGAGCGTGCCAAAGCCACCGAGGCCACGGGCCAGCGCCTGCGCGAGGGTAGCAACATCAACAAGTCCCTCACCACCCTGGGCCGCGTCATCGCCGCGCTGGCAGACCCCAAGGCCAATCACCGATCTGGCAAGGGCGGCGCGCGGGGTCCCAAGGACGCGGTCGTTCCTTACCGTGACTCCATTCTCACCTGGCTCCTCAAGGACTCCCTGGGCGGCAACTCCAAGACCGCCATGATCGCCTGCATCGCCCCCTCCGACTACGAAGAGACCCTCTCCACTCTGCGCTACGCAGACCAGGCCAAGAGGATCCGCACGCGCGCCGTCGTCAACCAGGACCACATCTCCAGCGCCGAGCGGGACGCCCAAATTGCCGCCATGGCCGAGGAGATCCGCGTGCTGCAGGTCTCGGTGAGCGAGAGCCAGTCAAGGGAGAAGAATGCCAAGGAGCAGGGTGAGAAACTCGAGGAATACCAGAACCGCGTCGGCAGCATGCAGCGCATGATGGAGGAGAGAGGACAGGTGTACGAGGCCAAGATCAGGTCGCTGCAGACCGAGAACGAGGCCCTGCGGCTACACCTGAAGTTGGCCCTCGAGAGCCTCAAGAACCCCATCTCTGTAGTCCCGAGCGCGAGCCGACCTGGCACGGCGGACGGCCTCCCAATGGAGGACGGCGAAGAGAAGAAGAAGCACGAGGCAGATCAGGACGCAGGAGTCGAAGAACAGGACGAGACCTATTACGAGGACAGCGACGAGGACGAGGCCTACAATTCGGATGACTATGAGGACCGCCACGACGAGATGCAGGATCACATGCACGCCCTACTCAAGGACCTTGGGATGTTCAGGAGGAAGATCGGGGACGACAAGGGCCGCTGGTTTCATGGCCAGGAAGAAGAGGAGGGAGGTGCAAGACGCCCGCTGGGGGCTCGGCATGGTCTCTAAATTCCCGACGTCTTGTGTTCGTTGCGACACGATATGCTTCACACGATAAGACGAGACTTTTTTTTCTTTTCTTTTCTTCCTTGTGTCAGCTTGCTTGATTGAATGATGGATGTAAGGTGTTTTGGGCGCATTCCACAAGAGAGAGAATACCAGGTACTGGGAATAGCCACCTGCAGCGGCACTGTTACTATTGGGTAAAAGGGAAAAGGTGCATACGACAGATATGATTGGGACGACAGTATTCGGTATTGGCAGGATGTCCAAATACGGAATCTCATTTTTGTTTTATGGTTTTCTCCCCGGACCCGTCGGTGTTAATTCAAGGGGAGAAACGCTAACGAACAGTATATCAAGCACGCGAAATCGCTAAGTACCAAAACGACAAAACAACAAGATGCGTGCGCCTGCAGAGACTATACCATTCGCTGGTCATCCATCCAAGTCAGTCGAAAATAACAGAACAGAAAGACAAACACGCTTTTTTCTTTGTTTCGCTGCCCACCCACCCATCCGAGAACAAAGAAAACAACAAAAATAGAGACATGCTTGCAGAGACAATACCATACACGCTACCCACCCTCCCATCCCAAAAACAAAAATGAACGCTGCCCACCCTCCCCTCCTTGTACGCTATTCCTCCCATCAATCTGGGGGATTCCATCCGACAAAGTACCCGTCCTCGTCTCCCGGCTCGACCCTCTTCGCCTGCCGCGATGGGTACGAATCGCTGTCCCGGAAGAGCAATAACCTCGGGCGCCCGCACTCCCCAGCGACAACATCAGCCTGTTCCCCATCCATCTGGTAGCGGCGAAGAAGCACCTCTGCCAGCCGGTAGCCCGCACACGGCTCGGGCTCTACACCATTCTCCTGGATCGCCTGCACGGTCTGCTCGAGCTGGGCCATGGTGTGCCCCTGCATCGCATGGTCGTACCGGCAAAGGGGCGGGCTGGCCTCGTCGACGGTGGGTGATAATGACGAGGGGGAGAGCTCCAGCACGAGCAGGCCCGCATCGCTACCATCAGGGGAAGCGCGGAGGGTGCTGAAGCGGTCTGGTCCGCGTGGGCAGGTCTCGTCGGACCAGCATGTGGGGGGATACGGGTTCTCGCTCCTGAGTAGCTATATCGAGATTGTATCTGTGGTCAGCAACATGTTGGGATGGGAGATAGTGGAAGAAGATATTGTAGTCTGGGGAGAAGGAGGTGGGGGGCGGCGTCTGTTCTTACTTTCGGGCGGAGATAGCTTAAGATTATGGTCTTGATCCTGTGGAAGGACCAGTTCTTGGTGCAAGTAGTGCACGAAGTACGCCTCGACGATAGGAGTTCCAGCTCTTTCTGGGACTCGGATCGAGGTGTACACCTCCTGATGGCTGCTGCTGCTGTTGAGCTGCAAAGGTGAGAGAAAAGAAAAGCCATGACAAAATTGAGTTTGTTTAGATGGCGATGAGATCCTCGGAAGGAGAGGAGGAGTATGATGAGAAGAGCAATCCGAATCTCGAAACAAGGGACACGACCTGCCTTTATATATGCATTGCTTCTTGTGAGTCTTCTATGTCTTTTGTATAGGTCGTCAACCATAGAACGCGCGGATGAATTTGTATACGGCCTAGATATCGACGAACAATCCTAGTGTCTGTGTACGATGCTACTAGGTCAGAGTCATAGGAGTATATGAGCCATAGACGTATGATTCTAGCTCATGACCACAGCCGTCTAGTAGCGCCTTGTGGGGAAAGGGTCTCGAACAGAGAGGTAAGAGTTAGCTCGAGTACCAAAAGAGTACGATACCGCCCTAGGGTGCTTCTCTCTCTCAGGTGATGACGAAGTGTATGGCCGTCCAACCCATCCTAGGCTTTGAACGCTTTGAAGCGGCTGACCAGATGATGTTGATAATGACGATGATCGGCAAATGCACGAGGACTGGCCTAGACCACTATTCGGTTCGAGGCCTTTTGTTCTCACTCTCGCCGTCATCATGCCCATTGGCCTCTTCCCGCGGCCGAACTCTTCCTGCACCCTCACCCAGACCCTCCTCGCCTTGAGCCTGGACCGCCCCTCCGTCTCCCTCCTCTCCGTCCTCCTTTTCCTCATCCCCATCAGCCCCGCCAATCCAGCTGCCGTTCTCGTCAAAGTACTCGCCCACATTATCGGCAGTGATCCAGCCTGTGCTGCCAGGCATGGGCGGGGGCAGATCACCAGTGGCGGTGCCCCTGAACACGCCAGGCAGTCCCTCAACGGCCTCAGCAGAGCCATCAATGGCCGACTCGAAGATGATACGGTCCGAGTAGTCCTCTTCGCCATCATCCTCATCATCCTCGTCGGCCGGGTCTGGGTGAAGGTTCTGACAAGCTGTTATAGCGTCGAACAGCTTCTCCTGCTCAGACTGAACAGCGGCGCCGGCTCCCCCAATGGGCGCGGAAAGGTCTGTGGACGAGGTGGGAGGTACCAAGGTGAGCTGCACGGTGTCGAAGGTCTCATCGTCAGCACCGCCATCAGACAGGTCGAGCTGCAGCAAGACGCAGGGGGCCTTGTCGGCGTCGGCGTCAGCATCAACAGGGCCAGCTGAGGAGGGATCGGCCTTGTGCTGCATGGCATGCAGTGCTATAGACGGGTACGGGATCTGTATGCCCATGGCTGTCTTGGTGTTGAAGATTGTGAGGTTCCTTGAGGGTTCTCATGTCAGCCCGCCGCGCGTATCAGGCAGAGGGAGGAGGACCTGCACATGTCTTACTTACTCAGAGGTGATGAATAGCTCAATACTGTCCTGTGAGACCATCTCGCCCGAGTCTCCATCAGAGGTGGGTGCGTCAGCTGGGAAGACAGGCAGCCTGGACTGCTGGTCCCTAGGCAGCCAGGCCCTGGCACCGGTCGCGTGGTAGTGTAGCACGGGCTTGCCATCGTGGAAGCTCGCTGGCGTGGTGGACTGGTATTCGCCCAGAGGAATGAACTCGTCCACAGACGGTGCTGCGTGTATCGTGGTCGGCAGCATCGTGACAGAAGTTCACTCGTGAGATCTTGATATGTCTTTGCCTGTGCCTGTGCCTGTGCCTGCGCCTGTGTCGGTAACTTGCTCACAAGGTCAATCAACGTGTATTTTTGTCCGAATGTTGTCAGACCTCTTGCAAGTGTTGTTGTTTTGCTGCTGTAAATGTCAAAAGTTTTAGCGGGTCCGGTGCATTCTAGCGCGCCTTCTCAGGCTGCAGTGGCTTCAGTAGCTGCTGCAGGTGTCTTGTACAGTACGTACAGTGTACTGCTCAGTAGTGAAATTAGCGTCCGCCATCGAACCCTGCTTGCAACCTGTACCCACTGCTACATTCCTTGTACTGCCATGTACTTGTATATTTAAAGATAAAATAAAAGCAGAGATACTTCCAGGCCTACTACTACACAGCATATGAGGATCCTTCAATTTATTAACTGCCCTGAACATAGTCTTCGTAACTGTTGTGCTTTTAGAACAATCACATATAGAATATATAAAACTCCCTTCCTCTTCCCAACCTTACGCAATCATCCAATGAGATGATTCAATATCCTAGAGCGTTTCTCCCAGCTTTGCTTATGTAATGCGCGTCGGAGCGTGTTCTTGAGTACGTACTCTAATTAGTACCTGAGAGAGGCTCTCACCTTCCCTGCTTTAACCTTGGCCCCTCAACATACTTCATAAGGCAACTATCTCATCGTTATCTCGTCTTTCTTTCATCTTCTTCTCATCTTCAACCACAGCGAGGCTATATTGACTCATCCTACTTTCTCCTCACAACAATTCCACTTAATGCCACTAGGTTTCCTCTCCTGCAGACACGTCTGATCCAGAGAGCGTCATAAATCATCAAAATGCATGACAACCGTACGTCGTCGGCATTACATGCCCTTCTCCTTTCTTCCCCTCCTCCTGCCGCCCTCTGCTTCCTTTTACCCCTTTTCAATTAACTCTCCTGGCTCATTCTCTTCCATTGCTTTTCAAATGCTGACTTTTCCCGCCAGGCGCACACCCTCTCCTGGCCCAGGTGCCTCTCACCGTCTCCCCCTTCATCAGTCTGCCCACATCCACAACCCTCCCCTACACCTACAGGCCCATGCCCTCCACCATCCCTCCTTCTGCCACAGGAATAACTTCCACCTCGTCTGCTTCTGCCTCGGGCCCAGACGGCACCGGCATCACCACTGAGGGCGGCGGTAGCGGGAGGCCCCGCTATGTTGTCAGCCAGTCGGGTCACGCCGCCCACCCGGACGACATCATCGCCTCGTGCCGCGCCCTTCAGGCCCACGTATCGAAGCTGCAGGCCGATGCCGAGCAGGAGCTGCGCGACCTCGACGAGCGCATCCGGTCCCGCGAGCTAGCCGAGAAGAGGCGCGTCGCCCCGGGCTGGCTAGACAGCGACGCAAGGCTCCTAGAGCCCGAGAGGGCCGGTGGGGATGGGAATGGGGCAGGCATGGACCTGATGACCGGTGATGGCGATGTTGCTGCTGCGGCCGGCGAGGGCGAGCAGCTGCAAGGCTTACATTTCGGCGGGGGTGGTGGGCAGCATGGCATCATGATGGGGCAGGTCAGCGAGATGGCCGCGCATGAAGACGAAGGCGCACAACTGGATCGAGCCTTTGGCGATCTGGCACTCAGGCCTAAATAAGGTAGTATTTTACCAGGGTAACCTAATCTGTTCAACTTGGCTACACACACATGCACCACAAGAACCCTACTATACGTTCAAAGAGCTCACTGCTGGATGATATCGCCCCATATAGTATCCGCGCCGCAGCATATTGAACAGAGCCACCCTCGCCGCGTGCTGCTGGAACGCCCGCAGGTGGGGAGGAAACCCATGGTTGTGCCGCCGCCCCTCCATAACTCGGAAACAGACCCTGTTGATGTGGTCTGTGATGGTAATGAAGTCATTGTCGTACTCCACGCTGTGCGCTTCAATAAAGGCTTGCAGACCGCCGACTTGTCCGATTTTTCTGTAGAGGTTATCGATCCTGGTCCTGATGAGGTCGAATTCGCAGTTCATCTCGTGGGTGTGTCATTTGAGCGTGTCGTTGTCTAAATAAATTGTTAGAAGAGATATGTTGCGGTGGCAAAGAGGAAAGAGGATAGAGGGCCGGCTCACCGAGAATTTTCCCAACAGGGACAATCCACGTCAAGACACCCAAAACGAACAGCACAACTCATGCTTGAATTGATGTTGTGGTCGTGGGGATTCATGCTGTCGCTTCGAAAATGGAATACAACAATTCGAAACCAAGATCGCTGGGGTTTTTTCACACTTGCTTTTCATCAAAAAATCTGTGGGCACTGAGGACGTGTTCCAACGCAGCAACAATTCCAGTCTACTTTGTATCCCCTTGAGGTTTTCCATCCGAGCGTACGCTGCTCAGCTAAACGCCATTTGGGTGCAGGTCGAAGATGACTTGAGAGCTAAGGAAGACTCTAGGCTATGCCGGTCTCATGATGATGCTCTGATAGTATGCAAATTCTCTATGGCCAGGCCAATCTGGGAGGCTTGTATGGCTCGTTCACGCAGAGTTGGAATAATCAAATCGTACCTAGCGGCCATACTGACGCAACATATTCTCTGATGAACTCATAATTCTTGAAGGGGCCATTGACTCTATGCCTAGGACATATAGTCTCCCTTTATGAGTCAATATTTGCTAAATATCTAAACATTACTACTGAGCCAGACGCAACTTCATCACTGAAGCCAAACAATTAGCTAGAGTCGAATATTCAACATCAAGACAGGCTAGAGAGAAGTAGTATACTACTTACCAACATGGCCCTCAGTCCTTATAGTGTGCCACTCTAGATCAGATAAGTCTCTTTCCATGACACTTTCACCTGCTTGAACAGTGATTCGATGTATGAGGTGCTACATGGCAACTAGAAGTTTTAGATTGAGAGAAAAGTGAGGTCTAAGTTGACGAAAAATAAAAGTGGGGACAAAGTGCCTGTCAGTGGCCATGCATGCCATGGTGTTACTGCACAGCAGCACCTAAGGTGACCTAGCTACAGTAGTGCCCCTAGGAGACTTAGCGCCTCAGCCTTACCTCATAAACCTCGTCTGTGATCGGATTTACTTGATTTGCAAAGTACGTACCACACAGTGCATACACAAACATATCACAAGCCTACAGGACGGCAACACCAACCATGTACCTGTAGGTGCTTTTCCTGCCTTTACTTTCTTTTTCCCTTCTTCTCCTCCTTCATCGCTCGCAGGACTGCAGCACAAAGCAGCCATCGACCAAGCCAAGGCAAGCACTAGCTCAAGGTCTAATGCGAGATCGAAATCGAAATCGACATCGAGACCGCTGCAACTCGGATCGAGACCTCTGCAACTACCGACGCAAAGAATTGCCCACAGATATACACACCTCTGAACGATAAACACAGCCGCCCAACATGCCACCCAAGCGCATGACCGCCAACCCAGTCCGGCCGGGACGTCACTTCGCCGGCAAGCCCACCAACGCCTCCGACTCCGACTCTGACAACGGCAGCGATGAGGGTAGCAACAACGAGGCAGAGGCCGGTCCCCCTCAGCCCAAGAAACGCACCATTGCGCCCCCGCCCAAGGTCTCTGGACCAGGCCGCGTCATCTCGACCGGTGCTGCGAGGCCCGTGGTCGACGACGCGGCGCGCAGGGCAGCGGCCGCCAAGAGAGTCGCTGAGGTGGAGCGAAAAGCGAGGGAGGACGGCTTCGTGACAGAGAGCGAGGGCGAAGAATATGGGTCAGGGGAGGAAGAAGAAGGAGGGAGTGGAAGTGACGACGACGAGGAGGAATCTTCTGAAGAGGAAGAGAGCAGTTCTGAAGAAGAGACACGGCGCCCCGTGATGGTCCGCCCCAAGTTCATATCCAAAGCCAAGCGAGAACAACAAGCCGCTGCACGCGGCGAGGATGAAACAGGGAAGGGAGACAACGAAGAAGAACAAGAAGAACAACGCCGGCGCGCCGACGCCGACGCCCTCGTCGAGGAGCAGATCCAAAAGGACCTTGCGGCGCGCGCGGCAGGCAAGAAGCACTGGGACGACTCCGAGTCAGAAGGCGACGAGGTTGACGACACGGACGACGTGGACCCGGCGGCCGAGTACGCGGCATGGCGGCTGCGTGAGATCAAGCGGATCGTGCGGGCGCGCGAGGCCATCGAGGCCAAAGAAAAGGAGATCGCCGAGAAGGAGCGCCGCCAGAACCTGACCGAGGAGGAGCGCCGCGCCGAGGACGACGAGGTCATCGCCAGGCAGAAGGAGGAGAAGGACGCCAGGGGCAAGATGGGGTACCTGCAAAAGTATTACCACAAGGGCGCCTTCTACCAGGACGAGAGCGAGAAGAAGGGCCTGGACAAGAGGGATCTCATGGGCGCCAGGTTCGCTGATGACGTGCGGAACCGGGAGCTGCTGCCGCAGGCGCTGCAGATGAGGGACATGACCAAGCTGGGCAAGAAGGGCGCGACCAAGTACAAGGACTTGAAAAGCGAGGATACGGGCCAGTGGGGGCGGTTTGACGATCCGAGGCGCCAGAGGAGCGAGTGGGATCGCTACGGAGATGGTGACGATAGGAGGGGTGGTGGTGGCGGCGGCGGCGGAGGTGATTATGGTGGAAAGGGTGCAAATGCCATGCCTCTGGGAGAGAGAAAGGAGCCGAGAAATCGATCGAGGGAGGACAGGGGCGGCAGCGGCAGCAGAGGCGACAACGGGAGGAGAGACAGGTCGGGATCGAGGTCACCGAGAAGACGAGACAGATCTCGATCTCGATCACCCAGGCGTCGTGACCGCCAAGACTACAGAGACAGTCGCAAGAGGAGCTACTCGCGCGACAGGGACAGGTACGAAGACGACAAGCGCCGTAGGGTGGACGCCAGGTAGAGAAGATGATGGATGAACGAACATCCTCGTGCATTGCTCATTAGAGAAGGCAGCAGAAAGATACCCAAAACCGTGGTGTTTACTTGTTTGCTGCCTCTGTCTTCCCCCACCTCTCTCTTCTTCCCCATATTCACAACGTGCTCAGCTGCCTGCCCACCTCCACCTCATTATATCCTGGTCATTTCCACCCTCGCTCGGTCGTAAATCTTATGGGCCATCATGCTCTCACCACTGTCCTCTATCTCAGACAGTGATGGCGGATACAGAGACAATCGGGCGTAGGTCCCTGCACCGCGACGTTTGGACAGATATCCTGGGTTAATGACAAGGACACTCTCGACAACCTGTGGAGCGATTCATTGTCAGCAGCCGCACTCATCCCCCCAAGAAACCAGCATGTATCAAGTTTGCAACATTACCTTTGCGAAAGGTGGCAGGGCACTCGGCACAATCAACACATCCGGTCGCCCCCCGACCATCTCGCCCAGCTTCAGATAGCTCACATCCAACATTGCTCCTTCCTGCACGCCCTCTGCCGTACCGGTCTTGGGATATCGGCCTCGGTCCATCGGTGGATACACAGGGAAATAATGCCGCTGCTCGATCAAATATCTCGACAGTCTGGCCAGCAGATCCGTTGTCGGTGCGGGCCGGCTGACGACCTCCTCGCCCTTGAGCTCCCACAGGACGTCCTGCGAGGATATGGCAAGGACCATCTCGTTGATGGAAAGGGTCATGGGGTTTCCCACGATCTTGACGGACTTGTGCAGGCCAAGTTCCTTCCTGGGGAAGGCATCCTGCGGCCATGAGACGTGCTTGTCGATGATGTCCCGGGTCGAGGGGACAAGCAGGATGGTTACGTTTGGGTTGGCAGCCACTAGGCGATTGAGCGCAGGCGAGATCATGTACTTGAACGCGGTGGCCATAGTGGCCGTGTCGGGATCGACGGTCGCCTCTTCAGGTAGATCGAAGTCACCAGAGGCGATCAGGGGGTGGTCGACATCAATGAACGGCCCAGTGAGAACAAGGGCATCTGCGTAGCTGTCGGCAGCGACAGTGCATAGCTGGTGGAGGGGCTCAAAGTCGAGGTTATCATCTGCCGTGTAGGGGCCCGCAGCGTATATGATGTTGAGCGGCATCGGCTCACTATCTGTGTCCATGGCATCTGGACCTCCGAGGAGCTTCTGCCGATGGGCAGACAGGGCTGAGGGGGAGGATGCGGCATTGGGCAGCAGGGGAATCTCGAGAACCTCTGTGACAGTAAAGTTGTGGCCTGAAGTGTTGCTGCCCCGGAGCGCGACGATCTGGCCCGGGAAGAACTGGTACTTCTTGATCTTGTCCATGTTGAGCGGTATGCGCAGGCCACCACCTGTCCGTCTCGAGGTCTCGAGGACCAAGGACGCGGCGTTGAGCCTGCCCTCGAGCGAGTCCGAGGCGATTCGTCCAACTGCTACAATCTCGGTCGTGCTCTGGGTCGCGGCGCTCCCGAAAGCATCGTCCTCCAGCTGATGATGGTCTCTGACCATTTTCAAGAAGTCGTCTATCCGGTCGTCCAGTATCTCGGACGCTTCTGACAGCTTCATGCCCAGAGGCTTGTAGGTAAGCTTCTTCTGATCTGATGCGGCGGTCAGCTTGATGCGTGGTTCCCCAAAGGGTGCGATCGGATGCTCGGCGGCTGGTAGTTGGCTGTTGAGCACTTCGATGACCTCCCCGGGGTTCTGTCGATCGTTGAATGAGGATGGTCTACAACACCACGTCAGAACCTGTTCGTCTTCTAATGATAAAACACCATAAGCAAGCTGGAGCAGGCATGGCAACACCTACGGCAGTGCACCCATCGAGTCAAGCTGCTCCTTCAAGTTGGGCGACTTGTGGTCTGGTGAGCTACCGGCGTGCTCCGACTTAACACGAGAAACAGGAGTCTCCTTTTTCTTGGTCGCGCTCTTCCTCGCCGTTGCTGGAGTACCTGGAATCAACCCATCGATCCTAAGGGTAAGGCGTCAGCACACCAGAGAAAAGCTGTCGTGAGTTACCCGTACATGACCAAGACTGACTCACATGCCAAAGACATCGCCGCCCCTGTTTGCCATTCGCGGTGTTGCACCCGTCCGCCTCTCCGACTTCGTGTGCACCTGCGTCCGGGTGGTCTTTTCCAGGGCATCCTGCAGGTCCTGTTTGAAGGCATTCATCCTCTCGAAGGAAGGCTGTGTCTCATTCATGTCCAGCTTGATGCAGTATGACTCCCACTTGAAGTACAAGTCCTCGGGCGACAGGTTATGCAGCCTCATGATGGACTGCATCTCAACGACGACATCCTGCCCGAGGCCCTTGTCTCCAGCACCAAAGCGCTCGTTGAGCTCTGCCACTGTCGAGTTCGCCATCCTCTCCTGCCTGTCCTTGTTGTCTATATCGAGAGAGGGAAATGATCCGAGATAGTGGTGGTGTTATCTGGTGGGAAGTGGTAAGCGGTGGACTGAGACACGGTTTTGTCAGTCAGAATATTGGTGGTGACCTTCCTTCCTTCTCCTGCTTGTTCCCGATTTCGAAATGAGACGCGTCTTGACGCGTTTTAGGGTTTAATGGAGGGGAGCCCGGTTAGCGGTGCTTATCGATACGCCAGGTCTCTGATCGTGGGTAGTACTGTAGGGCAAATCCCCCCCCCCCCCCCACTTCCCCCTAGCTTAGTTTCTTGGGTCCCCTGGAAATCTACAGTTGAGCGTTCCACTGGAGTACTACTGGGTACTGTGGTACATAGTCCTTGCAGCAGTATTGTACCAGAACCACAGTACCCCAGTACCTATTACCACGAGCACCACGGATCCACCCGGCGCCGACATCTCATTTTCATTATCCATCCTTCATCAACGAACTTCTTGTAAATGTGGCTTCATGATATAGCAGAAGGCGGAAGAAGACATTATCTATAACCCCCTTAGCCTCCCTTCGGTGCTCTCCTCTCTGTCTGACCAACGTTTTATCCTCATACGTACAATCCTTCTTCTCCTTTTCTCTTCTTGTTCTTCGCCTCTCTTCGAAATAATGGCAGCAGATGCCACCGCCACCAAGCCTGCGATGCTAAAGGTTCCCCTCGAGCACCCGACAGAGGCCAGCAGGCCCAAGCCCGCACCCGAGCTCACCGAGGAACAACAACACAAGTATGACTGGCTCCTCAACCAGGTGAAATCATGGCACACCCCTGACGCGGGCGTCAACATCCCCAAAAACGCACCGTCGGACCTCACCGAAGACGAGAAGTTCTGGCTCACGCGGGAGTGCCTTCTACGCTACCTGCGCGCGACCAAATGGAACCAGGCGCATTCGGAGAAGCGGCTGATTGACACGCTTCTGTGGCGGCGCGAGTTTGGGGTATACGACAAGCTGACGTCCGAGCACATCTCGCCCGAGAACGAGACGGGCAAGCAGGTCATCCTGGGCTTTGACAACGAGGGCCGGCCGTGCCAGTACCTCAACCCGGGGCGGCAGAACACGGCGGCCAGCCATAGGCAGGTGGAGCACCTGGTGTTCATGCTGGAGAGGACGATCGAGCTCATGCCGCCGGGCCAGGAGACGCTGGCGCTCCTGATCAACTTCAAGTCTGGGTCGGGACGCAGCGGCAACACGTCGCCGCCCATCAGCCAGGCCAAGGAGGTCCTACACATCCTGCAGACGCACTACCCGGAGAGGCTGGGCAAGGCGCTCATCATCAATATGCCCTTCCTGGTCGTGGGCTTCTTCAAGATCATTAAGCCGCTGCTGGACCCCGTCACCAAGGAGAAGCTCAAGTTCAACGAGGACATGAAGACCTACGTCCCCGCCGAGCAGCTGTGGACCGAGTTCAGCGACGGCGCCCTCGACTTTGAATACGACCATGCAGAGTACTGGCCTGCGCTGATCAAGATGTGTGACGAGAGGAGAGACGAGCAGAAGAAGAGGTGGGCCCAGGGCGGCAGCGTCATCGGGGAGTCAGAGGTGTACCTGAGGGGGGCTGAGGGGGCAAAAGGGGTGCAGGGCGCTATCGGGGAGGCGAGCGATCTAGTTCAGGAGAAACTGGCCATCTCGGACTCGGATGCTGAGGACAAGGCAAACACCACGGCGGAAGTCGTCGCAGCAGCTTAGAATATGCAAGGCCTTCTCTCCTGGAGGAAACGACGTACACAACGCCGGAGGGGCATGACCGACCTTTTCATGTGGATTCATTTCTTTCCTTTCTTTTTTTTAGACTTGTACATACATGGAAGATATATAATGTAATAAGAATAGAAAGAAAAGGAGATAAGAGAGTTACAACCCCCCCCCCCCTTTTTTTTTCTTTCCCTCCTTTCTTTTCCCTCTCCTGATTTCCCAAAAGGCACGAATAAGTACTTACTTAAGTAGCTATTCAAAATCATTCAGAAGAAAGAGGGAATGAGATACAGGGGGAATAGTGAGGTGCCCATACAAGTACCATGTACCATGTTCTACTGTAGACCACAGCAGCAGTGAACCCTCTTATCTCGATAAGCCACACCACCTGCACCTGCACCTGCGGGAGAGCATGTGCAGTGCTCCAAGTGTCTCGGCAAACAATCATCAAAGTGCATTTACTTTTTTTCTACACCACCACAAGAGAGCAATTGGCGACACCCTCCACACAAGAAACACACTGCACACCTCTACGCACAACATGTCGAGTATACCGCCGACGCCCAAGACAGCCGCCACAGTGCCCGTCGCAGCAGCCGTAGCCAGTGGCCTGCGGTATCCCACCAATGGCAAGACCATCTACTCGCGAACCCTGAACAGGACGAGAACGTCGGAGCTGAGCCAGTCGAGCTTCGCCTACCTATTTTCTGAGATGGTCAGCTATGCGCAAAAAAGGGTGACTGGTATTCAGGATCTGGAGAAGAGGTAAACGCCCAGCCCTCCTTCCCCTCCCCCTCCGGCCGGGGGGCCCACCATCCTCTTCTTCCCCTTGTATGAGAATGTACAGAAGGAGAGAGCTTGAGGCTGACAGACATCTTCTTGTCAAACTATATAGGTTGAACCTTCAGGGCCACCCGATAGGCCTCAAGCTCCTCGACCTCCTCCTCTACCGCGAGCCGCCCCGCAGCCAGCTGCGCCCCCGGGACATCATCACCCTGTTGCACCTGATCAAGATCCAGATGTGGACACACCTCTTCGGGCGCCAGGCCGACCGCCTCGAGAAGTCGTCCAACCCAGAGACGCCAGACGAGTACATGATCATCGACAACGAGCCCCTGGTCAACGCCTACATCAGCGTCCCGCGCGAGATGTCCCAGCTCAACTGCGCCGCGTACGTCGCGGGCATCATCGAGGGCATATGCGACGGTGCCGGTTTTCCTGCTAGAGTCACAGCCCATAGCGTTGGTGGCCAGCAAGCCGCGGCCGAGGGTACAGGGGCGGAGGCTGGGGCTGCAGTGCAGGAGATGTGGCCTGGCAAGACGGTGTTTCTGGTCAAGTTTGCCGGGGAGGTCTTGGAGAGGGAGGCGTATCTAGGGTTGAACAAGTGAACAAGTGACGGGAGCATTGTGGGGGCAGTCTTTTGCATCTGCCTGGCTTGGTTGATCTACACTATTACTTGTTTCATGCATGGCACGGCGTTAAGGGGTATAGTCTTCTTCCTGGACTTGGTGTTGGGACTGGAAAGCAGGAGAAGGCGCTTTTTGTCAGTGAGCTCGATAGAGCCGGCCATCCATAGCGACGGCACGATGTGAACCGTGGGCACATACAAGGGGAAGTGCGCATCAAAAGGGGAGAACGAAGGTCTCTCGTATTAGAATATAAAGAGACGCCATACGCCCTCTTATTACTTCAGTCAGGGTAGGAAGAGATATCGAGACCGGCATATAGATATAGGTTCCCTCCAAGACTGGCACAGGACAAGACAAAGCAGGGCGACGTAACAGAGACCACACACCACCATGATGAACGCCAGCTATGCCGACAAGAACAACAACCACAAAGAAGAAGAACAAAACAAAATCACCGAGGCAAACGACTAGGTGCCTTGCCCGCCTGCACCTGGCCCGCCCGGCCAATACCCTTCCAAACGCCCGCCTCAGGCCCCTTGCCCATCAGCTCCCCCAAGCCATGATCCCGCCACGCCGGCTCACGCCTCGCCTGCGTAGCCTTCTGGATGCCAAACGCGGCATGCTGGTCGGGTACCACGTCGTCCTCGTCCTCTGGGTTGACGGGTTGGTGCTGCGCGGGGACGTAGATGTCGTCCGCGGGCAGCTTGTCGCGGCAGAACTGCTCGAGCAGGTCGGCGTCGCGCGGACGGTGGAGGTGGATCTGGGTGTGGAGGCCGTCCTTGTTCTTTGTGTGTGTGTGAGCGATAAGGAAACCAGACGGGGCCATGCATATGAGATGATGAGGTTGAGAACGTCTGGGGGATGAGAGTCAGGGTTTATTTACCATGATGGCAGACCGTGACCAGTCAACCTCCTTGTCTGTTGATTTTATTTTATGCGGATGATATATGCAGGTTGAGATGATAGGAAGCTGCTGCTTGTCCTTTCTAGGCTGCACTTGTTTGTTGCGATGTTGTTGAACACTCTTGTAAGTTGTTGTTGTTGGCAGTGAGGGCTCGATTGTCTCTAACAAGATGATGGCCATAACCCGAACCCTTGGGCATGTCACTCCATGTACTCGCTACATATTTTAAGCATGTTGTCAACCCTCTCTCTATGGTTGCAAAGAGATATATAATTCTAGAATCAAAGAAAGTGAAAGAAAAGGAGAAGAACATCCCAAGTCGGAGTCTAAAAATGCAGAGGATTGTGTCAGGCACTATATGGACATTCCTTCTGCTGCGTAGCCTACAAATTCTGAGTATCATTGCACAGGTCTAGATAAGTGGAAAGGAAGAGACGGGTATCATCACGACACTCTCACGCGTTTTGCTTCGTCCCGATTACATTGTAGTCAGCCTGCGTGGGTCTCCTCACGTAGATCCTCGATCCCGTCCAGCCAGGTACTATCGAAACCGACTCTTCCCATTAGTTGGTAGGATCTATCAAGACCTTGCAAAAGGAACCGAACCATTCTCTCATCTCAAACGTCAGACGAAACACATTCTCCCCAGTGGTGTGAAGGTGCTACGATTCATCCCATGTCACAAACCAATCACTCGCCAAAGATTCGGCTTGCTGCTGCCGACTGTCAAGTCTCCTAGAACAAGTCATTTTGGAATCATGATAACATGCCATTTAGATAGTTCCTTTTATATAAAAAATTGATAATAAAAAAATACAGTCCCCTTGTATGACTATTGACCCTGGTCTGAGGAGAAAGAGGGATAGAGAGACAGCACCCATGGAACCATCTGCTGGGGCGTCCTGATCAAGCCAGCCATTGTAGGGCAACCCATGTGGTACGAGAAACGCCAGAGATTATGCAGCCTTGTTCCTGTATGAATTGGTGGTCGTCATGCCGGCCCCGGTGATCGGGAGCCAGTGTCTTCGTTGTGGATCAATCCGGGAAAGCAAATGCTGTCGTTGATCATCTCATGCAGCCTGCGACGTTGTCACTGCCACCGCGGGGGCATCACTATGCGTCCCATTCGCACCATCCCCGTCGATCGACTCTTCTTCTGGCACCGTCGAGATGGGCGTGGCAGCCTCGGCAGCGAGCGCCTTCTCAGCGGCAGCCTTCTCGACAGCCACCCTCGCGTTGTGAGAATCCAGCACGGCTTTCAGCTCCGGAGGCGGCTCAAAGCCGGGGTGGTCGCAGTGCCTCTTATAGAAATAGTTGTCGGGCTTGGGTGTCAGCTCTGGAGGCAGCTCGCCCAGCACGCACTCAAGCAGGCCATCGATGGACTTCTGTTTCGACGAGTCGCGGTGCCAAATGGTGATCAGGTGGGAGTTGAAGCGGACCGAGAGGCCTACGCCACAAATTTGGTCACCTGTATCCAGTCAGTCGGTCGGTCTACCAGTCACGAGCATTATAGAACGCCGTAGTATCAAGGACAAAGAAGATGAGAATCTTACCCTCGGCCAGGGCAGCCTGCAGCTGCTCTCCGATGGCCATGAGTTGCACCCTCGTCCAGAAGTCGGGCCCGTTGTTCTTGCCCACACGGAAAGTCCAGCTGCCGCCCAGGATGTTGCGCCTGTCCTCCCATATAGGCCTGAAACCCTTCTTGAACAGGTAGATGGACTCGCGCATCTTGATCTGGTCGACGGGTGTGTTGTTATTGTAGCGCCAGAAGTCCTGGACGGACTCAATCAAGATGTCGAGCTCCTCGAGCTGGGCCTGGTAGTTCTGCCCATCATCGGTCTTCTTCTGGTCCTTTTGCTGCCTGTACTCCGGAAAAGAGAGAAGAGCGTTTGAATTAGCTACCAGTTCTGCTTTTACGCCATAATGCGGACGTACACACACACACACACACACACACACACACACACACACTTATTCATAACACAAAGATGCAGCTGGATTGGGGTAGCAGACATACCGATCAAAGTAGACGTTCCACACGTGCTGGGTGGGCAGAGGCCGCATAGCCTTAAGGAAGCCAAGCTTGGAGTCGGCCCTTTGCTCGGCGGGGGAGTTCACGTTGGGCGAGTTCGGGTCCTGCGCCTGGGAAAGGCCTGAAAGACCTCGAGTGAACATGCTCAAACTGGGCCTGGTTGCCATGGTTGTGAGAGGGCCGAGGCGCGGCGAAGAGATGCAGAGAGGTGGGCGGTAGGAGTAGAAGTAGTCTGTCGTTCACTGACTGACTGGCTGACTGGCGTCCAAGAGGAACGGACAGACAGAATGCGAAGGGGGTCGCGAGAATGGGCTCTCAAGGGCTCTGATGAGATAGGACGGCCGCAGGTGTGGAACAGGCCAGAGGCTTTGTGTGCCGGTATGCTCGACCTGCCTGGCCGAGTGATGTGATGTGATGTATAACTTGGAACAATACGCGAGGAGGAGGAGCAGGGGTGCAGGCAAAACGAAGCGGCAGTCAGGTCAGCAGGAAATGGGTTGCTGAACCTGGACAGGAGAAGAGGGTCGGGCTCGCAGAACGGGTCACCTCAACGTAGAGAGGGAGAGAATAGGAGACGGAGTCGGTTCGAGGTTGATGGTCGTCGAAGCTGTTGTCCCTGCAGAGTGCATACGGCGGGCAACAAGAGGGAGGAACCGCAGGACAGGCTGACTGACAGGTCGGCTAACAAGGTCTGTATGTATGGTCGTCGACAGGGGACGGAGATCGTAAGAGGGGCAGACCTCCCAGGTGGGTTGGGTTGTGCGAGGTTGCACCGTGCTGGGCTGTTCTGATAGTGGTCAGTAAGTAAGTTTGAAGGACTTCTTTAACCAGTGAGAGACAGGAGATACCGTGCGTGTGCGTGTATGTGTGCCGTGTCCGATATCCAACGTGCAGCGGCAGCGGCAGCAGCAGCAGCCGTGATAGGCGGAGATGGTGTGGGCTTGGACGAGGGGCCAAACGAGGGGCCAACGAGGTTCGTTTGGGACACGAGCAAGTAAGAAGCCATCGGGTGGAGGGGGGGGGCGGGGTTGATTGGGCCTGAATCCTTGAAGGAGGGGCCCATAGTGGTGCTACATACTACTCTGGTACGTACTATAGCACTATGAGCTTAACTATGAAGTTAGGGGTAGCACACGGTAGGTACTTAGTAGCTGTCTCTCTCATAGAGCACCTATGATGAGTACTATGGTAGAGGCTCCTGGGCTAGCTATAGCACCATGGCCCCTGTAGCCAGTGAGACAAGATAGGACAGGGGTTTGATGGCTACTCGTTGCTTTAGGGGGAGGGCAGCACCGAGCAGTAAGTATTTTCTTCGTGGGCGGCGTATTTCCGTTTGTCTGAGATGACCGACTGACTGACTGACCAATAAGCAAGAAAACCAAAAGCAGAAGCATAAAGGAGAATATCTGCAATTGAGTTGGTTGTTCCCCAAGATGTGTTCGTGATTCAGTCATCACTGCTTCTGAAACCACAGCCCTCCGCAAGGCCTGTGGTGTGTACTGTACTGGAGGGAGTGGTCCCTAGTGCTGGGTTTACCCTCTTACCATAGTGGTCGCTAGGGTGAGTGCCCGGCCGCCGCACCGGCCCCAGGGCCTCTCTCTCCCCCGTCCCTTGACCGCCGCGGTTCAAAAATAGATAGACTACTCATTTACCATCTTGCAAGGTCCCTTGAAAGGAAGGAAATGAGCGGTAACAGAGACATATTCTCTCCGCCCCTCTACTAGTCAGTCTCTTCATCTGTCTGTCTATCTAGTACTCTGAGTCCATCCATTCTCTACAGGAAGAACAACTTCTTGTGTTTCTTTGAGAAACTTGGTCTGCGGATTCGTAAATGCAACTGTATGTACTGTGTGTACGTACCTACCAAAGCAGGGCTAGCCTAAGGAAACATGGTTGTTTTTGGTTGGTGACTGTACAGCACAATTTACTTACTGACATGGTAGAGCTGTCAAGTCAAGAGGGTAGCTAAAGGACCATAGTACACAGTCAGCTATGGTCTGTTCCAGAACAAGGTTGGCCTGTGGGCCAGTCTACAAAAGACGGATCCAAACATAGGAACCGACTAATTCCCTTTCCCTCTCCAGTATGTTCCATTGTTTCAATACACCACCCTTCTCGAACCGGGAGACCTGTTTGACCAGCCAGACCAGTCAGGCCAGGCCAGACCAAGGCCTCCAAACATGTGCTGACAGATTTCTGTGGTTTGATGATGATGGCCCTGAATAATTTATCCCCCAGAGTCACAAAAAAGAAAGAAAGGTAAAAAATAAGAATGAAAAAAAGGGTCCACACAAAGCATCGCCAGCCTCGAAGCATGGGACCGAGAGAGATGAGGGATCCTCCTCTGACCCTACCGCCAGGTCAAAGCAGCCCCATGTCAAATCAATGTCGATAATACCCCGAAGCCAGCCTCAAAATGCCCCGTGCGTGAGCTTTTTGCGCTTCTTGGCTCTGGCTCTCTTTTTCTCTCTATTGCAGCCAGGTAAGGCCAGCCCTTGCCTCGCTTCCATTGTCTCCCTCATCTTGTAGATATGACCTTTGAATCCGGCCCTCTCCTTTTCTTTATTTTATTTTTTACCTGTTCCCCTTCTCCTTCTCCACCTCCTCTCCTGCCTTCAAGTCTCTCGTCTCTTGTTTGCAGTTTCCGTTCCCAGCTCCCAGCTGTAGAAGACCTGCCCAGTTGAGTAGAGCTGCATATCCGCCGTCGCAACCACCAACCAGCCTCGTCTCTCTCTCTCGGTGTGCCCGGTTCCGGTCCGCCCATTTGACTACCAACTTCCGCCTAGTTCGGACGCCGAAATCCCACCGGTCCCTAGTCACGGTTTAGTAGTCGAGTATAGATTCATATATCTATCAGCCACCGCCCCTCCCACAAACTAGCACGAACGACAGCATTCTACCCTCCAAAGTATCGACTGTGAACAAACCTGCCCTGTTCAATTTCGAAAACATACAACAAAACGCTTTGGAACCTCAACAACTCTCTTGTTCACTGTCTCGGACACAAATACAGACCAGCACTTACACACACGCACCTCGAGTCAAACATACTCACGTGCACCGAACCTGTCATCTGCCCGACGCCGTCTCTCCCTAGCCCTGACACCCTTCGCCCTATGACACTTTTATACATCTTGCCAACCTAGCTTTTTTTCCTTCTTCTTGTTCTTCTTGCAGCGTCTCCATTCTCCAAGGTCAACGTCTCGCACTACACAAACACAAGAGTCGACGACTTCTGCACGCACAGACTGCGAGATCTTCATCTCTACAAACCTAGCGACCACACACTGTCCGCCCCTCCTCCTGCTCCGAGACCAAGACCAACAACACTCTTCGCCAAGATGCCTCGTCGCTCTCGCGCCAGTCGTTCCTCCTCTTCCTCCTCCTCTCGCTCCGCCCAGGTTGCCCAGCGCAGGATCATCCGGCTCGGCAAAGCCCAGATGGACGAGCTGCGGGCCTACCGCGCCGACCCAGACCAGTTCTACCGCCAAAAGGTCGACCGCGAGTGTGAAGAGATCAAGCGTAGCTTTTACCAAAAGCACAAGCGCAACAGGATCTTCCTCCGTGTGCGATCCCGCTCCCAGTCGCAGTCCTCCCAGGTCTCTGACCTGTAATCTTCTCTCTCTCTCTTTCCTTTCGTCTCTGGTACGTTTCCCTTGTTCAGGTTGGGCCCCCCCCCCTTTTTTTTTTTTGGAAACAAACCAGCAGCTAACATGTACTTTTTTCCCCCCCACCTAGATTTTTAATGTTCATTGTACAACACAAGACGAGGGCGGCATGATCCCCACGGCATCTATTGGCTGCGTCGGCAAGGCGTTCAGGGAAGCCGGGTCACACGGGTGATGTGATGTGATACTTGGTCTACCATCTTATAAGGAACGGAGTTTCTGGTTCATTTGGGGGGATTCTTTTTCTTTGCTTGTTTTTTCTGTCTCTTTTGGGTGTTATCTTGGGACCACCACGTCACTTTGCATGGCATTCATAGTGATCGGAGGGAGGCGTTGTGATTCTTACATGCACTTTATTGATTGGTATGGCGGCAAAGGCGTTAATGAGGTTACTCCAGTCGATACCTCTGTTCTTTCTCCATCTTAGGCATGCAGAACGGATAGATAGTCAGTTAACCAGCCAGTCTGAACCATTTCTGGTGGTATGATTGATATCTCAAGAATTCATAATATCAGCAAAAAAAACTCCAAGAGCATCAGTTTCCTCCCCACCTGCACAAGTCTTCTCCCGTACTTGAAATTTAGTTTACAAACTGTGTCACCAGTATGTGTACGTGGACACGTGCGTCTCGTCCCATGACTTCCATCTCTGCTAGCGGCGTCTCAATTGTCCACCAGCACTGATTCTCTCACAACAGTCACGACGCTTCTGCGTCACCAAGGAAAAGGGAAGAAGAAAAAAGAGAATCGAAGAAGTAAGGAGTAAGAAGTAAAGAATTGTTCAATTAATAAGCTCGCCTAATGCCCCACCCTAGAAACTCCGTAATAGGTCTCAGCAGACCAACGAGTTGGGTATCTCCCCTTGTTCGTTGTACTATTCACCAGACGCCTCCAAACCAAATGCTCCTATGCCCCATTCAGTGCATTTTGAGAAAAGATTTTCATCGCGCATCGCCGTTCACGCCGGCATCTCGTCCTCCTCTATCAGCCGGCCTAAGATGAGGCTCTGTATAACAAGCTCATCGCTCAAGACGCGGAGTTTCTTGAGCGGAGGCGCTGCAGACCCCCCACCGCCCTTTCTCTTCCTCTTCTTCCCGCCTGCTGAGAGCGGCACAGCTTCTGTGAATGGGTTGGTCGTACCAGCCATCTTCTCGTCGACATACACCCAATCAAATGGATGGCCCGCGTCCTCCATCGCTCTGAGCTGCTCCCTCGCCTCGGCCATGGTGTACACCCTAGAGAGCGAAGCACCCAGGACCCGCGCCAGGAATATATAGGGTGCCTTCCTACTCTCGTCGGCACGTCCCATGACCACGAGAATCCGTGACTGGTTGAGAAGTTGTGGCCGGTACCGAATGACCTCCCTGAGCTTCGCCGTCGCGGCGTTGTAGGTCGGCAGGTTACGCGACCTTATCGCGTCGCCGAGGAAGGAGGAATTTCCAGCACAGAGGAGGTAGTTGGACCAGTCGACGAGCTCCTGCTTGCTTGTGCATGTGGTGATCCAGCGCTCGTGGATACAAGGGAGGCCAAGGGCGAGTGCCTGCATGTATTTGACCTTGCGCGAGTGGCCATCAGCAATGAGCGCTGTGAAGCCTGTCTCGCGAGCAGTCGAGACGAGCTCAATCTCGTCGTCAGGATGCGATGCTGGCGATGTAGTTTCGCAGTCCGTGCCCTGCGCCGAGGACGCCTCGAACAACTTGTCAAAACCATCCGTCAGAACCTTGCCCCCGGCCTGTTTGATCTTGTTCGTGATCTGCTCGGAGCGTGCTATTCTTGAGTTGTATTGTGCATCCTTCTCTCCCGCCTGTCTGGACTGGAAAGATATGGCGAAAACCATCCCTACAAAGAGCTTTGTTCCGTGGCCTATCTCCCGTGGAGCTGGTGGCGGGTTTTTCATGGAGGTTCTGCCAGACCTCGACAGACGCGTACTCTGCTCGAAAGTCGGTGTAATGGGCGACCTGGCCAGCTCGTCGGTCGACACAGATTCATTTGATGCGAACGACTTCCTGGTCTTTCTGGTCGACACCCGGGGCTTGCTTGGCATGGGGTTGGGGACAGCCCTCGAGCTCTTCAGACGGTGGGCTTTAGCAACCGCAGGAGAGCTCTGAACATCGTCCGTCAAGGACGGCGTGGCCCCAAGGCGTGGTGAATCGTCTGTGAGCGGGGTTGCCTTTTCAGAGTCAGACAGTGCTGGCGTTGTAGTCAAGCTGCTGAGAGACGATGTGGAGCTCGACCGTGGGGCTGGAGAGGTCGGCGGGGCGGTCACTGGAGCCGGATGAGGCGCTCCACGACGCCTTGCTCTGGTATTTAAGGCTGGCGCAGGGGGCGATGTTCCGACGTCACCACCTTGATCATGTCCGTTACCTTCTGAAGGATGGCCAGTAGCAAGCACAGTATCTGGAGGCGACGTACGGTCCTCTGGTTGTGGTTGACTCGGCGGCGTCCCAACCCGCGAAGACCTCCTGGATACAGCTTCCGAACCTGAGCGGGCCGGCGAACTCCGCAAGGCCATGCCACCAGTCTCAGATTCGAATGCTTCTTCTTCCTCCTCCTCCTCCGAAGAGTGGGGCACCGTATCATCTAATGGTCGAACATGCAGGTTCAGAGGACTCGTCTCAGGAACTTCATCCGTACGAGCTGCGCTTCCGTCTTGCTTGGCGTTTGCCTCCTCTTCTTGTACATTGGGCTCAGACGGAGCAGGAGCAGGATCCGTGTTCGGAATCATGGCCTCATTGCTAGAAAACCCCCCAAATGGGTCCAACGCATCATGTTCTGGCGCATAACCTTCTTCTAGACCGTCTGGCGAGAGCTGTGTAATGCCGTCCTGCAAGGGTTCAACGGCATGCTGAGTAGCCTCTACCGATTTCTGGGAGTCTCTCGTAGAGGATCCCTCACACTGGTCCAGGTACCTCTGAGCATCCGAGGCCAGCGGTGACTCATCCTGTCTTGTTGAGGGAACCACGACATCCTCTGCATTAGCAGGACGCAGCCGCTCGAACTTGATGGCCCTTAAGCTCTGTGCAGCTGCCGCTTTTCGTAGGGCCACAAGTTGGCGGCGGCGATACTCCTCATCGTTATCATCATCACTTTGGTCCTCACCAAGGCCACCTTCCGACCTAGCATGTGCCTGCGTAGGCTCCTCCTGCTGAGTATTGTGTATGGGCTCGTATACCTCAATGGGAGCCCTCCGTGGCGCAAAGTGAAATGTCCTGGACACCCTGTTGATCCTTGTCTTGTCATGCACTATGCGTCCCTGGTCCTCGGCCTTCTGCTCTTCTCCTTTCTGCTGCTGCTCCTCCTCCTCTTCATGATCCCCCTCGCCCCTGTCCTTCTCTTGCTGAGGAGAGATATCGTATTCCTCATCGTACTCCACAGGAAAGACCGGAAGACTGGAAGGAGCAATTGGTAGTGGCGAGGGTCCAACAAAAATCCTCTTGAGGGGCGATGGATTCGGAGAGATCGTGTTGAAAGGGCGGAGGTTGTCGGGAGAAGGGCGCGATGAGGTTGGGCTGAAGGTTGGTCTGTAGGCGGAAGAGAACTGGGTCTGCTTGAACATCTGGGAGCTGGCCATCAGCGACGCTGTTGCTGCCGCCCCGACCCCGGACAGGGGATTTCTCGGCGGTGCTGGCGTCTGGGGGTTCCCATGGAGGTGCTCAGGCGAGTCTGGGACGGAGTCCTGAGTGCCGCGGCGACCGAGGGCGCTGAAATCGAAATTGACGGCGCCGGTGTCTTGATCACTCAGGGTAACATTCTCGTTGGTGGAGGCAGGGGTATGATTGGGTCGCTGCGACAAGACAGCCGCGTCGAGAGGGTCGGAGGCGACGGGGTCGTCGGCGTGGCCAAGGTATTGCTCATAGCTCCTCCCATCGTTCGACTGCGTCGGGGATTGTGAGTACTCCATCCTCTTGGTGAGTGCCTTGCCTGAGCATGTGTGCGAGATCAGGCCCGTGCCTTTCTGATCGGTGGATAGATTGCTATTGCCGTTGGTGTGACCATGGCCTTCGTCGTCGTCGTCGTCGTCGTCGTCGTCGTCGTCATCACCTCTGGGGAGGATAGCAGGACTGCCAGCTCGGGCGCGAGGCGGGACACAGCCGGGGGTGCTTAGCGGATGACCAGGCGTCTCATCTGGCTGAGCTTGGCGCGGACTGCTGCTGCGTCCTGCAGGTTTGACGGTGCGATGTTGACGGACAGCTCGTCGAGATGGTCGTTGTGGTGGCTGGGAGGGAGGAGAGGAGATGTGACTGTCCGACGCGTCTGCGCCGCCTGTGATCCGAGCTTCCATGTCGCAATCCGGGCCGGCTGCAGAAGCGCGCCCAAGACCCCTGCGCAGGTCCTGGACAGTCGCATCGGCAGCGGGTTTCAGGCTCGTTAGGTCTTGTTCCTGTTGGTTGACAGCGGCCAGTCTGCCGCCGCGGGGCCCTGCATCTGCTAGACCTGCTCCTAGATCTGCACATGCACCTGAACCTGCACAGACACCCGCATTTCCAGTCGATTTAGACTTTGCAATTGACTCTGAAGATCTCGCGGTCGATCTCGCGCGTGTTGGCACCCGACCACCGAGAAACGTCTGCTTGACCTTGGCAGGCCTCGACTGCTGCTGGTCGTACTGGCACCGAATCAGGGCATCATCGACGTCCAGCGGCTGACCTGGCGAGCTGCTCCTCTCTCCGACGCCATGGACGCGATGCATGTAGCTTATGAGGGCCTGGCTATCCTGCGACTCGACCTCGCCAGCCATGGCCCGCCTTGCTGCCTCTGTCAGGCTCGTGGGGGCTTCTGGGGCCATCTTGACCGGTTGACGAGCATAGCGGCAGAGTCATGAGATGGGCCAAGAAGAAGAATCGTCTAGTAATAGACACGAGATCTCGCAGATGGGACGAGAATTACTTCTGTACGAGAGGAGGAGGAGGATCTTGAGAAGCTGGAGGGTGCAGCAGAGATGGCTACGGTACGCGGGGTCTGAACAGCCGCTGCTGCTCTTACCTCGGTGGAAATGACCCGTGGCGCCTAAAATCGCGTCTGAACAATTTGATTGATTGACTGGACCAACTGGTCGGATTGATTGATCCATTGATCGGATTAACCTGATGCATCTCCAATGGTGCTGATTGATGACGCCTGGCGCTGTGGACGCGAAAGCACGTGCTCGCGCAAGCAGCAAGGAGTAACCATCGAGGGTGAGACAGGGACATTCCCATTAGCCAGTTGGGCTATTATGGTGCATAGCGTTGAACATACATTGTAGTACCATAATACTAAGTAGCGGCACTAAACATGCAGGACGCGTTCATCGCAATTGCCATGTTTACATGGTAATCGTATATTGACCTCCTCTTCTCTCTGTGCCTCTTGCTCCTTATTTCCCGCGTGCTTCATTTTATACACATTTCATCCAACTTTTATCCTACCACGACAACGACATGACCTCCTCCTTCTTCTCCTCCTAATTCTACTACGTTCATTTAATACATACAATAATAGTGCTATGGTCGCAGCCTGCTGGTTCCCCCTCCACGTCTGAAACTTACACGAGATATAGTATTTTTTTGGGGTCACAACACGAGTACCACCTGCATACGACGCCACGTCTTGGATCCGTCAGAAACAACTCATCAACACAAGCTGCTTGTACACACACCAACACAGACCAAGGCGCAGTCATCATCCTACAAGGGTAGGCCCATGCGTCCGTTGCTCTGGCAAGTCCATCAGGAAGTGGATCCTCCTCACATCCTCCTCCAGGAGATCGACTGCACGCAACTCAACCAACCACCCGCAAACAAGGATCTGCTGGGCTCAACGTCGAAGAGGGGAAATGAGCATCGCACCATCATCAAAGCACCCTCACTCACTCTGGCTGCTGGGCATGACAACGTCAACAACAAACATTGTACATACTTAGTACATACATAACAACCTCGACCGAGGCCAGCCTCGTTTAGGCTCTTCTGACTCTTTTTTCTTCTGCTCATCATCATATCTCTCTTGGGTCTCATCAAAAGACGATACTTTGATCACCATTTCTCGACTTCGCCAATCTTTTATTCTCCAACTTTGCGCCATTGCTGCGCGTCATCTGCCTCTCTTCCTCTCTCTCCCTCTTTCTGTGTGTCATTTAGTCTCTCCTTCTTTCCACGATCTGACCCAGTCCGGCTCTGGACCAGGCTTCAAAATCTCCCTCTCTCTCTCTCTTTCCATAGAACGTTCTCTCCTTTCTCAACCGTTCTGGGGTCCCTTACCGCATCCTGACCTCCACTTACAACCCACCTGGTCCACTCTTTTTTTCCTCTCTCCCCCTCTCCCCTCACTGGATTCTCTCTCTAATTGTCTTTACAACGGCCACCAAAGCCAGTGCACGGCCACGCCGGCCAAGGTACGGGGCACAAGGAAACCCAAGAGCACAGAGCAAAGCTCGGCTTCAACGCTCATTTAGGAGGAGGACCGCCAGCAGGGACAGGAGCCCACCGCCGTACCAAACCAATCCTCTCGCCTGCCAGCACACCAGGCTCAGCAACAGCAGCAGCTTTACCGCCTCTGCCAGCAGCTGGTCCAGGCCCCCCCCCCAGGACCACCCCATTACGTCGCAATCTCCAGCCGTTCTCCACGGGACGCTGCCGCAGCCAGGAGCCCGCAAGCCCTGGTCCACTGGTCCACTGGTCCACCATCCACCCCCATGAAAGGACGGGCACACCACGCGAGCAGAAGGATATTGTCCAATGGTACTTACATCTTGGTAGCCCCTGCTACAAGAGTTGTATTGAGACTCTCTTCTTGAGGGATCCAGGGTGCTGTTATCTCGGCCAAGCCCAGCAGCCTGTCGCCGCCCCTGAGTTGAAACATTTCTTTCCATCAATTTCGATTTGTCTGCTCCATGACCGCTACTCTCTTCACAATTTGTCTCTTTACCACCTGTTCCAACACTCTCTTGCACCACAGCCAGTATTTTCACCCCTCTTTACACCAAAAGGCTTCCCTCGTAGCCAACAGGAGATCGACTTCGGCCTGGAGACAGCGCCACAGGCGTGCCCGTCGCGCTCCGTCCAATCTTTTTACCACACGCGCCAACAACAAGAGGAGGCATCGGTCCTCGTGCCTGTCCTGCCCTTCCGGCCATATTGAGCGCCTCTCACAAGGTTTAACGAACCTCAGCGTTACGTCACCCGTAACAGATCCAGCATCACCGTCGAGAAGACTGCACAGTCAATTTCAACCAGGCGAGACGCCGGTTCTGGGAGCCCTCTACAGCCTACACAGCACGATGGAAGACCTCGCGACCCGGAAGGCTGGCCACTCCCGGTCGACGTCTGCAAGCAGGCGTCACGTGTCGAGGCTCTCGAGGTCGGAGACGATGCCGCCGCCACCACCACCACCAGCAGAGGAGCTCTTTGACTCGCCGCCGTCGTCATTTGGGGCGCGCTCGACACGGTCTCTGTCCACCACCTCGCGTAACTCGAACAGGCTGTCTCTCACGCTCCCCATCGCCCTACCGACCAATGCGCCATCGAGGCCTACCCCAATCTCGACTACAGTCCCGTCTTTCCCGCCCACGCCCGGTGACACTCCCACCGTGCGATCACCCACCGACGCGAACGACTTCATTCATGCCATCGCCGCCCAGGAGAGGAGGGTGCTCGAGCTCCGCGAGGACCTGAAGAGCGCCGAGGCCGAGCTGTCACGCCTCAAGAAGCAGTGGGGCGCATTCGACTCGGTGCGCAAGCGCAATGCCATGGTCAATGGCGAGCCTCTGCGACCGAGCCCCCAGAGCTCGCCTGCCGTGGATGACGTCGAGGGCAAGACGCGCAGCGTCGAGCTGGACAGGAGGCGAACCATGCTGATGAGCCAGCAGCTGAGCAAGGAGGCGACAACGCCCACCTCGGGCCGGAGACGCGTCATGCGCGGTGGCCACACTCGCGCCTTGTCCCTGCTCTCGCCGACCAAGCCAGATGAGGGCTTTTCCCTTCTCGACGATGCCCTGGTCCGCCACAAACCCGCGGTGAAGGACTCGGAGCCTCACCTGCAGAACGTGGGCCGCCGCCACCACCATCATCACCAACATCCTCCTCTGGCCGCCAACGGGATCTCGAAGCGGGCGACCTGGACACCTCGGTCGTCAGCCAATTCTCCATCGCCCGGCGTGAAGCAGATGGCTGAGGATTTCAAGGCAGGGCTGTGGACCTTTGTGGAGGATCTGCGCCAGGTGGCCGTCGGCGACGAGCCCATCACTGGCACACCCAGTGGTGGCGGGTACAGGAGGGTCTCGGGCCGGCAGAACGAGAGCGACAGGGACACGATACGGGCCTCGAGCTCATCTTCACGGCCACACGTCGGCAGTATCTTCAGCAGCAACGACCACACGCCCACCCCATCGACACGCTTCTGCGATCCCCTCTCAGAGTCCGACACCGCCAACCTAGGCCGGCCCAAGCGCACCAACTCGAAACGGGCAAAGCACTTCTCCTGGACCCCTCTCACCGTCGACGCCTTTGACGACGCCGACTGGAGCAATTGGGAGAGCCCGCCAGCCGCACCCTCGCCCAGGTGGAGTGGCACCACCGTCAACGGCGACATCATTACAACAGCCATCCCGGAAGGGAAGGGCGATGAGAACGACTCACTGTGAGACACCACCGCTCCATTACTTTATCTGCTCTCTCGACTTCGACCTGCCCGCCCTCCACATTTCTCGCTCCTCCTTTTCCACCGTCTCACAGCTCGGGACGGAGTTGTTCATCGTTCTTCTCTGCCGTCCTCTCACTAGCCCAAGCCTGTCCCTCTCTCCCCATCCCCCTCCCCATATTGACCACCTCCACCAACATCAACCAAGCAAATTCCTCGCGTTTTGATATTCGTCTGCTTACCCTGTGCGCCTTGGCTCCCCAACCCAAGACTAATCACCGTGCCGCCCACAGCAAGGACAAGACCTCGACACCGTGCCACCGCGAGCCTCCCGAGTCCCCTCCGCTCTCAGCAGTGAAGATCGAGGAGATGCTCAAACAGCTGTCTCCCGGCAACCTGAAAAGGGCCACGAGCGATTTCATGAAGGAGTGGGAGAAGAGCCTTGGGGAGCCAGCCATTCCCATCAAGGACAAGGCTTGTTGAGACGAAATGTCAGTAGATAGATGGCGATCGAACCACACCTCGGAGAGGGTTCGGTGTACCGCTTCATGATCTTTGTGAGGCCACGAAGGGAGGAGGGAAGGAGGAAGCATAAGTTCAGACAGGGACGCTCGGAGTCAAAAAAGCGGCAGGGGAAGAAATTTGGAGACAAAATTTCGGGCTTTGAATTTATGCCCTCTTTGTTTCTCCCTACTTTTTTATAGAAAAATTGGAGGACTGCTCTGACGGCGCCACCAAACGCATCTCACGACGCCATGGCACGACACAAGGGAGCGCACCTATAGACACACACACACACACATGCATGCATATATATGTGCAAGTTTGATAGATGTGTGTCGATTTTTTGTATCAATGATAATGACTGCCTGCCCTCAAGGAAATGTGATCCGTCACTCGTCACACTTTGGAAATGTTTGGCTCTCTTGCTAAATATTGAGCCGCCGTTCACGTAGTTATGTCTCTTGGATTCTCGAGCTCGTCCTTTGTTTCGTCTATCACACCCAAACTTCACTTGGCCCCCGTTCACTCTATGGCGTCCTGAGAAAAACCTTATAAAAGGTATCTGCTACTACACCCACCCCCTGGGTCGAGGAATACTGTGCACTACCCAAGACGCGAGAGAGATTTCAACTAGGCAGGGCCAAGATTGATCAATCAGTCAAAGAGGGTAGTCCGTATAAATGAAGCAACCATCAAGACTTATCATTGACAATAAATAGCTAATTTCGTTGCCGTAACACAGATATTTCAAGGCGTATGCTTTATTATAGGTAAAGATCACCTTCGTTTTGGCCTGCTTTCAACTTTATGATCTATCATTGGGATAAACATTTCAATATCGATGAAATGAGTACTGTAGGGGGGGGGGGGCGTGTCTCAAATCCCGGTCAACCGTTTCTGCGTCTTGCTCAGGTATAAAGTTATAAGCTTACCTAAGTAAGTAGGCCTCCAATCTCGAATCGATAATTGATCAGAGGTCAAAACCATGATAATCCGAATACTTGGCTCCTCGGTGTCTGTCTCCGTTTTGAGCGTGTTGCTAGTTAAGAAAGAAGTACAGAACTTTGGACAAAGAACAAGAAGAGAGAAAGGGGGGGGGGGCAAAAGCTTCACAACCCAGAGCTTCTGGAAACTTTCTGAGCCCTTCAAGAGCAAGACGAAATCAGATATCGAGAAAATAAAAAATAGTCAATTCAAAAGGGAGCCGAAGACAAACTTTTCAGCCTACCTTGAGGTTCTTGCGCAGCATGTCGGTGGCTTCCGCAAAGTCAACCACTACCTTGCCTGTAGTCGGTGAGATCACAAAGATCGACTGTTGGAGCCGGTTGCTACTGGGTGACCGGCTCTTTATCATTTAATACAGTAATTTCCCAAGAAGCACATATGCATCTACTTGAACAATATGGAAAGAAGAAACTCAATTCAAACAATATGCACCAGAGGTCATGTATCTATATCTGTGCTCGAGGTGGGTCATGCATACAATACAGAAAAGAAACAACGCGCCCATGGACCTCGCTCGATATCTGCCCGCCCGTCTCTATCTGCCTTCCGCTGCAGCTGCTTCGGCTTGCTTGGGCTTCTCTCCTTGTACTTATTTTCATACAAAACATCCAGCACTCGCTCCCGAGGTCGTTGACATGATGGTCCTGCAGGCCAGCTTAATCGTCCATGACAGAGGCAAACTTGTCAAGCATGGTCTGTTGTATCTCCTCGTACTGCACAATGGGTTAGCACTCTAGCGGGTCGAAAACGGATTGGTTGGGAGATGGAAGGCTGGAGGAATCGACATACCTTCTTGCTGACGGCCTCCTGGCCGTCGCTAGGCTGCTCGAACTTCAAGCTCCTCAACTGCGCCTGCAGGTCCTGCGTCGCCTCGCGCACCTTGGCCCAGCTCTGGCCCTGCGCGATGGCCTTCTGAGCCTCGTCGTGGAAGCCCACCATGAGCTTCATCATCCACTCTGTCTTCCAGATGGGGCAGAACTGGTCGTAGTCGGAGTAGCCGTTCTGCTGCAGGAAGTCCTCCTTCAGCAGGGTTGACATATCCAGGGTGATCTTGTCGGGATCACTCAGGGCACTCTTGCCGACCAGCTGGACGACCTGGTCGAGCTCTTCGGAATCGGACAGCAGCTGCTTGATGCGGTCACGCAGGCGCGGGAAGTCGGGGTACTCCTTCTCATACCATCGGTCCAAGACGGTCGTGTACTTGGAGTATGAGAGGGAGGTGTTGATGGAGGGGAAATGTTTCCGCTGGGCGAGCTTCTTGTCGAGACCCCAGAAGACCTGCACGATACCGAGGGTGGACGAGGTGACGGGATCGGAGAAGTCACCACCAGGGGGCGACACAGCACCGACAATGGAGACGGAACCCTCACGCTCAGGGGAGCCAAGAGACTGGACCTTGCCGGCACGTTCGTAGAAGGAGGCCAGCTTGGCACTCAGATAGGCGGGGAAACCCTGATCAGCAGGCATCTCTCCCAGACGACCTGAGATCTCACGCAGAGCCTCAGCCCAACGTGACGAGGAGTCAGCCATCATGGCGACGTCCATGCCCTGGTCACGGAAGTACTCGGCGACCGTGATACCAGTGTAGATGGAAGCCTCACGGGCTGCGACCGGCATGTTGGAGGTGTTGGCGATCAGGGTCGTCCGCTTCATGATGGGCTCCCTCCGGCCCTCCACCTCGATCGTGAGCTCTGGGAAGTCCTTCAAAACCTCTGCCATCTCGTTTCCTCGTTCCCCGCAGTTGTGAACGAGCATGGTGTTGCCAAGCAGGAATTGGTGATCGGTGTCGTCGGCGAGAGTGATGCCGTAGTACTCAGCAGCGGGCTTTTTGTCGATATCAAAATAAACAGGTTGAGGCTTACGCTCAACGTGGATAGGAATAGGGAACTTCTTACGCTCCAACGCGCATTTGCTAAGAATGGACTCCAAAACTCCATTGCCATCGCTGCCACTCATGTAGACGGCGTAGGCTTTCTTGTGGTTGACTCCTTTGACAACCTTGGCCTGTTCGACAGTTACAGACACGCGCACGCCCAGGGAGCGCGCAATCTTGACGATACCATCGCAAATAGCAACATGGATGGTCTTGATCGTAGCGCTCGGTTCGTCGCGTTTGACATGGCCGTCAGAGTCGATGAGTCCTGCGAGGAAATGCTCACGAACTTCAATGGACTCATATGCCAGGTAGTCGGGGATGGCCTTTGCGTGTTGACCATCAGGACCACGTACACCTGTCTCCTGGATGATACGCCAGAATACGTTGCCGACATTGAGTGCTTTGCGCTTTGGAGTACCGACAAAGGTAGTTGTAGGGCGCAAGCTGACAGTCATGTCGCCGATGCCACTGAAATTCTCCTTGACAGCCTTCGTGACGTTTGTGGGCAACTCTCCAAGAGTTTTGCGGCCATGATCCGTGTTGCTTGCGTGGGTTGAGTGCGTATTCTCCTTGGACCCAAGAGCGTCGCCCTCGGGGCCAGGCGTAGTAGCGGACTCTTCCATGTCGCCTTTGGTGGCATTGTGGCTCTTGTAAGAGTACTTCTTGTACTCACGGTGGTCGACCTCGAGGTCAAATGAAGCACCATACAGCTCGATCTGGTCCTTAATAGCAGTGTCGCGGGGGTCAATGGAGAATTTAGTTCCGCCGTAGTATCCATCACCAACCCAGAAGCCCAAAAGATAGGCCATTTGACCAGCCAGACTCCCGTTGTGCCCATTCTTTTCAAGCATCGCGGACAGACGCTCGACTTCGACATGCACAGGATGGAGGAATTGCTGCGTAGCTTTGCGGACATGTGGCCCAAGCAAGGCAACATCACGGGCCTGGATCGTCCACGTGAAGTCCTCAGTTTGGACGCTGTCCGAGAAGGCCTTGGCAAGGGCCTGCGCAGAAGCTTCACCACCATGAGTTAGATGGTCCCAGGACCTGGTGAAGAGCTTGACAAGACGGATAGATCGACCACGCGGTCCAGACATGTCCTGAATGGTGTGCCAGTCAAAGTAGGTCACAGATGTGAGCTTCTTTCCACGCAGAGTGTGCGTGGTGGTGCGAATATGCTGAGGGGTAGCCACCACAAGCAGGTGAGAAGCATTGCAAGTGAAAGAGACTTCTCTAACAATCTCCTTCTGATGCAGCGTCTTGGTCGAGACAGAGTACATCGTCTCAACGCCACGAGGGAGTCCGACGACATCGCGGGGAGCACCATCTTTGCCCAGTACTCGGTCGCCGACGGCGATGGTCTCAATGGCCTGAGTCGTTCCGTTGGCCATCATGACAGGCGTCCCGGCAGCGAAGCAGCCCACATAGACGATCACATCAGAATTGGAGAACTTGGAGACGGACTGCGAGATGACAGTCTTGCCGCAGCCAAAGGCGCCAGGGATGGCGACAGTCCCACCCTGCACGGAAGGGAAGAGAGCATCCAGGACCCGTTGGCCAACTAAAAAAGGGCCATCGGCCGATTTCTTCTCGGTAGATGGACGGGGCACGCGCACCGGCCATGTCTGCATCATGCCGTACTCGGTCTTCTTGCCATCGAACTCGACCTCAAGGATCTTCTCGTCGACCGTGTAGCTGCCCTTGTCGGCGATCTTGGTGATGGTACCCCGGGCACGGGGCGGGAACAGGATCTTGTGGTTCGTGATGAAGGAGTTCTCGTAGACGCTGCCCCAGACGTCACCGCCCGAGACGTGGTCGCCAACCTTCATAGATGGAGTGAAGTCCCACTTCTTCTCACGGTCGAGGGCGTTGGCAGCAATGCCACGAGGGATGTAGATGCTCTTGGCAATGTCGGAGATCTTGGCGAGGGGTCTCTGGATACCGTCGTAAATTCCGTTGAGCAGACCAGGGCCGAGCTCGACGGAGAGTGGCTTACCCGTCCGCAGGACAGGATCACCAACCATGACACCGGCTAGGAAGGAGGTTCATGATGTCAGTATCTGCGTGTCCCTACACTTTGAGCACAAGTCTGTAAGCTGCAAGCCATACCTGTCTCCTCGTACACCTGAATGGTGGCCTGGTCGCCGCTAATCCGAATGACTTCTCCGACTAGCTGGTCGTTGCCCACTTTAACCTGCGCAACGTGTCAGCCAAGTTCCCCTTCCCTTTCCTAATTGTTGGCAGCGAAGTGATCATGAGGGTCCTCGTACCAGTTCGTACATAGCCACGCCAATCATGTCCTCGGCAACCACGACGGGCCTATAATGTACATGTTAGTAGTCGATACAACGTGGAGGACGGTTCGAGGGGCTATATATCGTCGTGAAGGGGCTGTTGAATGGTGGTTGTCTACGCACCCGGAGACGGAATAGATCTTGCCTATAGACGCAGCATATCAGATTAGCCAGAGTAACAACGACAGGCAGGCAGGCAGTGCAAGAAGGGCGACTCACCATAGTGCTCGCCGGAATTCTCCTTCTGCTTTTATGATGGCATGTCTGGTCAGTAAGGCTCGACGATTGATAGCTGTGGCGGCCCCCGGGGGGGGGGGGGGGATCTATTTCTGGAAGCTTAGCTTACCGGAGCCATCTTGCGCGGCGTGTTGGAAAGTCGTGGAGGTTCTCTGGCAGGTGAAGATGTCTCGTGGAAGGTAATAGTAGGGTTTCGAGCCGGCCTGCGGGGTGTTGAGGGCGAGGGCGGCGAGGATGTGGTGGGTTGAGAGAGGGGGGAGAAGGCTGAGGGAAATGATGGTGATGATGATGATGAGAGCGCTGGAGTTTCCGGCAGTGGGAGCTGCGAAGCTATCTGCTGCTGCTGGGCGAGCTCGGCTGGCAAGTGGTGGTGCTGGTGGTGGGATGACGCCGTAGGCTCAGGCTCCTCCTCCTCGGCAAAGTCGCTGCTGATAAGGGGCTGTGCTGTGGGCCTGCCGTCTCCGGTAGAGCGCACTAACAGGTCTACCAGCGACGGCCTGGCCTTGAGTTTAGGCCGCAGCCCTAGCATCTTCCCTCTCAGCTTCACCCTGCCCACTCACCGTCACCGTACAATACCCTGTATTACTGCGGGAGGGGGGCCGCCACTGTGCCAGTGCTGCTGCTGGGTGCTGTCGCTGTTGTTGACGCTGCCGCTGCCGGCAGCAGACGCAAACAACTTGCGGCAATTTTGAAATGGTCCTCTCCTGGTTCAGAGATAGTTTAGGTCAAAGGAGGTTTGGACAGTCGAGATGTTGTTGTAAGGATGAGAGAACCGTCAAATGACGCTGCATTGCTGCTCGAACATTGGTAGCCCTTGGAATTGCGAAATGAGGTTTGCAATGCGATCGACTCGTATGGGGGGGCACCTGCGCTATCGCTCATTTCCTTACTGTGTTTGTGACTTGCTATTTTGAGAGCCCCCCGCCAGGGCCAGTAGCCCTTGGTTTGGTCCTGGCTTCCTGGAGGATTCCATACGACCAAGCAAGTCGTATTAAGCACTCGCTTCTTCATCCTTCTTGACTGTCCAGATCCTCAAACTGACTTTCGTCTCTCAATAGCATCTGGTTCTTGAGCTTGACTTTAGACAAGCAACTATCTTCAATTTGGCTTATTCATGCCCGGAAAGAGGCTGCTTGAATTCTAAGAATTGCACAAAATAGAACAGAGCCATTTTTGAAGATTTATGATGACCACAGTCTTAGTTCAACTCGACTTGATCGATGCAAGCCTGCTAGCCAATATATTTGGTGATCCAAATAAGTTATGTAACATTCAATTTTCAGCCCTCGTCTGATCGGGACAAATCCACTCCCCAAGTGAAAATCTAGACAGGGCAAGCAGGCGAAAGTTTATGTATCCTGCCAGAATATGCCAGAATATAAACTTTCTCACGGCTTTCTATTCTTGAAGGCTCCTATAGAAAGCCGCAGTCCTCGTATGAGACTTCCATCCAGAAAATGTTGTTTTTTTTTGTGTGAAATTTTGAGGGTGCAAGTCTTGCTGGTAAATCATGGACGGAACGATCCAACAATCTATCCAGACCTTGGAGCACGGCCTGTTCGCCTAGGCCACAAAATCTTTCATGCCAGTGATTCACGGCTGCTTCCAGAAGGTTGAGGCAGGTACTTCAGCCGTCCAATAATGCGCCGCTGCCAATGAGACATGAGGACGTTCCAAGCACATAGCGAACGTTCAGTTTCGCGGCAGGGTCGCCCGTCGAGACGTCTGGATGACACCAGAAAGACCAGTGCCCAACCATGACGAGGACAGCAGTCGGCAAGCGACTAGATCAGGATTGGTGGCGGTAGGACCGCCGATTGACGCCTTTCACCAACCATCAAACCACCGCCGTCTTCTGCAGATCCACATCATACTCGACATCTGTACGTATTACATATTTTGCCGAAGGGCGGTCGCCCTGACGTACACCAGTCCCTTCGTGTAGGAGATTCCCATCCACCTCGCCGTGAGGGAACAGTGCCACGCTGCCTTGGATTGGTTTGAGCGGATAGGCATTCAGCGTGCCCTCCCTCGTCCCGGGGAGGAAGTATGTCGTCTCACCAGCTTCGAACTCGTCGTTAAGGTAGATGAGGAAGGTGAAGAGTGACGATTGCTTAGCCTCAGGCGGGCTAGAGTCGTAAATGTACGAGTCTTGTGGGCTGATGCCCGATGGGGGCCAGGCGCCATCTAGAGAGCGTGTAAGTAGGTATGCAACCAGCCAGGTGAATTTCCCCTTCCTGGAGAAGAAGCTTTTCACTCTTTCTCTCTTCTCCTTTCAACATGATACATACCGATGTGAGCTCGATATTCGGCGCCAGGGACATATCGATAGACACGAAACCTTCGGTTCAAACCTCGTACACTTCTGCCACCCACACTGGCGGGTACAAACGGCTCGACCCTCCTCCACAAGCCCTCGCAGAACGCAGCATCGGCGATCCAGTAGAAATTGTGTGCTAGTATGCTGACCTCCTCGCCCTCGGCCCGTATCGGCGCATCGGGCGTGAAGCCGATCTTCTCTGCCGCGCCGATGATCTGAATACACTCGTCGGCCGTGAGGACATCCTTGATGAGGTGCAGGTTGGGGACGACCGGGTGCTTGTGATGCGTAGTGACAGGGGGCGGTGAGGAGAAGGTAATGGTATTATCCTGTGAGGCGTGGAGGACGGCGGGGTGGTGATTTGGGGGTTTCCGCTGGAGCCCCGGCGTGGTCTCGATGATCCTGAACCGAGACGTCGTCTTGTCGCTCACGGCAGCGGTCAAGGTTCCGTCCAAAACGCTGTCATAGACCATTTTCCGCTCTCGCCCATCTCGTAGGTCCCAGGCCCGCCGCACCATCATAGGTCCTCCTGACTCGACTTCGAACCCACCGGCCTCGTCGTCGTTGTCGCCACCAGCCGTGTAGTCGACCGGGCCGACCACCCTCAAGATGGCATCCAGAACCTGGAGGACCTCGTGCTGCTGGGCAGTCCTCTTAGCCCCTCCATCACGCTGCTCTGCCAGGCCGCTGATGACGTCGAGATCGCGCACCCACCGGCAGAGAGCACCCAGCTTGGGCTTCTGGCCCCGAATCTTCATCTCGGCCAGCATGATGCGCGCATCGACATAGTTCTGGTCAGCAAGGGCGCCGCTGATGCGCGAGGTGAGGTTGGCGTCGATAGAGGCGATGGCGCCGGTGGTGGAGGCCTGCTTGAAGTCGAAGACGGCGGCTCGCAGATCCTTGCATGCTTTGGACTTGATCAGGCCTGGGTTTTCCGCCAACGCGCGGAGGGTCTCGACAGTGATCTCGAGATCCTCATCTGGGACGATGGTCTGCAGGAGTTTGGGCTCGCAGGAGCTGCTGCCAGTGAGCGTGATTGAGCCCACCGGGGAGGAGGACGAGGGGTCGGTCTTGATTTTCTTTGCCACCGAGCCGCTCACAGCCTGGGCAGCTTGATGCTTGCGCTTTGCTTTTGACTTGGCCATGGTGCTGTATACTGTTTTAACGTCGAGCCTTGTAGTCTGGTCTCGGCTTTAATGGTAGAGGGGTTACTGATGTTGGATGGGGACCATGGAGGGTGCGAGCTAGCTTTGGGTGGTTGAGACGTTCAGACGGGTATCACGTGACATGAGCTAAGATCATGGTGGCGATGTTTCACTCTGTTCTTTGTTTCTTCAGCAAAAAGACTAAAGGAAAGAGTAGGACGGGTTGAAAATGAAAATAAACCCAAATAAACCAAAGAGACATGATGTATGCAACCGAATGTAATTTTCATGCCAAATTAGTAGGCATTGATTCCTTGTACAATACGCAGACCCTTGATCGACAGTTTGAATTGACCAACACTTAAGGTATTGATCATATGAGAATTGTTAATCAGGGAAGGGAACGGCATTCAGAAGTCCTCGATGAATAAAATGACTCAGGACTCGGTTGCAAAGTCGTCGTAATATTACTGCATACCATATTCACAAAATCTACGACATCTCTGTGTGCGAAAACCAACAGGGGCTCGACTTTGCTGATATTCCTTTCGTTACAGCTCAGATGTTTATACATATATACATATGCTTTTACTAAGATGGGAGGGGATAGAGTGGACATATCCTCCTCACTTAGCCCCTCGTTTCTGGCTCCTCGTCTTGTAATGACTCCGATAGAGATTCCCTGCGGGACTGGGTAAGTAGCCTCCCTGCCTGCTCAACCTTGGAAACGGTATGGGTTCTCGGAGCATGAATACTGTCTGTATCTACGAACAGCGTTACCCTCTTCTGTCCTTTTAGACACCTTCTCGTAAGTACACGAGAACCGGCGCATCGACCCAGAATAAGATGACCAGCCTAATATTAATATTACTACCAAGGAAGTAGGCAGTGTACCCCTTAGCCTTCTATCAGGCCACTACTTGTAGTACATTTCAATAGGCCTCCCAGGATTCGTACTGTCCCTTTTTGCTGTCGTTGTGGTAGGTTTATGCGCCTAGACAAAAGATTGTTCAGCCTCCCATCGCAGGCCTAGGACATACGATTCATCTGAGCTCACCTGTGCAGCGTGAGGAGCCGGACTGGCTGCCGCCGCCGCCGCCTTCGTCTTCTTCTTGGAACCATCTGGGGACTTTCTGCGCTTGGAGGCTTGCTTGTCCTGACCATGCTGCTCCTTGGCCTGGTGGTGCTCCTTGGCCTTGTCGATGAGATGCCCGAGACCCTTCTCCAGAGCCTTCCTGGCCTGCTGGAGGCCGCTGCTCTGCCCCACGCCGGCTACTGCTCCGCCAACAGTCGCTGCCGACGTGGCAGCAGCACCACTTGCCTTGTAGGACGATGGTGGTGGTACTTCAGGCCGTGCCGGTGGTGGTGGGAACGCGCCTGGCACATGCATGGCAGGCTCTTTGCCTTTGCCGGCAGGTGACGGACTCGCGCTTGGACTGGGGCGAGGCGGCAGTGGAGGCGGTATTATTGCTTCATCCCCGGCGCTGTGTTGGCTCTCCTCCTCGGCCTCTCCTCCATGCTCTTCCTCTGTTGTGGGCTCCGCTGGTGTGACTGTGGTCGTAGCCACCAGGGCCTCGGAGGATGGATTCTGCACGGCCTCATTGATGCTGGCCCCAAGCACCGCGCTCCCGACATGTGCAGCCGAGGCAGCAGATGTGCTGGCAAGACGCTGGTCGTCTTCTACTATCAGCTGAGGCGGGGCGGCAACCTTCTCTGGCGGTGGTGGCACATGCTGGCTTTCTTCATATGCCGGAGGGGGTTCTGCTGGCCCTGCCATCGTTTGATCTGAATGGTGGAGTGCTTCCGAATACGACAACACTGGGGATACAATGTGACCATCATTTTCCACCGTGCCAGCCGGAGCATCCAACTCTGATAACGGAGAAACGACGTGGCGCTCCTCCTCTATCGAGATTCTTTCCTTGGGCGGGACCGGAGGAGACGCGCACCGCCTTTCAACGGAGCCATCTTCGCCTCCTGGAGACTGGGATCTGTTGATGTTGAGGGGAGGAACCTCGAGGGCGGTGAAGTATCCCTCGATCTCGGCCGAGAGCTCATCACTCGGGCTCTGTGCCCTTGGTGGCGAGTAGGCTTTGTATGTGACTGGTGCTGTTCCTCCTGCTGCTGATGATGCTGTCGATGTGGCCCCTGGACTCGGCGTCCGCGAACGACGGCCAGCGCCAGGCCTGAGTGCGGCAGGATATTTGAGCGGGGATGCGTGCCCGCCAGGTCTCAAAATGGACGGGTGGCGATCTGGTGTCGGATCTGTCGAGGGTGTCGTGAAGAGCTCATCTGGTCCGCCCACAGCGAGATGCGTCGTGTCCTGGCTCATGGTGTCTCGAAGCGGGGGTTGGAAGGATTGCTTTATTTTATGAGCGCAAAACCAAAGTTGGTGGTGATACGCGGCAGTTAGAGAAAGATGAAGGAGAAATCAACAAGGAGGAGAGGCAATGGGTTGTTTTGCAGCGCAGTTTGAGAGAGATTCACACTCCCTCTTCTACTTGAGTGAGGTTGAGATAGTACTTAAATAGCTATGGATGGGCAACTTGGTATCAGGATGCGGGATCCACATGTTGAGGCTGCCTCAGTGGGCGGTGACGGTGAGTGAGGTCAGAAAACAGGGTTCATTTTATGGGTCTGCAGGCCTACAGAGAGCAGTCTTCAGCACAACACCGCCACGAAAGGGGGCGCAGGAAACCCCTGTCAGCCTGAATAGACACGTAGTAGTGTGCTAACCAAGATCAAGCTGGTGAGAATGTTGTGCATGTATGAAGTCGCCACAGATGTTGCAGTCTTCCCCTGTCCAGAGATGCCATGATGTGGTATTCTTGATTTAGTAATGGCCAAAATACATCTGGTTCGTCCGGCCTGGTTCACTTGCTTCCAGTCGTGGTGACAATTACGTTTAAACATCATCAGACATTTGGCTTCAGCCCACTTTCAACGTTGAAAGTGTTCTGATACAGTGACATTGTGGTCATCGAAGGGAAATTGGTCTTTAAGAGAATGCTAGACACTTTCTTCGTTCCAAAAAAAAAAAAAAAAAAGGGAAGGAGACATAAAAAAGAAGAAAAAACCTTCCTGATGTTTTAACTAACATCTCTCTTGACCACTGGCAACAATCTTGTCGGCTCAATAACCATTCTGTACTGGACCTTTTACTTCGGACGTCGGTCTTGCTGGTGTCCGAATCAGTACTTGATTGGTTCAGTTCCGCTTGAGACCCAAGAAGGCGTCTCAATCTTTACGTTTTCTCTAGAAAGCCGGGCTTCTTCATCTGCTATAAAATCCTGAAGAGCATTACATGTGGGCCTTCAACTTCATAAACTTCGGACTCGGTAGTGTATATTTGCCGGAACTGTCTGGTTCGAGGAGGCCAAGCAAGTCATTTATAGTAGTAGTACAGATTCAAGTTGTGCTCTGTTCCCAATTTTACATCAGTCCAAGGTCGGATCCTGTGAACAACAATCACAGGTGACATATGGTATCTTGATCCAATACGACAACACTGGGGATACGACGTGATCATCATTTCCCACCCTGCCAACCGGAGCATCCAACTCTAATAACGGCGAGATGACGTGGCGCTCCTCCGATACGGCTCTTGGATTGGGGTCGTATTACCTGTTGAGCGAATCATCGCCATTCTTGATTTATCTAAGGGTGTCAAAGGAAAGGGCGTATCGTGCGGGGTGCAGAAGATCTTTGTACTTTCCAAGACATCTCTCACAGGTACTCAAGTATATAACATGATAGCAAGTCGTGTGTTCAACCACTGAGCGAGGATACTCTTCAGCAAGGCTGCTTTCCCTTTCTTCTCTCTGGTACTCTTACACAATCCACTCATTATTTGGACTTGTTGATGAAACTTTCACCACTGATCAGGATTGATCTGCATATCGCCAACCATGTCTTCAATGTTCCATCTCGACTTCACCACCCCTTTCCACCACCATAGCTATCCCGCAATCTCACCCACTCGCCCTGAACTATCAGCCACAGGCAAAACCATCTTCATCAGTGGCGGAGGACGCGGAATCGGCACCGAGATAGTAAAGGCATTCGCCCAAGCCGGTGCGGCGCATATCATCGTCATAGGCCGCACCGCCTCGGACCTGACCGCTTCGGTAGCAAGCACCAAGGCCGAATTCTCCTCCACCAGGTATTCAACCATTGTCGGAAGCGTATCTTCAGTCCAAGACATGGCCCAGGCATCTGCAGAGGTGAAGAAGCTGTCCCCTGCAGGCATCGATGTCCTCATCGCCAACGCGGGTTACCTGCATGATGTGGCACCCGTGTCTGCCTTGTCGGGAGACCCCAGTGTCGACAGCGCGTCCACAGCCGACTGGTGGCAGGCTTTCGAGGTCAATGTGAAGGGCATCTACCTGCAGGCCCGCCTGTTCCTCACGCTCGCCCGGCCAGGCGGCGTCTTCGTGAATGTCTCAGCGGGCGCTGCTCATCTCATTCCGGCGATGGGTGAGTTCTCAGGGTACGCCGGGTCGAAGATTGGAGCAGCGCGTGTGGTGGAGGCACTCCAGGTCGAGAACCAGGGCTTCAACTTTTTCAGTCTGTGCCCCGGAGTTGTCAGGTCGGAGATGTTGACCAAGTCCGGGCTCGAGCCTCTCTGCGAAGCGGGCAGCCTGCCAGTCGATGATGGTAAGTTTTGATTCACATGATTACTCTACTGTCTCTCGCCGTACTAGAATTTTCTTTTTTATCTTCTCTTTTCTCTTATTTTTCTTTTCCCCCAATCATTTCCTTCCTTCTCCCTTCACATTGAGCTAACAGATTTTGCTCCCAGCCGACCTGCCAGCGCACTTTCTGGTATGGCTATCTAGCCCTGAGGCCGGGTTTTTGAAGGGGAAGTTTCTCTGGACCAATTGGGATGTTGATGAGCTGAAGTCGAGGGAAGAAAAACTTCTTGATGCAGGTCAGCTGGTTACGGGCTTAATTGGTTGGTCTTGAGTGACATGAAAGCAGTAGGCAGAACTCCATGATGCATTGTGGGCTCTATTATTCCGGCCACAGTTATGTGTGTCCAATGTACTTGAGGACTTAGTTATTTCTGTGTTATTACCTGGGTTACTGATGATTAAAATGGTTCATCTCCTGATGACAAGAAGCTCATTGTGGGAAACAAAATGGGAAAGCCGTCTTGTGAGAGAATTTACTAAATCTATTCTCAAAGTCGCCTGTCTATACCCTGACAATATTGAATCCGCTGGCCAGAATCTCTAGTAACTTTCAAGGCATCTGGTGATGCACAATCATTGGTGAGAATCTCTGCCCATCGTCTGTGTGGCAAGTCCCATAAATTCATTCGCCGTCTCCCTCTTCCAGAACCTTTCTCAGCCACAGCCAGAGGTCTCGCAGCTCGCCTCGGCCCACGTCATGATCGAGGTTCTCATACACGTGTCCCTCAACCTTTTCGCGGGCGATGTACTGGTGCAGCCTCTTTTGCCCTTCCCTGAATAAGCTGATAGGTATCATCTTATCTGCCATGCCGTGAGCGAAGAACCACCTCGGCGCATATGTCCCACCAGTGTCGCCATCGGCCTCGATGCCACTCTCAGCAGGCAGTGATACAGCAACAGCCTTCACCCTGGGGAAATATCCGCTCAGCCCAAATACACCAGCCACCTTATCTCTGAACTGCCCCTTGAGACCCCAGATCGTCGAGACCGCACCCCCCTGACTGAATCCTCCCACCACGATCTTGCCCGGCTCGACACCGTCCTCTATCTGTTTAGCGACCAGGGAGTCGATGTACTGGACAGTCTTCAATATGCCTTCTTCGTCTTTCTCATATTCTTCCTCATTGGATCCTTCCAGCTCATCTTCAGCCTCATGCACAGGCCCCTCTGGCTTCAGGTCATGCGGCCTGTACCAGCAGCGCTGGCCAACGATCCGATCGACATGTGCCGTAGGAAAGACCCATTTTGTGTAAGGAAGTTTCTGGTACATCTGGAACTGCTGGGCGAGCCCGTAGCCTGTGCCGTGGCCATCGTCTCCGAATCCGTGTAGGAAGATGATGGTGGAGTTTTTGGAGGGCGAGGCGGGGGTCTCGAGGCGTTCGAGGATGAGGGGTTCTTGGAGGGTTGCCATCTGAACTAATGAAGTGGCCTACCTGCAGGTGCACCTTATGGATTCTATCGACGAAGAGGGGAGTTTGCTATGTCAACATTAGAGTTATGGTAAATAGTCTGTGACATATACAATCGTTCTCGAAAACGTGTACGTCCCTAGATGGAGAATGAATGATGGGCATGTTTTGGTCAAGTTTGGCTCAGGTGGGTGGGGTTTGACATCCGAGTCAATACGCTGCGACAGCGTTCCTACAGTAGCTGATGATCAAGTACATGGGTGATAGTATGTTGCGCGGGTTATTCGGTATATTCAACCTCACATTTCTTCAATATAAAAGAACCATAGACAGATAAGAAGGCTTTTTCATCGCCCAGTTTTGTACACACCTCACAGATTTATGATACTTAGGCAGTATTGATGCAACTTGGGACGGTCCAATAACCAAGACATGCAAGCAAAGTGGAGTAAGCACTCAATGAATCAAGCCCTGAAGTAGGCCCTGAAACACTTCCGTGCCAGGTCTGTCGTCTGCAACCTACGAAATTATCACCTCGGGAAAGGGCTTGAGAACCAAAATCTAACATCATGGCTACTTCCTTGGTGGAATCCAAATTGTGAGGTCATCTCTTATCGTAGCACTTGACTGAATTCTGAGGGCGATCGCTGCAATCGTCACTCACCCATCCATCCCATGTGCCCGCCCCCGGCCTGAGGACGGCGACTCGGATACAGCAATAGGCGAGCACGAGTAACCACGAGTCTAAAATATACGATGCAAGATGGTAAGCCAAGAGACGCCTTGCTGCACCTTTCGGAGGTTTGATATAGAAAGATGGGTAGCACAGGCAGGCGCTTGTGCCCCATCTATCCTCCGATAGGGTGGCTGGTCAGTTGATTAGGTGAATGGCTGTGGACTGGTGTGGTAAAGCACTTACTTAGATGACATGACATGATAATTCTAGAGGATACATGGCCTGTATAACCAGAAGTCGGAAGAAGTGCAGCATTGGCCATTTCTGTAACACGTGTCTAGGGTGCACAAGTAGTAGGTAGATAGATATTCATAGTATCATCCCAAGTTGGCGCGCGATCTTCCCCAATGTCAAGTGAGGTTGCACTGTGCAACCTGACAGAACTCTTTTCCTTTTTTTCCTTTTTCTCCTTTCCCGTCCGGCATGCCACAGCTCCGTTACTACCACCTCACCAACCCATGTCTTGTCTCACCACCTTTTCTTGGTCCTGATCGAACACATTTCTGGTGCCTGGCACGTACGACCCGAGCCCGTTCAGATCAGACATGTGACATGAATTTTCGCCGACAAGGTGGGGGTTTAGTATGAACATAGTTCAAGGGTGGGTTGCTGTGTGGGTTGGGACCATTGCAGATCCAGACCCAGAATTTAGATCCACACGCTGAAGACCGAAGAGAGAGCCCTGAAGGATGAGGACGAGGAGAACTGCACGATGCGACAAGGGGCAAGACCTTCCCATCCTGCATATTCAGCCTTACAGAAGTATTGTACAGCTGCAGTATGGCATCAGCACCAGCAACAGACCCTTGGTTTTCCTCTCTCTTCTTTCTTTTCCTTTCTCTCCTTCTCGGCCCCATCCATGCGTATGCTGTGGACAATGAACACGGCATCCGGGCCCCCTCATTCATTCTATATGGTGTCAGCCCCTCAAGGCATCAATCTAATGAGCGGTGCCAATCACGACTCGAAGCAGCCTTCCGTTGCGCTGCGGACGATACGGGCGGCCGCTTGCGCACCTCGGCTGTGTGCGTCAGCGGGAGGATTCCCTTGTGCCTAGCTGTCTGTGCGTCTATATCGTGCAGTTTGTAGTGCGTGCTTGCACATCACACGCTTACTAGTTAAATCTAGCGTAATGACTGGGCATTTTTCTTTCTTTTTTCTTGTCGCGATCCACCAGTTTGGAGGGGGGGTGGGGAGGAGCTCGAGGACCACCCCGAGTCCATGGTACGATTGACCACCAACCCCACTACATCAGGTCTATCGAGGGGTCGATCTTGGGCGAGCTGAATGCAGGGGACAAGTCTGCTTGATTAGGTCTGATCAGCCGGTCCAGGCAGAAAAAAGGCCCCGCTCTCTACTGTCTAAGTATTTTTCTCGGTGACGACGACGATGATGATGATGATAATGGTTAATAGGATGCGTAACCCAACCTTCTCTTCTCCTTGCCGCCCCCATCCTCCCCCCCCTTCCATCATCATTCAGTCTCAGGTTGCGGCACTGTGACCTCATAATTGTATGGAGTGTGGATGAAGTGGTGAAAGTGTGCTGCACGTGTGGTAGATTTGGGCGAGGGAAGCAGTCAGAGATCTTGCCGAGACATCCACCCATCCATCTGTTAGGGTAGGCCTTGTCTTTTGTTCACTACAGCGTTGCATTCGCCAATTTTGGGCCACTCGGGTTCTTCCTCTGCGCCTCCCTTGGGTCCGATCTAATGGAACAAGGCCTGGCTGCGCCCTCCTCTTACTTGGGGAAAGGGTCGGGAAAACAGCCACAGGAAACACAAAGACCGACCCCCATGTTCACGATATGCCATCCTACTATGGTTTCTGGCTATTGTAGCATGTCGAATTATCCGTTCGAGGACAAGTCCTACTGCACATATCCCTGGCTTGGTTCTCCTCCCATCTGCATGAGTAGTTTGTCCGCAAATGCAGGGGCAGAGCAAGAACTCGGCGAGAAAGAAACGACTTTGGACGCCTGTGGCTTTTTTCCCTTTGAGCCCTATTACATTTACAGACAAGACTTGAAGGCTAGACCTCGTACCTGGACGGTGTCGCCATTGGCGTCTGACTTATGGATCAAGAGGGCCTCGGCACTTTCAGAAGAGTGGCTTCCATTGGGCGGAGTTTGGACCGACGATGTGTAATTGTATCTGGGCGCAGGGTACATAGTCGGCAGCCTTAGGCGATGATGTGATGATCATTTTCAATAATCTTCACCGACGCAGAAAAGGACAAGGCAACACTTACCTATCATCTGCTCTTCTTACTGTCTCGGCTATGTCTAACATTAGCCTCTCTGGGCACATGGGTATGAGAAATGGTGAGTGCCTAAGCCCTTCTTTCTGATGGGATATTGTATTAACAGAGAAAGAAAAAGAAAAAAAAAAGGAATGAGACCCTGAACGTTTTGGGGATTTCTCTAGTGCCCGGTCGTAGCCAGGTGGGGGGGGGGGGGAGGAAGAAGAGCGTGATAAGCGTGCGAAAAGAAGGCGGCCCCATACGGGTTCCACCCAAATCTGGTTCTATGCACGTGGGATTACTGGATCAGTGGGTCTCCAGCCACTAATCTAATACTGGCTTTCTTCAGCAGTGCCCTAAGAGTAGAGAGGAGGACCCAGCAGAGGGGGCCTGGCTGGTTGAACGGTGGTCCTGTACCTGGCGAGACACATAGTACACAAGCAAGCAAGCACAAACAAAATAGAGTGAAAGAAACATGATACTGCGCATTCCTAGATTACTACTAGGCCGCCCAAGTACGAATTCGGGCAGTCTCCGGCCATCCATCGTTTTCCTCCCTTGGAAGCTACTTGTTTCAGTCTCTCTTTGCTCCCCAATTGGTGATGTCAAAGTAGCTAGGTGAAGGGCAGATAAAGTGAAAGTTGATTATTTGTCGTCATCGTAAGTATGACAGCATGACACCGTTTTACCCAGTGGTAGTAGTAGTAATAGTAGTAATAGTAGTAGTAGTAGTACCAGGGCGCCACGGTAAAACTATTGCTCCACACACATTCGACACGAGAGAGAGACATTCGTGCCAAACCCCTCTTCTCTCCCTTGGTGGACGGCTTCTTGCGCTGTGGCGTTCTCGAATAGCTCTGGTCTGTCCAAAGACGTCGTCAATTTTCAAGGATCATCATCACTTGGTTCGCCGTTCCTTCCGAGCCCCCCTCGCCTACTCGTTCTTCCTCGTATCAATTATATTGATCTCTCCTCCATCTCTCTTCTTCCCTCTCTCAAAGGCGAGGGACGATAATGTGACAAGCAGATAGGCCTATCCTGTCCTGTCCTGTCCTCGATAGCGGAATATCCTTTTCTCATCTCGCCTAGGCTTAGCACATCATTGTAGTAACAGTGTCCGAAGGCAGTCGATCCTCCTCCTCCCGACCCGTCCAAGAGGAGCGGCTGACTCTTTCAGTAGTAAACTGACCAATAGGCTTGCCCATAGCAGGCGCGCTGACCCCCAGTGCCCAGCTATTTTCTCACTCCCGACCAAAGTATTTTTAACCCTGCAACCTGCCCTGTCGCTGTCACTGCCCTGCCCTATCTCTTCCCCTTTGGGGGATTTATGTGTACGCAACTGCGTAGGTGGGTGGTATTTTGACTTTCGTGATCTGCACCGAGTAGCAGCTGTGGGAATACCGAGCCATTGCTGAACGACTAGTAGCGGGTTTCCGACTAGGATTTTTTCTTTCTTTCTTACTCTATCCGACTGCGCCGACTCAGCTCGATGGGTGGGGACCTAGAAAAGAGGGGGGACCTGCAAAGAGAGTGTGCTTCACTTGCTTGCCTGCTTCGTGGTTGAGTTCGTTTCCTGTTGAACCAGAAGCCGTCAACTTGATGTGCTAATGTCCAGGGCCCACGGATATACCGCTGTTGGACCCTCGCCCCCCCCCCCCCCCAAACAGAAAAAGACAAGATGATTAGATGATTACTTACTATTGCAACCTCGTTTCTTCCCTTTTTTTTTTCTTCTTTTTTTTTATCTTTCTTTCGGGGGTGGCTTTGACCCCGGCCGATCTCAACCTGCGCGCACTACAAGGGCCCGCGGGGTACTTGCAGCAAGTGTGGAGAACGACTCTTGCCATTCTCTCGTCGCTCTTACTGTATACGTCTCTTTCCTTGTCTCTGTCTATCATTCTTTCCCTTTTTTTCTCCATCTTGGCTGCATCCTTTTAGAGTTGGTTGCCTGACCTAGTACCATCGTGGTATCCCTGTCACCCTTTTTTCACCCCGTCCTCTTCCGTAAGGCCAACCAATTACTCGTTCATTTTCTCTTTTTTTCTGGCCCATCAACTCGTCACCCACCTTGCCCCATCTGAGCGTACATGCATGTTCAGAGCTGCGCATTTGGTGTGTGTGTGTGTGTGTGTGTGTGTGTGTGTGCGCGCTCTCTTTTTGAGCTCCGAAGGAAAAGCCCCACATCAACTAAATTTCTCGTTCTCGATGCAACCAACCCTCCGACAAGAGCGGAGAATGCCTATCCTTCTTACCATCCTCCTCCTTCATGAGAGATGCAGAGAATAGGCCGGAGGGAGGCTGCAGGCTCTTGTCAGCGGTACCCGCCGAGGACCTTGTATCGAGAAAGACAGAAAACGGTTACATAGAAATACTTACACTTCCCCCCCTCCTCCCACCACCTCCTCCCTCACGCTGTCTCTGTTTCCTTCTCTCAACCGTCTGCACGATACCCTCTGGTCTTTTCTTTCCATCCACCCTCTTCTTTCATGATCACTTTGTTGTGAACTCACACTCTCCTATACATATATAATAGACAGATCACCGCCATCACTGGTCTTCCTCTTCCCTCCTCAGTGTACCCACCCAGACACACACATATCTACATATATCTATACATCTAGATATACATATATATTTATTCTTATATCTTTGTCGTCTCCTGTGAAACGACCAACACAACCAGCTTCCACTTCACTACACAGGTCCCCTCCCTACCTACACATAGCAGACATCCATCATGGCAGGGGAAGATCCAGCCCCGTCCGGCGCGTCGATCCACCAGGACAACAGCACAGACCTGATGAATGGTGGGCCTGTAGGTCCTATCAACGGCCACTATATTAACGGCACAAGCACAGACGGCGGAAGTACCAACAACAGCAGGCCTCCTTCGCCAACCCATGCCTCCTTCAACCACTCACACTCTCACTCTCGCCCTCACTCCCAGTCTCTCCACCATGAACACGCAGCACCTCCAAAGGGCGTCACCTGGCCGACATCTCCCTCTCTCCTCACAGAACTCGGCGCCGAGGACCGGGACCGCGCGACAGCCAGCCATGCGACCCACCAGGTGCCCGTCCCTGGCCCTCACGAGGGCAACGTCGGCGGCCCACGGTCCAGGACGTACGCCAGCGTCAGATCTTACGCCGATGAAGAGGACCGCGCTGAGGGAGGAGCCTTCCCCCACATCTCGAAGCCCGTCGAGCTTCTGCGCAATAGTTATGACTGCATCGTCATCGGCAGCGGGTACGGAGGCGGAGTTGCTGCCAGCCGAATGGCGAGGGCTGGCCAGAGCGTCTGCGTGCTGGAGAGGGGCAAGGAGAAGTGGCCTGGCGAATACCCCAGCGGCTCGGAGAGTGCCCTCGAGGAGCTGCACTGGAGCGGTACTTTCCAGCCGAGCTCGTACTGTGATGGTATCGCTGTCGACGGTGGTGATCCTACGGGCATGTACCACTTGATTTTTGGAAAAGGCCAGAACGCATTTGTTGGAAATGGTGCGTCTTAAGTTCTCACACTTGCTCCATTGGTTGCTGTTCTGGCAATCGGGACCAACAGGTCTGCTAACTTTACATTCATGTGACAGGTCTGGGCGGCACCAGCTTGATCAACGCCAACGTCTTCCTCGAGGCCAACCACGATTCCCTCAGCATGCAGGCGTGGCCTGAAGAGATCCGAAATAATCCTACCTGTCTGGACAGCTGTGAGTAGTAGTGATGTCGTCATCATTTTGAGAAATATGTCTTGTTTCTCTTTTGGTTGCTGACTGCCAATAAATATATTATAGACTACAAAAAAGCAAAAAAGGTCCTCGACCCGCAGCAGTACCCGGCTGACTGGCCCAAGCTGCCCAAGCTTGACCTCCTAGAGAAACAGGCCGAGGCTCTCAGTATGCGCGAGAAGTTCAGGCGCGTCCATCAGACGACCCGTTTCCGCAACGGACCCAACAGCTGCGGCGTCGAGATGCTACCCTCGGCCCTCACAGGCCAAGACGCCACAGGCGTTAATGACGGCTCCAAGACCACCACCCTCGTCACCTACCTCGCCGATGCCTGGAACTGGGGCGCCGAGATGTTCTGCGAGTGCGAGGTGCGGTATATTGAGAAATGTAAGGATCCTAACCGTGGCGGGTACAATGTGTACTTTGCCTGGCACGGCCGGAACCGAGGCCACTTCAAGGCCAACCTGCACGACGATCTTATGTGGGTGCACGCCAAGGAGGCTGTGTTTCTGGGTGCTGGTGCCATTGGTACCACCGAGATCCTGCTCAGGAGTAAAGAGCTGGGCCTGCACATGAGCGACCAGGTTGGCCTGAACATGTCTGGCAACGGAGACATGCTGGCCTTTGGCTATAACACAGACCATACTGTCAACAGCATCGGGAGGCCGTTCCCTTCACCATATAACCCTGTGGGCCCTTGTATCACTGGCATCATCGATAACCGAGAGGGTCACGCTAACCCGCTGGACGGCTACGTGATCGAGGAGGGTACTGTTCCCAAGGCATTAGCACCCTTTTTCCAGGCAATGCTGGACATGATGCCTGGCAGTATCTCCTCGGAGGAGGGCATCACGGCCAAGGCCCAAGCCTCCCTGGCCAGATGGGGTAGTCGGATACTGGGTCCTTATTTCAAAGACGGGGCCATCGAGAGAACCCAGGTGTACCTCATCATGTCACATGACAGTGCGTGTCTCCCTTCTTCTTCTGTTTGAGGGTTGCTCAACTGACAATAATTGACCTACAGGCAACCAGGCGGTGCTTAGCCTCAAAGACGGCAAACCAGTCCTCGAGTTCCTGGGCGTGGGACGAAGCGACCACGTCAAAGAGCTCAACACTGTCCTGGCCAAGGCGACCAAGGCCGTCGGAGGCACTCTTGTCCAGACCCCCTTCTTCGCCTTGATGGGCGAACAAGAGGTCACCGTTCACCCCATCGGCGGTGCCTGCATGGCTCGCGATGGCACTGCTGCCACTGGTGTCGTCAACCATGTTGGCGAGGTTTTTACCAATGAAGGAGGTGAGGATGTCGACCGGGCCGTCCACGAGGGCCTCATCGTTATGGATGCAGCCGTCATTCCTGCTGCGCTTGGGGCGAACCCTTTTGCCACCATCACCGCACTCGCAGAGAGATCCGTCGAGGCGTACTGCCACAAGAAAAGGCTGGAGATCAAGCGCGACGAGAACGGCATCCTGGACCTCTTTGGCGAACCTCAGCAGAGAAGGAAGAAGAGGTCGAGTACCAGGAGCACTATGAGCAGCAGCAGCGACGACAACAAGATGCCGTCGACGATGACGGCGACAATGGCACAGGAGATGGCTATCGAGCGCGCCGATATAGACAGCGTCAACGGTGCCGCGCACGTCATCAGCAGCGCCGACGCAATCAAGGCGAGCGGCTTCGGCTTCACCGAGGTCATGTCGGGCTTCATCCACCACGACGAGGAGGGTATGAGGGAGGACAGACGGTCAACATACGAGCTGGGCTATCGCACGGCTAAGAGCCTCTGCGAGAGTGCGCGCTTCTTCCTCAGCGTCCAGGCCTTCAACGTCAACAATATCGTGCAGAACGACCAGCACAAGGGAATGCTGACGGGCACCTTTGTGTGTCCTACCATTCCAGGCTCGCCCTTTATGGTCCAGAGGGGCCAGTTCAACCTTTTCAAGCTCGACCTCAAGGCGCCCGGCACCCGGAATTTGACCTACGACTTTGACATGACGGGCGTCAGCGGCGAGCTGCTCCATTTTCACGGCTACAAGGTGGTAGACTCATCCGTCGCCCTCTCCCCTTTCCAATTCTGGCGGTCCACGACCACGCTGTACGTGACCATCAGCAGGAAGAAACAGACCGACCCTATCATGCCCATCATCCCAGGTGATGGTGTCGAGGACGACGACGACGCCACCGATGAGGCCTGGCGCAGGATGCACGTCGTCGCAAAGGGCATCATGCACATCCAGCCAGCCGACTTCTTCTCCGAGATGATGACCCTCTCGCCGACGGGCAGCTCGATCCTCCAGAAGGCCATGTCCGCAGCCAGCTTCATGACATTCTTCACCCGCAAGTCCATGTCCCTGTTCCTCGCTCCCTTGACCTCGCTGCAGTATCCTTCGACCACGTATTCGTCCTACGTCAACAACACCCTTCCCGATAAGTCTTTCGATATCTGGTCCATCGACAATGTCTGCACAAAAATGCACATGTGGAACGCGACGCACCCTCCTTCAGACGGCAGCCCCATCCAGGACCTCTTCATGATCCCAGGCGCCAGCGTCGACCACCAGATCTTTGCCCTGCCCACCATCCCCTACAACGCAGTCAACTACTTCACCCGCGCTGGATATCGCGTCTTCGTCACCGTCCACCGCATCGGCTCCGTCATGATTGCCGAGAACGACTGGACCACCTTTGACGCGAGGCTTGACCTGAAAGCATGCCTCCAGACCATCCGCAAGCTGAACCTCCACGAGCACAAGGAGAACACGGGGCTCAGTGACAAGGAGCTGACCAGGAGCGGATGGCAGCCGCCCAAGACCTACTGCATCGCCCATTGCATGGGCAGTGTCGCCTTCTCGTGCGGTCTGCTAGATGGGACCATCCCCAGCGCCTGGATCAAGGGCATCTCCTGCTCGCAGGTTTTCATGAACCCCATCTGGAACACGATGAACCTGATCAAGGCCACCGCAGGCCCCATCCCCCTCGATAAGCTTTACAAGATGCTCGCGGGCAACTGGTTCAGCTGCTCCACCTCACGCGATGATAGCCTCGTCCAGAAGGGGCTCAACCAGCTCCTGCGCTTCATGCCCGACGCGAGGCGCGAGATCTGTAACAGTGCGAGCTGTCACCGCATCACGCTTACGTATGGCCGGTGTTGGAACCACTGCAACCTCAACGAGGCCACACATCGTCAGATCGACCGCTTCTTTGGCGGTGTGAACATGCGCCTGCTCCACCTCCTCATGAGGATGGGTGTCGACGGGCACGTAATGGGCAATGGGCCCCTCTTCGAGACGCTCACCACGAACAAGAACATCGAGAGGCTGCGTGGTATACCTTTTCTCCTCTTCGTGGGCGCCGACAACGCAGTTCTGAGTCCAGAGGCCACCGAGAGGACTTATGAGAAACTGTGTGATGTCTTTGGGACCAGGGCCGGCGGCGGGGCTGCTGGGGTTTTCGGCGAGGGTCGTGATGACAGTGGCATCCAGTATCGCCGGCGGGTCGTGCCTGGTTATGGTCACCTGGACTGCTGGATGGGCCGGAACGCGTGGAAAGACGTGTATCCTATGGTCCGGGAGGAGGTCGACCGTGTGTGCCATGGCGACCGATACCACTTCAAGGAGCCTGATGATAGGTTTAAGATGATGGTTGACAATGGCGAATTACTCTACTAAGGAGGATGTAGTTGTCGAGGAAGGGCGAGTTAAGTTTCTTCTCTTTCTCCCTTCCCATGTGATGGAATTACGAGGCCTGCTTCTTTTTGGATTTCTTCTTCATCTGTATTACTTTTTATTTTTGGAAATCTTGCACTATTCATATGGAGCAGAGGTTTGGTAAAGGCAGGATATAGCAAGGGCATGGCATGGTAAATGAAGGACGAGATATTGAGGTGTGGTAATGTTGGTGTGTCTCTACACACACACACACACACACACGAGGCTGGCTCCTCGACTTGAAGCCACCATATAGACCCGTACCTAACTTAAGAATATACCAATTCCAAATATGTATACATACATCCCAGCTGGACTCTGTTTACATCAATGAGTCAATTTAAATACTCGAAAAGTTTTGCTGAGAGCTCGTAAGCATACATTGGACTGCCGTTGGAAAGATAAATATCTTTGGTCCAAACATGTCTAAAGGAGACTTCTGCTGTTCTACCGCTTGGACTTGGCCTTCCTCCTCAGCGCCCGAACCTCCTTCTTCATCCTGGCATCCACCATCTTGTACCGGCCCTTGACGCCAGACGGCCTGCCCTTGCCCTTGTTCGCGCCTCTGGCCACAACCACCTTGATTGGCGGCCGCTTGGTCTTCTTGCTCGCCTTGGACAGCAGCTTGGCTATGCTGTCCGCCTTCTCTCTCTCCGTCATGCCCTCCGAGGCCGCCAGCACGTCGCTCTTCTTCTTGAGCTTCTCCAGCCTGTCCGCGGCGCGCTGCTTCTTGCGCGCCTTGGCCTCGCGCACCTTCTTGATGGGCCGCGCGTTGAGGGCCCGCATCTTCTCCTTGATCGCCTGCGCTGCCGCCTTGGTGATCGGCTTCTGCTGCTTGTCGTGCTTGGACTCGTCCTCCATGAACCACTCTGGGAGACCGTCCCGGTCCCGGAAAGCGTGCTTGTTGAAGCCATCGTCCATCAGATCGTGGCTGGACTTCTTCCCTGTGGCGAGCTCGTGGGCGAGAGTCATTGCTTCGGCAGTAATGATATCGATTTCTGTGATAGGATACTGGTCAGTAAAGCAGGGGCCCAGAATAGGATTGTCCTGAAGAATAAGTTGGTGCTCTTCTCACCTGGCCTATTGTCCTTCTTCTTTTGTCTCTCTTCTTCCTCCCAGTCGCTTTCATCCTCATCTTCCATATCCGCTTTCGGAGCCTTGACAAACTTGATGTCCTCCTCATCATCATCGCTGGGCGCGTCGACTGCTGCTGCGCTCCCGTTCGGTCTTGATGCCTTGGCCAAGTCGTCTTCTGATGAGATCTCGTCAATCTCGTCCACCTCCATCGCCTCCACTTCTTCCACCTCGCTGGCGTCGTCTTCTGGCTCGTCTAGTAGGCCATCGATATCTTGAAAGACGTCCTGGTTGAAGAAGGCTCTCGCTCGCTTCGACAATCCCGTCGCATCTGCCTGCTCGTTGTCCAAGTCCGTCAGCAAGGGCTTCCGAGAAAGGCCATCCTCGCCGTCCGAGTCCTCCTCGCTGTCATCTTCCTCGAGCACACTCTCGTCATCGCTAGCAGCCTGTTCGTCTGCAGATACACCCTCCCACTCGTCGTCGTCGTGTTCTTTTCGTGCCCTCTTGGCGCGGTACTTGGCATCCGTGGCCGATTTTCTCTCCCTGTACGCATCGTACATGGAGTCCAGCTCTCGCTCTAGCCTATCCTCGGCCTCATCACTTTCATCTCCGGACCCATTGTCGGCAACCTCCTGTTTCTTATTATCCTTCTCATTCACCTTGACCATCTTGCCCTTGGCGATCCTGCTCAAGGTACCGCCCGCCTTGTCGATGGCCTTGAGCTGAAACATGGCATCCTCGCCCATCGGGCCCTGCTGCTCCATGCCGATGTCCATGGGTGCGGTCATGTTGAGCTGCATCCGAACGATGTCCTTCTGCCTCTGTTCGTTTTCTTTCCTCCTGTCCTTCTTCTTTCTGGAGTCCTCCCTGTCCTTGAGAGCTTGTAGCTCCTCCTGGATTCTCATCTCCTCGTCCATGGACTCGACCGCAGCAGTCTCTTCCACCACCTCGGGCTGGGCAGTCTTCTTTGTCGGAAAGCCAAAGATCTCACGGACCCTGAGACGCCACTTCAGCAGAATTTTGAACTCCTTGCGGCCCAGCACTTTCAAATCCTCGCAGCACCTCCGGATCTCGTCCGTGGTCTCAGGCAGCTTGTCAAGCGCCGCGAGGGCGACGTCTCCATTTCGGGCCTGATCGAAGTGCAGCTTGTTGATGCTCCCCAATATGGCGATCGGATCGGTGGTCTGGATGAACTCGCTCGCAGGGATCTCCTTGAACTGGGTCCAGTCTCCCTCCTCATAACCATCCCTCTTCCTCTTCTTGATCTCGGGGTTGTACACCTTGGCCTCGTTGTTCGGGGTCGGGGCAGCAAGTTCTTCGAACACGGCACGCGGATCGAGAAACTTGGGGTCGATGCGCTTGGGCGCCTTGAAACCACGGCAGACGACGAAGATCTCGGCAGACACATTTCGGGAGGAGGGGGGCTTGGTGGCCTCGACCTTTGTGAAGAGCTGGTTGAACACCCAGAGCAGCGAGTTGTAATCCTTGGACCGGAAGACCTTGGTGACAAAGGTTCCGCCCTCGACGAGGAATTCCGTGGCCAGCTTCATGGACTGCAGGGCCAGCTCAGCCTGATTGAAGGAGTCCTGGACCCATGCGGTACCGACGTTGGGCGCACCATCGTGGAGGACCGTATCGGCCTTCCAGGTCTTGAGATGTTTCCTGATGGTGGCACGACACTGCTCGGTGGTGATATCGCTCTGAAAAGTGATGACCTTGGGGATAGGCTTGATAGGGGCGAGATCGACACCGACGATGAGGCTGTTCACGGGCATGACCTCGGCTGCGACTTGACACCACGACTACACTCGACCTGTCAGAGAAAGGAGGGGTGGATAGGGGATAGGGATAGGAAGACGGAGAAAGAAGGTCTGGAACGTACTCCTGGCGCCGCGCAGAGATCCAGCAGGACCTTGCTCTTCTCGAGGAAGCCATATTTCTTGTTGAGCTGGATGAGTTTGAAGGCGGCACGAGCCCTGTAGCCCTTCTCCTTTGCAAGTTTATACCATTTGTCAAGACGACCCTTGCCGTGTTTCTTCTGGATCGCCATATTGGAAAACGGAGGGGAGGGAGGGAAGGGAAACGCTGCGCTGAGGGGAGAGGCGGTCCAGAGGCGTGGTGCGCAGCGGTTTCTGTTTCTATTTCTTTTTTTTCTTGAAGGTGATCCGAAGTACGCAGCAAGGCTACACAGTCACTTAGAAATTTCGTGCGATAAGATAAGACTTTTTTTCCCCTTTGGCTACAGGGGTGGTTTTGTCTTGTACCTAGACTCAGAACAGGGGTGCCTCGACCGCGAGGACCTGGCGGGCGGGCTACCACAGGTACCTCGAAAGCACTAACAGCGCCTGTAGTGAGTTTGTACCGCGCCAAATCACCCCTGTTGAGTTCTTGCCAGATTGAGCGGGTACAGACGAATTAGCGACGGTGATTGGTGAAGAAGGTGCACTGCAGTCCCATTTACACGGTACGCGTTCCTCTCCTGCAACCTGTGGCGTCCTATGCGCGTCGTGATGACGGCCCAGCCAACCAGGCGTCTCTTTATACCTTGGCCAGAATCCTGTCGACTGACTTCACACAAGACCCTAATCCCACCTCAGTGGACCTGTCTCTCTCTCTCTCTCTCTTTGGTCGCGTTGTAAAACACTGCCCTGTTGTCATCATCGCCTCTCAACTTCTCGACTCTGGTCTCGTGCCATCACGAACGAAGCGCGGCTCTATACAAATACTGACGTTGCTCTTTTGTTCTTCCTCTCGTCTCAGGTTTCTGCCTCACTGGACAGGACGGTACAGTCCAGTACAGTACCGCACTCACACGACGTCACAATTCCAAAGGACAGGCCAGCTCGAGTGACGTTTCTTTAGCGAAGAAAAAGGAACAGAAGAAGGAGGGGGAAAAGAAATAGGAACAGAAGGGAAAAGGGTGGTCATGGCTGGGGAAGATGGTCCACCAGCAGAACCACCACCAGTTCGTTGCAGTCCAAGACTCCATAATGCCACAATCCCAAGCATTACTACGCCTCTGTCACCACCTCGACGTCACATCAAACAGAAGAAAGCACCGTCCATAACGCCGAGGAAATTCAACGCCTTCTTTGCCCGCCGGAATACCCGCTCCAAAACCGCCTCAGGTTCCATCGATGAGACCACTCGCGCCTTGGGAGCCATCACCGGCTCGGCTGTTAACGGACGCCAGCGCCGGGTCAAGGACTCTCCCATTCCCTTCAAACAGCCCCTGCGCAGGTCAAAGGGCGGGCTTCACGACGACGAGAACGGGACTGAGACGCCCAGGCGGGCCAAACGACGCAAGACAGGTCACCACACTCCTCCCGAGTCTTCACCTCTAAGGCCACCACCTGCAAGCCTGCTTCAGTCCTCTCCGTGTGCCCGAAATGATAGCATAGAGGACAAGCGGCCCAGGTCAGCGCTTCTCAGCCCCCTGCAGTCTCTTCCAGCTAGCAGCCAGTCGACGGAGGACATTTCCGACTTTGAGTGCGACTACTCTGATGCGGATGTTGATGATGATGATGACGACGACGTCGACGATGATGATGATGACATCGACGACGAGGACGAGGACCACCACGAGCCACCAAAACGCCTCACTCAACTGACCCACAGGGGCATGGCTGCGCACATCCTGCAACGGCAGCTCGGCGGCATGCCACGCGGAGGGCGCTCATATCTTCCCACGCCCACCTCCGACTGGCGCTCGGAGACGGCTGCCTTCCACTCTGGCCCACAGGACATTCATTATTCTACCAGCCATGACGGACATCCACGGTGTATTCCCTTCTGTGCCACAGCATGTAACAACAGCAGCCTGGTCGCAATCGGAGACGAGGAGGGCCGCGTGCGTATACTCGACACGTCGCCCGCCTCCAAGTTCGATAGGATTCATGTGTGCTTCCAGTCTCACAATAACGCCATTATCGACCTGGCCTTCTCCCCCGACGACACCCGCATTGCCACCGCGTCAGGCGACCAGACGGGCAAGGTGATTGACATGATGACCCAGGCACCCATCTCGATATTAGGCCAGCACACTGCCTCGCTGAAGCAGGTCCGCTTCCAACCCGGCCGTGGAGGCGGCCACGTCCTTGCCACGTCCTCTCGCGACGGGAGCATCCAGATCTGGGACCTCCGGTGTCATGGCGGCCCTGTTCATGATTCCATCACGCTCGAGAGGGATGCTGGGTTGCGATACACCACGCCGAGGCACATCACCTCGGGCTGTGCGGTGAATTCCTTCTTCGGCGCACATGAGGTTATGCCACGCCACCAGACCCGCTCCGTCGCTGGCCTGAGCACCAGCGCCCTGGGCACAACCACAACCACTACAGACCACGCAGACGTCGCCTTCAGAGGAGAGGTGCTCGGCCGCCTCAGCGACGTGTCTGTCACGGCTATCCACTGGCTCCCTGCGGGCCGTGAGCATCTGCTCCTGTCTGCCTGCGAGGCTGACGCGAGCATCAAGCTCTGGGACATTCGAACCATCCACACCTCTCGCTCCCACCGCGCGCCCGTGCCTCTAGGTTACACAGCACCTCCAACCAGCCACACCAACTGGCGCCACTTTGGCGTCTCCAGCCTGTCGCTCTCCAGTGACGCGAGTCGCCTCTACGCCCTCTGCAAGGACAATACCGTGTACGCCTACTCCACCTCCCACATGGTCCTGGGTCCGTCGCCTTCTGGGAGCACGGGTAGTCATAGCTTCGCCTCGTCCAGGAAGCCGAAGCACGCCCCTGCTGAGCAAATGTCCGGGCCCTTGTACGGATTCCGGCACGACAACTTCCACGCGACGAGCTTCTATATCAAGTCCTCCCTGCGGCCCGCCCAGGACGGCAGAAGCGAGCTTCTAGCCGTCGGCAGCGCGGACGGGACGCCCATCCTGTTCCCCACGGACGAGAGATACTTCAGGAGCGCCATTGAGGCTGGGACGCTGAACAGCCAAAACGGCCCCGATGCCACGTTCACCGCTACTGCCACTGTCAAGAACACGACCTCCGCCACAACGAACACCTTCTTCTCGTCGTCGTCGTCGTCCTCCGCAGCCAGCTCGATTCCTGGGTCTCGCAGCACGCGTACCTCCATGCGGTTGACCAGCGCGGACCGTAGGTCTAGCATCCCCTCCCACGGCAATCTACGCGCGTCGATCAGGGATCAGGATATCCCCATCATCCGATCGGTCGGTGGCGTTAGCTACGGAACGCCGCTGGTACGCGGTCACGGCAAGGAGGTCGGCGCGCTGGCGTGGGCACGCGGCGGCAGCCTGGTCACCATCAGCGACGACTACCTCATCCGGTGCTGGCGGGAGGACGATGGCGGCGCCAAGGCGAGGGACCTACGAGTGAATGGCGAAACTGAGGGGCGCAGGTGGGCCCGTGGATGGGCCGCAGTGGATGCAGAGTGGGATGAGGATGAGTAGTGGCTTGTGATGGGGGGGGGGGGGGGTTGTGTTACTTCATCACAATGGTGTAGGGCCTGGCTTGGATTGGGGTTGGAGCCTTTACAGGCTGCCAGAGGGAGTCAGCAAGAGAAGAGGGAGCCTCACTGTGGGTTTCATGAACAATTAACGTCTTTTTGATTTGTTATCATACATCCTCCTGCTGCGTTACTTTAGCGATTCCAGGACTACAGGAAAGGAAAGAGGTTGGAGAATGAAATACGGCGTTTCGGGAGCCCATGTTGTGTATTGGTCTCACAGTGCATCATCAACTCAGCCAGCAGATAAGCTTGTAGGCAGACAAGCTGCACACATATCAGGGGGTTGCTCAATGACACAAATGATTTTGTGCACCATGGTTTGAGACTCAAAAGCTTTCATTCTCAATCTATAGGTGAGTGTGCTTTGAGACTGTCCAGACAGCCCATCATAATCATCAAAGAAAAAGAAAGCGAGGACGTAGGTATGAGGGTATCCGGAGTCTTGATCTTCCTTTTGATCCTGATCAACGCCAACCTTGCCCGCCTGGAATTCGTATGCATGATGCCATCTCCTGTACAATATCAACAGTTAAAGATGCGCTCGCAGTTCATGCAAGTCCCATTCTCTAGTCATAAATCATCCAGTTTGATCGCCCCGTCCGACTGTCGCACGTAAAGGTATGCTGTCGACACCATCGCGACGCCCACAAGTACGACGACTTTCGAGATGACAGCATGAGGTGCATGGTCTGGGCCCTCGGTGTGTGATAATGGACGTGGTGACGGTGTTGCCTCCTTAGCCACAGGACGTGTGCTGCTCATAGGACAGCGCTCAACAGCCGCGCTAGCACGGTCAAAGGGGGTGCCGTCGAAGCCGTGTGGGTTCAACTTCTCTTGATCGCCATGCCTGAGCGATCTGTCTGATTGTGGGAAGTCTGTATCATAGCGGATCGTCCGGAAGCCGTTGCCGGGGACGACGGCATCGTGGGCGAGACTAGAGTCTCCACTGTACAGCTTGGGCTCCGGCTGAATATCCTTGAACCTCCCTGCATTTCCGGATTCCATTGAAGGCCTCGAGGAATCGAGAGGACGAGAGCCGGCCGGGGTCCTTGTGGCCGTAGGATCGGCCGCTGTTTCCAGGCTCGAGCTGCCGCTCGACTTGCGCCGGGCACCCAACAACCTGACCTTCGCGATGGCTATGCTATCTCGCAGTCGGGAACCTATATTCGAAACCCTTGTGGAGTACGTTGGCGCGTGAGAGGCCTTCTGCCCACCAAAGCCCTGTGCCTGGGAGGTGCCAAATATCGCATCCAGCTGTCCTACCACCCCCTCTAGGTGATGAAAGATAGCCGCAGATTCCTCGACGATATCCTGCCTCTCCGGCCCGGCCAGTAGCTGCTCGGCCCGAGCAAACCGTGTCTTAAACTCTGCCTTCAGCTCCTTACACTGCTGGCGAGGGTGCTCGCCAAGCGGGGGATCGAAATCCAAGAAGTCTAGCGGGATCTTAATAGAAGAGTTGTCTTCAAACGTGCTTAGGCGCTCACGCCCGGCGGAAGAGGCATGTTGAGGTCTACATCCGACCATGTGCGGCCTGATGGGTGTCGGCGTTTCGTGCCAGAATTGTGGTTTCAAACACAGCAATTCGGCCCTGATGTAGGAGCCACCAGATAATAGGGCTAAATAGAGGGAGTAGGCGTACGCCAGCAGGAGATGTGGTTTGGCGAGGACCGAGTCTCTGACATGAAGCGTGAACTTCCCTAGGCGACCTGACGTGCCAGCGGACCTGATCTGCTCGTCAATAACATGAGCTGGCCAGCCCGTCATGGCCCGGATATCTGCCTTGATCCGGTCCACTCGCACCATGTTAGGCCAATAGGCCTCTTCGAGAATCTGCCGGGTCCTTTCGGTGATCTGAGGGGTCTCATCGTGCTGGCACGGGTCGGCGCTGAAGGGAAAAACGTAAGGCACTGGCGCGATGTCCGAGTGAATGCCCAAGATGCTCTGCCAGAGAGACTCGAAGGCGATGTAGACGGCACCGATGTGGATGAGGCCGGTGATATAGGCCGAGGGGTTGCTGGTGTGAGGAGGCACCGCCCGGGGCATGCGATCGAGGATGAGCCTGTTAATCTTGGTATGACTCGAGGCTATGGCCACATTGATCTGGTGTGCCAAGGACCGTGGGTCCCCATTCGAAGCGGACGAGGATCTGTCGCCTGCCATATATGATGTGTCGGTGTCTCAAATCAAACCGCTCGATGTAAAAGCCGGGAGTGTGTTGCTTGAACCAGCTCTGGCGGGTGGGCTGAGAGGAGAGTCTCGGAGATGTCATGCGGTCGTGGGATTTCGTAAAACGCCAGAGACAGATCGGAAATATGCGATGAGCCGTATATAGTAAGTCATAGGCGTTGAAGGCCCGTGGCGCCCTCCGCAAGTGTCAGGAGGCTGGCGACGACCTTGTCGGCTTGGTGATGACTGGGCAATCGAGTGAATCGTCGCCGTCGGGAGAGTTAGATACCAAGTAGGGTGGATATGATAGGATGAGTGTTCGCTTGAGGTTCTTGTATCGGAGAGGAGCAAAACGTGCATTAATGTATATGTCTAGAGGCGTCTCTGAAGATGCTGGAGGGAGGGAGGGAGGGGATAATACGACAAGTTGATTTAAGGTTGTCGTTTAGGGTCCACGGGTTCGATCAATCAGTGATTCGGCGTGTGACTTAGTTTATGATGTTTTGGGCAGGTCTTAACGCAGCAGCAGACTGATTTTGTGTCTAATACACCATGATACACAAGAAAAGAAGTCTAATAAGGGAGGATACGGAGGCTTGTTGAATAACAGGTACTGAGAGACAACTCCAGAGAAGGTGGGAAGAGAATGGCTTCGTGGCCGACAGTCTTCGGGTTATAGAGTATTGCCCCAGGTCCAAGAACAAAGGGGAGCAGCCAAGACAAGAGGCAAAGAGAGAGGGGAGTACAAAGACGAGTGAAGATCCATGAAAGCGGTCATGACAAGAGAAGTGGCAGTGGAAGGAGGAGGACGAGGAGGAGGAGGACAACCGAGGAAGTCGCAGGGCATTTGGGGCGCGTCATGTGCCCGAAGAGGCAAGACGGAAAGTGGAAATGGATCATGGATGAACGAATATCGAATTCTAAGCGCGCCTCTTCCATGCTCCTTCCTGTGTCTGTATCGGCCTGGCTAGACCATAGTGGGTCTAGCAGGAGGGACGAAACAGTTTTTTTAGAAGCCAACGCCATTGTGGTACTATGTAGTTTTTGTTGGCCGCTAAGAAACCGCATGACCGAGGAACCGGTGAGATCTTCCTCCTCCCAAAACCCCTCCTGGGCCTATTGCCATTTTTGTTGAGAGATAGTAATGAGGTGTGTCAAGGTCTCGAGAGAAAGAAGGCAAAACAAGAATAAGAATATGGGGACATGTCTTGTTGCTGGTAAGACAACAAAGACAATACCATGTGTCAAGTGGCGATGAAGATCATATGAACAGCATACATGCTGCCTCTTTCTCGATTTTGCCATCCTGCCAAAATAGCATAGTGCTGTACTATGGTACATATTATGGAACTATGGTATCCGTAGTAATTATAATGCATACTAAGTAGTTACTATGGAGACTCCCCTACTGGGAATTTGGGTTCGAACAGAGGCCCCATCCAAAGTTACAGGGTCCTCCCCCGGTTGCTGTGCCACATTGTGGCCCTGTGGTTGGGGCTCGGGTTATCCTGCAGAGTTGTTACCATAGTACAGCTATCATGCTAAAAGCCACTAACAGCCTACTTGCCATAGCATGTGCACATGCATGCATGAACAAATGATCGCCTGAGACCCCGTTTTCAGACATCCACAGCCCACATAGTACTGTGTAAATCACTCACTACCTGGCACCTGCTGAATGAAGACTCAACAGCTGATCTCCTGCTTATATCCGAGTTGGGAAAGGCCTTGCTGGTCCGAAATGTCACCATCGTCACTCCGACTTCTTGTGCGATGGAAAGAAATCTTAAGGAGAAAAAACGGGCATAATCAAGGAACACTCAGAATTGCTAAACTAGATATGGTATCATCGATGCAAACGTATTCTTTGAGGCCGACAAGACTCGCTCAATCTCATTATAAATACCCCTTCCTGTCTTATGTCTATGCCCAAAGGCTCATGTCATATATAGAACAGGAGTAACCATGCTGCCCCTTTATTACCATTGTGTGCACATATGCAGTGTAGATGGATGGCAATATGCCTTGCTGGATTGTAACGGGAAAAAAATGTCACGGGCCGTCCCCTTCTTTCTCGTCTCCCTCTGCGCTCTCATGATTGATGAACAAGAACGACACGAGCACAATCCCTGCGCCTACCCAGTAGATCCAGCTCGAGTACTGCGCGTACTGGATCATCTCGCCGATCAGGGACAAGGGGATGGTGAGAGATAGGCCCACGGTGACGACGAGCGGTGTCGTGAGCAGCATGGCGTATGCCCAGGACATGTCGCTGATGAAGGAGGAGACCGAGTTGAGCTGCCCCAAGCCACACAGGTCAGTAAACAGTAAGATGCGGATAAGGGACGGCACCCGCCACTCACCATGATGATACCCCACACCTTGCCCGTCGGCGGCCACTCGAACGGCTCGATCCCCGTCCAGTGCAGCAGGAAAAAGCCAGGCCAAAGCAAGAGCAGGTTCAGCAGACCGACCAGCCCAAAGAACAACGGCATGTTGACCCTCTCCTCATCGCCCACGCGCCTCTTCATAACCGTGACGTAGAGCCCGTACACGATAGCGCTGAAAAAGGCCATGCCGTCGCCGATGGCGATGCTGGCCTGGCTCTTGTGAGGGAAGTTTCCTCTGTCCCCGTCGCTGATCCCGCTCAGATCCACCGTCGAAATCAGTACCACGCCCGCCAGGCTGGCCAGCACGCCCACGAGCTTCCGTAACGAGAATGTCTCCACCTTCATGGCCGCGCAGAACACCAGCGTCCACACGCTGCTCGTCGACGTGAGGATGGTCACGCTGCCCACCGACGTGTACTCCAGACACGCTGACGCAAAGTAGTTGGCACAAAACCAGAGCATGCAGAACTCGAGGCTCAGCACCGCCGTCTCCCGCAGCGAGAGCCTCTGCTTCTTCTCCCTGCCGGCCACGTAGTCTCCGTCTTCCCTAGTGTCGATATCAAATGTGCTGCTACCAGAGCCGGCCTCGCCCCTCTCTTCCACATCGTCCGGTAGCAGATCGTCGTCATCGTAGTCGTAGTCATCAGCATAGTCATTTCCTGTACTACTCCTGCTCAGCAGGCCGTGCTGCTCCTCGTCGGGGGCCTTGGCGGCGGCGATGGCGGGCCGGCCCAGCAGCGAGACGCTCCCTCCCCTAGCTCGGCTACTACCACCACCGTGGCGGTGGGAGGAGGAGGAGAAGCGCTCGTGATTCCGCACCAGTGCGCGCAGTTCCCTCTTCACGCCCTCGAGTCCGTGGCGCTCGACGAAGCGCACGAGCATAGGCACCAGGCTGATTGCAAACACGCTCGTATTGATATACACGACGAAGAAAGGCTTATCGTAGGTGTGGTCAGAGAAGATGTAGCTGGCGAGAAAATTGGACGCCGTCCACAGGAACACCGTCAGCAGCAGGAGGGCAATGCCCAGCGTCCGCCTTGCCACGCCGCCCAGCCCGAGGCGCGCCGTCAGCGCGTGTATGCCCGTCTGCGAGGACGAAGCCGCACCTGCGCTGCGCATCGAGGCCACTGAGGAGGAGAGATGCGTCTGGGCGTTGTAGCTCGAGATAGAGATGGAGCGCTGACGGGGTCCGCGGTCAGCAGGGCCTGGGGCCATCTCTGCGGTGCCGGCTAGGGGTTCGAGGGGCGCCATCGTAGAGGGTTTCGTAGGGGAGGGTAAGGAATGCCTCGTGCTGTCTGCGAAGAGGCCCTCATCGGAGGGGTTGTTTGTGGGCGCACAAGTCTGTCAGTAGGGGCGACGTATTTCGCATCGGACTCGAGATGAGGATCGAAAAGAGGGGGTTCATCCCATCGTATCTCACAAGACAGCGGGTTTCGGGTATTTGATCCTGCCTGCAGTGAGCTTTTTGCGACCTCTGCCTAGATGAGTAGGCGTGGTAAGAGGGTAGAATCAGTAAATGAGTGAAGGAAAAAAGATGAGCAAATACTTGGATAATGATAGGAAAGGAAAGAGAGAACGGCAAAATGTCGTCGGGTGTGTGTAATTATGCAACGGATGATGCCAATATGCGCTGCGGATGTCACGGCTCGGAGGTGTCCGCAGCGGTCCCTCGGGCTTTGGTCTCAGAATCGCTTACTTACTATGGGTACTTGGATGTATCGGCACACCGACTTCTGCTGTTTGGCTTTTGAGGTTAAATTTCAAACAAAAAGTATCCACTGCCACAGGAGCTTCAATGTTTCAAGTTTTGTTGATTAACCTCAGTACATATAGTAAAAGAATTCTCTTGCCATCAAGACGTATGCTATATTACCTATCAGCAGATGTAACCCTGACTATCCCTCCTTAGGCCCATGGAAGAAGGGAAGGGGGGGGATGCAAAGGGCTGCTATTGTCGAAGCCAGAGAGGGAGGAATATTCACTGGTCAAGCAAGACAATGGTCCACTCAGCTATGAGGCTTTGTCGTCATTGATGATGTTATTCAGCCCTTGTACTCCTAAGACCACTTGGTAATCAATATAACCCGCATCACCATCCTGCAAAATATGTTTCCTGGCCGACCACATGCTGTACGGGCCGGATGTATGCCTTCTTCGACAGCCACTCGCTCCCACTCTCACGTCCAAAGAACCTGATCCTCCTCCTTCTCTTCCTCCTAAAGAAATGCAGGCAGCCACTATGATCTCATCGCCTCGAGCCCACAGAAGATGACAGTTTGGCCGTGTACTGTGCGCGATTATATATAAACGACCCAGAGCATAAGCCAGCCAACCGCTCGCGCTGTTCGGCCCACTTCCTAGTAACCCTCCTCTGTCCTCCTCTGTCCATCCACAGCATAAAAATCGATCAGTAGGAGCGAATTAACACGAGCAGCCGTCCCTGTCGTTCTCCAGGTGAATGTTAATGGGGTCCTGGGAAAAGTCCCCTCCGCTAAACTCCTCGCTCTCCTCCTGTTGCAACGCATTCCGTGCAATCACCTCAAAGGCCTGCTCGACGTTGATGGCCTCCTTGGCGGAGGTCTCGAAGTAGGGGATGCCGCCCTTGGACTGACAGAAGGTCATGGCCCTCTTGGTGGAGATGACCCGCTTGCTCTCCTCGACGTCGATCTTGTTGCCCAGCACCACGAAGGGGAACGAGTCGGGGTCCCGCGGCGAGGCCTGGATGAGGAACTCGTCGCGCCACGAGTCGAGGGCGTCGAAGGACTTGGAGTTGTTGACGTCGAAGACGAGCACGCAGCAGTCGGCACCGCGGTAGAAAGCCACGCCGAGGGACTGGAAACGCTCTTGTCCGGCAGTATCCCAAAGCTGTACAGGCACACACACACACACACACGGACGCATAGTCAGTATCTATCTCTTCTCTTGATACGGCTCGGTTGACAAGCTGAATCTCGCTTGTGGGAAGGATGGGGATTGCGCACCTGCATGGTCACTTGTCGGTCATCGACGAGCACCTCCCTCGTAAGGAAATCGGCACCGATCGTCGCCTTGTAGCTTGCGCTGAACTTCTTGTTGACCTATTCGAGATACCATCCTGTCAGAGCCACTGATTGATAACATGCCGCCGCCATACCGTCGACACAAGAGACCCGGCATGCAGGGACAGTTTAGAAGGAGAGAGGAGGGGAGGGAAGCACGGGGTGGGAAGGGTGGTGTTTGTCGTACATATTGGTTCATCAAGCTGGTCTTGCCAACGCCGCTGTCTCCGAGGATGATCACCTATACACACACACACACAGAGCTCGTCAGACCTTCTGGCATTGAATTTTGGTTTCCTCGTTATTTTACTCTCCCTCTTTCGCAACCTGCACAGAGAGAGGAGACTGTCCGTCTCGTGCACCATACCTTGAGGAGCACCTTCTTTCTCGACGACATGTTGGGCGGATTGGATGTGTTGGGGTGGAGGCTTGTCGATGACGTTTGACTCGTGACCAGCGCGCGTTTCGGCAGCTGAACCGTGTGAACTTTTTGCGAGTTGATCGCGAAGAGGCGCAGCGGAGGATATGCTTAGCCGAACAAAGTGGACAACCAGGAGAAGAACTGTGTAGAGGCCGATCGCCTTGTCGTACGTGGGACGCTATCTCAAAAGTCGTGGGTTGGCTACGCGGTCACAGCGGTTACGGAGACACAAATACAAGATAGTACAACGATGACGGGGGGGGGGAGGGCAGTGCGGAGGGCTGAGACACTGGGAAGGAAAGGGTGGGGAGTCAGATAATAGCAGCTCAATGCTGTGTGTAGGTGGGCTCCACCAGGCCAACATGTACGGTGCTGTAGTTCCGGTGGTGCTATGGTTAGCAGCGGCCTCTGTTGCTGGTCTAGCTGATAAGCGTAGGGAGACAGCACCTGCTACAGGACGCCACAACCCGCGGTTAGGCACTAGATGGCAGGGCAACTTCCAATGCTGCAGCGGGTTTATGCTAAATTTAGGGGTTGTTTTCGGGATGAACCCGGGGCCCCTTGGCAGACAGCGATGGATGGTTGCCCCTGTTGCCGAGCTGACCAGTAATTACAGCGTTAAGCGTAACCGTGTGAATGCCAACTCAATCTCCAAATCGTCATCATCGTCACATCAGAACCTTGGGGAGCACTTACCGGAAGGCTGCGTGGCCTGCTCTCAGCCCTCACCCTTTACGACCAGCAGCCAGCTACAGCTACAACCTGGCAGAGTTCTCGCCCAATGAAGGCTGGCCGGCTGAAGGATCGGACTACCAGCACCATAGCAGCCATTACCGACCAATCCCAGCTTCGATGGATCGATAGTAGCAACTGATGAGAAACAACCTCCAGCCCGATGGCCGACAATCATGTCCTCGCCAAGGTGCACTCCCTCAGCGATGTCGAGCTGGCCTGCCTGCTCTCCCTCATCAGCGACGAGCACTGCATGATCAGCACGCCGCCTGGCTGCCTTGACGAGCTCGTTGACGAGCTGCAGCTCGTGTCAGAGCACACGTTTGGCCTCCGGTCAGCCGTGGTCGATTGCACACCGCACACCACCCTCGAGGACTTCGCCAGCTCTCTCCTCCTCCATCCTCATCCGCCCTCGCCGGCCACCACACGGTCCTTCTCTCCGTACCTTGCCCGCTCGGCCCACGATTCCTACTTTCCAAGCAGTCATGCTCCCAACCAGCATAACCCGATCTTTCCTCTGACACCGGTCTCGCCGACCTCGCCGACCTCTGGTGGCCCGCTACACTCTCAGATCGCCAACGTTGTGCTGGCCAAAAATCTCGACCAGGCTCCCAAGGCCGTCCAAATCCAGGCGCTCGAGCTGCTCCGAACCCATCGCATCTTCACGAGAACATCGGTCCAGACAGCACCCAAGACTTTCATGCTGGTGGCTGTACTTGGTGCGGAGAGCGGCGGCGAGGCCAGGGTTACACCGCATCTGAACGACTTCTTCTACGTGGCTCATTGGGTTGATCCGGATTCGGAGGGTTTTGCACACCTATACGGAGACGACGGGTCTTCGCTGGCCTCTTCGGAGCTGAAGGCGGGAGGCAGAACCGACGACGACGACGATGTCAGCATAGCGAGCGCGGAAAGTGTCGTCAAGCGTCGCAGTCGCGCCAGTGGGAGCCTCTTCCGCGGGCCGACGTCTGTTAGCACAGCGACTCTGCCCCGGCCGCCCATCTTCTCCAGTACCGACCTCACCCAGCTACGGCAGCTCTCCCACCACGTGTCTGTCGACATTGATGTTACCCGATACCAGATGAATATTGTCTCCTTCTTACGGATGCATCGTGCCGTGGCTAGCGGGGTCACGCCCCAGGCGACGCGCCATTTCGAGACGCTCATGAAGAGCCTCGCGCCCCTGCACGGCGTGGACTATGTCACACCTGCGCTAGTGTGTCTCGCGGCCAGGAAAGTTTACCTTCACCGCATCAAGATGGTTGAGCCAGGACGTGAGAGGAGTATGCAGTGGGGAAGTGACCTGAATGCTGTTGAGAGGCTGCTCGAGGGCTGGGGCCCGGAAGATGTCGTGGAAGATGTGCTGCAGTCAGTAGGCGTGCCAGTGTAACGAGCACGACCGCCATCCTAATTATGTTTAGGAAACGAAGCCTGCCCGTCAGGCCTACGCATTACTATTACCGAGATACCCATTGCAGTTTGAGAGAAGAAAATACTATACATATACACAGAGACCTTGTTTCTCTTTCTTGCCACGGCAGCAGCAGGAACAATCCATGTGTACATTATTTTGCCCACTCCACTCCAGGCCCTTGACACATGAATCACCTCGTCATCATCTTCCGAATGTGGCGGAACGGAGGCGGTGATACTGTGATCCGCCTTACGCTCGAGTCTGCCCTACAGAGGAGATGCTTTCAGCAACGTGTCTATGAGATTAGTCGTAAGAAACGAAAGGCAACCTCCAAACCAATTCCTCAGGAGCGTCCGAGCGTCGTACGGAATAAAACATATGAAAAGGCTTATTCAGCATATTCCCACTTTTCTGACAACACAGCCTCGCCCAACCCTCGCAAGACCAACAACGTGTCTCGTCTGTTTATTTTTCTCTTAGAGCCAGGCGGTCTCTCATTCATTCCGCTTTATCCATCCAGCCAGAAGGAAAACACATCGTGTCTTCTTTGTGGAAAGGAAAAAGTCCAACCTATATCTACTACTACCACTAACTGTCATTACCAGACTATTTGCTCTGTGGCCCTGTCTGTTCTACATTCATCTGCTTCCAAGTCCCTCGCCAAGAATCTCACCGCCGGCCTGTCATCAAGGAGATCTCTTCTTTCCAGTTCGCAACCTCTAAGCAGCATACACAATAACATACTCTGCGACGACAACACCTGAGTTCAACGAACAATAATTAAGAATATTTTCAAGATGCCTTTTGGTTTCATCCCCGACACCATCTTTCTCGCCGTCCTCACATCTACCATCCTCGCAGGCCTCCGCCGCTCCACAGGCCTGACCTTCCAGACCCAGCAGCTCATCGCCAACCCCACTGGCGCCAAGGTCTTCTCGTTCTACCTCGGGTCGGGCGAGTGGCTGTTTGACAGGCTGGTGGGCTGGGCCAAGGGGAGCAAGTACTTCAAGTATGACCCAAGCGTTACCGTCAGCGAAGTGAAGAACCAGGTCAGCGGGTTCGCAGATGGCATGAAGGTTGCGGCGGCGCTGGTGGGGGAATTTGGAGGGGCGGGTCAAGCAGCAGCAGCCAAGGAGGAGTAGGAGCAGCAACAGCGAGAGGGGGAAGGCAACGGAGGCGACTGAAGAAGGAAAGAAAGGGATAAAGGGGGGGGGGGGGGGGAACAGGTTATCACCTAATGGAGATCATAGGATGGGAATGATGGGTGAGGAGGACAGAGCAGAACGGGCGAGGCTGGACAGCAATAGGAATGGGCACGAAAATCAGCATAGGATGGCCCAGCGAGGACGCTCCTGCCGTCCAACACGGGCTTTCCCTCTAGGTGGAGTAGAATTAGGACGGTATTGGTAAAGTATCAGCCTCTACTCAAACGTGGCTATGCGCTGCTTGGGAGCCAGCAAGAGCCGGGCAGGGTATCCTAGAGTTACACCCACTGTATTTCATCACACCATACAACATACGCAACTTTTTCGTCACCGACAGCGTATGAAAACGACACGTACATGTGATATTAATAGTCATCGCCTCTCTGAACGGGGAACTCTCTTCAAATCCCTGAATCAAGAGTTCAGCACATCTGATTGCTGAGTACAATCACACAAGTCAACTCGATTTTCACAACCTCAGCATCTGCAAGGCCTTTTCCATTTCCTGCATGTTTTTCAAGACCTTCATAATCAATATCTTTAGTTCACTTCCGCCCTTTGGCCTTTTCATGGGCCCCTCCCCAGAAGGAGATCTTGAGTCTTTGGTATCGTGGAGCCAATGAAACAAGGGGTACTCACTGTATAAGATATAGAGTCTACCCAGAGGGGGGAAGAGCAAGTATACACTTTGGCTATGCACAGTTTGCTACTGGCTACAGCTGCTGATTCCCGTAAAACAGGCAAATGGATTGCATGGCCAATAGCTTACACATACTCAATTACTAATAGCTCTGGTATTTGTTGCAAGCTTTAGTGCTATCAGCATGCTATAATCATTACAATCAATATTTTGCATACATCTTCTTTCGTGGGTTGGCTATTGAATCTTGATTATTCAGTATATGTCTCATGTGTCTGACCTAGTAGGTCTCACTTCACAAAAGACTTCAAATAGCCATGGAACTGTTTCGATATGGTTTTTGTTCATAATTCCCACACATTGCAATCCATGCAGCTCCTGACCACTTAAGTAATCAAGTGATTATCAGGAACGTATAGTTCCCATAGGTCAGGGAACAACTACGTGTTACCAGGCTCCTTTTATGCATAGTATACTTGCTTTCTGTTTGTCATCGTCTTGGCAATCCCAGTACTCCAACCATTATGACCTCACCTGTCTGAAGGGGGCCAAGCACTATCAGTGAAGGGCAGTGTGCGCCCTGTCTCTATGCTTCCTTGCTGACTTGACCCTACTCTTAATAAATAGCAGATAAAATCATATTGTTTTATAGGCAAGTCAGGGTGGTGGTGCCTGAAGTCCGTTCTAGAAGGCTGGAACGTGCTGCAGTCAGTGGGACAAGGAAGGGGCACGATTAAACGCAAGTCTCGAACTCACGAGGGCAGAGGTCTCGGGTTGGCTACATTTTGGCAATCATTCAGTCACAGACGTTAACTCAGAATTATTGCGATACCACTAGGGATGAGAGAAAGTCTGATTTGATCATTCCAAGTCTCTGCTGTGGGAAATGTGCCTCGCAGACAATGGCGAAATGGTCACCGCCCCTTGTGTTTGCGCCTTGCGAGGAGTCAGGGCGTCCAGACACCTGTCCCCGTCTACTTATGCAACACGGCCATCCTTGATTCCGGCCCCCCTCTGTCCATCCATTCATCATTATGAAGCTTTCATCTTAGTACCCATGAATATCCCACCTCGTCACGATAATATCCACCCGTACGTCATATGCGCGAAACTGATTTCCTGCTCTCCTGCCCCGAACGCCTGGATGAAAATGCCACAAGCTTTGATAATATGTGTGGGGAGAAACCCTAAACCGTCTGGGGCTCTTGTCCATCCGCTAAGATACTTGGTCTAGAGAAACATGCGTAAGAAAGAAACCATTTGTTTCCATTTGTTTGATGTCTATGAATCCGATATCCCCTCCTAATGAATCTCAGTGACCTTGCACTGCCATCCGGAAGTTTGTGACAGGAGTGGCAAGCTGTATGAGGACTGTCAGTCTCGCGCTATATCAGGGCGTGGAATAGGGTAAGAGAACGACTCACCTGGCACCCAAGCACCAACCCAGCTCGTTATCCTTGATCTTCTTGGCGATTTTGACCTCCCGGTCTATGGGCATGTCGTATCCCGTGTGGGCAAGCGCAATCATAAAGCTAAGGTCCAAGCAGTGCTCGGGCCTGTCACGCAACTCGTCGAGCGCACCACCCACGCTCGTGAACAGGTCCCAGTCCTTCTCACCGCCGCAGACCTTGTTCGCAAGCTCCTGCATCTCCCTGAGCGTGAAGGAGTCGGGCATTCCTAGTGGCTGGGTGCGGTCGTAAAAGTACGATAGGAAGTAAATGTCTTCGGTTGCGAACGTCTTGGCAATGGCAGGCTGGTGTACGCCGTTGAACGAGCAAGGGGCAAGCTTGCACTCGGCATCCTTCTTCAGAATCTTTTCTGAGAGGCTGCGGCACTGTGCTGGAGCACCACCGGTAGATGGGCCGGTGAAATTGAACTCGCGCGAGGCACCCAGAGGGTGGTCGTCACCAAGCTTAACGGAAACGACTTTGGACATGCCGGAGGCGAAGCACGGGTTGACAATAGGTTTCGAGAGCCACGACCGCTCGGTCTGGTAGGCATCGTACACCTCGTTGACCAGCTGCGCAAAGATGGCATCGCGTGCGCTCATCAGGCCGTAGCCCAGGTGAGAGTGCTGGTACAGGGTGAAGTGACGGCCACCAAAGTCCAGGTCGTACTTGTGGTCACCTTCGGCCATCTTAGAGGGGAGACCTCCGTCGGTCAGGCCCTTGAAGTTGGGCTGAAAGACGATCTGCGTCGAGCCGCCGCCTAGGTCGAAGACGGCTGCGGTGTTACTCTCGTCGGGCCCGCCAATGTTGCCCAATAGATAGTTGGTTGTGATCCACGCATATACACCCTCGTCGGAGCCGTCCATGATCGCGACACCGTCGTTCTCGGCCGAGACGACAGGAAAGGGATACTTGTCCTCGAGATGGGCCCGTACGGCGTCGAGGATCCTCTGGGACTTCTCAGAGCCGAGCAGTCGCAGACCGGCAGTGGCCTTAACGGCAACTGGGGAGCAGCGCTTGAGCTTGTCAGGGACGGTCTCCAGGGCGGCCTCCATTAGGATGTCCAAGCTCTCGGCGGCAGCCTGTGGGTCGTCCGGGTATGCGCTCAGCCCGCTGCTCTTGCCATCGATCTTCTTGGTCATCTTGAAGACCTCGTTCTCCAGCTCGGGGGTGGGGCCGCAGTTATTGAACTTGTAGACGTGAATCCGCGAGCCGGTGCTCCCTGCATCGATCATGTTGACATACTGGACGATGGGCTTGTCCTTGGAGTAGGACTGTGTACACCTGTCGGTGCCGTACGATGAGTCGGCAGGGACCTGGCCGCCGCCGGTGGATGGACCTGTTGGAGGTGCAAGAGAGATATGCGTCAGCCGTCGATTGCTCCTGTCTGCTGCCCCATGTCTGATGCAGCCGTCAAGCAAGTGATTTATCTGTGTGGCCCATGGCGCAACTTACCTCCGCGGTAGACATCGACGCCGGTGGGGGCGAGGTAGTAGATGGCGAAGACGAAGATGAAGAGGATTGCCCCGGTCTTGAACCAGCGCGTCTTCTGCGCCTGGGACATCATGTCGTTCTTGAGTTTCTCCAGGATGCCTGCCTGTCGGCGTTCGTGGCCGTATCTGTCTGGCTTCTCGTGAGGATCGTGGGCAACTTGCTTGATCGGCAAGGAGACGGAGGTTCGTCGCATATGGAACGGGCGATCCCCTCACAAGGGAAGTGGAGGAACGAAGAGAAGGACCGGGCGTGTGTCTCGTCCCGTGTCGCTCAGATGGGGTGGCGGATTCGAGCACAAGCCACGAAGCCCATTAAAAGCGATAAGCAAATAAGAACAACCGAAGCGAGAGACAAGAAAAGTTTCACGAGAAGTTTCAATAGTGTCCCATGCACACAACGGGGAATATTGAGTTGACACGTGGGAAGGAAAAGAAGGTAGAAAAGAAGGGGGAAGGGGAAAAGGGGGGTGGAAAGAAGATGTCGACGTCGAGATTGTGACTGGACTGAATTGATTGAATTGAATTGCACGGCATGGTAATGCAGAATCTCCAATTTGGCCTGGCGTGGCCAAATCAACCTCGACCAACGGTCTCAGCCTCCTCCTTGTCTTGCCCCAAAAATCGCCCATGGATGGACCCTGACTTCTTGCCTGCCCCCTACAAATTCAGCTTATCCAAACAGTACAGAAGGTACACGGGAAACAATACCCATCTGCTACTGTATTGCCATAAGCGTTCAATAGGGGGTGGGGTCAGAGCTAAACCTAATCTTGATCCCAGATGTGGCACGTAGCCAATGACGGTGCCTGACGGCTGACCTCAGCCACACCACCCGCCTCCCGTTAACCCTGACCCTGGTGCCTTGGAGAGAACCCTGTAAGGTTTGTTCGGCGAGGTTCGATGGATGGGATTGATGATGCATCAGACAGGCCTTCAGCGTCGTGCGCGTCTCACCTGTTGCCTTCTAGCCGCCGCAACACGACTGCCACCACAACAAATATGAACGTCCGCCCAGAACATTGCAACTTCCTCAACTTCCTCCTCTCCTATTTCACCAACAATATCACCTGAGACTGTTGTCGAAGGTAATTGTGGCGACAAGTATACTTGCTCTCTCTTTTGGTCTGTCCGTACTGAATCTGCCCGTCTCATTCTCATCAGACTACATTCCTCTTCCTCCAGCTCTCACACCTCACCATGGATGTTCATTTGCTCGTCTACGACCTCTCTAGAGGACTGGCGAGGCAGATGTCCATGCAGTTCTTGGGATTCCAGCTTGATGCCATTTATCACACGTCCATCGAGCTTGATGGACTTGAGTGGGTCTACGACGGAAATGTCGTGGCCATCACGCCTGGGTCATCTCATCTTGGCCAGCCGATGCAACGACTTTCTCTGGGCAAGACTGAATTGCCGATGGATGTGATTCAGCAGTATCTGGACTCGCTCAGAGAGATATACACGGTTCAGGCCTACAATCTCTGGAAGCACAACTGCAATAATTTCTCAAACGACTTTGCCACTTTCCTACTAGGGACGGGCATCCCAGATCACATTCTCCATATGCCCGATGCAGTGCTCGACTCGCCGTTTGGGAGGATGTTGATGCCGACCCTGAATCAACAGATCGAGGCAGGCAGGCAGCAAGGCGGGATTTTGGGCATCCAAGGGAACGCAGATGGGCGTGCCACAACCACATCCTCTGGAGCGCAGCGTCAGTACCAACAGGCCGAGGTCCGACATGCCAGCAGCGTGGGTGAGCTTGACTCTCTCCTCGCCAGTGTCGAAAAGTCGTGTGCTGTCGTCTTCTTCACTTCAGCAACATGCGGCCCCTGCAGGATGCTTTATCCCCTGTATGATGAGCTGGCTGCTGAGGTTGGAGACAAGGGTGTTCTGATCAAGGTCGATATCTCCCAGGCCTTTGACGTCGGTACTCGTTATTCCGTCCGCGCCACCCCCACGTTCATCTCCTTTCTGCGAGGAAAGGAGGAGAACAGGTGGTCTGGGGCGGATCCGGGTGCGCTGCGAGGCAATACACGGCTGCTCGTGCAGATGGCGCATCCAGCCCACCCACACGCAGCTCTCAGACTACCCACACTGCACAATCCTCATGCGAAACCTGTGCTCTTCACCAAGATACCACCTATACCAAAGCTTCGAGCGAAGATGGGACCCACGGCAGAACACCCAGCTGTGGTGTCCATTTCTCATTTCATCGAGGCCCGCAACAAAGATGGTGCTGCAGAGGCAACGCTGCCCGATATGACTGCTCTCACAGCCTTCTTCCGAGACTCGGCCAAATCGTTACCCCTAGACCTCATGTTCACCGTTGTTGATCTTCTCCGGTGCGGTCTTATTGATGTCCGCCTTAGCGGATTTCTGGCCGAGGAGAAGGACCACGAGACCATCACATCTCTATTATCCTATGTCAACAGTCTCTCAACAGACTGTCCATATGCTCTACGTCTCGTTACCCTGCAGATGACATGCAACTTGTTCAGCAGCCCCCTCTATCCACCGCAGATCCTCGCTCAGGAAAGCTTACGAGGTGCCGTCACAAGCCTTGTGTCCTCCAGTTTCCTCGATGAAAGCCACAGTAGCGTTCGCGTAGCCGCTGCATCGCTCCTCTTCAATGTGGCGTTAGCGAACAGTCATCACCGCAGAGCAGGTGACGGTGATGCTTTACCAGAAGAAAATCAGATTGAGCTCGCGGCATCCCTACTCGAAGCCATCTCGCAGGAATGCCAGTCGCCGGAAGCCTTAAGAGGAATGCTGCTCGCGCTTGGATACCTGGCTTATCTGGCGCCTCTGGACGGAGAGCTGGTGGACTTGTTGAGGACAATGGATGCGGGTCATACAGTCCAGGCTAAGGAAGATAAATTTGATGATGTGGCTCTTGTCAATGAGATTGGCTTTGAATTGTTTGAGAATGGTTTGAAGAGATCATGAATCTCCTGCTTCCCGAGCATCACTAGCAATGCACAACTAGAAAGTCATAATTTCAGTCTAGACAAATTCATAGATTATTATTAACATTGACTTATAGCATCCTATACTACTAGTATATAGCATAAAATTCGCGTTTATTCTTGCTATATGTTACGACCCGTGGTTCAGGCGTAAGCTATATGTACGGTTGGAAGGAATATTCGAACAGGGAGTTCGAATATTGATTGATCTTTTAATCTATGTAGTACAGTGGCACCTTTCACCACCGCTCATTACACTATATTATTTTGAAGGAAAAAAACAGATGCTTTTGTAAATAATTTAAAGCTTTAATAAACAATTAAAATATTTTATACTTATATAAAATAGCTTCTATTTTATCGAGTAAAATCAAAACTAAACTAATTAAATAAAAAAGTATTTAAGTAAATAAAGAATATTGTTAGGGCTATCTGTAACAGTGTGCTGGAACTGGCTGTATAGAGAACTTACATTAGCAAGCTAGCTCAGTGTAATGAGCACTGCTGTTATGACCCATCCAACATGCAGATCACAAGCAAACAAGAACCAGATATTATGACTCAACATCAGACAACCAACAAGGATTATATAATCCAGGGTTAGGGTTACGAGCTGCAACCAATCAGAAGGGGACCGGAGCAGTCGACGATCGATCCTCGCAGTCCAGGCAATGAACTGCAATAATCAACCACCAACTCTTACAGTTTATACTGAAGAGCTGGATATATAAAGATGCATTCATTACTATTAGATAGATTCAGTATATAGCTCTTTAGTTATTAATCTAAGTATCAGATTACTTTCTTACTCTGATAGCTTTAAAGATAGTAAATACTTGCATAGTTGCTTAGTTATGTTTTTATATTCAAGGCTTGTACTTAGCACTACTGTCAGGGCTGATTGTGCCAGCAAGGCTCAGGGCTAGCTAAGCCAGCTGGATTACGGATGACTAAGCAATATGCGGCTATAAAGCGGCTTTCTAGCTACGTCAGCACTGCTGAGCAGAACTTAGCTCCTTAGGCCTCAATGTTATTCTGGTTGTATACCCCTGAAAGAGAGAAAAGACCTCGCTACATTGCCTTTGCAACCTTTCCACCTGACAGTTTGAGGCCTGGCTCTTTTAAAGGAGGCAATCCGGCGAGGCTTTCTATCTTTTTTTTTCTTCCCTAGGAGCAGCGCTAATACTGAGCAGGAGCAGAGCAAACGATCAGACTACTATTCTTTTCGAACCTTCAAGCTTTTGATCTTCAAGCCTTTAACCTTCGAGCCTTTAACCTTCGAGCCTTCGATTTTCGAGCTTTCGAGCCTTGAATATAGCGAGCAAGCAGTGCTGAGCAAGCAGTATGCAAGCAGCGTGCGAGAAGCGTTCAGAAGAGATTCAGAGCATTCGAGTTGCTAAGCTAGAGTATACAGCAAGCAAGCAGTATCGAGCAAGCAGTATGCAAGCAGCATGTAAGAAGCGTTCAGAAGAGATTCAGAGCATTCGAGTTGCTAAGCTAGAGCAAACAGCGAGTAAGCAGTATGCAAGCAGCGTGCAAGAAGCATTCAGAAGAGATTCAGAGCATTCGAGTTGCTAAGCTAGAGCAAACAGCGAGCAAGCAGTATGCAAGCAGCGTGCGAGAAGCGTTCAGAAGAGATTCAGAGTATTCGAGTTGCTAAGCTAGAGCATATAGCAAGCAAGCAGTATTGAGCAAGCAGTATGCAAGCAGCATGCAAGAAGTGTTCAGAAGAGATTCAGAGCATTCGAGTTGCTAAGCTAGAGCATACAGCAAGCAAGCAGTATCGAGCAAGCAGTATACAAGCAGCATGCGAGAAGCATTCAGAAGAGATTCAGAGCATTCGAGTTGCTAAGCTAGAGCAAACAGCAAGCAAGCAGTATGCAAGCAGCGTGCAAGAAGCATTCAGAAGAGATTCAGAGCATTCGAGTTGCTAAGCTAGAGCAAACAGCAAGCAAGCAGTATGCAAGCAGCATGCAAGAAGTATTCAGAAGAGATTCAGAGCATTCGAGTTGCTAAGCTAGAGCAAATAGCAAGCAAGCAGTATGCAAGCAGCATATAAGAAGCATTCAGAAGAGATTCAGAGCATTCGAGTTGCTAAGCTAGAACAAAGTATATTCTTTGCTATTCGAGCGAGAGAGCAGAGTAAGCAAGCAGTAGATCTGAATATCTTCTGTTTTCGAGAGTATATTCTTCGCTATTCAAGCAAGAAAGCAGAGTAAGCAAGCAGTAGATCTGAGTATCTTCTGTTTTCAAGAGTATGTTCTTCGCTATTTGAGCGAGAAAGCAGAGTGAGTAAGCAGTAGATCTGAGTATCTTTTGTTTTCGAGAATATGCTTTTTGCTATTTGAGCGAGAATGCAGAGCTAAAGCAGAGTATCTGCTTAGCAACTGAAGTTGCTTGGATATTAGATTGCAAATCAATTATTCTTCTGCGCTTAGCAATGGAGCGAAGTATAGCAATAGCTTTAGAATTGCTAGAAAGCAATTCTTAAGATAGAAAGCTGTAATTATCTATTATAGCTGCAGAGATGCTGTTCTGAATACTAGGCTTCTTAGCTATAAATTAAGTTTCTGATAAAAAGCTTGCAATCTATATTAAATAGCTTTAAGTTTTGAAGAGTGCTTGGATAAAGTGCTAAGGAAGCAGCGATTAAGCAGCGTATATAGTGCGAGTATTGTACTCAGAAGACTTATGTCTGGAATGTGATTAAAAAGAGATTTTTTTTTCATAAGCTTCGGGGACGAAGCTAGAAGAGAAGGAGGGAGATGGTTGAGAGGCCTTGAGAAGCCTTGAGAGGCCTGAGGCACTGAGAGATCTTGAGAGGCCTTGAGAGGCTTGAGGCACTGAGAGATCTTGAGAGACCTTGAGTGGCTTAGAAGCCTGAGGCACTGAGAGATCTTGAGAGGCCTTGAGAAGCCTGAGGCACTGAGAGACCTTGAGAGGCCTTGAGAGGCCTGAGGCACTGAGAGATCTTGAGAGACCTTGAGTGGCTTAGAAGCCTGAGGCACTGAGAGATCTTGAGAGGCCTTGAGAGGCCTGAGGCACTGAGAGACCTTGAGAGGCCTTGAGAGGCCTGAGGCACTGAGAGACCTTGAGAGGCCTTGAGAGGCCTGAAGCACTGAGAGATCTTGAGAGGCTTTGAGAAACCTGAAGCACTGAGAGATCTTGAGAGGCTTGAAGCACTGAGAGACCTTGAGAGACCTTGAGTGGCCTAGAAGCCTGAAGCACTGAGAGATCTTGAAAGGCCTTGAGAAGCCTGAGGCACTGAGAGATCTTGAGAGGCTTTGAGAAACCTGAGGCACTGAGAGATCTTGAGAAGCTTTGAGAAGCCTGAAGCACTGAGAGATCTTAAGAGCCTGAAGCATTGAGAAAGCGTAGGAGCAGCTAGGAAGCAGCGAAAGCCTGGAAGCAACGGAAGCCTGGGAGCAACGGAAGCCTGGGAGCAACGGAAGCCTGAAAGCAACGAAAGCTCGGAAGCCTCAAAGGCCTTGAGAACAAGGCCTGATAAGGGGGGACAATCTGTTAGGGCTGATTGTGCCAGCAAGGCTCAGGGCTAGCTAAGCTAGCTGGATTACGGATGACTAAGCAATATGCAGCTATAAAGCGGCTTTCTAGCCACGTCAGCACTGCTGAGCAGAACTTAGCTCCTTAGGCCTCAATGTTATTCTGGTTGTATACCCCTGAAAGAGAGAAAAGACCTCGCCACATTGCCTTTGCAACCTTTCCACCTAACAACTACTCTTATTAGTATAAATCTCTTTGTATACTTGGGAATCTTCGGATTGCTGCAGTGCTTATTATATTTTGATAATTCTTATTCAAGAATAGTTTAGTATTATTCTCTTGAGCAATATGGAATATAATAGCTTTTTAAGAAACTTCTTTGTTCTTGCATGCTTCTACTCAGAAAGAACTGATTAACCAGGTATATCAGCTTATTCAGTATATTCAGAATCTGTATAATCAATAGCAGGCTCAAAGCGCTATTATCGCTAACTAATAAGCTTAGCTAGCTTAACAGGCTTAGTAAGCATAATTCATTTCTATAATCATTAATAATACTAAGAAAGTATATAAGATAAACAAGCTTGCTATATATAATAGCAATTAAAAGATGCTATATAGATTTCTTATTTATTATAGAGCATACTTTTTGCATTATATAATTTAGTTTATTATAAAATCTAAGAAGATTATTCTTATAGAAACTTATTTTGAAAAGAATACTCTTATCTAATATAAGCTTTCTCTATATAATCACTTAAAGCATTAGAGCAATTCTGATATATATACTTAGAATATTAAGAATATATTCAATTTCTTTGAAAGCTTTAAGAAAGCTTTTAAGAAAACCTTTAGTAATCCTAATAAAGAATATATTATAGCTTAGCAACTTATAAATCTTAAACAAACCAAGTTAGCTTCTATCTATATAATCAGATTCAAGCAATTCTTAGTATAATTTTTATAGAAAGATAAGAATCTTATAAAGCATTATTATAAGAGATTTAAGAATAATATTAAGAATGAAATCTCTAAGCAGAATTAGCTAGAAAACTTTGCAATATTCTCTAATCAAGCAATTTGTATCAATAATTATCTATATAAATAATAAGTAGAGAAATCTAAGAAAGAAGAAAGCTAGATTTGGAGATTTTCAGCTAATATAAGCAAGAAACTTTAATATAAAAATAGCAGTTAATAGAGCAGTATAGCTTAGAGCAGCATTATATATGCTAGCTTTATAGAATTCAATGCAGCTAATAAATAGTATAGCAAGAAGAATAGTATTACTTGCTATAACTGCAATAAATAGAAATATATAGTATACAATTGCTATTAACTTCAAAAGAACAAATAGCAATCAGTTCAGAAAGAATGCTAGATAAATATTACTTAGCAATAGAAATCTAATTAACTAAGCAAAAATATTCTCTTAAAGCAAGTATTGAATTCTATTAATCATAAAAGTTTCAGCTGAACATTCTGCTATAATAATAACTGCTTAATATATCTTTCAAGTAAGAAAAGCTCAGAATAGTTCTCTTAGAAATCTAAGCACTATAGGCAGATAGTAATAGCAGAGCGAGAGTATATACTCAGCATAATTATAAGCAGCAATAACTCGAATTGCTTTAATATTATTGAATAAAGTATTCAAGCATTAGAAAAAGAACTTAGTAATAATATTCTTCATTATTTCTTATTGCTTATATTAAGCATTATAGCTAGGGATATGAATAAGAAATAATACTTTCTTAGCTATTAGTATAAATATCTAAATAATACTGAAAATATTTTTCAGATAATAGAAGAATTAAGCTAAAGTAAATAATCTAGCAACTTACTAGAATCTGTTATGAATAGCATACCTAACAATTCTACAGAAGTTCGGAAGGGAAGGTTTTCCTTTAGTATTGAGTGAAACAAAGGAATAATATAAGTTGAATATCTTGTTTATAAGATAGAATTAGAGAAGCTCTTTATTTATATTTTCTTACAAAACATCAAAATATAGTAAGATAAAGACTCTTGGATCAGCTTACTTCATAATCTATATTACAAACTAGCATAGATCTTCTATACCTATTATAGCTGCAGAATGCATTTCTTGAAAAAGATATAATACGAATAATTCTCTATTAGAGAATTAGAACAAATTCTTCAAGCTATTAAGAAATAAGAACTCTGCTTTAGAGAAGTTCTTAATAAGCAGCATAATAATGCATATATCGAATTATTAAATAACTACTCTAAGCAATATATGAATAAGAAAATAAAATGATAGCAATATAGAACGATGCTTTATATAATTCATATTAATAATAAGATTTGCAATTAATATTAATAAAAGAAAGATTAGGAATAATAATAATATGAATAAAAGTAAGCTAAAAAGCTTGCTTAAAAAGTAGCGAAGCAAGCTTAGAAGAAGAATAAGCAGCTCTTAATAATTTCAAAAGGATAGAATTGCTTATAAAAAGACTGCAGATAATCAGACTGAAATAGTTCCTATATAAAGCTTTCAAAGCAGACTATGCTTATATTAAGCTTAATATATATATTTAAGAATATAAATATAGCATATTATTAAATAGTAATACTTAGAGAAACTTTATATTTCTATATATTATTAATTAGATATAATTATAATAGAAATAAAAGAAGTAGCTATATATTCTTAATATTATAAAAGAATAATCTATTATATATAATTAAGAAATAATTAATAAGAAAACTAATTATTTATTTATTTTAATTCAAGAATATATAACTAGAGTTTCCTTTAATATTATAAATATAGCATAGCATAAGCTGATTATAAAACTTTTATAGCTTAAGAAGTACAATTCTCGAATCAATTAAACTACTAGCTAGATCTTATAAGAACAAGCTGTATTCAGAGAAATAGTTGCAATCAATAATATAGAATCAAAGCTAGTTATTGAAGAATATTCAGAAAAAGAAGCTTTAAACAACTTTACAAATATTTCCAAGCTAGCAGAGCTAGCAGCTCAAGAAGAAGAATCTAGTAATAAGCGGATTTAAATAATGCTAGAGTGCTAACAAGTTAATAAAACAATGGAAGCAAGACTCTTAGCAAGTTAGTTCGCTTCGAAGCAACAAGAAAAAGCTTTAGAATGTGAATTATAGGTTTATACAAGAAAAACCTCGAAATTAAGCTTTCGAGCACTCAGTTCAGCTTGGAGCAAACGCTCAAGACTTTCAAAAATGCTACCAAAAACAACAAATAAAAAAAAGCATGCTTAATAATATCTACTGTTTCTTCAGATAATAGAAATAGCATATAAATCAGAACTAATACTTGCAAGCATATTATAAGAATATTACAAGTTCAAAAAATTATTCTAGAAAGAATTAAATATAGGATTGCTAGAATATAGCTTATATGATTACAAGATTCTGCTATAAG